TGTTTCAACAGGGTACATCTTACTGGGGCCAGGCCCACCCATATGTTGTGACAATATAAATAATACTACTGAAGGGCCCATCCATATGTTGTGACTCTATTAAATGATATTAGTGATGGGCCCATCTTTATGTTTCAACAGGGTACATCTTACTGGGGCTGGGCCTGCCCATATGTTGTGATGATATAAATAATACTACTGAAGGGCCTGTCCATATGTTGTGATGCTATACATGAGATTACTGACAGGCCCATCTTTATGTCTCATCAGAGGTACATCTTACTGTGGATGGGCCTGTCCATATGTTGCATAATGCTACTGACGGGCCTGATGTGAGTCAAAGTGTGGTTCAGTGGTGAAAACCAACCAAAACCAACATAAAAGACAAAAAGAGCAAGTGGTAGTGTGCCTATGCAGTACCTAGATGGTAGAACCTGTTCTTTGGGAGGGTTTTTGCAAGCTACAACACTCAAAGACAAGTGCTGAGGGTTGGGGGTGCTCCTGATGAAGAAGAAGCAGGAATGTGAGAGAATGTGATAGGGTAGACTGCTGTCAGCCTACAGAAGGATGGATGACAACTTAATTCAATGTCCTAAGCTGCACTGAGCTCAGGGAGGGCTTGGAGCAAAGTATATTGATGAGAGACAAGGATAAGTGAAGTAGATGATAGTTAGACCCTTAATAAAGTCTCAACTATCAAAGCTGCTGAATGAATTACTGAGTGATGATAAAATGCAAGCAAGAGGGGCTCTCTGACATCTTCTCTTTTTTTTGCTATCTAAGTACAGTGATTTATATACAGTACAGGGGTGTTGCCCTTGGAAAACAAGGTGCAAACACTTGGTAAGTGATTGGTAACTGATGAGTAAGGAATGTAAGCAATGGGTAATCATCTTGGAAAGCATTGGTAAGGATTAGCAACCCAAAAAGTGAAGAATCAGTAAGCAAAGTCAAAAGATTGGTAAGTATTGGCAATAGGTGAGTCACAGACAGTCAGAATGTCAAAGTATGAGTCAAGTGATGTCAGGAACTGAGAAAGCACACTGGAATTGCATTAGGGGGAGGCTGTGCATGTCACATCTCAAAGAGATCGCTTCTAGGCCAAGGTGGGATGACAGAGAGGCAGTGCTGATCTGATGCTGATATAGTACATCCAAAAGTGGACAGGGTGAGTCAGATGTCAACAGGGGTCAAGCTTTGGGGGTCTGTGGGATGACAGGAGCACAGGGGATCACAACTTTCCCCCCCAAACCATCCTCTCAGTGAAGCAAATAAAAACTTCATGAATGAGGCTCTGTTGGAAGAGAGGATGAATGGGGAGTGTCTTCTGCTGTATCTTGCAACAAGGAGGCAAGATGTGCATCATACTCATCATGGATGTGATCAGGGAGAGTGGGGAACAGTAGATTATACTGTAGCTGTCACAATCTTGGAAGAATGATGGATGAGACTGGTATGAAGACATTGCAGGGAGCAGGGAGGAAGGATCTATATGCTTCTTGGACTGGAGAGACTGAAACAACCACATAAGACCTTTCCAAGCAAATGACAGACCTGAGGCAACCAAAGAACATCCTCCTAGAGGTCATACTGACAAAAAGAACATGCTGTCCAAGCTGGATGGGCTGAGAGGGCACAGATGAGGGTGGGATGTACCAGGATGCTTCAGGATGGGAGCTGGTAGGAACTCCTGGTAGATATATGTAGCCATGGTCCCTAGCAAAGGGGACAAGCGAAATGATTGATGTAGAGGTGGCCATATCAGAAGAATTTAGCAAAATGAGTGTCTTTTGGAGGGAGTGCTGTAGAAATGTGTGGAGTGCACAAATCCTTTCCAATTTTGGAAGGTAAGACTGCATGGCTGAGCACTACAAGCTAGTGTGGGAATGGTCTTGGTATCTGCAGAAATGGAAGAGATATGTTGAAAACTGGAATGCTGTACATGGGCACTTAAGAATTTTAGCCAGCACTTAACTTGCTCCCTTTCATTTTCTCTGGCACTGATGAATTGTTCTTGTGTGAAGGATGACTGCCGACATTTCTGGCTGTCCTTCTTCACATGAGGGCTATGGTCTTCATCTCCATTCATCAGCTGTATCCATGTCCACCTCACCAAACACCTTTGGTGTGTGACACCAACCTTATGTTGTGACTCTATTAAATGATACTAGTGATGGGCCCATCTTTATGTTTCAACAGCAGTACATCTTACTGTTGACAGGCCCACCTTTATGTTGCAACAGGGTACAGCTTATTATGAACAGGCCTGTCTAGATGTTGTGACACCATAAATGATATTACTCCTGGGCTTGTCCATATGTTGCCAACTTTGTATTCTAATCATAGACAGGCCTGTCCTTATGTTGTGACCCTCTCCATGTTATGATAGGCAGGCCTGCCTTGATGTTGCAACAGGGGTGTAACCTACCAGGACAGGCCCATCCATGTCTTACAGCAACTCAGTATACTTAATTGGTCATGGGCCCATCTAAATGTTTCAACATCCTTACCTACCACAGGCCCTCCCATATGTTATGGTAATGCACTTACAAGCCCATATATATGTTGCTCTCACTTTAGTCCCTCAGGCCTGTCCATGTGTACTGGCTAATCTATTTAGGTGGGCCCATCTTGGGGTCTATATAAGTGTTGGTGTTTTGGTGCACAGGCTGCCCATGTGTTGTGACTAAATGTGACTACACTATGTGATATTAGGTATCACATCCCAGTAATAACAACTGCTATTTTTAGGGTAGACCCCTAACACCCTCCCTGGCAGAGCCAACATAGGCTTGGAAAGAAAAATAAAAAGGGAAAAGGGAAACAAAGGAAAAAGGACAAAGGACAAAGGAAAAAACAGAAGACATATGCAAGGGTTGGGCCTCACGATTCTCAACAGTCAAGGGTGAAGCCTTGGAATTTTGTATGGAAGAAGAGGTGTTGAACCCTGCACTTCTGAACTCAAGGAGAGTTGGATCCCCAGAGTCAACATCCCCTCCCATTTGTGACTTGTCTTTGTCCTTGAACAGGTTGTCAGTCATTTTGCCCTCCTCAGGCTCAGAATATTTAACAGGGGGGTTTCCCCTGGTAGTGGATGCTTCCCCATGAGGGCAGTGGGGAAGATCATAAATAAATGCCATGGAGGTGAATGCAGAGACAATCTGCTGATTGTTGGCCCATAAGGGCACATGACCTGGAGGGATCTGGTTGATGGTACAACCAATGGCTTGAGCCTGATGCTCATACCACTCCCTGACCTGACATCACTTGGAGGGCAGGGTTCAGCGAGAGCCCTCCTCAGGGGCTTGATCTTGGTCATCACCTGAGGGTCATTCACCCCTCCATTTGCAATGATCCCATTGACATATTCTTGGCCTGCTTGGCAGGCCCATTGCAATGTGTCATCAGCCTCATATGCACTGACCCATTAGCAGCAAGATATAATGAATTCATCATGTTGGTCTAGGATGGCTACCTTGACATGGTTTGTGCAATTTATCACCAAGCCTACACTAACCCCCACCCATTCACAGATATCCTCTGGCATGCAGCCATTTCCATAGTGGCCAATGCAATTCAAGAAGATAGCCAGCTGGATTGCCACCAGAAGTTGTGAGTTGTTTGATCATGACTGGAAGATCAGATGATCACTAATCTGATCAAGGATGCAGTCAAAGATTTCAGGGTTGACATGCAGCTTTTGGTGGAATAAGTGTGGCTGAAACTCCATGTAGTGTGCCAGAAGGTGGAGCTGTGATGCACATGGACATGGAATAGCCACACAGTTTAACACTCAGGTCCTTTCCACCTCATCATGGAGTGTGTGGATTGCATCAAGAAACCAGCAATATTTCAACTCTTTCCACTCCAGCAGCATAATGAAGTCATCATTCAATTCTGATTCCAGATCAGAGGGTAGTGGGGTTATTGGAGTGGGGGGGGGGGGTAATTGTGATCAACTCAACACTACCATCTGAGCCCTCATCATTGACACCATCAGAACAATCAAGCTGCCACTGTAAGTATTTGTTCCTTGCCTCCAATACCTTTAAAGTTATTTCATCAATTTTTTTCTAGTAACTTAGCCTGTTCAGACCCCCAAGGCATGGGGGGGACCAAGGTAGCAGGGATAGATGTAGATATATTCAAATTCCCATGCACTTGTTGTCATAGCTGCAGCTATGTTTGATTCTACCTTGAAATCTCCAAGCCCTTGAGTGAATCTTATCTTATCTATACCTCAGCAATGATGGCTTGGGTTTCAGAGTACAGTCAGAGTCTCAAATATATCACCATTATATAATTCTATAGCCCATCCATAGCCCATCCATAGCTTGTCCATAGCCTGTCCATAGTCTGTCCATAGCCATTCCAGCACTACTGTGAGTGCCACTATTGTGGTTTTTCTCTCAGAGTGTGTGTATCACACCAATGGCTCAATATCTCTGAATTTTGAGATATTTTCTAGTCTTCTTGGCTTAGATATATCATCCACTTGGTATTCCTGAATTGTCTTAATAGATTCCATTCTCTTTTCATTTTTCAATGTTGTGTATGGTTAAAAAAAAAAGCATGGATAGTAGATTCCTTCCAAAAAAGTCACAAATAATCACAATAGCCACAAAATAGTCAAAATAGTCAAAGTGTTAATTTCCTGATCAGTGGAAAACATCCTGCTGAGCTGGATGGCTTGGTGAGGATAAGGAACTTGGAAGCATGCAATAGATCACAGACAGTCTTTGGATGACCAGGTAATGTGGTCTGCCTTGCAAAGAGAGAATGGAGGTGGTGGAATGAGCAGATGATGAGGACAAGCTGGAGAAGGAAGGCTCCCAAGCACTAGTAAGTCCCAGTCACTGATGGTTCAAACATCAGTTGCAGAACAGTTCTGGACAACATCCTAGTCAATCATGCACAGGTACCCACATGACTTTCAAAGATAGAAGGTGTCCTTGTCCTATCAAAGTATGCCATGTTCAAACTTCAATTTCTGAGTAGTAGTCAACCTGATGCAATTCACTTCGACTCTAACTGAGTCACATGATTGTTTGTAATTATTTTCTAGAATAGGAGCTATTTGCGTTACTTGTACTACAGCTGCTTGTCTAACACCCGTCTCAGCTCCGTATTCTGCTTCTCCAAAGTCTGTATCTTTTGCTGCGCGGCGTACATCTTCTTGGACAGATATCTCGCTCTCTCAGCAGACGCCCTTCCTGTCCTCCACAAGCGCTGAGTCCACGACTCCCGCATAGCCATCTCTTGGAGCGTATTGAGCTCGCTTTCCCACGACTTGACCATGTTCTCCGCGCTTGAGATTAGGATTTGGTTCAATGCGAGATCTTGGGTCGCTCGGAATACTGGGTCTGAGAGGGAACATGCATGAGGAGGATGCGGTATATATGTTATAAAGGGAAGGAAGTATCACACACCATGAACAAGTTGCTGGAAAACGTATGTGAGTACCGGCCTTCCGGGGCGAATAGTAGACGGTCGACCTATAAGTTCAGGCCCATCAACGTCCGTATCGACTGGTTTGCGTAACACATTGATCACCATTCATTATAACGATGGAAATGAGCTCAGCATTTTCCATAGCTCGTAACGGAGTCTCGTCTCCTTTGAATGGGAAGTCCACCAGGATTTGATAGTAAGGTAACTGTGGGCGCATTGTTGACTTCAATTTTAATGCGCAACCCTTGAAAGCGACTCACCTCCGGCTTCTGCGACAGCTGCTTCAGAACAGTCCACACTTGCTCACGGGACCAGGGCAACATCTTCGCCTCCTCCGCATCATCACCAAAGGCGTTCTTGCGCAGCTCACCAACAGCTCGAGAGATGATGTCCTCGACGGCATCCTCAATGCTCTGACCACTGTGGACTTTATGAATCAACTAGTATGTATGATGCGGTTAGAAGCGTGAGGACATCATGCAAAGGAGGTGACAACTGACGCTCTCAAGGTCACTCGCGCGACCGCCGAGACGTTCTACGCAAGCAGTCTGTTCGGGTGTCAGTTCAGAAGTAACGACAGTGTCCCGCAAGCGCTTTTTCACGAATGAAAGTGCACTTTGAACGTCGGCGTCGGAGAGAGCGATGAAATTCAGTGGCTTGGATGGTAGAGCTGGCCAAGAAGTCAAAGAGAGCTCGTAAGAAGGACATCGTGGATTTACCTCTTGCTAGAAGTTTTTCATTTTCGCGATTCTCGCTGATGACAACAACATGTGCTATCTGACCGCAGTATATCGTTAGCAGAGTGAGGAAAATTCGTGACATGGAGAGTACCTACCTGGTTTTCAACGAGAGTGGCGGCCCACTGGCTGAGCACCTCCTGGAGTTCTTGCCTACCTGTCCGTCCACGTTCGGCGTAGTTCTTGATGACGACGACGGGAAGCGAATCGATAGTACGAGTCTCTTTCATACTTCTTTCCTTCCTAGCGAGTTCGTCCTCCGCAGCTCTACGCTTTTCCTCAAACTCCAGTGCTCCAGCATCCTTGCTTTTGCTGGACGAGATTACAAGTCCATTCAGTGGCTCGTCACCGAAACCTAATTCGGATATGACACCAATCCCAACAACAGCATCTAAACGAGGATCATGCCATGCTCCTTGGCGGATTGCCTCGCGGACGCGAAGATCGCACTCTCTGCGATCTTCAGCTTGCCGCTCAGCCTTAATCCTTTGCTTAGCCTCGTTCTGAAGGTGACGGCTAACTCTTCGCAGCGCAGTTCCAACAACTTCTAAGACTTGCTTCAGCTGGTCCTGAAGCGAACTACTGAGACCGGCTATGGAATGGACTTAGATCGCTGTTTCAAAGACTGAGGATCCATGCTACCAAACCTTTCTGTCCAATTACGCCCATGGTGGCAATGTCGATCAAATTATTGAGTGAATTAAGGAATGTGAAGATGGGTCGATATCCGGTTTGCTGCGCCAGAGCCGCCACCAGTCTACTGTCGGAGGGTGTTTTGTGTAATTCTGCGTAGTCAATGACGAGAACTTTCCTGGCTTCGGTATCAGCGCAACGGTACGGTGGTCGTAACAGAGGACTGATTCACCGGCCAGTGTCACGGATTACGGTGGAAACCATGCGCCGTTTGCCACTTCCCTGAGGCCCGTGTACGAATGCCACCGTTGCTAAGAACATATCAGATAAGTCGCTGAACTTAGATGCTGGTAGATGTACCCGGGTGGTCTGCAAGATAACTTCTCAACGCTGTCTCCGCAGCCCTGCGTTCCTTCCAGACAGCTTGGTCAGAACCGATATCGTCCGTGTCATCTTGGCTGAAAACGAGTCTATCCCGTGCTTGTCTACGCAGCCATTTGTAAACGTCGTACTCTAACGAGCTAGCCATGAGTGCCAGCACCAAAGACGATACTACTGACAGACCTCGGATGTCAAAACGGTTGAGCATCTTCCCCTCGACGAATAGCGTTCGAATGGGATCAAAGATCTAGAAAATGGGCGAGGTCTTAGGCTTCTATGCAATTTTTCTTAGAAGATACTCACGGTATAGGTTAGAGTGCCTAGGAAGAAGAATAAGATGGGGAGTACTATTCTTGGATGGCCAGTTATCCAGTCGCGAATTGCATGGGCTTGAAGAGGACGCTCGTACGCCGCGTGAAGTCGGGTGACTGTTCCTTCTTTTGAAAGCTGGAACCCGTGGGTGACATTACGGGCAACGGTAGCTGAGCGAACGCGTCGAAAGGCGATCTGGGAGAACCGGAGCATGCCAGAAGGGACTGGGGTTGGCGGCGAAATGTTATATATGCGTCCATATGGCTAAGAGGCGCAAATAAGTAGCGTAGACACATATGACGAGAAACATACGCGGTATAGGTGGTATAAAGCCTCTTCGCGGATATCAGGCCCTTCGAAGGCTACCTTGACCATGGTGGAAGGGTACCTATTCATGTCCTGATGTGGAGTTAGAGCAAGGGGTGTTTTATCAAAGAAGGAGGACCCACCTCACGCCAGGGTCGTCCTTTTACAAGCCAGACACTACCTTGACTGAGACCTAGCCAGGAGGGCATGCCACCGTGTCTGTCTATCTCATCCTTAAGGCCGCTTTCGATAGTATCCATGGTGGCGCTTTCGGATTCACGAGCAATGTAGCTGAATCGCACGAACACGCCGCCATCTTTAGGGTACGGTTCGAGGGAGAGCACCTTAAAGCCGTGCGTCTTGACCGCAGAAAGCCGGGTCTCTAAGTTGTCTAGGAGTGTTTCCTCGCGAAGAATACCAATGTAATAACGAATGCTGCGTGATCAGGAGAGGGTTACCACCCAGGAATTACTATGCCGCAAGAAATGCGTACTCCCAAATGCCCAAACGGATTGGGAATACCGAGTCGACAAACAACCAGGCCTCCCGGGTCTGAAGAGGGTGGGTTTGCAAAACCGCACTGCCGGCGAATACAAACTCACAGCTGTATTTTTGTCTGTGAATGTCCGCGTTCCCCTGAGTAAGATGCGTGTCCCCAGCCTTGCTACATGTCTTGTGAGCATGATGAGTGCATGAGCTTGCGCTCGGCAGCGGTGACGCAATGACATATTCCTGGGAATAAATTTCCAAAAAGGGATGTTCCACTTGTTTTGCTCAGGGTCCCTCCGTGCGTTGTGCCAAGAGTGAGACGCTCTGACGGCCATCCCACCCGCTGCAGCCCGCCGCGATGAGCACGCAAACACAACAGCCTGCGCCGTTGGCACGCACAAGCTCGTTCTTTGGTGCCATCAGGAACATCGTCACCGCACCGCTGCAGTGGCTTACTGGCTCAGAGGACTTCGAAGACACCCGAGGAAAGAGGAGAAGACTGCCAGTGCCATCTGAACAGTCTCGCGCAGAGGATGACAGTCTACAGAGCAAGAAAAAACGCATGAGAGTGACCAGTCCTCCCAGGGGTACCCAGGCTTATCTCGACCCTCCTCCAGCTGCTTTCAGGCAGCCGAGGCGGGCATCTGAGCACTTCAGCTCGAGTAGCCTTCGCCACCTTTCTGCTTCTCCTAGGAAATCTTTTCGCACACCCTCAGGTAATGCATCGCTTCGCCCTCGTCGCACGGTTTCTCCTCTTCCTAGTCGATCCCACCTCACACCTGCTGGAGTTCACACGTACGATGTCGCTGGATCCCCCCTCTAACTCCAGTTTCTACTACCGCACTCAGTCGGTGTCCTCCATGCAGGATATAGTGGAGGAGCACGGAGTTGCAAAGGATTCCATGTCGATCAGCCGCGATCTATCGATGTCACCAGGGCGTCAACTCAGGGTGCGCTCATCCCTTACCCCACAACCCTCTGGTTCAGATTTCGGCCCCGTGGTTCCTCCCCCTCGGGAGCGTGATCCTAGCCAACCACCTCCCCTAGCCACCTTAATGTCTCATCCAACCTTTGTCAAACCTCCATCTAACCTTCAAAAACCCGATGCGGCCGAAACCGCCAAACAGCTGACTCTGGGTTCTCTGGTAGATGCACAACGTAGCGTGCGTTTTATTATAACCCTTATCTTAAGTGAAACTCACTCCCCTTTGCAGGCCCGCCCCGTGAGTCGCAACAGCTCCATCTTGTTCGGTACAAGTTCAGCAACAGATGTCTCAGCGCGTGAGTATCTTGCTTGTTGGTATGCAGGTTTTCTGTGGTACATCGTTTACAGGACCCCTTGTGGCCCACTAATGCTGCGGAGAAGGCATTACACGAACTTGAGGTCTACAAGACGCCGCTTTTACCGACGCGGTTGAGGGCTTCGGGTACCATTCCGGATATGTTCTTACCGAAGAAGCGTCATCACATTACTCTGATGACCGATGACAGAGAGGACAAGCCGCGTTTGGGCATGAAAGGAAAGGTTAAAGAGAGGGGTAAAAAGAAGGACAAGGAAACACCCAATGGCTCCAAGCCTTATGCCGGAGAAGGCGGGATGAAGAAATGGCTGGCTAGGCGTAGAATGGAAGAGGAACAGGCGAAGGAAAAGGAGAAGACAGAAGCCATGCTAGATGAGGAGGCAGAAGAAGATCAGAGGAGAAATGCTGAAGGGGAGAAAGAAAAGCAACGAGCTAGCGAGCTCCAAGTCCCACCCCCGCCTCTACCTAATAGCACCGTTCAGCCGAGAGCGGTTTTCGGTCGCGAAGCGTCCTCGCTGAGAGTGGGACGGCCAAAGACCGGACGCAATCACATCGAGCGTCCGATGTCCAGACGTATGAAAAAGTTCTCAGCAGCATTTGAGGATGAAGATGAGGAGATGGATGATGTGCGTGCGGCAGAGCATAAGATGTTGGAGGAAGCCGCCAAGAAAGCTCCCGCGTTTGAGATACCTGCTGGGTTTACTTTCGCCAAAGAGGTCGGTATCGATGTTCAGGGTTTGACGGTCGTACTGATGCACCTCGTCAGATGACAATTACACACGAAGCTACGAATGCGAAGGAACCTCCCATCGGCTCCCTTCCGTATTCACTCACCAAACCTCCTATTAGCGCGGGTTCTTCCCCACCTTCAGGAGAACCAGTAGTCAAACCAGAAATTGTCACTGAACCTTCGGGACTGGCGTCGACTTCTGTACCTGCAGCCACCCTTGCTCCTCCGATTTTAGTCTCTCCGCCCACTCCCGAGAGTGGTGTAGCAGCTCCAAGTATCGCTGCTGCTGTGACACCCGAGCCAGCACCTTCCGGCATACCAAACTTCTTTGCTAACTGTTCTATCCTTTCAAAGCCGACGAGTATCGCTACGCCACCCCTGCCCTCGTTTTCTGTCGCCGCATCTCAAACTACACAAGTCAATAAAACGGTGTCCGTGGGCGAACAGAAGGTGCCAGTTTCCGAGGGACCTGCCGCAACCGAACAACCTGTTCTAGCACCAAGTACGCCCCCATCAGCTCTCCCTGCACCTGTTTCCTCTGCGTCCGGTGGTGATTCCCTCTTCGGGGCACCTTCTACTTCTACCGCGCCTCAAGCTGTACCTTTGTTCAGTGCACCCACCACAACGGAAGTAGCCGCATTGCCATTTGGTCCGCCCGCCTCGTCGGCACCACCCAAGGAACCTGAGGCGGCGGCAGTGGCGTCTCCAAAGCTAGCTCCATCCGCTTTCATATTTGGTGTGCCCAAACCTGCGCAACCGTCACCTGCTACCACTGAGTCTTCTGTGGCTGCGGAAACAGCAGCAGGGGCGCCGGCCGCTAAACCTACAGCTCCGTTCAGCTTCAACTCGGGCCCTCCGGTGGAACTCACAACGACCTCGGAGGGCCCCAAAACTACCTTCCCCTTTGGGCAGCCCACTTCCTCCACCACACCTGCGGAGCTCGCAAAGCCCCAACCTGCACAACCTCTTTTCGGTGGGCAGTCATCTGTAGCACCTTCATTTTCGTTTGAGCGAAGTACTGAGACTGCGAAGAAAGAAGATAAAGCACCTTTGCCAGGTCCATTTTCATTTGGGTCGACTCCCACCCAGCCTGCCACCGAAACCAAAGCCGCTCCGGCGTTAGCGCTGGGTACGATAGCGACTGCTTCTGCACCTTCTGCACCGTCTTTTACCTTTGGTCCTTCCGGGGGGAGCAATGCAGCAGATGTCTCCAGTAAATCATTTTCATTTACGCCGACTACCCCTGTGCGACCGGCAACTCCCCCTAAGGTTGAGCAGGAGGTCAACATGGATGAGAGCCCTACGAGAGAAATGAATATCAACGGCAGCGGGAAAGTACCAGAACGGCCAACCCTGAACTTCTCATTCCCGACGCCGAGCACCACCGGGTCTGCTTTGTTTGCTCAAAGCCCTGCTACTCCGGCGCCGACGTTCAGCTTCGGAACGTCCACCGTAAACCCGTTCGCAAAGGATGCTAAAGCCGCTGATGAAAAGCCTAAAACTTCGTTTGGATTTGGACAGACAATTTCTACTGGTTTCAGCCAGAAGGCTCCTGAGAGTCCAGTGGTCAGTTCACCTGCGCCGTTCGCGTTTAGGTCAGCCATCACCGAGTGTGGCCCCTACATCACCCTTTGGATTCGGTGCGCCGTCTTCGAATCCGTTTAGCCAGGCGTCCGCGGCTGCCCCGTCCGCCCCGGCTAGTCCTTCTGTGTTCAATCGACCCGCATCCACACCAGCCTTCACGTTTGGCGGGTCTCCTGCAACTCAGCCGAGCAGTTCCCCCTTCGTATTCGGGTCCGGCAGTCAATCTGCTTCTCCGGCTAATAACAATGTGAACCTGCCGACCAGTTCAGCTGGCTCGTCCTTCATGTTCAATCCACCGAGCGGAGCCACTCCTGCACCAAATCCTTTCAATACCCCTTCTTCCGCGGCCCCTCCCTGCTGGCGGGTGGGGGGTCGTTATTTACCATCGGTGCAGCCCCTCCTCCGGAGAGCGGTGGTAGGCAGATCAAGAAACTTCCTCGCCGCGGTGGCGCGAGGCGTTAACATTTTCAGGGTTCTTTCTCCTTCTCGTTGTGGTATATTGCTTGGTTCTGAACCTTTGTTAGTCTCACCTCCCTTTTCTTTACCTTTACCCCGCACATATCTCATTGATGTCAAGCATCACCAGATTACACATACATACCTGCAATTTTGAGGCTGACGGCCTTTACATAGATCACGTCGCATATTAGTGCAATAGCGCAATCGCATCAGTTAGTTAGTTCGTAGTTCACACATCGCTAAATTCTGGTGGTATTCATACTTCCGTATCCCCCATATACGAGGAACGGTTTTGGGTTGCTCGCATTTGAGTTGTGGACGTTGAACGTTTGAACTGTGAAGCTTATCAACACAACTCGACGCGTTGTCAATTAGAGCGCGAACTTAGTGGTCGCACTCCACGATGCCTCGCGAGATCGTGACGGTCCAACTTGGACAATGTGGAAATCAGAGTACGTAGTCACTAATAGCCAGACGCTATCACATGCGCTCATCAAAACTGAGCAGTGGGAGCCGTTTACTGGCAACGCCTGTGTGCCGAACATGGCATCAACAAAGAGGGCATCCTGGAGGAATGGGCGACGGAGGGTGGCGATCGCAAGGACGTCTTTTTCTACCAGGCTGACGATGAACACTACATACCGCGCGCGATTTTGATAGACTTGGAGCCTCGCGTGTGTCACTGTGGTCATCGTCTCTGCGGTAGCAACTCTGATCAATATCATGTCCTCTATCTAGGTCATAAACAACATTCTCAGTTCCCCATGGGCAAACCTGTACAACCCAGAGAATATATTTATGTCGAAAGATGGTGGTGGTGCGGGTAACAATTGGGCACACGGATATGCGTCGGGCGAGCGACTGTACGAAGAGGTCATGGAAATGATCGACCGGGAGGCAGAAGGAAGTGATTCTCTGGAAGTCAGTAGTCCCTGTTTTCTTACCCTCCGGCTGAAAGGCTCAAGTTGACATGCGTTACTGCAGGGCTTTATGCTCATGCACTCGATAGCTGGAGGGACTGGTTCTGGCTTTGGTTCATTCGTTCTCGAACGATTGAACGACAGATTCCCAAAGAAACTCATACAAACCTACTCTGTCTTCCCAAATGCACAAGAGGGTGACGTTGTCGTGCAACCCTACAACTCGCTTGTTGACCCTCAAACGACTAACCAATCATGCTGACTCGGTCGTTGTTCTGGACAATGGCGCGTTGGCGCGGATATCTGTGGATAGACTGCATGTACAAACTCCAACGTTTGACCAAACCAATCAACTCGTTCGTCTTTTGAGGTTTCCTTTCTCTGTTGCTTTGCTTTGATACTCATTTTAGTTTTCTAGGTATCGACGGTTATGGCGGCCAGCACTCAGACTTTGCGATATCCCGGCTACATGAATAACGACCTAGTTGGGATCATTGCATCCCTAATCCCCACACCCAGATGCCACTTTTTGATGACGTCGTACACACCATTCACAAGCGACCAAATTGATAAGGTTGGTTAGGAGTGTTTTCTTTCCTACCCTCTTGTTAATCAACGCATGTCGTCTGCAGGCGAAACCGATTCGGCGAACCACAGTGCTCGATGTTATGCGCCGTCTCCTGCAACCTAAAAACCGCATGGTCTCGACAACACCGAGTAAAACCGCGTGTTACATATCGATCTTAAATATCATCCAAGGGGACGTGGACCCCACTGATGTGAGTTATTCCACGGAAACAGGCATGGTAGGTTATTAAACGAACATTTCCCAAGGTCCACCAATCGCTTCTTCGTATAAGAGAACGACAACTCGCGAATTTCATTCCTTGGGGACCGGCATCGATACAGGTAGCATTGACGCGCCGGTCTCCGTACATCACGACCAATCATCGAGTCAGTGGACTCATGCTTGCCAACCACACCAGTATCGCCTCCGTGAGTAAACATATCACCTATCCAGTGACCGGAAACATGTAACATTTGAAATTGCCTCAGCTTTTCAAACGTATGTTAGACCAGTTTGATCGCCTACGGAAGCGCAATGCCTTCCTGGAACAGTACAAGAAAGAGAAAATGTTCGAAAATGGTCTTGAAGAGTTCGATGACGCACGGTAAGAGTGTCCCTTTCAATATTTGGTTTCCCAGAACTCCATCCGACTCGCCAGTGCCACTGCGGAGGAACTACTGAAAGAGTACAAGGCATGCGAAAGTCCAGATTATATCACCTACGTAAGGACAACACTGTTTATTGACTTTCTGCCATTTTCTGACTTCGAAGACAGGGAGCTCCCGATGAGCAGGGCTCGTAATGGTGTCATACCCGTCTTCGACGTTTTTTTCATAATGTATGACTGCTCTTTGTAACACTAAAAGACCTTTGAGTACCCTTGCCATCATATGCATATGCAGTGTTGATACACAAATAGTGTTTGTTTATGCAGATTGATACAACCCACATATACAAATGATCTGAGGTGATAGCTCCGTCTGTTATGGATCTGATGCTGGTACATGTAGGGTAGTTTGTAAAATCTTCCAAAGGTTTTACAAACTGTGTTCACCTCACAATCAAACATATGACAACGGAGATGACAGTGCATCACCAAGATAAGTCAGATAGTCGGATGCTATTAGTGTGAATGTAGATGCGGTACATAAACTTTCACATTGGGTCTTCAGCGAGCACTAACTTGCTGTGTGGTTCTAAGCAGATAGCTTTCATAGAAGCCCACCCACTTGAATTCTCGTCCTTAACACCATGACCTACAAAGTGTACACGAACCATGCGCTACGATCTCCCAAACACCCAGGTTCATCATGTTTTGCCATAGAAAGCCTCGTCTCTGCCTTCGCACGGTTCTCCTGTGAGAGGTAAAACAAATTTAGAGACGAAACTACAACCAGACCAATGGAGATGGAGATGAATGTGATCGTAGCTGCGGTATATTCAGGAGCAGGTGACAGGGAGCCAAGCAACCAGGTGGCAAGAATGCCACCTAGGTTACCTGCAGCAGTGACGAAGGCAATGCTGCTTGCTCGCCGGATGTGTGGTGCACTGTTATTTGCGGCCCAAGTGAAGGCAGCTGGAGCACTTGTATACGGACCAGTCACAGAGAAGAAGAGTGAAGCATATTGGATGTGGTGGGAAGTGGTTGCTGAGTTGTCGAGTCAGCATATTGAGAGGAGTATAAAACATTTAACTATACCATAGAACATGGAAAACCCGATTATGCCCCAGATTGCGAAAAATATCACTGTAAGGCCACGGCAACCATACTGATCAGAAATGAATGCAGAAATTATAGAGGCTGTATGTTGGAAATGCATCGGCAATTAGCAACTCACGGCACTAGTTCATGCTCACCTGAGAATGCAACGGCGAAAGGGGGAACACTCATCAGCTGTGCCTGATTGCCTGTGTACCCTAAGCCAGCGACGATTGTTGGCTCAAAGCTGCGCATTTAACGTCAGGCAGACGAACACCATTAAATGCGGAAACTTACAATGCAAGCCCATACAGCAGTGTTCCTGGTTTTGATGTATACCACAGGAAGAGACCCAAATGACAACTGACGCACCGTTAAAAAATACGGCAACACAGAGCATCAAAACTTGTGGTGAATGAATTGCTCTCAGCACTTCTATCCAGCTGAAGTGATCCTCCCTGTCATCATCAGAGATAGCCCTACTACTCTTGAGTTTCGAGACAATATATGATCTTTCCTCCGAAGATAAGAAGTACGCAGTCTCTGGGGATCGAGGCAGAACAAGAAATGAGAAGATACCGAATATAAAGGTGAACAATCCCTCCTGGAAGCTCCATGGATATCGTGTTCCGTGAAATTGAAGGGCAAAACATACAAGGATGAATATCCATGCCCACCCAGGTTTCCCACCTACTCCGTTCATCTGGGTTATAGCAGTGGCTAGCAAACCAGAGAAGGCGCCCGATAATGATGCTGAGGCATAGAAAGTAGTTACCCTGGAAGGGAATGTCATCAGCTCATGAGCACTGCCATCAGGGTTATATAATCCCCAGACTAACCTGAACTGCAATCTTTCTCTGGGGTAGAAAGTAGAAAGGTAAAGGACAAGCCCTGGAAAGAGGGCACCTGTTATCGGACATGGCAGTTCATCACAGATTCGGTATCTTGTGCATTTCTGATTTTACCTTCAGTCAAGCCCAGAAAGAATCGACATAAAAGGAGTCCAGTGTAACTAGTAACAAGTCCTAGATAGAATCACAATTAAGTATAGGACAGCGGTCATCCGAATGTACCACATACCCTGCATTGTAGCAACTATACCCCACAAGGTAACCATAGTAGGTAACGTAAGATTTGGTCCGACATACTACAAATTGCAAAGGTCAGAACAATACACAATCAAAATTGTGAACTGACTTTTAAGATCAGGTTTGATGGTAACTCCATAAGAATGAAGGGGCTACGAGATTTCAATAGAAATGCAACTTCCCATGAACGTGCTTACACATAGGTGACCGTCAAAGCCATGGTGTACTGTGGACGGGATCGAACGGTCTATAGAGACATCATTTAACGTCAAAGCTTACTTGATAGTTTGAAATTTTCAGCGCTGTCTGCATACCGGCAACACGCGCATTCCCAATGTTACTCCTGTCCTGATTGTCCGGGAAGCTAAACTGAGAGGGACTTTGAAATGTACAACACGCATAGCACGACTTACGAAGAAAGAAATCAAGTGAAACGCGGTGCACATAGGAAGAACCCATCTATCAAGTTTCCTCCAGACAACACGCTCCAGGATGGCGGGGTCCTGCTCAGAGAGGTCATCCTGATCTGGTCTGTCGAGTGTGTCCATCCGCTCTGGGAATGAGAAGGGTTGTCTTCTCAGCTTCGCCTCCAGGTCAAACCTCGTATATTAATATAGCCTGTTCATTGAACGCTTGTTCGCCATACTGACATCTAACCCCATTTAACCAGTCACAAAGATCACCTTCCTTCGAATTCGGTTTCTTTGCGAGTGACATATTAGTCTAGATACCAGAACCGTCTAATGAGGCGTCAACAGCTTGCTACTCAAGCCCCATAGACAAGCTGGTATCCGGACTAATGTGCTACAGGCTTGGCCCAAAGATGTGTGCAAGTAGAAGGGACGTCGCTTGGGATTCGCATTACGTAATAAATAATCCGATAAACTTATTGATGTATGTCACAATCAAGCTTCTAGACTAATACACAGCCCTCAAACTGACAGCGGACGGCTGTGTAGGAACCTGCTTCCAGACTTGCTCTGATGGACTTACTCCAAATCCGCGAACTTCGTGACCCAGGAAAAGTCCTGCATCGTTGGGATCACTTGAGAAACACAACGCTGCTCGATATTTCACCACATATTAGTCCATGTCTGACTCTAGTATCTATGTGGCAGTCAAGGCAACAGAGTAATTGGCTGGAACGGATACCCATAAGCAACATCGCCCTTCGGGACCGGACAACTGGCTCGAGCCGATATTAGCGCGGCAGGAAAATCTCCCTCCAGGCCTGAACTAGGACAGCGTTCGAGAATAACGTTGTCGCAATAATGGCATGATATTCCAAGCAATACATTTGATGTCCGAGGTCTATGATAGTAAGGTGATGTTGTCTATCCACGGTGGTACAGACGTCATGCAGTGTCTACGGAGGGACCGACGACTTATGATTTCTTCGGCCCCTCCAGTTTCTTCCCAATTTCGGCGCCTACAGCTGCATTCAGTAAGGTGTTAACATACCAGCGATAGCTTTACCCACCACGTAGTTTCACCCCGAGCGCCCTCTCTAATTTACCGAGGATTTGGGGGTTAGGAATGGCCTTTCCGGATTCATAATCTTGAATAACTGACGGCTTCTCGTTGGTCTTCTGGGCGAGATCCTTCTGCGTCATGCTCTTTTCCATGCGCGCAGTTTGGATAGCCTATAACCGAACACCCAATTAAGAAGACGCACGGAACCATGACTCGCACCTCATACCTTGCCGACAGTGGGGTTGACCTTCGGGGGAGGTGCAACCTCGTTTTCACGGTCAAGCTTGGCTATACGTTGGTGATCCGGCCCTGGTAATCGAGTCAAGTTGATGTTAAAATACAAGGTAGCATGTACGAGCGCCACACAACGTACCAGTATGACCCTTGTTCCCACCAGCCGTCGTCTTCTTCTCCGTCGCAACCACGGCCCCAGCTCTCCTCGCCTGAAACAGACATTAGACTAGCCCGTCATACATAAAGCTTGCTACGTACAGCTGTATGAGCGCAAGGTGATTAGTACAAGTGACTCACTATCAAATATGGAACTAGTTGCTCACCGTTCAAGTCAGAAGCATTTCTAGCGACCTTTGGAGCCTTGGCCCTGAATCCAATGACGGTCTTGCTGTCCCAATCGGCGGAGCTCATCTTGAAATGCGAATGGAATACAATAATACGTCTTACACGGTGCTGGCGGTAGTTCGTAGACAGGAAACACGCAATTCACTGCCCTCTCGGCAGAGTGGCACGGCGGTTATATACTTGTCACGGCGTCACAATGTCACTCGAAGGCTGACTCAGCTGCACCACACAGAAACGAAGATTCGAGTCAACACTAGACCTATTATTATGACTTGGGACGCCCAGAGTCATTATTGCGAACGGACACCATCTGCAAGCTACCCTTTTATCGTATGAACGGACCCTGTCAGATACACTGATAACACACATGAATGTAACCAAATCGGCTGGGAATAACCCACGGGGCCACGACCCAGCTTCGGTGGAAGCTCAAGAGTCGTGACGTCTGTGGTTTGGATGGTTCTACGGGTACAGCTTTCCCGGATTGAGGAGGTTGAGCGGATCCACCGCACGTTTTACCGTTTTCATCAGTTCAACCGTGCCTTCCCCTAGCTCTTCTACAAGGTACTCAGTTTTCCCAATCCCGACGCCATGTTCACCGCTGCCTGGGATCTAACGTTGACCAACGTTACAAGGGTAGAAGGATAGCCGGACTTACAAGTACCGTCCATGGCAATCGCACGATGGACCAATCTGTGGACCGCTGCATTCACTACCTCTAGCTCTTTCTCGTCTGAGAAAACAATAAGGGCGTGAAAGTTTCCTGGAAAACCGTTCATAAAACGGAATGAGATATAAACACTAGCCGCAAAGAACTAAAAATCACCGTCCCCAACATGGCCCACAATGGTATACTTGAGGCCAGCCTTCGCTAGATCCGCTTTCGTCTCATAGACCAACTGTGGAAGCTTGGACGTCGGCACGCTGTCTTGGCGTTAAATGGCATGGTCAAACGGAGTAAAGATCAGACCTACCATACGTCCGTGGTCCAACACTTGGTACCGGGATGCGCACCCAAAGTCGACATCAATGCATACTTCCTATTCTGCCAAATCTCCTCGGCTTCTTCGTCCGTCGATGCAAACTCAAAGCGGCTGCTCCCATACTTGTTTGCTATTTCTTGAACAGCTCTAGAGGTCTCCATGATGGATTCAGGGGATCCCTGAAGCTTAAAGAATAGAGTATCCTGTACAAGGTAGGGACGATCAACGAGACCCGCGGCATTGATGGCAGACATCACTACATAGCTCTGGGACTGAACGAAACAGGTCAAGACCGCTCAAACTTACTGTTATCATCGAGAAGCTCAGCACACTCTATGAGTAACACTCAAGCGTTGAACGCTATAGAGACAAAGTGAACGCACGTATATGAGGACCGTAGGGTGTTTTTAATATATCATTTACGGCGTTGACCGCCATCTCCACGTTGGGGAACTGTGCCATTGCAACTTTCGTCGGGACTCGAGTTGTGAGGCGCAGGGTAGCTTTATGGCGCGTCAAGAAAGCTTTTCCAATAACACGAATAGTTTCCTTACCTTCGGTAATAATTCCCAATGTCCCTTCTGCGCCTATGAAGAGTTTAGTGGTGTCAAATCCAGCCGCGGACTTGCGAGCCCTTCTGCGTGTTTTGATGACTTTCCCAGAAGGAAGGACGACGGTCTAATAAAACGAGTTGTGTGGGATACAACACATCGAACGGCAACCACACGCACGAGATTGAGGAACCATTCCGCCTTCGCGGTTCCATATCTGACAGCATTCGCTACGAAGCTCAGAACACACCGTTACCGAATGAGATGTCCCTTACTCCCAGAACAGCCGGTCCCAACCATGCCGCCTATGGTCTTAGAAACTGTTCAGACTGCATGCAAGCATCGACATGAAAACTCACAGCACCAGGACCGGGATCGAGCTGACCCGAAGCTGAGTCCAAGCTGCTATGCTCATCGGGAAGGTCCACCTACCGGAAAGAACAGCGGGATACCCTTTTCTGTAAGCGTGCTGTTTATGTCCTCCCACCGAGCCCCAGCCTGACACGTTAAATCCCCGTCGGCCTCTGGATACCCCTAAGATAAAAGGAATGTAAGAAACAGTCCCAGGCACACGCACCGTTAATCTCAAGTATTTTATCCATTGTCGACATGTCGAGGCATATACTACCCGAGGAATGCTACTTGAATGAGATACTGCAGCAGCATCCGTAATGAAGATATATCGTACTCACTCCATTGAAATGACCCTCCAGGCTCGTGGCACCACTGTACGGAATAATAGGTACTCTGTACTTGCGCGAAATGTTAACGACTTTGACAACGTCCTCTGTACTGCTCGCTTGTACCACGACCGAGTGTGGGGAGGATGGGTGGTAGGAATTCTCCGAGGACCCATGTAAGTGGAGCACGTCAGGATCAGTGCTGACACGAGATTGGGGGAAGGTTTGTCGCAGCTCTTCGATTGCTTTCTTGATGTCTTGAGGCGTGCCGTATGTAAACGATTTGCACTCGCTAGGCACATTCGATGCGTTCAATGAGGAACTCAAATCTGAATCCGTAACCGCAGGTCCCGAAGTGTGGACGGAGGAAACAATGTGTGTATCGCCAGTATCCGCCCTTCTGCTAACGCCTTTCTGCAATGCATAGCAACCCAAAACACCTAGTGCAAACGAGACTATTGCGACCTTTCTAAACTGGTTAGCGCGTTCTGACGCGGAGCCCGTCCACGTTGATGTTGAATAAGGTCTCGGGAGCAGGATGTCCAATCTGGGACGGGATGGTCGGAAAAACTTGGCGCTGGACCGCCTCCAGGTCCATGACAAGAAAGGGCTCGTCCGACTTGGAAGTGTCATTGTCGTGGTTGTCGTCGAAGGCAGTGGTCATCTTCGGATCGTACATAAATACCCAGGCAGTCAGCGACCATGGCAGTGAGAACTAGTGCCCGGTACGGTTAAGTGTATGTACATACGACTACTTTACCGAAAACGCGATTCACTTTGTTCCCTCCACAGTGGGCTTGTACAAGAATGCAGCTTGTCGGTGCCCTCCAGTTGCCTGGAAAAGCGACAAAGGAAATGCCCTGTCAGATACCTAGTTCCCAAAAGGCCGACCGAAAACTCAGAAGATAATCGTTCCCTCTCAGATACCCATAATGCAGTTCAATGTATCATAGATCTTGCAGAAGAATGACGAAATTGTTTCTTGAGCTCCCTTGTCTGCAGGCAGATCTTTTACGAAAAGGGCTAAAATCAGAACATGTATCTCGCTCCACTTTCCTGTACAGCCAATAGGCCATTTTCCCTCCTTGTTTCCATTTCTTCTCAACCTCACAGAATCCGATCGTGGTCATGAGTGAGCTGAGGTGCTCGAAGGTAAGGTAGCGAGAATTTTCGACGCATGGTAGAGGCAACTGCTCGCGGTGTGGGGGTCATCCATCTAGAATAGATGACGCGGACGACAACTTACAACTAGGAACAGTAAGCCCGATTCACGGAGGAAAGTGTGAGCAAGGCAGAGCATCCGACCTGAGTTAGCGAATTGAGACCTGCGAATTCTATACCCATGCGATACACAGACGTATGTACCTCTGTCCCGCGGCTCAGGAACAAAATTGATAACCAAACTGAGACTGAGGATGTCCCACTTTTCCCGGTTCTCGTCCACTTCCATCAGCAGGAAGTCTTGTTCGCGTATAGCTGGGTGTCGGCTTCTGAGATCGATTGGAGTCGCGTCTATCCACGATGAACACGAAGCATAGTTGTCCGGCTTGAGCGCGCCAACCTCGAGCAAGCTGGGCGATAATGATATGTAACGACGTGAGCCGTCCAATGGCGTCGACGGGACAGGCTAACCTACCCCAATTTCGACATGTTATCCCTCGTTGAGAAACCCATGTTCACAAGCCAGTTAATCAAGACTCTTTCGCTTCCTCCTCCTCGATCGGTACCTTGGCCAACACTCGACATGCGCTGATACGCAGCCAATCCCCCCATGATCGCAATCTCTTCATTGATTTTCTTCAGTTCTGCTGCATTCGAGGTGGTCGCAGGGTTGTTTTCCAACTGTCCTTGTCTCTTCAGTAGTACGTGGAAGCGTCGAATTACGGTTCGTGTAGTGTGCGGATTGCTGCTGGCCGGGGACGCGATGTCTCTCCCATCAGAAGTTACGGGCACCTTTTTCTTGCGCGCCTTAGGCATGCCGGGCCCATGAGACTCACGCTTGACCCAGACTCAGGACTAGAGAGACGTGCGAACTTTTCGCAAACCCCAGGCCAATGAACTTAGCATGGAACGTGGAATTGCCTTGTTTGAAACACAACTGCTACCGTAATTGCCCGCTATGGAGACAAGACATGAAAATATAACAAATACAGTAAGATACAATGCAGATGAACATTCCATTTCCTTAACAAAAGCAACGAGAGCTGAAGTAAGATAGCCCTTCCCATGGTGTAAACTAAGAATGTCGAAGGTGGAGCAACCAGGCTCAACGAAATTTGAACGAATTGACTCATACAAAACGACTTGCGCGTTTGGTGTCTATCTTTTCGAATCTCTCAAATTCTTGTCTCTGTGGTTGTGATGAGCATGGTAAACAAAACTGAAGAAACGTGACTAAATTAAGCTGACCTGTTTGATGATGCACATGCTAGAGAGGAAGAGTCCGATAACAATTGCCATGAAACCATAGATAGTACTGCACTTTTCGATGAGCAGATTATCAATAAACTATAAGATGAGTATCACCTGAAGACGTTGTTCAGTGTCTTGTCCACATGCTGGACGATCGGAGTCACGCAAAAACTATTAGCAGCAATTGCTGCGGCCTGATCAGGGCAGAAATTGCCACCGAAGGCAACTTCATCCGTCGGATTGAAATACCCGCAGCACATCAGCTGTTGGCTGTCAGACGGATCAAATGAATCCAGCTTCGGTGAAACAACATACCGAATCCTGGACCATAATCTTCGTCGCATCACTCTGCCGCCCGAAAACTGCATGATAGTTGTTGCGTTCATGCAGCGTGTATATCCAGATGAACGTGGCAACAAAAAGGATGGCGACACCATCCAACAATAGTAACCAGTTGAGGAAAACGAGTGGCCGTTTTCCACGTGGGATAATCAGAACGATGGACAGTACAGATGTCACCAGTAAAATAATGCCCAGAACGCTGCCCGCTGACGTTTTTAAAGCGACGTGAGATAGTGAGAACTAATAACGTAGGTTACTTACCAGTGAGATCAAAGGTACTGAAGGTGAGGTTGCGAAGGAGATTGGGTTGACGCCAGACAAGGGAAAGAACGAGAGTTAGGATGCCTGCACCCATCAAGCAGAATGTGAAAAATGCCCATGCGGCAATAAGGTGTTTGGGCAACATGGTGAACGAAGGCGGCATCGTAGAGAAGGGCAGGACCGGCGTGCGTTGAAGATTAAAGATTGGTGTAATATTGATACTCTCGCGGAGAGTAAGAACCAAAGCACCCGGCTGAAGCTCGCTAGGAGTCGAGGGAGACGGTCAACGTCGATGGGCTGCCCTGCAGTTGAGGAGAGTATTTATATAATATATATATATATATTTGTTGTTCGGTAGTAATCGAAGGAATGGGTGGGGCACTGTCAGTGCAGTGCTTCGCGTTGAGGGCGATGCTGTTCCGAGACCAGATGTGAATGAGTGATGGAAGTGAGATGCGATCGTGCGGAGAGGAAGGAATGAGCGACTGAGTCGAACGCGACCACTAAAAACAAGTAGCACGGTACATGTGAGCCCTTTAGCATAAAAATCTTATCAGTTGTCTTTTGTTTGCGTCGCCGCAGCAACACTCACGGCGAGTCTTAGTTCGTACACAAGAGCTGGTGAGTGTGTTAATGCATGCCGACTTCTACGGATAAAGCAGCCGCTTATTCTAGAGTTTCATCACAGTTTGGAGCGCCCTGCCATCTCTAAACCGTACTTCACCTTCATCACCGGTTTTTGACGATCAGTTCAAACCATGCATCCATCGGTGTTAGGGGGCGCGTCTCTGCTCATAGCCTGGCAACTGAAAGATAAACATGTTCTCATCGTTGGCGGGGGAGATGTCGCATCCGGCCGCATCGAGTCCGTTCTCGCCGCTGACGCGCGCGTGACGATAATATCCCCAAGTTCCGGCTTGCATCCACTTGCCAAGCAATACATCGAGGGTTCTTACCCTATAACATACCATGACCGCACTTTCGGAGGTGCAGAAGACTTGTCTGGCGTTGATATGGTCCTGACTGCAATTGACGACGTGTCTCAATCTCGTACTATCTGTGCTCTGTGTCGGGACCTCAAGATCCCGGTTAACGTCGCTGATATCCCTGATTCGTGCGACTTTTTCTTCGGATCCCAGATTCGCGATGGTCCTTTGCAAATATTGGTATCTACTAATGGACAGAGCCCCAAACTCGCAAATATCATCAAGAGAAAAATTGAAAAACATCTGCCGGAGCACGCCGGAAATGCGATAGCAGCCGTGGGAAGATTGAGGACGTTGCTCAAAGAACGAGCGCCAGGCGTAGGAGGAGAGGTAAGCAAACGTAGGATGAAGTGGATGGTTGATGTATGCAACTCGTGGGACATGGAAGAGCTTGCGCAGTTGGACGAGCAGACGATGAAGAAACTACTTGATGCAGGTTGGGAGAACGGGACTGTACCAAATCCCAGAGATCTCGGCATGCGGTGGAAGTGGCCCACCAACGTCTCTACTGCGGTCAACGCTGCGGTGCCTGCCCTGACCTTCGTGGCAGGTGCTGCTTGCGCTAGCATGTTGCTCTTGTCGCGGCTGTCCCGCTCCCGCTGATTTATTTCTATTCTTTTAAACTATTGGCCCGATTTTCTTTGGTGGGTAATCTCTTGATGGCTTCGTCCTGTGACCGAGAAAACTCAATTTGGCTCCGCAGTCTTCTGTGGGAACGGATGTTTGTAAGACTAGAGAAATTTTCCTTGTTCCTTATCCGCAGTATGACACTTCCTGTCTGTGAATGGTGAACATTCAGAATGTTACCTCAGTCATGGTGAGTTTTTAAGCATCCAGTGTAGCCATATGAATCAGGTAGAGCCAATGTGCGTGATACGTGCCCCTACAACCCGCGTGATTGTGTCAAAGCGAACGCTTTGGGTTTTGACCAACCCCTGGACTTTCGTGAACAGCGTTCTCGTTCTACAGCCTAACGTGTTCCGTTGACTCTTACGCTAGTGGACTAACCTTGCCTTGAATCACTCCCGTTTTGCATCGTTCCTCGATTCACGGAAAGAGCAGTAGGTTGGTTCACATCGACAGGTATCTGTGCATCAGACAACTAGATAAGAGGACAGTCCTTTGGATAACTTGGAACTTATGCAATTAAGGCGTCAAAAAGACGGCCCAAAGCTATTAAGAATTGGCGTTCGCCGAAAGGTGCGATTCGTAATTACATATTTCTTTGCAGTGGAGCTTAGCCCCCGTACGATCTCAGCCCACGCAGCGTCTGGTTAATTAATTGTCTGATATGCAATCAGCGGGGGGGATGGTCATTTTGGTTCCTGTCAATGTCGCAAGTGGAGGAGATGAAAAAGCAGTACAAACCGTTACAGGCCCAAACAGACCCGCGGCTAATGATTTAACATGGTGGCGACGATGCGCTTAGCCGAGCGCAGTAGTTTCATGCGCCATCACATGCAATATGCCCGCACAGGTACTGTTCCGTAAACAAGATGTAGTTAGGGGCATATGACATAAACCAGCGGTCGATCCGCGGAGGCTCCCACTCACAGTCACTACGTGACCAAGTTGATCGATATCGTTCGGGTATCAGTTTCATTCACTGACATTCAGAATGATCCCAGCACATACTATCACCCAAAGTGCCAGCCGAACCGTGACCAGGTTGCCCATTGTGCATTGGAACGATGTTTATCGTGTGACTCCCAAGAAAGTTTCCGCGGGCTCTACGGGAACCATCGATGTTACCCGATTCGCTTCATTATTAGACGACATACGTAGTCAATGGACCGCTCGATCTGACGGTGCACACGATGGCCTTTCTCTCTTTTCGGGGGACCTTTTTTCGCCGTCCGTGGAGAGTACCGTCACCAGAGGGAGTCATATGGTGCGTCGAGCGCAGATCGCTCCAGTCCTTAGTTGCACAGCGTCATACCTAGGTTCCCGTAATAAATGAACTGGCGCCAGATGTAGCTTTGACAGGTCAGTCATCTATTACACCTCGCGATTGGCGGTGATCATATTGGATTTGCGTAGGAAATCACGACTTCGATTTCGGTTTGAATTCCGACGCAACCCCTGAGGATTTGTACTAACATGCATCAGGTTACCCTCATCTGTCAAAACTCGTCCAAGACACTCGATTTGTGGGTATACATTCCATCACAGATAGGTTCTTTCCAATATTTACCAGCCCTGGTTATTGAGTAACGTCATCGACGAAGACACGGGCCGCGTGCCTGAACATTTGCAGCAACTTCAAGTGGTCGAGCGAGTGGGTCTACGAATCGGGATAATTGGTCTCGTAGAGGAGTTCGAGTGTCTATCTTCTTCAGAACGCGCTGGACTGAATTTATGGTCGGCAGGGATTGGATCACCACAGTACCTTCGTGGCCTCGCAATTTCAAGTTCAGGAGTATGGTAGAAACTGGCTTAGAGCTGTCGGAAATTCTTCGCAAACCCGACGGCGAATATAGATGTGATCTGATCATTGCATTGACTCATTCCCGGTAAGCAGCGCACACGATGTAACTTGATCTCCCTTGCTTTCTCAAACTCAGCTCCACGCAGTCTTCCCAATGTAATGAACGATTTTTTATTTATTTGTTGGAACTGGCTCATCCCTGCGTAGGATATCCAACTTGCCAAGGATTTATTTGCCTTATCACCGTCCGCTCGGGATACATCGCCAATTTTCTCCTCCCACGGTGTAGATCTTATTTTGGGTGGCCATGACCACGCGTACTTCGCGTCGAAAGGGGTGTCATCTTGGGAAGGATACGACACTAAGAGCGAAGCTATTGGTGCTAAAAATGACCATGGTGATGTGTTGGTAGTGAAGAGTGGAACTGACTTTAGAGATCTGAGCAAGCTTATACTTGAGCTCGAAGATGCCCCCGAAGGTAGTATCAGACGCCAGGTGATCAAAGGCATACACGGTCAGTACGCACGCCCTCCTTTTTTGCTAGCATTAAAAAATGTCCTTATACAGGGAAGCGTCATGCAGTTACACCGGACATCCCTTCGTCCGAAAAGCTGCAGAAAATTGTTAGCTCGGTTCTCTCGTCTGTATCAGGAACATTGAACGCCCCGGTGTGTGTGACCGAAGTGAAGTTGGATCTACGGTCTCAATTACTAAGAACCAATGAAGTAATGGGGCTTTTACTATCATGGCTGAAAAACTCAAGATCTACAGACAGCAGCAGCGAATTGGTTTGCAGACGTCCTAAGGCACGCGTACGACGACGCATTGTGCACTAAAGTTGGCAGTGGATCAGACGGCGTCCTCATCAGTGCAGGAACTTTACGAGGCGATTCGGTCTACCCCGCTGGTTAGTCCCCAGTCATGATCTGTGGACCGGCTGATGTCATGATTCAGGTGAAATTACCCTTGGGAACATTCTTGAGATATTGCCTTTCGAAGACCCAGTGGTGGTGATTGAGCTAGATGGCCAAGGCTTGTGGGATGTACTAGAGGTGGCTTTATCTAAATTTCCTGCCCAGGAAGGGTCCGTGGCTTGACTTCACGCGGGAAATGAACTGACACCACTATACCAGGCGCTTCCCGGTAATATCTGGTTTCCGGGTGACCTGGGATTCTCGCCTTCCACCTGGCCGACGCGTGTTGGGCATATGGTTGGTACAGGAAGCGCCCGGCTTCGGAAGTAACGGCAGTGAGATACCTGTTCTCGTAGACGGGGAAGAAGTCAAGCGGAACAAGACGGGGAAAGCATACAAGATTGTGACCAGGCAGTATATGACCGAAGGGCATGACGGATTCACGCCACTTGTCGGACGTAAATACCTGGTCGACGACGAAAATGGACAACTCATGAGCGCGCTCGTGAGGAAATATCTCCTTGGTATGCAGCCATGTCACCAATTGAGCTTTAACCTGGCGCTCATAATGTTGCAGGCTGTCGCTTTGTGAACAGTATTCTGTCTCGCCAGAGCTTGAAAGGGAGCCTTCTGCATGAAGGAACCCCTAGCATCATTGCACGGGAAGTCAAGCATCGTAGGTGGAATGCGGGTGATAGGAAGGCGGAGACTACCGGCAGATGGCAAAATGCAATAGCTGCTGCGCGCCGTCTGCGCTCCAAAGCTCACTATTTGGATCACATTAATGTGAGCGCAAGAGAGGACATGAGCAGCGTGGACTGTTTCGATGGAAAGACAGCCCGTCGTGGGGGAGGAACAGCCGTTCAAGTGGAGTTGAACGATTTTCACCAGGATCTGCCGGTGATTCACCCAGAAGTGGATGGCAGATTAAAAGATGTGGGTAGAATGGAGACATGATACTAGGGACTATTAGACCTATCACAGCTGAGATTGTGCAGGTACGTAGAGTCATGAGGAAACTGGGATTTCGGGGATTTGAATTTTGGGTGCTCAGTCTCCAGTCAAGTTGCGCGCATGATGTGTGACGAGACCTGAGGCAGTACCAATACCAGCACCGCCTAGTACCACTTTTCAGATAGTTCTGTAAGTGGACGCGATCCACGGGAACCAGTGAGACACTGACAATTGATTGTACTTGCCCGCCTCCACAATACAGCGGGTGTTAATACAGCAAATAACAATGCGCCAATCGTGGCACGGTCATCAGCTCGCAATGAAGAAGCCTGGAAAAACCATAAGGGCATGTGTATGATGGACCGAGTGCACGTCTCATACATCATACGCATCCAGGAGCCGTCTCCTTCTGATAGTAACCTCATCGGCATATGCAGACCGAACATACTCAAATGCACCTCCTCCCACGCAACCTTTTGCTGCTTGAGATCAAAAAATGTACAAGAAATGTGGACATCTACCTATAGTTCCTCCAACCCAAGTTGCACGTAAGAAACGGTTCATTGTGAAATGACCCCGGCCTTTGCGCGCCAAAATGAAAGTGGTGTACGCTGGGGGCGTAAGTAAGGAGAATAATTCATACCCTTTTGTCATTGACCGTCGCACGAGGACCTCCACGTCTGCATTGCGCACAAATTGACTTTCTTCCTTTCGGGTTAGGTCCATTGTTGAACGGATTTGTGAATGCTTATGGATTGGTAGTCTGCTTGGTGAGGTATTTGAAGCGGAGACTCAAAAGAAAGTGTAGGAACGCGACTAGTGATTAGTTTTGTTGGATAGCGCTAGTTCATACGGGTCCTTTCTATGCATATTTTGGATGGCAGCGAGCGAAAATCTTCGAGCTTCCTTAGCTTTACCCACCATATCAGGCTGGCCAAATTTGAAAACCCCAGGCGAAGCCCGTAAAAAATTGTTTGTTCGTACCATTCAATGAGATGGGGATGTAAGCAATGCGATCTCAGCGAACAAGGAACTTCTCCCATTGGCATTTAGCCAGGGCCTTGAATGTGATCATACTCTAGAAAATAACCCTTCTATAATCTGGTGTCTAGTGTCTCCATACCTTCACCCAACCGATGATTGTAGCCCGCAACCGTGACGCAATTTAGCACCTTAATAGTCTCTACTTTCGGCCATTAACCAGCAACCACCGCATCACTTGGCTTTCGTGTGACGGGATAAAAGGTAGGACACATCCCAGTCACGGCAATGCAAGGAATAGTCATGGTATTAAGCGTGGATAGACATATGCATTCCCACCTCTGATTGATGTGCTGGTACGCTGCAAAGGCTTCTGCGATAACTTCTGGTTCATGATCGGAAGTATTGAAAACCATTTTGTCCGCTCATAAAACGAGTGAGATCGTCGATCGTCCATCCAACAGGCACACATCTATCTCTACCACGTTGTTGATATCGCCACAGATAGAGAGTGGGTTAATGTGACTACGTTCTTCGAAGCCTAGAGAAGCTCACGAGCGAAGTCATCGATGGCAGTCTCCTGACCAGCGTTGGTAGCGAGGCCAAATAACCGAGGGGACATCCGACACATTAGTAGTATTGTCAGGTGGGGAGTTGATGAACACGGGATCTGTCTTTGATAGCTCAGCTCCCTGCAGAAAAAACGCCTGTGGAGGATTGGGGGTAACAGTCGTGTGATAAGACATCAGCTCGCGACAACGCTAGCCGCTGCCCGACTTTGCGAAACGATAAAGGTTGGCCATGAAGTCGCAGTATTTCCTAGGATTTCAACAACGAAAAGAACATAGGTGTACTCTTCCTGGATGCCAGAGAGAGCGAGAATAGCTTACATAATGACCAAGCATGGCTCGCACGGACCATGTACCTGCCCTAAAGCACCCAAAGACACCGACCCCCCAGCCCCACTCTGCATTCTTTCTCAGGACCTCAGACATTATTTGCAGCTGCGATGTCAACTTCGTCGATATTCGAGTCTTACGATGCACAAATGATTGACTTTCCACATGATCTTGACGTTCCTATGAACCCATCCTCTTCGGAGATATTTCCAGAGGCTTCGATGGACCATGATCCAGTCGGGGAAGGCAGCATAGAAGTGGACATGGAGGAGTACGGTGGGGATCACCCAGAATACGAAATGGCCGATGGAATGGAAATTTTGGTTACAGGCGATATAGGAGAGTCGTTTGATGTCGAGGTCTTTGACGTCTCTCGTGCCGACACCCCACTTCCTGCCTTCGAACAACAACCGTCGCTACATCTGGCGGGCGGTGTATCCATTGGGTCTGATCTTTATCATTCTGCAGCAGAAGACATGCCAAAACAATCTTCGCATTCCACTGCGCCTTCGGCAATTGAACACAGTGGAGATGTCCCCTCAGAGCAACCCGAGCACGGAGTACATGATGTGCCCCAGTCGGAACTATTACCTCTGCAAGAAACTTCCACAAATACGCAACTGAATCGTGTTGGACGCACCGCTTCTGACGTTGTCGGGGAATCTTATCCTCATTTAGAGGCTTCACAAAGCCTCTCGCACAATGGGGCCCTTAATGTTGATTCGGATAGAGACGGGGAACTTCACGGAAAGTCTAGTTCGGGAATCGCAGACCTACCACAGGTATCCGAAGAATCTAATCCTGGGTATGAGGTACTACCGACCGCAGTACCTGTTCCTTTATCCGATGGTGATTACACCCCTCTCCATTCGGAAGTCGTAGCCGACGGCGACCATAATGAATCATTGGCCCAGGAGGGCGGTCACGATCCTCCCAGTGCAGACCTTCCACCTGATTATGCAGAACGCGCTACTCACTCTGTGGGTAACGTTTCGGAGGATGTTGGCGTCAGCCATCTTACTGCAGAAAAGCAGGGAGGGGAGGTTGATGACACCCTTAAAATATCTGAGGGTGTCTATATTGACCCACCTCCAGCGGTTCTGTTGTCGGTCGAGTCTTCCGTTGAGGCACTCTTCTGTTTGTTCAATCAGCCGATCGCGGAAGTTAGTTCGCAAAGCCCCCCGCATGAGAGTCGAGAGGGCGCAGTCGGCAGCTACCACCTACTCCTGGAGAGCAGCCCGACCTTGTACTACGAGCCCATAAGTAACGTATTCGATGCTCTTCGTCAAGATGAAGAGTTTCTCTCCTCCATCCCCAATAGTTTTGAAGGTGAACTGGTCTTTGACGCCTACGACTTGCAGTTAACTATTTCTGAGGTCAGTTGCGTTGCATGTTCATCGTTCGCTTGCTGACCTACCGGCCCTTCAGGATAACATTCACGCGCGCGAATTTAGTTTACATGACCTGAACGTTTTATACGATGGATCTGACTTTGCAGGACCCTTACGACTGCGGCTTACTGCGACTATTCCTCGGTTCATTTTCCGTTACTATGCTCTCCAAGAACAGATCCAAAGATTGGACTTGGCTGTTAGGGCCGCTAGTGATAAACAGCACAACGGTTAGTGTGTCTGCTTCCACTTTTACTTAACTCAACTCCTTCAACAGATCAAGAAGACACAAAGGCTAGCGACCAGCAGCAAAGTCACGGCGCTCAAAATCACGAAGAAGCGACCATACATCCTGTCGATAGCACCGGCGAATCGGCCGATGAACCTCCTGTTGCTCCCGAAGGTACTGATGGTCAGCAGGAGGGACCTCTGTTATCAGAAGGAGGTGCCGAACTTTTTGTCCCACAATCAGAGGAGGACGTTGATCATCACGCGGTGCCTACTAACGATGCGCAAGTACTGGAAGAGGAAGGCAACTATGAAAACTCCAATCGTGGAGTTGAAGACGCTACCACTGAAGGCATACTAGATGCAGATCAAATACATGAATCGGCCGATACAGAAGCTACAGTCTCCCCTGTGGATTTCAGACTTGGTGGCGAGCAAACGAATTATGAAGAATATCTTCTTCCTGAAGAATACAACGAGCGAGAAGAAGAGGATCTAGACGAAGCTGAAGGTGACTCTCAGTTTGGCGATTCAACACAGTATGAAGTCGGAGAGGATGCGGCTGATGCCCTTGATGCTTCTGCAGGTGTTCACGAAGTCGGGGCCACTACCGATGACTCCGATCCAGGGGCAGTGATGCCCCAAGCGCTCCGTCGTTCATCTTCTTCCGAGAGCTCACCCGAGGAGCCATCTAACTTGGAAGAGCCACAGATTCCGACTTCTAGTATGCCCAATCACTCCCCCTGCTGTTTCAGTTGTGAACGTTCATTTGATAACGCAGCAACCGATGATACACTACCCACAGAAATTGAGGAAAATCACGGGAATAATGAAGCTTGCCACCATTCTGAGAAGGGTATGTACTCCTCTCCTCGTCGCACAAAGTTGGACTGATAAATGACATAGACCCTCATGAGAACGCCACATCACGTTCGCATTCCACCCCCACCGAACGAGGTCATCAACCTGATCTTTACCTTGACGACCATGACCACAAAACTGGTACGTGAGATGTCGCTGGCTACCGATACACAAACCAAGTTTATCCGCTTAGGTGACTACATTGGCCGGCTATCTGATATAAATTCCTGTCAGGCTGACGGGGATGAGTGGGGATGGGTCGATGCCGATGGTGAGGACGACGATGAGTACTGGGCTGAGCAGGATGCTGTTTCAGACAAGAGTACTGCCACGCTTTCCAGCCAACTCTCTTGTAAGAGGGGTTTTGATGAGGTTGATGAAGACCTGGGGCACCCACCTCCTAGCACACCAGGTCAGTACTGGTTATATTAAACCGCACCGGCCTTCGCTGACATCTGTTGACATCTTAGAACCAAAAAGAGCTCGAGTTGAGTGAGGTCAACACTCATCCGGCCAGATGACGTTGCTGGCTGCATCCAGTACTTTAAGTTATTCCCGCACACTCGCTCATCAACATCGACCTTACCCTACGTCATCCAATGCCCCGCGCTTTCAAAGGCTAAGTTCGAATTTCTTATCGTATCCATTTCATTACTGTTTCTTTTGGTATGGTATTGCACTAACATTTTCAGCACGATGAATCTACAAGATGGGCGATAATTGGGTAGCGGGAGAACATCAACTAGACGGCGGCTGGGTAGAATGAGTCCTGGCGTATCGATGCATACTTTCGTAGCCTAGTTGGTTGTATTACTGCTGAAATTCAGTTCTCTTTCGCTGCCCTACGTAGTTCTCTGTGAATTGGGAACTTTGTGATGGCAGTAGCAAGCCAATCGGCTGAAAGCTGTTGACAGAATTTAGAAAGGAGACGCTACGTAGACTATCATGCTATCTTTCACGCTACTTCCGCTGTTGCAGTAATCCCATGGCCGATGCTGAAACGGTTCGTTTGTGCACCCAGGTGGTTCATTCACACTTCGGTCCACTTACAACAGTAAGTATACAGGAGTCGTAGCAAACGTATTCCCCAGTCTCATTTCCACAGAATATTGCTACAGCCCTGCTTCATCGTGGACGACTATCATTCCCGCAACTTTTACGATATACTAGATTAAAACCAAGGACCGTGCGCGCCGCTATCCTTGTATTAGTGCAACATAACCTTCTCTGGCACGCGCAAACGGAGGAGGAAGGTGGGGTACTAGAATTCAACACCACGGAATGCCTCAAGCGAATGAGATTTGGACGGTATGTTTGGTTAGTGGAAAACATGTTCGGGAACGCAGTGCGTATGCAGCTCCTTGTCTTATCATTCCAGCTTTACGTGTGCGCATTGCCTTACAGGCCGCCGAGATCGTGCAACTTGTACTAGACCATGGAAAACTTCGCCCACTGGATATAATATCACAACTCTCGATATATGACCCTAAAAGTTCGTTTGGCTCTCTCCTACCCTTCAAGCACATCCTAATGACTAGTTTCAGATACCAGCGTGTATTCCCAGGCCTTGTATAAGTTAGTATCTGAATCATACTTGAAACCATCGACATTGCTTTCCCACCAGTCGCCGCGGGATAAGCGTATAAAATACGAAGCCGAGGAGAGGGCTAAACTGACCGGGTTCCCGACTGCACGGGAACTGCGTGAGGCCAAGGAGGTGGCGGAAGCCCGTTTGAAAAGGGAGGAAGAGGAGGCAGAAAGAGTCGGTCTGGTATGTTAAATGCTTTGCGTGTTACTCTTGACCTTGCGTTGACCATTCAGCGACCATAAGAAACCAAAGCCAAAAGACCAATTGAACCATCGGTCTTCAAAAGTGAGATTCTTAACTGTCTTGATGGTAGTGCATCTTTAACAGACGCTTGCATGATGGCGCAGAAAAAGGTTGCAGAGGAAGTGGTAGACGTAAGCCCCACTTTATTGCTCACCGAACAGTGTAACTTATCGATGAAAGGATGACGTCTACTTTCGAGTCAACTTGGATAAATTCGATGTCCATATCCGCAATAAGGTTTGCATAACCGATTCTGCGTACTCTCTGAAGCTGACAGTAATCCAGCTCATTGAAACAGCCGTCGAAGAACGGTTCAATCGCTATGCCGTTGTTGTCATGAGAGCTACCCTAAAAGCTACTGAATCTAAGCAAAAATCGCTATCTGATGCTCGTTCGGGTATTACTTTCTCGCTACTTGAACCAGCGACTTTGTTTAACGAGGAATAGACCCTTGCTCCACCAATGCCATCGTCATGCACATACCCGACGATGAGGACCTCTCTGCAGGTCTCGCATCAAATTCGAAAAAGCCTTCCAATGCCTCTCTAGTCAGGCAATACTTAGGATTGATGGCGAGCGCTGACAACCCTACCCCCGCCGGTCGTGCTGCATCGTTCCTATCTCACTCTGACAACAAAGTTTATGTGGAGTTCGATATTATCAGCCGGCGACTCCGTAGACGTGTGTTGGAGTCTGTGGCTCGAGAGCGACACGGCGAGGATGCTGTGAGGATTATTCGATTGTTACTAGACGTTGGTAAGATGGACGAGAAACAGGTGCGTCGTCGATTGTGCTAGTACAACGAAGAAATGCTGGACGAGGCGTTTGTGGTCTAGGTAGCAAAGGTGGCCATGATGGCTAACAAGGATGTTAGGCCGTTGTTATCCGCGATGTCATCTGACTGCTTGATTTCTACCCAAGAGATCGCTAAAAGCACAGACCATAATCCGACACGGACGTTCTATCTTTGGTAGGCGACCTCGTTTCACGCCATCACTGTAGCACATTGACTTCCCCTCTCCTAGGCACGTTGACCTCGACAGAGCATACTCAACATTACTCAGTAGTCTCTACAAAACCCTGTTCAATATAAGTGCACGACGACAAGCGGAGCAGGAAGAGCCTGAGATCAGGGCGGTCCTGGCCAAATGCGAGCGTACGGATGTTGCCCAAGATGAGAAGCTGTTGACTCGGAGGGAACGAGAGTTACTGTCGGAGTGGAAGAGGAGGAGAGAGAAGTTGAGCGTATTAGAGATGAGAGTTGAAGAGGCTGTCTTCATCCTCAGAGACTTTGCTCCAGGAAGAAATAGTGATGAATGATGATAATGAAAGTATTCGAAGTTGATCTTCCCCTGAGACAACGACTCGAAGTGTCCACAACTGCATTACGTTACTGTACTCTTCATCGTGTCAGGGGCTGGACAGCCTTGAGGTTGTCCGAGGACACGGTAGACGCTGCTGCGCAGGATACTCTCATGACGACACGCCTCGACCCCCAAGTATCGGTTCACCTACATTTTCCACAGCAAGAGGCTCCTCCTCACCCTGGGCCTGGCTGGACAGCGCTTCGTCTGCATATCCGACACCCACTCGGGTATCTTTCGACTGCCCCCTGGTGATGTTCTAATTCATGCAGGGGATCTCAGCAGCTATGGGGCGCTCCCCCAACTCACCCGGACTATCGACTGGTTAACGTCTTTGGAACACCCTGTCAAAATGTGAGTGCAAAATGCCTCATCTTATTGTTGTTAACGTCGTATATAAATAGCATCGTAGCAGGCAATCACGACGTGAGTAGTTACAGAAGTAAAGTTCGTCCGATTAAACCAACATTTTCTGCCCAGCTATGCTTGGATGAGAACTGGGCGCGGCCGGACTATGGTTTCCAACCAGAGGTGAACTACATCTCTACTGATGTACCACCTGTAGTGACAGCATCTCAGCTAATCCAGCGTGCTCGAGCGACTGTACGAAGTTTGGCATCCGCTGGGCTGTATTATCTCGAGCACGAGTCTCTGCATTTTACTGCACCATCAGGTAAAGTCTGGAAGGTATATGGGTCACCAGTGAGTAGTTGCGGGGTGATTTGTGTGTGCAGAGGGTTCACACATTTCAAGGCAGCCCCGATTCACCTCGAAGGTGCCTTTCAATACGCCTCTTCCACAGAGGCAAAAGGTACATCGCATGATAGTATACCAACATTCTCATTGATAACGATCACCAACAGCGATATACCAGCGTGTACCGGAAGATACAGAGATATTAATCACCCACACTCCACCGTATCGAACCCTGGATAAAACAAGGAAGAGGAAGTACGTAGGGTGCCCAACTCTTTCATCAAGGCTGAGGCAACTGAGGCATTGTCGACTCCACGTGTTTGGGACATATCCACGAAGCCGCGGGAGCCGGAGTAGACGACGTCGGAGGCACACACCGCGTGTCAGTGAATGCAGCAGTGCCGCTCAGCGATAGCATCGTTGTAGTAGATATGCGTGATTGACTGGTTGGTTGACGACGGTTGGGTGAGCGTACCACATAGATTATTTTATGCCGGGAATCCTAGATCTATACAGCAACTTTGCCCTTCTTCGCAACCTTGATTCCCAACTTGTTTTTGAGGTCTAGTTTGGTTCTCTTTGCTGTAGCTGTGCTTTTAGCGTCTACCGCAGCGCGATCGGGTTGTGGAAGTAGACTACGGATGTCGGGTTCAACATCATCTGCTTTTCGCTTAACAGTGACCGTGCGTGACGTCGATGACACTGCGGCTGATGATTCTGAACCGGCTGAGGTGGAAGGTAGCTCGGGTGGTGTGGGCATAGACACCTTCGTAAACACCTGTCGTACGATCTCGTCGTCCTCTTCCTCTTCCAATCTGCGCTGTCGATCTTCCTCGGTTTCTACCTCTTCAGCCGCGATCCGGGCAGCAAGATCGACTACTTGTCCCACACGGTCGTTCCGAGCATTTCTAGCTCTGATGTCTTGCAGTGCATCGAGGATGTCCATTCTCCCTCTTTGCATCTGTGGTACGGTTTTCGAGAGCTTTCATGGGATTGTTCTCCTCTTCTTCTAGCCGCGCAAGGCGGTCTTCCTCTTCACCGACCTTTTCCTCCCGCCAAGGTTCAAAATTGCGTGAGGCTCCGTGCTCTGCTGCATAATCAGTGTTCTTTGGGTCTGTTTTGAAGGTAATTTCGGCGGAACATAGTGTGCTAATAAACGATTAGCTTCAAGCATGGGTGAAAGGAACAGGGTGCTTGCCATTTGATGTAGAACCGGAATATCTTGATGCCATAGTAATCCTCTCCTTCAACTGTCTCCTTACGAGCGTTGAACTTCTTTCCTTTGTAAATGTATTCTCCACAGGTATTACATCGCCTGGAAAATCTGTCAGATGGATGACTAACATCAACAAATAGCTGGACTCACATAGAGAAGGGTGCCATCAGACGGACGACCTGTTGGGAGTTCTTTGGACCCTTTCTTCGCGGAATGAGCGAAGGGTCGAAGTCAGGTGGAAAGTACTTGTTCAAAACTGACAAAGTGGTCAGTCAGTAGACAACTTTCGGTGATGACTGGGTACATACCTTTGCGCTCGGACATGGTGGGAGTAGCAGCGAGACAAGGATTGCTGACATAATACACACCTTGAACGCGTTTAAGAAATTTCCGGCCACCAGCGCGCTCGCTGTGCTCCTCACCCACGCCAGACCACCACCGACATTGGCCACAAGGACCATGGCAGTTCAACTCAATAAAACCCTCATTAACGCTCGGCTAAAGACCGTTTATGACAACTGGAATGTGCGCGCACCCCCCCTTGTATCCTGGATGCTCCTTGACTGCTGACCGGGGACGCGGCTTTCTAGAATGCCACCCAGAACGACGAGTTCGGGTCCATAGCGGACTCAGATGCTATTTTGCTCCTTTCAGGAGACCCTGCAGGAGAGGACGAGCCAGTCCGGAAGGGCACCGCGTTCCAGGTAACTCATCACAGCTGCAGCGAGGTCACGGAACACCTATAACCACCTCCGTTTGCAGACTTGGCTTCTTGGTTACGAATTTCCGTCTACATTTATCCTATTTGACAAGAAGAAAATCTTTATTCTCTGTTCAGCCAGCAAAGGTGTGCCGCCATCCGTCCGCCGATGTCTGTTTGTATTGAGATGCCCCCAGCAAAATTTCTGCAACAGATCACAGATGGAAACCCTCCCGTTCCCATTGAAATACTCATTCAGGCTAAAGCCAAGGAACCTCCGACGGATGCACTTCCAAAGTTCGTGGACACTTATGCGTCACACAAACGCATCGCCACTCTCGTGAAAGAGTCGTACTCCGGAAAATTGATAACAGAGTGGGAGCAGGCGCTCTCGAAGGTTGCACAGCAACCAGAACATGTGGATTTGGCCCCCGCGGTCTCAGCGTACATGGCTGTCAAAGACGAAGAGGAATTGGTACGTCTCGAGTTCTGTCTATGCAGGCGCTCGCTGATCGCATCCGCAAGAAAACCATACGCACGGCCGCAAATCTAACATCGACTCTGCTCATTTATCACATCATGGTGAAATTGGAGACGATTCTTGACAAAGAAGCAAAGATCACCCACGACCAATTTGCCAGTCAAATAGAGCTTCGGATAGGGACCGGAGAAGGCGATGACGTGAAAGGTCCCGACATGAGAGTTTGGAGTAAAGGTCGTGGCCTACAAGATGTTCGTCGGTCCATTGCCCGTGGCGCCAGATTGGCTTACCACTATTTATAAGGTTGATTGGGCATCGACAGAGTTCTGCTACACACCCATCATCCAATCAAGGTCGACCAGCACTGGCTATGACCTCAAGTCCACAGCAATCTCATCGGCGGACCCTATTGCCCACAAAGGTGTTATCCTTATTGCAGTTGGCATGCGATACAAGAGCTATTGTGCCAACCTTGGGCGTAGTGTAATTGTTGACCCTTCCAAGGTGGATGGTAATGCGTTGCTTGTGTCGTAATCCACTCACGCACTTTCAGGAGCAAGAGGAAATCTACAACCTCTTGATATCATTGCAGTCCGAGCTTATGCGCGAAATGAAGGATGGCGTCACAGCTCGTGATGTCTACCATCGGTCACTGGAGTATATCAAGGATAAGAAGCCCGAGCTGGAGAAACACTTTGTCAAGAATGTCGGTTCTGTGGTAAGTCAGGCAACTACTCTACATTCGACACTTCTTAACCGGGTGCAGATTGGTCTTGAGTTCAGAGATTCTACCTATGTTTTGTCGTCAAAGAATGCACGGCATTTGCGGACAAACATGGTCTTCAACTTGTCTTTAGGATTCTCCGACTTGGTGGACGACACAGGGAAGAAGTAAGTCCCTTCGGCGGCAAGCACTTGATCCCGTATTGACATTTCAACCAGGTATGCATTGCACCTCGTCGACACAGTTCGGGTTGGTCCTGACAAAGCTACCTTCCTCACGGACGGGGCTAAATTACCTACCGACACTTTGTTCTATTTGAACACCACGGAAGACCAAGTTGATGATCAGGCCAAGTCATCCAAGAATCCTCCAATCAAACCTCTTATCAACGGCACACCCATAAAAAATAAGACGGTAGGAGGCAAAGTTCTGCGAAACAAGACGCGAAGTGCTGCTCAGGAGGAAGTACTGCAGACAACAGCTGCGCGAATCAAGGAGCATCAGATCGAGTTACACGCAGCTCTTCAACGTGAAGGGCTTGCGAAGTACTCCGAGAATGGTGTCAAACATGGAGAGAAGGAGGGTAAGGGCTGGAAACGTTTCCAGAGCTATAAGGGTGAGGGTGCACTCCCCAAGGAAGCTGAAGGGTTGCGTGTAAGTGGTGCCTTTTTTTGATTCTCGTATGCTGACGTGTTTATCAGATCGTTGTCGACCGCAAAGCGCAAACTATCATTCTTCCTGTGCACGGCTTCGCCGTTCCCTTTCACATCAACACCATTAAAAACGTCAGCAAAAATGATGAGGGTGACTTTACCTACCTACGCATCAACTTCCAGACACCGGGTCAACTTGCTGGAAAGAAAGATGATACGGTACGTGATTCTCACCCTACTGCCGTTGTAGCTAACGGTTCTCTGTAGCCGTTTGAAGATCCGGATGCGACATTTATTAGGTCGGTGACCTACCGCTCCGCTGACAGCCATCGCTTCGATACCATCTCAAAGCAGATTACCGACCTGAAGAAGGAAGTTAACAAGAGGGAACAGCAGAAGAAAGAGATGGCGGATGTCATTGAACAAGATATTTTAGTGGAAATCAAGGGCAGAAGACCTCACAAGCTCCCTGAAGTCTTCGTCCGCCCTGCATTGGATGGAAAACGGATTCCAGGCGAAGTCGAAATACATCAAAATGGTCTTCGTTACCAGTCACCCATGGGTTCGCAGAAAATTGGTGGGTTTATATTCATGATATTCGTATTTTATAATTTTGATGACTTGGCATTTTAGACGTCCTGTTCAGCAACATAAAACACCTCTTCTTTCAACCATGCGATAAGGAACTCCTTGTGATCGTTCATGTTCATTTAAAGGCTCCAATTATGATTGGGAAGAGGAAGGCACACGTCCGTTTTGAAATTATGTTTGTGTCCGTCATTTCTCTAAATAAACCCTATTACAGGACATCCAATTCTTCCGTGAAGCTTCTGATGTTCAATTTGACGAAACCGGCAACCGGAAGCGCAAACATCGTTACGGTGACGAAGATGAAATTGAGATGGAACAGCAAGAACGGAAACGTAGGCAAATGCTTAACAAAGAGTTCAAGCTCTTCGCCGAGCGAGTGGCGGAAGCAGCCTCGACTTCCGTAAGCAATCCTTTCGGGTTTCTTTTCCTTCTGCTTAACTTATTCTAATATACGTAGACTGGTGACACCTTGGAAGTTGACATTCCTTTCCGCGAGCTTTCGTTTGAGGGAGTTCCATTCCGCACCAACGTGCGCCTGCAGCCAACTACAGAGTGTCTGGTGCACTTCATCGAGCCTCCTTTCCTCGTTGTCACTCTCAATGAGATAGAGATTGCCTCGTTAGAACGCGTGCAATTCACTCTCAAACAGTTCGACATGGTTCTTGTTTTCAAGGATTTCACAAAGACTCCTCTCCACATCAACTCGATACCTAGCTCGCAGTTGGACGACGTGAAGAATTGGCTCGAGTAAGTATTCTTCCTCTTGAATCAGCATTGCAGTTTGCTTATGATCCTAGCTCCGTTGATATACCGATGAGCGAGGGACCTGTTAACCTGAACTGGGGCCCGATCATGAAAACAATCAACGACGATCCATACGAATTCTTCCAACAGGGCGGTTGGAGCTTCCTCGGTGGTGCTGGTGCGGAGGTCAGTCTTCGTTAATCAATTCCGCGACAATAGCTAAACGCCACAGCAGAGCGAAGTTGAAGAAGATTCGGAGAGCGAGTCCGAGTTTGAAGCCGATTCAGATGAGTCTGAACCCGAGGAGAGCGGCGACGAGGGCAGTGCTTACGATGGCTCTGATGCTAGCGACGAGTCAGGAAGTGTTTCGTATGATGACGCAAGTGATGAGGGGGATGATTGGGACGAACTGGAGAGGAAAGCAGCGAAATGTACGTTTTCCCTTTATTTGACATTGAGGGCGCTTGATTAAAACCTCGACACAGCTGATTCCAAGCGAGCTGCTGAAGCGAAGACTCGTCGAGGCTCTGATGTTTCCGATGACGACGAGAGACCCAAAAAGAAGTCCGCGGCGAAGTCCAAGGCTAATGGGAAAGGCAAACGATGACGTAGCATTCTTGCGGATGCAGTATTCTTCCACGTATAGTATATTCGTTAACTTCACTTCACATACATGATCGCAGTTACTGTTTGTGTACTTCTACGCTAAACGATCGAGATGAATACGTAGCGCCTATGTGTACAGAAAAAATTGCGAACGCCCTGCATTGCCTACTGTACCTTCTCCCTCGGGGTCTTAACAGGCTTGTTAAGCTTTTCCTCCCTCCACATCAATACGCTGGATATCGCGGCGCCGGGCCCAAGCACAACAGTAGTCGCAATACACCAGACCATGATAACAATGCATTGGAAGAGACTTTCGGCAAACGATAGAAGCAGCACAAAAGTGGACGCCACTCCAAGTAGGAAATCCCACTTGAAAAATTCCGCAATGTTTTCAACCGCTGGGGCCAAAGCCGGATCATCTGACCCCACATATGGCAGAAATAGATGTTGCAAGGCATCAATTTCGGTGAAAAGGGGCCAGACATAACGGATGTGAACTGCAGCCGAAGCTACGAAGACGAGAGCATACATGGCCAGCACAGTGGAGTAGCCGGACTCGATATGCCGCGATGGAGAGCGTATGAGACGATGGGCGAACCCCAAGATCCCCATGATGATTGGGAAAAACTGCCAGATGGCAGTGACGGTAGCATCTTCAAACAGGAACATGGATACTGTCGGAATGACGAATCCCACGAGTAGGGCAAACAAGAGGGCTTCTGCGTTCGCCTGGTTGATTTTAACGCCTAATGTTCCAGATTTGACCCGCGTGCCAGCTGTGATGAAGAGCAAGGAATACAGGGGCATTATAAATCCAAAGCTCAGGATTTGCATTAGCACCCCAAACACAACTGGCATGGCGATGAAGAACGGGCGCTGATCACGAGCGGCTTCAGCAAAGATAAATGCAAGCGAGGCACTAAATCCGGCCAGAGTTTCAGCGAGAAGAGGGAGGTAGGAGGGTCCCATAAGCGCATGGAAGAACGAGCATACAGTACACATAGTCTTGTCGACTTCATCGTTCCCTGTGTACGCCAAGCGAAGAGGGCTGGACGAGACCTCGAGAGGGGAAGCACAGATGATAGCCAATTTTTCCTTGACTTGACTCTGGGTCACGCCTTTCAGAAAGAGGAAATTGATAGCCGTCGCTGCCAATCCGAGGAAAACAAGCGCAGGCAACAAGAAACCTGAAATCATGAAAGAGTAGATTCAATGTGAGATATGGAAGGTTGGCATGTGACAACCAGCATTAGGGCACTCACGGGTGACCAGCCGGAACGCCATCTGACGTGGTGTGGGGTGCAATCTGCTCTGACAAGTTGAGTGGTACCGACAATATCGACTGACTGTGCCGATTGATCCATGAAGTGATTGCACCTGTGAAGCAGCCATGAGACATACCAGAGGGATCCTCGCACTCTTAGGACGATGGATTGGTTTGGCTGGAAACAAAACGCACAGCTGCAACTACGCGGGATGCAAAATGCTAGAGCGAACAACTCTGCAACTCCCCACAGATGCGACCCGCTACTGCGCAGGGCAGTTCGGTTCCACAGCCTGATGGTGGCACCGTGCTTAGTTGTAGGTGCCGCTAAAGATGAACTAACATAAAAAACCTAGTTGAGATGACCTAGTACTTGCTTACACACCGCGGATTTCTAGACAGGTCCTACTGCGAAACTTGAAAAATATAGTTTTGGCGCAGAACTGCTCTGAATTTGACAATGATGATGTCACGTGGCTCCATTGCATTCAGCATCCCCCCTGTGGGCACGAGTTGAAATTCACCGCAGCACCTACCTTGTCATCGACATTCGCAATGAGCAACTCCAAGCCGGAATCTCAGGAATTCGATTCAGTATACAAGACAACACTCGACCCATTGACTTGCACTCGTCGCGGTTTATGTCCAGTTACCGACATTCGGCACCAAGCCAAACTGTCCGAGAGCCATTCACTTTACTACGAAGTCCACGGCAGTGGGCCCATCAAAGTTGTTCTCATCATGGGGTAAGTTTCATTCTAAAGATACGAGAATTTCAACTCGCTCACAGTTCCGCAGACTTAACGGCACTTCAGGAGGCTGGCTACCCCAAGTCAGATACTTTGGGAGACTGCCGCAGTACTCGGTGCTAGTCTTTGACAACCGCGGCGTCGGAAACAGTGGCTCGCCCTGGGGACCGTATACGTTCGTTTTTACACTTTACTTCATGTCAACATGCTTACCCGGTCTGTGCAGCACTAGCGGTATGGCTAACGACGTCATTGTATTGCTTGACTTTCTCGGCTGGACTGCGGACCGCGAGCTCCACGTGATTGGTATTTCGATGGGGGGAATGATTGCTCAAGGTATCTTCTGTTTGACTGTTGGCTCATACGTGCAGTCTGACCTCAAGCTGCAGAACTCGCATCTCGTATACCTAAACGTATCTCATCTCTTAGCCTTGCGGTCACCAAGGCGGGTGGACGGTCATGGCGTAACATACCCAAGGTAGGCTCCTCTCACCCAGCCAACGATATGTGATATTTAATGGCGTAGTGGAAAACGGTGTTTTCTCTAGTAAGGTAACTATTACACGAGACTGGCACTCATCCACATCAGCTCAATGTTACTATCTGCATTCCAAGGCTTCTCAGTCTTTCAGATGTAGAAGTCAAGATTCCTGTGGTCCTGAACATGCTCTTTCCACCCAAGTGGCTGGCAGAAAGAGCGGAGGATGACCCTCAGGGTAGAACTAACGCGGAGGTTCAAGCAAGTGTGCGTTCCGACCGCATATTTAACATCCTTTGAGCTTACCCTATATGCAGCTTCACCGTTCGAAGTTCAAAATAACTCGACCTCAGCCTCTCATAGGTGCACTCTCCCAGATGGCGGCTGCTTTCACGCACCATGTCAGCCCAGATCGGCTACGAAAGATATCCGCATCGATACCCAAAGTACTTATACTGACCGGTGACACAGACGATATGGTAGATCCATCGGAAAGTCTTTTCCTGAAGCAGAATATGCCCGAAGCGGAGTACCAGTATTGGGAGGGCGGTGGACATGCGATATGTGCACAGTGGGATAAGCGAGTCAATACCTTGTTTGAGAGGGTTTTTGAAGAAGGGAGATCTGCATCAAACCAAGACCTTTAATACCAGACCAATGTATTCCAGGAAGGGCATCGTTCCGGATAATTAACTGTAAAGCATTTATTAGTCACAGCTATCGTCCTGTCAATGAGGATTGCCGGAAAGAAATGGTCTGTCTGACTTGCAAACAAGCTATTCTAACAAGGAGTTACCAGAGGCAGAACAAATCAAGCAGACAGCAAAAATTAAATGTGCAAGTGGCCATGAAGTATGTAAACTTACCTTCTCTAAAGTGGGTATGCCTCGAAATTAGCCGTCACCGCTCGGTCAGGAGCTTCCTCATCTTTGACCTAACAGCCTTTGGAAAGCTTCCCGTCGCCCTCCTTGCTAGAATGGGCTCGATACGCAAGTTCATTGGCCATGATTTGCCAGCCTCCTCCTGACGTCTCTGCATTATCTTGACCAGCGGTTCTTTCATGGCCTTTTCCTGCTTTTTCGTGAGCGGTGGAGGGACGACCTTGGCCGGTGGGAGTGAAGCCCTGGGAACAAAACGGGTGATGAGTGCCCGCATGACGACCCTACGCTGATTAGTGTACTGAGGTGCATTAGCGATATGGGCTTACCTCGGTGTCTTGTGCAAACTGTACCGTTCCTACTGAACCCGAACTGCGTGACTTTAGAATGGAGGGATGTCACATGCACGTGATGCACTCTCTGTCGCGTCACACCGTTCCACTGATATTGCTCGGAATGCTCCTATCGGTGGATCCTTTGCGACCGGTTCATTAAAATATGAAACGCAGAGTCAACGAGGACCGTACCGATGCAGAGAAGAGCGCCACGAAAAAGCAGAGAAACTTCAAGGCGAAAGGAAAAGAGAAGGAGCAGGATGTTGAGTGGCCAGCATACTTCCACGATGCAAGTGCACCCGCCCCGTATACTTGACACATTTTCATCATTTTACACTTCAGCTTTTCAAGGTAAAACGTCTCATAGGACGCTGTGTCCGAGTCAATTCATGCATTGTCATACGTTTTGCAGGTTTACAAGGTAAAAGATTACAGGTGTGTCTAACCAGCAGCCATCTCACGTCACTTTGCAGGCTCTCAATGTTGTACTCGCTTTTGTCTCCTCGCGAAAGCATCTAGCGACTACGTTCCCCATGGTCAGGTCCTCTGTAGAAGGCATTTTGAAGCGGCGAGTTTTCACTGGTATTCCCTCAGTTAATCATTTAAACGTCCATCCAGACCGTTGGAGCTCGCGCAGGTCGCAGAGCTCAAGTCCGTGATTCTGCGCGCTTTGAATGCATACCTCACATGGCGTTTTTTCTAGGGCTTTGCTCCCAGACCTGATCAATTTCGCGTACATAGCGTGTGACCAGTTGCGTATACAAGCAGAATCGTCGTCTCAGGTTCAATGTCGTGGTCGAAAAAGTCCAGACTTCTCCCTCCACTCGCTCGAGAAGTCCGGCTCTCAGCTTCCTTGGATCGAGGAGGGCGAGCACGTCCTTGTTCTAGAGTTTGCAGACAACTTTAGAGGGAAGAAGCAGCGTACTGGGTATGGAATCACTCTGCAACGCTCGGCACACGACTCACCCGCACAAAGTTCTTTGCTATCGCTTCCACCTGCCATGTCAACAACCCAGTCCAAGAAATTGATCGAGAGCCGCGACGAAAGGTTCAAATTGGCCGTGAATGAGTGCGCGCGACTTTCGCTCCTTGTGTCCCGCTGACCTGCCTTCAGGTTATTGTCTACGGTGCCGGATGGAGAGGATCCTGTGGAATTGCTGAAAGCGGCGGCGAGGGATCCATATCCCCGCTAACCCAAAAGCGAGGTCTTGTCTACTCAAAGCTGAGGTAGAAGTCCCGAGTCCCGATAACCGTCCATCGGTGGGCGAGGTGATCCAGGAAATCCAAGAACAAGATTGGTATACCAAGCAGATCATGGACCGTAGGACTTTCCCGGCAAGAACAGCTAGAGAAGGTACACATTCTTAACACATCTCGTACTGGTCAATTCCTTATCTCGGGCGAAGGTTTTCTCAGTCAACCCCTCTCTCCATCGATACAACAAGCCCTTCGTGATTCGAGGAAAATCACCTCATTCTATACACACCAAACTGCGGCCATTAATGCCATTTGCGACAAGAAGCATGTAATTGTATCGACAAGCACTGCCTCGGGCAAGAGTGTGATTTATCAAGTAGGGGTTAATTCGTATGATTCCCACTACAGTAATGCTTGATGTCGACAGGTTCCGATCCTGCGATTTTTAGAGGAGGATCCGAGTGCAACTGCCATGTTTGTATATCCAACTAAGGCTCTGGCCCAAGATCAGAGAACTGCGTTAGAACAGTTGCTGTGGTCCTGTCCCGAACTGCGGCATGTCAATGTGGCAACCTATGATGGAGATACTCCCCAAGAACGCAGAGCAGGTATGTATTCTCGTCCAGTTAATGAGAGTGGCTGCAGCATGAGGAATAGCAATCAGAGAAGGTGCCTCCATCATCTTCACTAACTTCGTAAGTTCGTCAGTTTGTGGCCCGGCTTTTATCGCCGATGCTCTCGATCCAGGATACAATCCATGCGTCAATTCTACCACACGAGGAGCTATGGAGGAGGCTAGTATTTTGACCCTTCTTTATTTTGAATTCGCAACTGACAAAGTGTAGCAGCTTCTTGCAAAATCTGAAGATTCTCGCTGTCGATGAACTTCACTACTACTCAGACCTCATGGGCAGGTGAGTTCGTGTCCATGATGAGGTAGCACAAGTTGACCCGTGTTAACCAGCCACGTTGCACAAGTGATTAGACGGTTCCGCCGCGTCTGTGCAGCCGTTGGAAGTCAGTCTTTAATTGTGAGAAAACACCCCCGCTCTGACGAAGTATAGATCGTGAGACTGTCTTCGTTTCCTGCAGTGCAACCATTACCAAGCCTGCACAGCACATGCAGCGGCTTTTTGGCGTTAAGGTCTGTATTATGTGCATTTGTACCCTTATACTCTGAGGATTCACCACACGTAGGAGGTCGAGGAGATTACCGATGATGGGGCGCCTTCCGGATGCAAAGACTACCTTGTTTGGGTACCACCATATGTTGACGAACGTGCCCCGAAGCTTGGTCATCATAGTGCAATGTCTGAAGCAACGAGACTCATGAGGTTTCTGATGAAGAGAGGCATCAGAGTTATACTATTTTGCAAGGTACGAAACTCAGTGGAGAGTGACTGGACAAAGCGTTTACCAGTGGCTGCCAACAGATTCGCAAGGCATGCGAGTTAGTAAGGGAGATTAGTTTCTCTGGTCGAACGGTTATTCATTAACAGTTTTAAGGCAATGAAGGCTCTCCGCACAGATCTGAGTGCCGAAGGTCGACTGGACATCCTCGCTAAGGTTATGCCATATCGTGGAGGTGAGTAAGGCGGCATGTTACGGTCTGGTAGTTCCTCTTATGCCGTAACAGGATACTCTCAGGAGGTTCATGCATATTCTCGTTTGTCGACTACACTGGCTCACTGTTATATATCTAGGATCGCAGGCGCATTGAGCACGAGGCGTTCTCCGGAAACTTACTTGGGATAGTTGCTACTAACGCTCTTGAGTTGGGTATAGATATTGGCGTTTTGGACGCAGTAATTATGCTCGGTTTTCCTTTTGGTTTAGCGAATTTCGTGCGTGCATCCACCGAGTAGAAGAAGATACGAATGCCTACACTACTGACATCGTCACAGCGCCAACAAGCAGGACGGGCGGGACGGCGTGCCCGTGACTCTATGGCCGTTTTAGTTGCAGACATGTCCCCATTGGACCAACAATACGTGAAAAATCCTGACGCGCTGTACAACAACCCGATTGACGATCTTGTAATTCACTTGGACAGCAAAGAAATAGTTGAAGCACACATTCAATGTGCGGCTCACGAGTTGCCCGTCTCTAAGGATGATGTCGTCTTCTTTGGCCCCCTATTATCTGAGATATGTGACAAGAAGTTGATCCGGGACGAAGATGGCTGGTGAGTGTTTACGGCCAAAAGTGATGCCACCGTCTTAATCCTTATGGTAGGTATCACACACATCCAAAGTATTTGCCGTATCCCCAGAAACATGTGGCTATTCGGGGTGCGGAGGAAGTGAAATACATTGTAGTAGACGTAACGAAAGTCCAGGAAGGCGGCCAAAGCGCTAAGATTTTGGAGGAACTTGAGCTTTCGCGCGCACTATTCGAGGTTTACGAAGGTGGTGTGGTATGCTCATCGGCCTTTCCCCGTTGCCCCCGAAAGCTCATTCTCCGCCAGTTCATGCATCAGGGCCTCGCCTTCATTGTGCGTCCTCCGATTTTTAATTGTCGTAGGTTACTGATTGGGGGGGTTTAGGTCAAGGAAGTCAGCCACGATGCCGGGATGGCGCAAGTGCTAAGGGCGGACGTTAACTGGATTACTTCGCCCAGGTATGTATGGTTCCCCTGGTTTGAATGCGTGTACTGAAAAGTGTTCGCAGAGATTTCACGTACGTAAATTATATCTCTGCCACCGCCTCTTCTCAGTTAGGTGTACGCAGGGATATAGATGCCAAACAGACGTACCGGATCAAGGAGATACCGGACTCCCCCCACAGGCTATTTTTCGGAAGTAAGTGTGTCGTGTGATGCGGGCCCGTATGTTATATTCTAATCACTTGAGCAGGAGTAGAAATCGTCACAGTCGTATACGGTCTGTGTTCTGACCAGTCATTTGTAGGGGTGCTTACCATATTCTGTTGTAGGATTCTACAAGATAAGGCATGGTTATTCAGCGTAGCGTCGAGACTTCTTTTAACACAAGGGCTTCAGGAATAAATGCATTCTCGACGTCGTCGACGTCGATACCCCACCTTGGGAGAGACAAGGAACTGGGTTATGGCTTGACGTTCCCGGAAATATTCTAGACTTGTTGCGTTCCAAGGCAATCTCGCCTGCTGCAGCTATCCATTCTGCTTGTCATGCTTGGATGAATGGCTTTGCACTGGGTGCTTGCCTCAAGACAGAATGTAAAGCCGCCGAGAAGGAGCTGAAAGCTGCTGAGTCCCGGCGGAAAAGGCCAGCAAGGTATGGTTATCGTAGTCGACCTTTCCACCAGTCTCCCTAAATTCTGCCAGGTTGATTTTTTACGAATCGCTGGGAAACAGTGGCATCACGGCTCAAGCGTTCGACCATGGTAAGTGACATGAGTTGTCTGTGTCGTTATATTGATGTTCACTTATCCTTATCGTGGGTAAGCCTCGGAAATTCTGAAAAAGGCCCAGAGTGCAGTTGAAACTTGTCCATGCGAAGAGGGTTGCGCGAACTGTAGGTTTCCTTTCCCTTTCTTTGGCAAACAGGGTTGGCATCTGTTCTCTAGGTATATTAAGCCCAACTTGCCGCGAGCACAACACGATTTCATCCAAGATAGGAGCCTTGGTAATCCTACGCGGGCTACTCAACCTCGAGATCGATGTCGATAGCATCCCGAGGCAAGAAAATGAGCTCGACGGGGCAGATACAATCGTGAAGGCGGACTTCGTTCGCCCGATCGATGGTGTGGAGGTCGAGGCTGCGTAACTACAGCAGCGACATTGATTGTGTTAGATTTAGTAACTCAACTAACTCTAATAAAGTAGTAAATACACCGTAGTCCTATTTCAGGGGGTCGAAGTCACCCCAGTCATCCTTGGTCACCGGTTTACTCGGTGCGACTAACTTAGTCGGCTGCATAGGCATTAGCATAGAACCCATTGAAGGTGGCGTCGTAACAGAAGGAGAATTGGTCAACATGAATGAATTATAATTGGGTGCTGGGTTAATGGGTGGGGAGGCTGAGGGGGTACTCGAGGCGGGCAACATGACATCGGAAAAGGATATGTTGTAATTCGGCTTGGACATCGCTGATGATGAGTTGGAGAAACTAGTACCATGCTGAGGATTGGATGGCGGACTGGAAACCCTCATCGGTCGGCCAATCGAAGAAATAGTGCCCAACGGGGAACTCGTAGAGAACGCTGGCTTCTCGATGGAGGTGGCAGGAACAGGTTTCGCTCCCAGACGAGATGGTCGAGGTAGTGGAGCGGCCGCTGAAACCCTGGGAGACGAGGGTAAAGACTGTACCTGTGGATGTGCAGGCAGTGCCGGGGCCGAGGCTTGTGAGCTAGAGACCTGTGGAGTTGGTATGGCAGCAGATATTCCGGGAGTTGATACCTGTCCAACGTATCAATACGAGAGGCTGAGAATTGAAATGAACACTAACCTCATGTCCACCATTAAGTATCGGCCCCCACACATCGTCGTCCCAGCTCTTACGGTGGTCATCGAAAACCTCAGCTCTAGTAGTAGCATTGGCACGTCCAACCAAACTCTCAAAGTCAACGCCAGAGTTGAGGTTAGGCAGATTGACTCCATTAGCAAGTGCTGATCGGTCCTCTATGCGTTGAGAGTCGCGGAGGAACTGGTCGTGCTCTTTTTCAACTCGGTCGCCGAGCTTGCGGATAACGGACATAAACCGCTGGAATTGTTCGATGTTGAGTACTTAAAGATGAATTAGACCGATGAGTCACTGCCGAAGCAAAAATATCAACGCACGAGGACCCATGGACATCGCCCACAACTGAGGAAGGACAAGGGTTGCCACCGCTTCCCGTTCAATCTTAAAGCCCATTGCTTCCTGAACAGATAAAGTGGCCATCTGCAGACGTCGTTAAGAAAATCAACTCTAGAGCAGGTTGTTGGATTCACAATGACAGCTGGTTCCTTTGTGCGAATCTTCGACAACAATGGACATAGCTTTTGGGTGAGATTTATCTGAACGGAGTATTAGGGTTACCCGGGAGTGTAGCAAGGGCAGACAGGACCAACCTGATCCAGAACTTTCACCATACTCAGGAAGGTCGCTAACGTGGCTACCTTCACTGACAGTAGTCTAGTTTTGGTGAACACTAACTATACTGATTGCTCAATATATGCATCATTGACAGCACTGCTGAACTTACGGCGACACGAGGAAACAGGACGCCAGAAACCTCAGCATAATCAATAGGTTTCGCATAAATTGGGCACGACTCCTAATGCACTGTTCTTGAACCTTGAGAAATTGAACATGTGGTCACTTTTTTTCAGGGACAAAGCTTACGATAGCATGTTCGGACTTCCAGAGCATTGTATACAAGGGGGAGGACCTCTGGTTGGCATTTAGTGAATGATAGAAGTCATTGTTGCCTTGCTCGCACTCACGCTCCCGGAAAACGACCTTTTCGGTCTTACTTTGCAACATGTCGAGGTTATCAAGAAGAGTTAGCATGTTCTGCGGCGGATCTTTGACAGTGAACAAGGGTTTGAGACTTGGCAAAACGAGTTGGGCAAATTGCACAGCAGACAAAATAGTTGAGATGGCAAAAACATTCGGAAGGATATAGGGAAGGAGGTGTGTATCTTTCATCTACACTCAGTGTGTTAGTATCAGCCCGAACTTCAAATCGCAGACGACAGACCTCTTCTAGGAGTGACGGCAGTATCTTCCTCACTTTCAACCCCTCAGAGAACTTGTTCAGGACGCCAGTCAAGCCCTTCATAAATGATATTTTCTCTTCTCGTGTTTTTGTCGTAAAATTTGAACGATCGAGGAAATTGAGGGTAGATATGGGCAGAGACGAGAAGAAAGGGTGTGAAGGCAAAGTCGACGAAGTGGGTCTATTTGAAGGCGATCGTGTTAGAAGAGACCTTAGAAGATCTAGCAGAAGGCTGTATTAATGACCCGCGAAGCTCAGGCGTATATGTATAAGACCTTGCAAATCTGTGTCCAGCTGACCAATATCTGGTACTGGCCGGCCAACATTGTCGCGAAGGCTACCAAGACTCCCATAGTTGAGAAAAGGCGGTTTGCCCTTACAATGAACTGCATATACCAGGGCACCAAGCGAGTATATGTCTGATGCAGTGACAAGGGTCTCATCCAAAGCGTATTCGGGTGCTATTCCTTGTATCAGGTTTTCTGAAGTGCAATGCTGAATGTATGAATGTACCGATGTAGTCAAAGGAACGTTGAACGTATGACGGGACGCGTGCATCCGATCCCGGGAACTCCCAGCGCGTAGGTGTCCCGTCAGCGTTGGTCAGTGGAATGGTCAGGCCAAGTCCAGAGATCTTCCAATCACCCTGAAATATGCGTTGTGAGGCCACGAGGACCGCATGTCGAACATAACAGCGCTTACAGCGTCATTAATGATGATGCACTCTGGTTTCAGGTTTGTGTGTATCAATCGTGCTGACGAGTGGAGAAATGAAAGGCCTTTGCATAGTTGGAGAATTCCCTTCTGAATCTTAGTTGTCCATGAGTATTCGCCGCAAATGACAGGAGATCAAAAGTGCTGTACCTCGATTTCATCAAGTTCCACGGATCGGCGTATGACTGGATTTCTGTGGTATCGACATCTCAAGCGATGAAAGGACAGGCTCAGTCGCGAAAATGAGTTCGTTCCTCGTCTCCTCCAGAGGCTCGACCATCTCTTCGAAAGCGAAAGTTGTAAGTGTATATCGTCTTCCCTAGAACAGAAATCCACCGTACCGAGGATGGAAGGGTGACGAAGTCTGCTTAGCGCAGTAGCCTACGGTGGGTCAAGTCTACATATCCGTATGAGAGACGGTATAAAATACCTCTGCCTTCAAAACTTCCAGAACGCGATCCCTTGACAGGGGACCCAAACCTTCCATCTCAACTCGCTTATCGAATGACCAGACAGATACACGTTTATTTGTGACCTTGTGCACCGCGCCCTGCACCTTCCACAAGCCGATTCGTGCCGTCGAGGTGTGTGACACAGAAGATGACGACCCAGAGGGCGTCGGTGTCGAAGACCTGCTTGCATTGCCCGCCCCGATGTTATAGGACTGCGAAATCGCCGTCCTAGAGAAAAACGACGTCGCTGCTGCTAGCATGGCCCAATATTATCCTCCGCTGCTGTGGTGGTGAATACAGTGCTGACGTAACATTGCCATTGGGTGTTGTCCGGCACGTGATCCGCTTTGTTACCCCGCATGCCATGGACTTCCCGGGTCCAGACTGGAGAGTTGTGCTGCCAGCTGCAGTCGTCGACCACACCGCTGACGTCCAACCCATATCGGAGATGAAACCTACATTTCGTGCACTCCAGACGCTCGATCGCTGCACAATGCGGGCCCGGACAACGGCATTCATTGGCCTGGGTCGCATGGGCTCTGAGATGGCGCACAACCTCTTCCTTAACAAGTTCTCCGAGTCTCCGGACTTTGGGTTTGTCGTATGTGATGCAATTCCGGAGAGTGCTGTATCCTTTCAACGCAGCTTCTTATCTCGATTTCCAGAGGCACTCATCGAAGTAGTTCGCACTCCGGAGGAGTGAGTACCAACACACCCACACATGCGTTACGCGATAGTCATGTATTTTCAGAGCAGTCCGGGCGTCCGCAACCGTCGTAACGATGCTACCCTCCTCTCCGGAAGTTCAAACCGTATATACAGAATCCAACGGGGATCATACCCGCCCTACGGTCATTCGCAGCCGATAAACCCCAACAGACGTTGCTTATTGACTCCACCACCCTTGACGTGGATGTCGCGCGGCGAGTTGCTGGCGCTGCCGAGGAGTCGAAAGCACTCATGATCGACGCGCCTGTGTCAGGGGGTGCGCGTTATCTCCGTGTAGCTGCGAGCGCTCTGACAATAATTTAGGCGTCGCTGGTGCCAAGGCAGGTACACTGTCTTTCCTGGTCGGTGGGACAGAAGCAGCGTTCCGGAAAGCAGAACCAATTCTGTCCCATATGGGGAAACGGATCATTTATTGTGGATCATCAGGTGCAGGGCTTAGTGCAAAGATCTGCAATAATCTGGTTCTTGGTGTGCAACAGATCGTCGTTGCCGAAGCCATGCTTCTCGGCCAAGCGTTAGGCTTGGACCCCGCCGTGCTTGCTGGTGTCATAAACAGTTCGACGGGTGCCTGTTGGGCCTCCTCAGTCAACAACCCAGTTCCGTCATCTCTTCCAGACAAGTCACCACCCTGTGAAAGGGACTATGAAGGTGGATTTGCCACTGCCCTTATGATCAAGGTAATTTTTATTGACATGAGGCTAATACGCGCGACTGATGGAGTCAAAGGACATGCGACTTGCCACCGACATCGCAAGTGCTCGGAGGAGCCCCCTTCCGCTTGGGCAGGCCGCGAGAGACTTGTATGCCCGTGTGTTGAAAGTATCCCCTGAGCTTGCAAGGAAAGACTTCTCGTCTGTATACCGATACCTGAAGGACCTTAGTGGAGATGGCCACGATTGAGCCCGTGGATATATATATATAATTGACATATTGTCAGCCTGTTTTCAATGCTATCAGGAGTGTTGTTCCTTTGTCGTGGCAATACTTGGTTGCATCACATTAGCGAAGTCAAAAGGGGCCGGCGGCCAATCTGATTTTGTCTTGGCGAAGACAAAAAGCTGCCGTTTGCTTCCGTTTTTCAAGTGGAGACGAAGATTTGAATCTCCGCGGCTGAGCATTAGTATGCCGAAGCTCATCGAAATAAGCTCCGCTGCGATAAACTTATCCCGATATATATAAATCATCAGTACAGCCGCCTCTTTTACTGTGACCCTTTGTGGACGGCCCCATCCCCGCCTTCATCATGTCGGACAGTGTGGAAAAACCCAGTGCGATCATTTTCGGTCAGTGCTCCTTCTGTTGCACCTACACGTTTGTACCGTCGATTCAATGCAGATGCCTACATTTGATATCTCTATGTAGGTGGACTAAACACTTGCTCCCGCGCACTCGCTGCTCTTCTCGTCCCACCACAAGGATATTCACTCGTTTCTGTACGTGCCGGATTGTCCTTAGTGTGTTTCACACATATAACTTTTCCCCCTCGACCTTCTACAACAGCATCTGCGCATTGTTGATAAATTCTCCGTCTCTCCCCCGACGACGTAGGTGGTCCCTTCTCCTGTATTTTTCTCGATCCAATCTCAACTTCCACAAAGATACCTGGGTTCAGAGTTCCCAAAGGTTTTGGCTCGACCAGAAGTAGAATACCGCCAAGCAAATCTCACAATTCCATGTAAGCAACAACGCGCAATGCTCTCTGTGATACACTCACTTCATTTTCAGCTGCCGTTGCATCTGCTTTCGATCCACCTGCTGGGCAGGCGCCGTATACCTATGTTTTCGATCTCAGTGGAGAAGTGAATCACGACCGGGGAGAAGTCGTACGTAGTCTTGCGATTTTCACTGTCACCTATCCACTATTTTCAGTAACAGATTGCCATAAAAATGACGTTCAATGTCTCTCGAAATATTGCTTTAGAGGCCGCAAAAAGAAATGTCAAAGCTTACGTGCGACTACAGCATCCGGTATATGAAACGTCTGATAAGGGCCCCATTGACGAGAAGGAAGATGCGAAACCCGTCAAGACCCTCAACATTTGGTGGCACGAGACTCTGCGAATGTTAGCTTCTATCGAAAAGTGAGACATTTCATGTTGGATGGCTACTCGGCTCAGTATCTTTCCAAGCTTGAACCTCGTCATTCTCCGCATTGGGTTTGTATACGGTCCTTATGTAGAATTTGGTCTTTGTAAGACCTCCTATTCCCTCCGGACCCGCTTCAGCTATGCTGAGAAATCATTCTCAGATGCTCTGGTAATAACGGTGGCTTCGATCTATGGGTACATGAAGAAACCAATGAAGACTATGTAAGAGTGCTGATTCTACGTTGCACTCCATCACTGATGTCATATATAGTTGGGGACCGGGAAAGGATCCGGTAAACACAGTTCACATTGACGACGTGGCAAGCGCCCTCTGGGCATGTGCTGAGTGGATGGGGCCTCTTGGACGGAAGGAGGCCAACGCAATCGCAGGCGAGAAGATTTCATTTCACAACGATAAGGGCAAGGTGAAGGAGGTAGCAGGGACTTGTTCACCTGACGCTCAGCCAGTGGCTCCCATATTCAATGTGGTGGGTTCTCCTGCGAGTTTTGTGTGATCCTCCTATGACCTGCCCACGGACAGGTGGATGACTCGGAGACAACGTTGGCGAAAGGTGGTGCAATGATAACCCAGTTTTTTGGGACAACCTTCGAGTTTTATTCGAGCTTGGAAACCGCGATGGCAAAGGTAGCAGGGTTCTTTGACATTCTTCATGCTCTAATTCATATCATTCCAGCTCAAGCTTGAGGACCTCGAGGAAGAAATAAATGAACATCATGTTGGCACTTGGACAGAGATGCTTCAACTTTCGAATCCACCAGTTACGCACACACCATTAAACGCTTACATGGATAAATACGCGTTGTCGCGACACAGACTTGGATATAGCAATGACAAGATCAAGCGTATCCTCGGTTACCAGTTGAAGCGACCTAAATTCTGCCAAGAAACTCTTCAGGAGGTCGTCGACAAATGGAAAGCGGAGGGATCTTGGCCTATAGTCCCAAATGCATGACAATAATTAAAGCTCGCAGCAACCGTCCGTCTGCTATGTACCAGGGGTGTGAAAGGTTCTTTATTTCAGGTCAATTCTGTTTGTTTACTTTTTGTTTAGTGAGCAAGACGTTGCTATTATTTCATCCACTGCAATTTTGTTAATACCTCTTGCAATCGCTCTTCCAATTGTTTGTTCTCATGTAGTTTACCACCGTGTGTTGACGGATAATGATGTTTTAATTCTGCTTTCGCTGGAAATATGGTGCGCGAGCCCGGGGCACTCGAGTGAAGCGACAGACAATGATCAGACTATGTTCTGATAAAACCATAGCTCGATGAAACGGACTCTGCTGTCACGAGGGTGTATGTACGTTGCAACGACAACGTCCATTGTGCGGCCTGACCTGAGACAACTGCGTTGATGAGTGCTTGTTCGGACGGTATACGGTTATCAAGACACCAGACGACATGTGTACATACATGTGGGCATTTCATGTGGTATACATTCCTTCCGGGTATACATACACAGGCACTTGCAATCACAACTTGGCCTCCCGCACTATCAAACGGCAGGCATTCCTTAGACTTGCGGCAGCAAAGTTGACAATTTCGTCGACACTAATCCACTCGTCAATACTCGGGAACGGGAAGATGCGAGAGACCACCGTACATGACTTTGGCGGGTTTGATATCCTACGGCGTGCAGCATTAACAAAGTTCGAAGCGAAAAGGAACGACACGGACATTAATGGAACCGGCAATCCTTCCCATTAACCCTATGTGACACCAGTTAAGTTAACGTTTGCACGCAAAGCTTCTTTCGTCCTTACACATTCGTCCTTCGACCGATTTTTCTGGATGCTTCTGCAGTTCAACTTCGTGGGGTATCTTCCCTTCAGACACGAGATCCAATATCTCCTGTTGTCGGTGAGACTCCCATTCAGATACATACGGAGTCTTGTGAACGCTCATGGGTCTGCCGGAGTAAACGAGGGTTCGGATTACATCGTCGTAGCCAGCTTGTAGAACCAGGTCCTTGTGCTTGAGGGGAGCGCCAGCTTCCTCGCTGGCAACAAAGCGTGTCCCTACCCATACACCTGCTGCACCATACCTGTACGATTTAGTCCGAGATGACGTTAAATGTCGTACCATCACTTACGAGAGTGCAGCGGCAAGCCCACGACCGTCACCTATTCCACCTGCGGCAACGACTATTATCGGCTCCCCGGTGAGCGGGTTTCTGGCATCCTTGCATAGATCGACCACGGCTGGAATAAGAATGGAGAAAGGAATTTCGCCAGTGTGGCCACCGCCTTCACCTCCCTGCGCACAGATGATGTCAACTCCTGTCGAAAGAGGCGTCAAGCTAAGTTTGCAACCGCCGGACTGGACGGTCCAAACCTTGAGCTAATGCTTTGCTAACGTGCTGGACACATATTAAACTCTGTACATAGCGGAACATCGCTTACACGAACCTTCGGGTGACCAATCATGCTGACGGTGAGTGTCAGTAAACGTCTCATTGACTGCACCAGTGACATCGTACTTCATAACCGGTATCCCCGCTGCATGAAGTTTGTCCACTGCCGCCTTTGGCGGCACACCAACAGCACTCACGAAAAGGGCTGCTTTGCACCTGATGATGACATCTAGAAGTTCATCAAGCTGCCCGTTCGTATAATCGTACTATACAAGGGCACGAAGTAGAGGCGCTGCACGTAAAAGAATCGCTGATTGCTTACATTCGTCTTTCTTGCGGTGCCACCGACCTGCGGAAGGAGTAGGTCAACGCCAAAGGGGGCATTCTTATCCTCCAAATGTGACTTCAATTCTTCGATATTCTGCTGGAGGATTTTCGGGGTCTGACGAAGACCCCCGATGACGCCAATCCCACCGGCATTGGTCACCGCGGCGGCCAGTCGTGGACCAGCTGCCACGTTCATACCTGGGATTGAAATAGCTCCTGAGCACTGCCTTTATTCGATAGACTCCACTTACCGGCAAGCATGACTGGGTGAGTTATGCCAAACAACCTCGTTAGTGGTTGAAAACACGGGACTCGAGGAAGGCATGGCTGCGTTCAGAGAAGAAAGGTACCGGAGGAATTTATCATTGGAGTATTTCAGCCGGTCGAACTGCAGCCGCTGCATCATTGGAAACCTGTGCCGGGTATTCAAGTGACAATCAATTGATGACTAATCACACAATTCCATTTTTCATGGCCAAGTGTCCAGTCGACCACGGAGGAGGGCAGTCGGGCGATGGCTGTCCCGCAAACCACAACTCTGGTTCAACTTGGACAACGATCTTCGGGAAAGGAGGGGCATCTACTACTAACCCTCCATCCTTACCCACAGACCGCGAAGTCTCTTCCATCCCGCGAACGACCAATGAAAATTGGGTATACCCCTCCGAGGCACAATTCTTCGCCGCAATGGCACGAAAAAATCACAATCCTCACGCAGCTGACATGAAGGCCGTAGTACCCATACATAACGCTGTAAATGAACGTGCGTGGTCCGAGATCGTGAAGTGGGAGGCAGGTAGAGGCGGCGCAACCTGTGGCGGAGTGAAGCTCGTCAATTTCAAAGGTCGACCAAATGACATGAGCCCAAAGGCCAGGCTGATGACTCTTCTCGGGTGCGTCTTGCCCTTTTGATATCCCTAACTACAAGATTCACTGCTCTACCAGGTATTCGGCACCCTTTGATCGTCATGATTGGATTGTTGACCGTTGCGGCACGCGCATACGTTATGTTATCGACTTCTACACTGGTCGTGGAGCTGGAGTATCCTCAAACAGTGTGTCCTTCTATTTGGACGTACGTCCAGCATTGGACAACTGGGGAGGAGTCAAGATGAGATTTGGGGCGGTCATTGGGGATTTGTTTGCTACCAGAAACAGTGGTACTTGATCCTCAACGCATCTCAAGCACCGAATCCATTGTACACCGTAGAGCAAACGGTCAGATGCTGGCATTAATATCACGATTTTATTCGCGTTTTGGACTTCTTCAGCGGTGGCTTCTCGATTTCATCAGATTCACTCTCAGCATCTGTTTCACCTTCAACATCCTCATCATCACTGATCTCCTCTTCTTCATCCCACTCGCCCTCGCTTCGTTCTTCACCGCTTTCGTCAGCCGAGTTTTCGGAGTCCTCTCGTGTCGATTTGAAGTCTTTTTGTTTGCCTACCTCCTTTTCTTTTTTGCGCCGGACATTTTCATCTTGCTCTTTTCTTCGCTTCTCCCTCAACCTCTCCTTTTCGGCATGTGACGTTCTGAGCGCGGCAGCTTCGGCCCTACTTTTCTTGACTGCAACTATGTCAGCGACGGAAGTACGCAATCTGATACGCAGCCACACACCGAATTCATGATACATCACCTCTCCATCCTTTCCAGGGATCCCTTCGGTGATCTTAACCAGCCTCAGTTCTAATCTCGGACCAACCTCATTAAGCTTAATGGCCTTCTTCTGCCCCCTCTTGTTATTCCTCCCTACATAGTCACCCGCTAGTGAAACAGCATCTCCTTCATCCCCCGCGACACTTGACGCAGAGGATGCAGCAGACTCGTAGTCTGCCTCGCTGTCGGGACCACGTTCACCCTTTTTTCTGAGTAGAAAGTCAGCAACGTCCTTTTCATTACCGAGGTCGAGAACCCGAGTCATTGACGAAGATCCAGAAGACTTTTGAGAGGTGCCTTCGAGCACGCGTCGTACGCGCTTGGAGACACCGTAAGGTTTAACTGTTATGATGTAATGCCGGAAGTCAATTGTGCCTCGCTCGGCATTGTAGGCTATGAGAACGATGCGACGAGCTCCAGAGAGTGACATGGACTTTGGCGAGAGCGGGGGGAACATGGATTGGAAGGCTTTCATGAGGAGAGGGAGGTGGGCCGGTGTAGTGGGTGATGGGGGAGGAAAAGATGCAAGGACGAGCTACAGGGATGTTCAGATATGGAGATACAAGCGAGATCAGCAACATACCAAAGGGGCCGTCAGGTATTCAAGACCCTGACTTAGTGCTGACCTTGAGATCTTCTGTACATCTTTCATGAGGCTGTATCTCTCAACCCGGAAGCTAAAAGTAGGTCCGACTGGTAGGCGAACGAGACGCAGCGAGGGTGCCAGATCGGTGAGTGTCAACGCGAGCAGATGCGTGACTTTGAGCACCGGGGCCATAGTGAAGAAGTCTTTAAGCTTGTTTCGTTTTCGTTCCTGAAAAAGGATAGGATTTCATTCCACTACCAGGATGAGCAACCGACATACTCACTTTTAGACGAGTCGCAGTGTTGGGCTCCATGACTTTTCGCAAATCACGAACTAGCTGGGTCAGAGATGTTCCAACCTGTCCATGTTTGATGACAAACGACTTCGGAACGCCATCCTCACTAATTCCAGCTGCACTTGCACCCTTCCGGTGGGTCCTGTGTTTTCGTCTGCGGGCCATCAGCTGAACGTATGAGCTTCTACTACTTCGCTTGCCTTTCCCAGACACGGATCCATGTTTGTCTTTGTTGTGCAAAGGCCTCTGAAATCGACAATGACAAATCAAAACGCTATTCGGATAATCTACACATCGATGTCACTAGCTCGCGAGTAGACGCGAAAAAAAAACGGAGGGTGTAAACTGCCAAGCCTCGAAACTTGGAGACAATGATACAGCATGAAATATCAAGCTACACAGACGGTTTGCAATGTCAAAGGAAGTAACAGCATAAATGGTTAGTGAGGGAAGGGATAATAGGGTATCCAGGATTTATGAGGAAAATCAAACTAGATGGCAAGAAACGACCGTGCAATAATCAGGATTTGGCGAGAAGATCCGCTCTGGAAATGGTGTGGCTAGAAATCAGGGAATTGGAGTGATTTGTGCAGAGGTGGCGAGTCCTCTTCCGCGAGAAGACCTGGCATGTCGTGCAACGACGGGAATGGGAGGTGGAGGAAGTGTCTGGTGTCATCCAGAGATGTCGTATGGGGAATAATTGGTGCCTAAAAGAAGACAGTTAGTAAACCAGCCACGCAATTTTAGGCAAAGTCATCGGAACCTTAATCTCGCGACGTTCAAGAGCATCCCAGTCAACACCACGGAACCACGGGTGTTCAAGGACATCTTGTGGCCCACCTATCATATTCCCAAGGCGTTTGCTACGATCTGGGCGCAAGAAAGCTTGTATTAGCTCCTGGGATGGCCTGTCCACGCTCCGAGGCCAGTGAACGTTTCCATTGAGAATCTTGTCATATATACCGTAGGGCGTCTCGTCAAAAAATGGTGGGTACCCGACAAGCATCTCGTAGCAAAGAATCCCGCAGGCCCACCAGTCAGCAGCCTTCCCATGGCCCTCTGACAAGATAATCTCTGGAGCAAGGTATTCGGGGGTGCCACAGAGCGTCCAAGTACGATCGTCCACCACTTTGGCAAATCCAAAGTCTGTTAAGCAAAGGTAGCCACATGGATCCAGAAGAAGATTCTCGGGTTTGAGGTCGCGATAGATGACGTTGAAAGAGTGAAGATATTTCAATGCAAGTATTATGTTGGCCAAATAAAAGCGAGTGACGTCAGGAGTGAATCTGCGGGCTCTCCGAAGGTGGGTGAAAAGTTCTCCTCCCGGCACGTAAGACATCAACATGTAGATATTCAAGCTATCTTGAAAAGTGGCGAATAGATCTACGACAAATGGATGCCGTAAGCGCGAGAGGATGTGTCTTTCGGCATTTACATGCTCGACTTGACGAAGGCGAACTACTTCCGACTTGCGCAGCACTTTCATGGCGAAAATACTGTGATACCCAGGAGTTATAGTTTTCAGGCGGACTAGAAGCACACGCCCAAAGGTTCCTGTACCTAATTGCGAATGATAAGCTAGTTGAATAAATAACCGAATGATAAGCATTACCCAGGGTCCCCCTTACTTCGAAGTCGCTTAATTTCAGTACACCAGGTTCCGCAAGACCAACTGGTTCGTCTTCAAGTAGGCGCGGGGGTTTATTAGGGGGCGTCGGTGGGTGTTTCTCGTGCGTAAAGCAGCACTCCAGTGAGTCACGAGCACCGCCTGAATCAGCTGCGGTGCTTGTAGAACACGGTGTCTCCTGTTGACAGTCGGGTTGCATATCCTGGTCGGCACGTAAGGCATCGCGGCTACCATTCTCACTATGACCTGGAGAAATCGGTGGGGTCATGGGCACGTCGTAAGCGACAGGCGCAGGCTGCCGGAAACATGGCTGGCCAAGAACATCGACGTTTTGTTCCCCTGAAGCACCATAAGCAGGCTGGGGCGTCGGAGCTACCAGTTGATCCATGTTTATGTGGCGTAGTAGGAGCGCAACGAGGAAGACACGGACGAAATCGGTTAGCAACGAGAAACAAGAGAAGCACAGTCGATCGACGAGAATCGAGTGTGTCTGACCAACAAACCGCTGGTATACCTATGCACCCGTCAGAGATATGTATCCAACATGTGTGCCCAACCGTACGCACGAATAAATTATGCGTCCAATGAACTGTTCAAGTGTCACTGGCAAGAACCTACACTGGTCGAGTCTGAATATCTTGGATCGCCGTCGCTGTCGCTGATGACAATTGAGCTAAGAAGTGCCAACACACTGTTATCGGGACTATATGAGTCACGTGACTGTCATCACTCTTGCTACGGCACCAAGTAATTTAGTACAAGAATCTAAACCAACTTGGACTTAGCGTGTGGCCTCACCTTACTCATCGCATCAACCACTGCTTGTCGAGGTAATATGTAGACTAGAATCAAACAAATGCAGTTGCAGACTTGTCGCGGATTAGGTTTGACCGTTGAACGGCCGCCGGAAGTCCTGATCCAACGTCTTCTACTTACGGGTTGTTCTGGATCCCACGACACGGCTGTTGCATCCCGTGTCAAGTTCCAACGGGACCCGCACTTAGAAACCGTTTTTTATATGCCCCAAAATCCATCAGCCTAAACGATCACTTCGAAGTAAACTTGAAGTGTTTCTCCCCTATAGTCCCATTACATAAGGCACCAGGAGGCTGTTGCCACAAGTCCTAGCTTCGCCGTTAACATTCGTGGACAGCCATCCTTATGGAGCTCCACAGCTGTTCCTGCACATGATGTCGAATCGTACGAGCGTCGGAGGTTGGCTAGTGGGGAAGACGAAGACAGTGCGGAAGGGCGGAGTGACGCCAGCCTCAGCACACAATACGCGATCAAATACACCACAGGTCCAAAGCACTTCCACGACAGTTTTTGGAGGTGGTGTAAAAGATGCGTCAGGAAGGACCACCGAATTCTTTGTAAGTATGCAGTGCGAGAGGGCGTGCTTCTCGGGGGTGCTAATTCATCTTGTAGTCCATGGATGACCAGTGTCCCGTTTGTAGATCTGACAGATACCTCAACCCGAAACTTCGGTTGCTTGTAAGCTCCTGCTATCACAAGATGTGGGCATGGCCGCTGTAAATTATCCCTTAAACGAGCTGAATTCTAGTTGTGCCATAGGTGCGAATCGTGCATCGATCGTTTGTTCACGCTAGGTCCTGCACCCTGTCCAATATGCCAAAAAGTCCTCAGGAAATTGGCATTCACGCCGCAAACCTTCGAGGACCTTACGGTTGAAAAGGAAGTCGCAGTCCGGAGGCGAATTGCCAAAGAGTCGGTACTTCAAATCCATGTTAGTTGCATCATCTCTAATTAGATGGAAGATTCAACAAGCGTCGGGAAGATTTCCCGGACCTACGTTCTTACAACGACTACTTAGAGGAAGTTGAGGATATCAGTACGTAGAAACCATCTACTATCTGGGGTTACTGCTAAGCTTATTGTCGTCTAGCCTTCAACCTTATCAACGAGGTTAACATCCCCGAAACAGAGGCACGGATTGAAGCATATCGTAGAGAGAATGCAGCGCTTATCGAACTTAATGTACGACGAGACGAGCAGTATTCTCAAGAGCTGAAGCAACAAGAAGAGCAAGAACGACTAGAACGGGAACAACGCGCTCAGGAAGCGCGGAGGTTGGAAGAACTTGAGCGCGAAGAAAAGGAGAAGGGCCGACGAGAGATTATCGACCGGTTGGAAACCAGTACCAAAGATGCTGCCGAAATCATAGCGAAGTCGCGGGCTGAGGCCACTAAACGCGCTGCTTCTCGCGCTGCTGCTACTACCACGTTCAAAAGTAGTGCACAGCTACTGCGCTCGCGCGCCGCACAAAGCACTACTATCCCCGATGTGCCACATGTCCCTTTGCAAGATGATTGGTATGCGTATGGGGATATGTATACAAGGTTGGATCACTACGACGATATGTACAGTGAAGCTGTCCGACAAGACCAGGAGGGGATTATGAAAGCTGGAGGGTACAAGGTAGAGGAAGCATGGGAAAGGGCGTTGAGGTCGGCAGTCACTGCCCTATTCCTGCCTCCACTCTCTGATCCGGAGAACTCACTGACGAGTGCAACATTCCTCCAACCGAAAAATGATGTAGTTCCAACTGAGCTGTAGTTCATTGATATTCGATCATACGATGCATTACATTGTATAAACGACCTTGCGTTTCCTGCGCTCCTGTTGAGACAAAGGCTCCTCCATCGGGAAGTAAAGAAGCTGGAACTGCTTGCGCTTCCTGAAAGCGGTGACTAAGAAAAACTCACGCGAAGAACAAATGTTAATGGCGCTTACTGCAAATTTGGCTTTGTCCACCGGAATGCCCCGATGGTATTCCCGGCGTGGAGGGTCAAGTTACCGTCTTCTTTCCTCGCCTTCTCTTCGTCATCTGAGTCAGAAATGACGATAGTACTCTGTACATCCGGATCAAAACGAGCACGTTTCCTTGATGGACCGATTTGAAACTTCCGCTGTCCAGCTTGCAGTATTCGTGAAAATTTGGATGATGGCGTCCCCCAGGTCACGCTACGTGGGCCGGCCAATGCGGCCCTACGAGCGTCTTCGGGGATCGAACTGGAGGAACTCTGATTAATTGGCATCTATAGGAGCAGAAAGAGTTTACCCCGATGGATCAAATACGAGAAGATTGACCTCCTTCGACTTTGATTGAACCTCGTATCCAACAATAGTGACTGAATGACCTTTGTATTGTAGGATAATTGGCATCTTCTCTGTAGTGATAACTGGTGAAGCGCCTCGGAGCACATCGTTGATTGTGCCTTGCTTCTTAACCGGACCAGAAAAGTACTCCACAACCCAATGCGTCAAGGGGCACAACCCTGTACAAGGAGGTCAGAATGCTGAGAAACCTACGGTACAAAGAAAGCTGGCCTTTGCTGGACGTGAGATCAAAATCCACCAGTGTACAGCTGAAGAACATTAGAAGACAGTCATTACCGGAGACGTTCGCCTTACGGTATCCCGCGAAAACTGAGTACAGAATACATATCTACCATGTACACGTCAGGATGTTATCATTTCCGTCATCAACTTGCTGCTCTTACCTGCAGTGCCTATGAATTTCTGGGTTCCTACAAGCTCGTCACCCAGTTGCTTAGCGCCAATCTCGTCATATCCTGAAGGGATTCAGTATCAGCGAGCGATAGAAAAATCGATTACCAACCTTGCTCCCAAGCATCTTCTATCCACTGTTGCAGGTTACGGACTCCGGGAGGTATAGGATTGTTAAGGTAGCCAAGATACGATGGTTGGATTTTTTGATCCATTAGGGCCGCACAAGCCATGAGGAAGTTTCGGTAGCTAAAACGCGTCTGGTTAGCGGGCGTTTTACTAATGCACGATCATCTGACGTGCCCACAACCCCAACCCCGGTCAAACGCAACAGCTATGTGGGGAGTCCGTTCGTAGCATAACACAGCCCGATCGGTAAAACCCTTGTGATTGGATTTCTTCAATGCTTCCTTCAGAATGGACAACAATCCTGTCGTTCTCACTATTCAGGGGCTATTTCTCGGACGACAATGATATCACCTACCTGGAGTATAATTTGCTGGGGGTGGCTCAGAAAGCGTCGGGTACCAAAATTCCTCCTCTGTTCTCTTCGTCAGGCATGGAAAAATACATGACCGAGGTTTGCTAGGCAATGGGGAAGCCGTGTGCTTCCGTGATGATTTGCGCTTGTTGATTGAGATTGGCTCTGTGCGGAATAATAGGAGTTTATCAGAGAAGTGGTTAAAATGAATTGTGGTTCACCTTACTCTTTGTGGATGTGCGATGATCCTCGTAGTGTTGGTCTCGTTGTTCCAGACTCATGTCCCGCAGGTTTGAACTGCACAATTGACAGATATCATCGTTCCCGGCTCTTAGGTCAAAAAGGTATCAGGAATATCATTCCATGAACCGAAAGTAAAGATACTTACGCTGACCTGCTTTTTTCGCCAATAATCTCAACCTCGTCCTCCATCAACTCCCCTCCGCATCAAAGGGCTCCAATAATAACAGCTGCACCTTTAAATGAATCGGATTACATAAGCAGCGTACGCGTCCCATTTGTAGACGACCATCCCACATAATAACTTATCTCCCACTTCGACGACTACGAAACTATGTCAAGGTCTTATGATCGCGGTAGGTAATAACAACAACGCCTTTTAGCCGTAGCTCACTGTCTTCCCTCTAAAGCATTGACTGTCTTCTCCCCCGATGGTCACTTGTTCCAGGTACCCCCCACAGACGCGTCACGTCGACCTGAGTATCATTCATCGTCTCTAGGTCGAATATGCATTAGAAGCTGTCAGAAAGGGAACATGTGCCGTATGGATCTGCACTTGTCATAGCCTGACCGATCAACGAATTTCTCCGTAGGTTGGTGTGCGAGGCAAGAACGTGGCAGTCCTCGGTGTCGAGAAGAAATCCGTTCTCCAATTGCAAGATCCACGTACCGTCCGTAAAGTCGTTATGCTGGATGATCACGTTTGCCTAGCATTTGCTGGTATGATGATCGCTTTGACTTGTCGGAATCTTTCCTCACCTAGTCTCTGCCACCTGAAGGTCTTACCGCCGATGGTCGCGTTCTGATCGACAAGGCGCGTGTAGAATGCCAAAGCCATCGCCTGACTGTAGAAGATCCCGTAACAATTGAATACATAACGAGACATATTGCTGGCATCCAGCAGGTGGGATCAACATGTATTCGTGTTTCCCATTGCTGACAGACTCACCATAGAAATACACACAATCAGGTGGCGTTCGCCCATTTGGTATATCAACACTGATCATTGGATTCGATCCCCACGACACGCGGCCAAGACTCTATCAGACGGAACCAAGTGGTATTTACAGTGCATGGAAGGCCAGTACATCATGCATTGTTGGATGCGTCGATAAAATGACACCTCTATCTAGGCTAATGCTATCGGCAGGTCATCCAAAACTGTCCGTGAATTCTTGGAGAAGAACTACAAGGAAGATATGACGCGTGAAGAAAGTATTAAATTGACCGTGAAGAGTCTTCTCGAAGTGGTTCAGACAGGCGCCAAGAACATCGAGATCAGTGTAATGGAAAGTTACGGCAAAGTCACAGTAGGTCGTCTCTATTTCTAACTTCAGCGTCTTGACTCCTTTGCCAAAAGAATTTGGAGCTGTCAGAAATTGAAGCCATTGTAGCTGAAATCGAACGAGAGAAAGAGGCCGGTAGGTCAAGGATGATGCTACTATTGACATATTGCTGACCCGTGCTCAGACGCTGAGAGAAAGCGTTCACGCTTGGCGGCCACCGCGGCTGGACAAGCCGCAATGGCGACGAGGGCGGATGCAGGACAGTCATCAGGGCAGTGAATATGGCACTATATATCTTGTACCGATTTCTATTGACGAGGTGGAGTACGCCGATGTCGTTCTGTATGCTCTGCACCAATCAAGGCAAACGTAAACGTTTAAAATTCAAAGATCATGCCCAGGTCCTCGGTGACCGTAGTACCTCGAGCAACTTCGCTTCCTCAGTCCCCTCTTCCTCACCCATCTCGCTCATATATTCCCAGCTTGCCTCCGGCGGCATGGTGATCAGTATGTTCTCCGTCTTTATTCCAGGGGTTGCAAGCCCAAATTTTGTTCCTCGATCGACTATTAGGCTGAACTCTACAGCACGCCCACGGCGTAGCAGTTGCCATCGCCGCTCGGCAGCCGTTACTGTAGTAGACGATCGTCTGTTTAAGATGGGCAAGAAGGACGGAAGGAAGGCGTTCCCGAGTCTCTGCGTAAGTTCGAAGAGAGATTCCCAAGAGGATAAACGAGCAAGCATAGCTTCAGGGAGATCTGGTTCGTTGACCAACAGAAGACTACACATAGCATCGGAATCCATCTCATCAAACCTCACACCGCCGACACCACGGTATTCGTTTCTGTGGGGAATGTAAATGTAATTGTCGCACGACGCCTTGAAGACTGGATACAGCCCCGGGCGGTGAAGATCGCATGCCTCCTTCAAGGTGGTGTGGAAATGTTTGACATCGTCTTCGTAAAGGTAGGTTGGATTCAAGTCTGCGATGACGCCAAACCACCAAGCCAGAACCTTGGGTGATGAGTTTGTATCATCGACTGATTCCGTGGACTCTTGGGGGTTCAAGGGGCCATCAAGCACTTCAAAGTACCTGTAGTTTGCGTGAACAGTCGATACGTGAGGGTTTTGAGGGTGTAACATAAGGCTAAGGCCGGTGGTGAAGAACGAACAACTATGATTTACTTCCTTCAAGGAAGCATGCGAAGGCCTCAAATGTTCGAGGGCTTTCTGGGAGAGGGTTCCATATATCGTCGAGACGTTTACGCCGGCCTTCTCGATGGGGCAGTCTATGGACGATTGTGAGATTATGAGCTACTCACCAGGGGTTACGTAGAAATCACGCACCAGAGGATGTGGAATGTGCAGGGGGGAAAGTCCACGAGAGTCCCACTCCTCCTTCATGACGGGACCATGATTCTCGTCTGAATGTCAAGCCGTCACGCTCGAATTCCGTAACAATTTGATCCTGCAGAGACGTCATATAGGCGACTACCCGCTCTCGAAATGCATGGCGCGGCGATCCGGTAGCATAGACTGAGCTAGTGTGAGCAGCGGACACTGCTCAGAAGGAAGATTAGTGCACCATCAAATCCACATTATGAACCATCGCTGACTGTCTCTTGTACAGTTGATGAGGATATGTGATTATTACCTCCAACCAAATGCATTGAGGTCCGATCTTAGCTGCCAGAGGTTTCCGAAAAGGAAATGGGTCGTGGTGGAAAAGCCAGACTAATACGGACAAGATAGAAGGCAGGAGTAGTAGCAGATCTACAAATAATACGTCTTGAACACTTCCTACACCAACCAAAGGCCGACGGAAAGACATGTTAGGACAAGCAATCGGTATGCGTAAGCATTCGGAGCTTGTCCCCTCTCGGTCGTTGCAAGCAGTGCAATGTGGTCCCTCACGCGAGGCTGCTGTTTGAACTTTGCCGACCTCATATCTTGCTGTGCGCCCATCAAGAAAAACGGGACATCCTATGCCGAAAATGCGATGTCAGTATGAACGCAGTAAAGTTTTACAAACGTATACTAGTCTACTTATCGTGTGTGGGGAGGAATGCCAGTTCTTATTAGTTCAGTGTCCAAGTCTATATTTGGGTCGTTTGTTTTGGTGTACACTCCTGTACATATTGTAGTCGCAGCAGACACGTCAGGACACGTCGGCCAGTCCAAAACGCGGTTCAATTGGTCGTCCAACGCCTGTCATGCAGCCTGCGATGCTCAGTTCAGCACCTCGGATAGGGAAGAAACATGTTCTGCTGTCAGAAATACTTGCGGTAACCTCCACGATGCGCAAGAATTCGAGATGGGCAGCTGCTGCCCACACGCTTGTTGCCAGGGACTCCGCGTTGGCAAAGGATCTCGGTCTACGTAGGGGGAGCTTGGTGGTCGAATCCCAGAGGTCAGGAAGGTTCTCACAGGAAGCCGATCTCATGGGTGGGTTCCAAGAGCTGAAACGAGCCATTCGCGATATCGCAGGTCGGTAACGCGTACTTCCATCATCCCGTTCTTACGTGGTTTCAAGATGTCCAGGGTCTCCCCCTGCCTAGTTCTCCTGGGACCTTTTCTTTCACTTATTCGCTCGCCTCTATCCACGGGACCAATCACGTCCGCTGCCCTCTCCTCCATCCACAATTTCTTCGTATGCGGCTTGATATCTTCCGACTCTTTGGGATTAGAAAGCGCGCTTTCTGAACTGAGCAGCGCTGTCTCACATTGTAAATTCGAAGCTAGTGATTCCTCCGGGGATGAAGTCGTACTCCTCAAGATTATGACGGTAATCCACGATTGCATATGTGGTAGCAGCGTCGGCCCAATGCTGGGCGATGTAGAAATTTGCGAAATGCTCGAAACTGTTCTAACCACATGCTGCCAAATGAGACTAAGTGGTGGGTTTTTATTTGATTTGTGCCACTGTGTCACTGATTGTGTCAAAAAGAAATTCTGCGTCGGTCTGCGGAAGCAACCATGATATCCATCGTCCGAACAATATTTTGTCGCCTGTACGACGTAGATCCTGTCGCAGAAGAAGCTAAACTCCGACTGAACGAGGAAGCTTCGCACCACGGCGATATTAGCATGACTGTGCCGGCTGATATGCCCTAATGGTGTTGAACATCAAAGCCTCGATGACAGCGCTCCAGCTGACTCTACCTCTCAGCACGAGGATTCGAGTGTGTCGGCCGACAATCTTGCAGCACAGAGCGCCATCGTTACCGAGGATACCGTAGCCATTGCTCCTAGACCATGTGCGTTCCCATGATACGTGTCGTTCGATTGTTCTTAATACTTGTGCCAGATGGTCTCCCAGCTCTCTTGGAACTGTTCCGTGTGCTCGTTCATATCCTGGACCCTAATGATCAGATTCACACCGATTCCATCCGCTTGACTGCCCTTGGTATTCTGAATGCCACGATAGAAACCTGTGGAACAGTCATTGGCAATTACCCATCGCTCCTGTCTTTGATCGTTGACCACGGATGCAAACACCTTTTCCAGCTCGCCCGCTCTGATAACCCTTCTATACTACAAGCTGCCTTACGGACGATTGCCATACTGTTCGAAACTATGCGTCCATATCTCAAGCTCCAACAAGAATTATTCCTAACCTTTACTATTGACCGCCTGGCCACTCCCCCGCTTCCAAGGTCCAACATGGCGAAGAGGCTACAAACAGGTTCTTCTCGTCCTAGCACCCCTTCAACACCTGTCCTTGCTCCAGCCAACGTTGATTCTGACACGGAGAAGGGCAGTCTAACACCACCCCGACCTGTTGTTCAACCTGCTCGAGGGGAAACGCGCGATTTGATATTGGAAACATTGAGTCAAATATCTAGGCATCCCTGGTTTATGGTTGACCTCTATACTAATTATGACTGCGATATTAATTGCGACAACCTCTTTGAGCGGCTGGTTGATTTTTTAACCAAGGTAAGCCATTACGTTCTCCACCTCCTTAGTAGTTTTGTAATGCATCCAGGGTGTGTATGCGATGCAGACTTCTTCGGTGTCAGAAGCACAGCAGCTTCACTCGCAGTTCTTATGCCTAGATATGCTACTTGGCTTCGTCGGAGACATGGCTGCGCGGGCTGAAGGGGTACGTGGTTCCATTGCTAGAAGGACGTAAAGAGTGGATTGATGCAAAATTCCAGAGTACTGAAGAATGGAAACCGGTAAGTAGGTCTTTGGTTTCTTAGGGCACGTGTTTGAGGTCCCGGCTGTCAGGAATTTGTTTCGCCCGGGGACTTGATGCAGAGCAAGTCGCGCAAGAAGCTCGTTCTGACTGGGGCTGCGAAGTTCAATTCCAAGCCAAAGCTTGGAATTGCATTTCTTGAAGAAAACGGGCTCATAGACCTAGATCTCTCGGAGCCTCGAACTCGAAGTCTGGCAAAGTTCCTTAAGAGTTGCACGCGCCTGGACAAACGCCTCCTCGGCGATTATATTTCGAAACCGGAAAATGTGGATCTCCTCAAGGAGTTTATCGGACTGTTTGATTTCAAGAATGTGAGTCATGTCACCACTTCTCTTGCCAATCAAAAGCTTAACGCGTATGTCGCGTATAGAAACCTATTGCCGATTCGATGCGTGAAATGCTCGCAACTTTCAGGCTCCCGGGAGAGTCACAACAGATTGCGCGCATAACGGAGACTTTTGCTTCGATATATTTTGCCTCAAACCCACGTAAGGAGAGTCTTAGATCTCTCAGATCAGTTGTGTAACGGATAAATCCTATATTAGCTGAAATCAAGAGTGAAGACGCAGTCTACGTGCTGGCGTATTCTGTCATCATGCTTAACACTGACCTCCACAATCCTCAAGTCCGGGTAAAGCATTTACCTGGCGTCCAGCGAGGCCGTGGCTGACTTGCCTGTAGAAACGGATGACCATAGAAGACTATCAGCGTAATCTCAGAGGAGTGAATGGTGGAGAGAACTTTTCACCGGAATTCTTGGTGAGGAACCAATGGTCCTGTTGATCCCTTGCTGACTTCTACAATTTTGTCCGTGCAGCAAAGTATATATGACTCCATCCGCAAGCGTGAAATCATTATGCCCGAGGAACACACTGGACAGCTAGGCTTCGAGTATGCATGGAAAGAATTGCTTGTCCGTTCAAGGCAATCAGGTATAAATCGTTCTTCCGGTTAGAGAGCTGCGGTTTTAACTGGCACCTGCAGGACCGTTCGTGATGTGCAACACCTCCTTATTTGACTGTGACATGTTCAAGGCAATGTGGAAATCGGTTATTTCTGCGATCGCCCATGCATTCATTAGTTTTGACGATGAATACATCATCCAACGAGCAATATCCGGTTTTCGTCAATGTGCCACCCTGGCCGGACACTTCAACCTTCCAGACGTATTCGATTTCATCGTCGCGTCTCTTTCTCAAGCAACAGGCCTTCTGACGGTCAATCTTCCTGCCCATGTGCCCAATTACCCGGTAGTCGATGCCGAAGGGCAGTCAGTGACAATTTCTTCATTATCTGTGCGACTCGGGACGAACTTCAAGGGTCAGCTTGCTGCTGTTGTCTTGTTTAATATCGTCAATGGCAATGGCAATGCCTTACGTGAAGGGTGGACTCAGGTAGGTTGCTATCGTCTACCACCTGCAAGCGCACGGTTCTCAGGGACCCTTTCCGTTAGATTTTCGAAATGTTCCAAAATTTATTCATGCATTCTTTGTTACCAATGAGGATGTTGCAAATGGAAGACTTCCTCGGGGGCGTTACAATGATCCCCCTACGCGGAAGTCACCCTTCACGGCAGGTGCAAAGGAACGATGGCGGTTTACTATCGACACTGTCTTCGTACCTTATGACGCCTTACGGGTCGAGTTCCGAGAACCTCATTCCAGAAGCGACGGATTCAGAGGTGGAGAGTACACTCTGCACGATCGACTGCATCAAATCTTGTCGTCTGGATGAACTCTATGCGCAGATCATGTGAGTAATCACCCTAGCTTGAAGGACTGCCCCGCTAACGGCTGTGAAGGCAATTAGATGCGGAGGCGCTTGTTGCCGCCATCAAAGCCCTTGAGGCACTCGCGCACGAAAGAACGGTAACCAAACTCAAGGAAGAAACAGACGATGTCTCACTACCATATAATCCGTCCCTTGCGAATGAGGGTCCATACGTACTAGCATATGATCCTGCTGCCGTTTTTCTCCTCGAAACCATGGTAAGCATAGCTTGTCAGACACCTCAGCACCTAGACGATCTCTGGTATGTTCGCACTACCTTCAGATGCGAGATCACTCTGTCCTGATTAGCGTTGCAGGCCCATCATATTTGAACATCTCTCGGCACTGCTATCAGCAGCTGCTCATTACAGCGTGCTATTGATCGAACGTGCCGTCGTCGCGCTATTGCGCATTTGCGTAATACTTGCACAAAAGGTGCGTGAATGGCTGGGGCATGTGCACCTGGTCTAGTTGAATGAATGGGTGTCCAGGATGCACTGCGCGACCAAGTGTATCTCTCATTGGACCTAATCGCCCATCTACCGCCTTCGGTTGCTAACTCCGTCGCTGAGCACGTTACAGCGGGTGTGAACCTCATACTTCAGCAGGAAGGCATCGCGAGGTAGGTTTCTACTCACTTTCCGAGATTAATAATAAGACATGCTGCTGGGTAGCACACAAACCGAATGGAACTTGATCAGTGCGGCCCTCCGGACGACCATTTCTCACCCCGAGGCTGCCCGCTCCACCTTTTCACTTGTTGCGAGTATCGCGTCCGAAGTTCAAGGTCAGAAAGTAACACAGAACAACTTCGCGTGCCTGGTGGCTATCCTAGATGACTTTGCAACTGCTGCGGGAGCCTCGATACGTGCTCAGTTGCAGAAATCGAGGCGTGCTCTACTTCAGCCTACGACGGAGTAAGTTACTACTCCGCAACCCCTAAAATGCGTTCACACCAAAGATGTCAGGTCCCCGATTGTCGAGCGTGGTCGAAAAGCTATCGACCTGTTGGCTGACCTTAAGAGGTTCATCGCGCCGTTATCTGCAGCCGGCAACCTGCCACCCGCAAATGGTAATGTCCACTAGGTGTTTGGCCGACAGTATTCACCTTAATTTTCGTTTCCCAGCGTGGCGACAATATTGCCTCCCCTTGCTTTCTTCCCTAGGAAAGCAGTCCACTAACCCCTCACGACTTGTCCGAAACGTTGCCATCGTTCAACTGCAGCGACTTCTCCTCGGCTCTCAACTTGTCTACGATGAGACGGATCATAGCTACGTGGAGGAAATATTCAATAGCATCATCTTTCCTCTCGTCGACGACCTTCTGAAACCCCAGGTATACCATCTGGATCCATCCGGCATATCGGAAACACGCCTTCGAGCGTCCACATTGTTATGCAAGGCGTTCATGCATTTCGAGGTGCGGGATAGGCATAGGAAAGTGGATGTCAGAGTGATATGGATCGAGATCCTGGACTTGCTCGACAGTTTGATCAGTGTAGAGAAGAGTGAACAGCTGGTCAGTACGGCACTCGCACATAATTCGTTTGCCATTTATGCTGATGCGTGATTTTTATAGTATGAGGCGGTCTCCGAATCGCTCAAAAACGCAGTTCTGGTGATGAACGCAGCCGGCATCTTGGTGCCACCTTCAGAACATTGCGACGAGCAACATCGGACGTTCTGGTCGGCGACGCGTGACAGACTGGAACGCTTTCTACCTGGCTTTTTGGCAGAAGTCATTCCTGCACCAGAGGCTGCCGAGCCCGTGGCTACAACTGCTACAACTGGAACGTAGAAATGTGATAACAGTTCACTAACTTATCGGCATCGGCGAGAGTAGTAGTACAAAGACCGAATCATCACATACACTAAATGAACTTCATCTTCGACGGACTACTCGGATGGCCTTTAGTAAAACGCGGGGAGTTCGCAGAGACACTCACCGTATGCGGGTGTATGCGGCAAATAGAATTGCCAGTGGTGCGATAGTATACCCTACTAACCGAACGAGGAAATCACTATGATGGGTTACCCAGGTAGACCATGTGCCTGCCAGGTAAGCTGTGAACAAGGTCAGGGAGAAGATGATGTATCCTGATAATCTAAACCGCCGTAATAAGCAATTGAATGCAACAAAGATCCCGTTGATGGCTGACCTATGGTACTTCCACACGGCCTTGGCCTTCATACCACCGCCCAAGACGGCACCGCCGAACCAAACACTTGCGCCTCCGATCAACGCTTGGGTGACAAGCCAGACGACGGCAATTATCCCGAATGTCTGATGGATTGTATCGTATTAGAGGGGTGATAGGCTAGCTGAATGAAACGCTTACGCCATGCCAAGTAGTAAAATGAGGGGCTGAATGAAGCGACTTGTTGTAAACCATAAATGCCGTTCCAGCCAGGATGCAGGGGATGCCGACCCCAAGCATTGCGATCTGATGTCTCTTGAGGCCAGCAGCCTTAGTCGCAGGTTGCGACGTTGGTTGAAGGGTGAGTATGCCTTTTCCACTGTGTGAGTAGGGGCGGTGGATAGAGCGCAATTTTCCAGCGCACCATATGTGAAACAGGCAATGGCAGAGCTTTGGAGGATGGGATGGTATGCGAACCAACCTAACGACGCGGGATTGTTGGTGAAGACGATACCCCATGTAACCAGAACAAAAACCTGACGACATGGAGTCAGTTTCTCACAAATTAGGATATTTATGAACATACAAGTACCGCCGCCTGCAATGATGTTCAACAAGATGCACACTTATACACAAGTTGACATACTTACCAATGCGACATACTGGGCGGCTTTGTCCCCCTTGCGACCCTCTGTTCTCAGGCTGGTGGTGGTGCGGGCCATTTCGACTTGCTCAGGGTCAACGTTGGAAAGGAGGCCCTCTTGTTCGTGGGTGTCACTGGCAGGCAGGTTGTCAGTTGAACTACTCATACTGCGGAGACGAGCGAGCGGTAGAAGCACAACAATCAAACCGATACATCACCTTGCCACCTCCAGTAAAGCGCAGCCTGTGGCGATAAGGAGACCTCAGCCCTGCGGACGACGGCGAAGCTCGCATTACATAACGCAACTTGTGGCATACATACTCTCGTCAGTGATCCGACGTAAATGTTATCGTGGGTCCAGTATCACTTAAGTCGCCGGTTCAAGTATAATATCACCAAAGGCGAGTCACCCTCTACTGAAACCGAACAGCATGATCAATGTCGATGTCGATATCTCTACAGCTGTCTTGGCTCTGGGACTCGCGTTCGCACTCACAGGGGCGATATTCCTGCAGTCTTGTTCCCTGCTCTCCGGCTCCCGCCAATGGCTCTGTCGTGTGCTGAGTAGGAAAGCTCTCCCCGACTACGCGAAGCTGACCGGAGTTCCTGCCCCAAAACCGCTTCACAACTTTGATGCCGCCAGAGCTCGCCCGTACCGGCCATTCAGATGGGAGTATCACCAGAACATGTGTACGTCCCAACACTGCATTCTAATGCTATTCTGCTGATTCAGTGCCCTCAGCTCTCAGCGAGTTTGAACCAAACTGGTGGATAGAGCTCGAGAGCACCTATCTCTCGACAATCGCCCAGCGAAAAAAGCTATACGCTGACCACGGAAAGTTGATAATTGACGAGCTGGAAGGAAGCCGAGAGGCATCAAGGGAGTGCATGGAAATGGTCATTCAGTACATTTGCCAGAGATACCCGAATCAATTCCGTTACAACGACTGGACGGGCGTATTCACTAATGAAATTCTCCATACCCGGGTCGACACCACCACGATACACCCATTGATATTTCTCCTTGAACATGTTCCCGAGGATTTCTTCATCGTACAAGAGGATCCTCTGACTGGGCTTTATCGTATGACAGCCGGTATCGCATGTTCAGCCATAGGCTGGAACATCAGCCATAAAATTGGCAAACCACTTGGTGAAATCCACGATCCCGTTCCGGACTACAAGGAAAAGATGGCGCTTTCGGTGGATAGGTACGATCCGTGAGGCGATGTGATAGGCAGTCCGTCCTGACGCTCGGTTAGATATTTCTCTAAGTTGTCCTGTGACAAGCCCATCCAGCGAGGGGCATGGAGTTTAGAAGTCGGGGAACCACTCTTTTTCCAAAAAGATTCACCAAAGTGGCATCACCGCAGTCGTCAGGATCCAGACTTGCTGACGTCTGATATATTTCTGCGGGTCGACTGGCAAACTCTGCGACGTTTGCCAAGGTCACGGGCTATTGTATTCAACTTCAAAGCTCTGTTTACACCTATCACCGACTTTCGACGAGAGCCTTACATCCCCAGGTTACTCCTCAAAGTGTTGCGAGAAGGGAAGAAGTCGATGATGGAATACAAGGAGTCCTGGCATACCGAACACAAGGTTATACCTGCGCTTGAAGAGTGGGCGAAGGAACAGGAGCAGAAAGGATGGGTGCCAAGCGATTGGAAGGAAAGGACGCTAGATGAGCATCCGTTCTACCCAGGATGGAAGGATCATTATCCCATCCATGATTAGGAATCGGTCGTACGACCACGGCTTGCCCGTTCATGAATTATCATCATCTTCCATCAGCTCAGCCAATTCACGCTCTTCTTTTGGTAGCTTGCCGGTTTTGTTACCACCTCTGGGTTATGTATATTAATTAACCTTCGGCTCAAACATAGTTGAGACACCGAATAACCAAATGACGTCTGCATATGCAGTGACAACGTCAACCTCCTGAAGTGTCTGTCACTACAGGATGGTCGATCAGTCGGTGGCTGGACAGTTGTGAGTATCGTGTGACGTCTAGCTGGACACCACGACATCAGCATGTTCAACGCGAGGCCGGGCCTTCTCATTGCTGAGTTTGTCGACAAGTTAGTGACCACCGAGACAATTACTTACCCGTGCCCGTTTAACCTGCGTGTCGATATACCACCCAACACAGCAGCCTGATATAAAGTGTTGTCAAACGTTATCGACGGCGGCGAAGGCACAAACGCAGAGATACCCGCGTTCTAACACTTCGACGTCTCTCCACACATCATTGTCATACCGGTGGACAGCATCGAGTTCGATTTTACGCTGGAATGTTCGCGAGAGTACCACGGGCCAGTGTTACATAACGGTGTCACCTACCCTTTTTTCACGTCAGCACCGAGGCACCATGCTTATTTGATTGGATCGGCGATTTGTACTTACTCAAGGAACATAGCAAGGGTACCAAAGCGGAGGCGAACCGGGGCCACCTGTAGTAATGAAAGAGTTTGGCCCAAAGCTCAGAGGATTGGTGCGAAGAACCTCCTCGTGGCCACTTGAGAAGTTGCTTCGTAAGGGGGTGTAACCACACCTTATCCACAGGTCCCTGGTTTTACTCATCAATATTCAATCTCCATCAGCTGACAAGACACATTCTGTCGTTCGAAACATCCAGGGATATCACAAACCAGTGGGTCGACCTTACCTAAAGAAATGTGAGATGCGATAGGTAAAACAACAAAGTACGCTATGGATACAATAAAACCCTAAACTTCCTCGTCCGATATCTGTATTTCATCCGCGTTAACCTCCGGCAGTTTGGCTGTCTGCGGCGTTTCCGACGGAGACCCATCCAATCTTGGTAGCGTGGTATTTTTGGCGGCTACGAATGAAGGACCTTTGACTGCGCCAGCTTGCTGTTCAGCAGCGGCCATTGGATCACTAGGCTGAGGGCTTGCGTCTTGGGCACCTCCATTATTTTGTTTAGTGGACAGAGTCTGCGCGGCGAGATAGGATGCCTCGGTGTTGAATTGAGCTTGCACACTTCGTTTTATTCGAAGCATCTCCCTGAAGGTATCCTCTGACCCAGTTTCGATCTCGAAGCTGTTCCACTCTGTCCAGAATTTCGTATTGACACGCGGGTCACAGAATTGTGAGGCGTGCGCGTAGATGGCACGGGCGCGGTCAATTTCCCCGAGTTTGCGTTCAAGAGCCGCGAACCGCAAACACATTTCAGAGGTCTGCTTAGGGGGCAGAACTTCGATAGCGCGTTCGTAAATTGGTCGAGTCGCAGGCAATCCGTAGTTGGCGGTGGCTTTTGCGATGTATATGGTATACATCTACGAAGGTTGTTAGTACACATCCACTTGAGATCAGTAACAACATACCTCAAACTTGTCTTCGTCGGCAACTACCTGCGTAGCACGTTCGTATATCGCCATGGCGCGCTTTGCAAGGCCGTAATCCTCCTCGAGTTGACAGTACATAAGGAATAACGGCTTGCATGATTTCGCAGGGCACTTCTCCAGTGCTTGTTCGAAAAGGTCGCGTGCAGCGCTCCAGTTTTGTCCCTGCCTGTGGAGGGTCAGAAAGGAAACGAAGAGGAGAATCATAGACGTACATATCGTTTGATGAACTTCGACAAATAAATGTTCCAAATTTCGAACGATATCGGGTAGGTGAATAGCTCCGTTCCACGTTCGTACACCTGCATGCGATCAACCAGGGCTGCCAACGCAGGAATTGCGTCATTACCTTGAAGCTGTCCTCCCAATATCCGTTTTCTTCCAGAAAAGCAGCGTAATTGATAATGATCTGTGCATTCGCAATCTTCAACTCCATGATTTTATCGTAGACCGCTTTCGCCGATTCAACCGTTCCAATGGATTCCTCTAGGTCGACATAGAATGACCACAATTTCAGGGATTTAAATAGCCGCGCTTGTACGGGCAATGTCTGGGATATATCAGCGATGCACTGTATTAACAATGTCCGCAAACTTACGTGATCGTGGTAGTTGACCTTCGCATTTTTCGGAACAGCCGCTGCACGCTGCATGACTCGGACCGCGTCATCATAATTCCTACAAGGCTATAAATGAAAACCTTGTGAAATGTTGGCCGAGGGACTTACTCATGACGCAATTCCATCTCAGCCCATTCACACCAGATTTCTGCAAGGTCTTCAACGGTCTTGAAATTGACTTTGGTAGCCTTTTCCAGGATCTTGCGTGCATTGTCGAGATCGGGCTCTGCAGTGCCAGATGCGCCTCCTTCTTCGTAGTACCTCGCAAAATTGATATATAGCCGATAGAAATTAGCAGTAGCTTTGCGAGGGCTGATAGTTTGTAGAGCTTCGGTATACGTCTCGGCCACCTGAAACGTGAATAAATTCGTGAAAGACGAATAAAGGCGCTGAGGAAACCATACCTTCTCGTCATCATTGCCCCATAGTGCCACTCGCTTCTCCCACTCTTGAACGTCGTTCGGGTTCCGTCGTAGGAGGACGTCATTGACAAGGAAAGGTCGTCGATTCATTAAGTCCTCAAACTCTTTCATTCTGATATCCACTTCACGCTCTGTGTCTTTGATATCCTCCTCGTCTTCATCTTCGTCCGGATTTTCTAAACTCTCCATCATTGCACTAATGATAGACTCGCTAAATTCAGCGTAACCATCGAATATTTGTGTGAAGTCTCTGATGGTGAGGACTGAGGCAATGCCGGCCTCGAACGTAGTTTTCGCTCGGTCGAATTCACCTCGTTTGATCCAATACGTTGCGAGGCCTGTCCAGAGACGGCCAGCTTGATCCTTGTATACCTCGAGGCCATCTTTCCGCACGATACGTTCGATATTGAGTTTACGTTTGCTGAGTGGATCCTCATCTTCATCGTACACAGAAAGGGGCTTCCCATCCGCGGCAGCAGGCACGGGGGGACCGGCTACTCGCACGAGTTTCCCATCCGCAGAAGCGGAATCCTCCTTCTCCTTCGCCTCCGCATCTGCTCTGGCATCCGCGGCATTGGATTCAATGGTATCATCGACGTCGAGCCCGACTTCTTCTGCAAAGCGTTCGACAACATCCAAGAAATCTCCGAGTAACTGGTAGGGACTTTTCCCTTCTGGACTGATATACTCTCCGCGCGCAGCTCTCCTTGCCAAAGACAGTAATAGCTTGGCAGCCTCCAGTGGGCGAGGAGTGGAGTCTGCGGGGTTGAGCAATAACGATGCATAGTGTTCAGTGAGACTTGGGTCAGCAGTGAGATACCGACGGTATACGGCAACCATTGTCGCACCCCCCCTACCTTCTGCCCACAGCAGGTATCGCATCCATATGCGGGAGTGCAAAGAAGGGGGCAGCGTGCGCAACGCACGATCAAACGTCCGGCGAGCATGAGTGTGAGATATGACGGGCGGACAGAGAGGATGAGAGAAGATGGAAAAATACATCAACCAAAGGCGAGGTAGCTGATAGTCCATTAGCATAATTTGAAGATGGTGTGGGGTATACGCGTACCTTTGGCAGCCACATTAGGGCGCGTTCATATGTCGCCACGAGTGCTATCCATTCCTCCAAACCGACGACCCCGTCCAATCCACCATCCCACTCCTCGCTATAATCGTGCTCTTCCTCTAAGGCGTCCTTCATTTCCGGAAACTTCTTCCTTCCGCCTGCCCTTTTCTTGTGGATTGGTGGGCCAAGCACGTAAGACATTCTCATCTGCAGGTACGACTTCCAGAGTTTGAATGAGCCGGGTAGCTGAACGAGAGCAGACTCGTATAAGTAGGTTAGACACTGAAGCGAGCGTCGCGCGAGAGGAGTAGCGAGCGGCCCGAGGAGTTGGGTCCGAGCATCATTCACAGTACCGGCACGTCGCTCGGCCTTTAGCTGCGCGTTGAACGCATCTCTGGTGTTGTGTATAGCTGTCCACCACGCGCGGAATGACGCCGGGTTGCGAAGCAGGTCTTCTTCCCGTTGAGCATCGTTGATGGTGAGCAAGTCTGGATGTGTCTTTGGCGTTGGGACCGGCAGTGTCAGTGGAAAGTAAGACGACAGCTCCTGCAGCGCCATCGCGACAGACGGCATCGAAGGAAAGAGGACAATTAATTTTGATGTGTTATTTCGTGCAAATTGACTTATCCTCATAAATAAATTGAACTTGTCCGCTGAACAATATTTGCTGCACGACATCATGGTAAGTGAGGAGTCAAAGCCGTCTGCATATTACGACCACAGACGATTGGCCTAGCACAATGTCAGGCGCGTCCGTCAGTCTCCGGCTGCCATCCAGGCAAACAAGGAGCGAGAGAGATCAAAGATTGTTGATTATCTTGCGCTCACAAACGACGTGATCTCCCGCGTAATACCTTCAGGTCTGTGAACCATGACTCAAACTGATCTTCCCTCCGCAGAAGAATAACAAGGACTGGAGCAGGGACGCATTCGATGCGACTCAGAAATTGCTTGAGAAGAATCCAGAATTCTACACTATCTGGAACTACCGTCGAAACATCATGCTAAACGGAATCTTCCCTGATAGGTTTGTAACTTCGTCTGATAACATGATCTGTTGTAACCCAGGCCCTAGTACCTCCGAACAGTTAAACAATATCCTTGCCAGCGAGTTGATGTTGACAACTACAGCGCTCAAAGACCATCCTAAAGTATATTGGCTGTGGAATCATCGTCATTGGTGTCTCCAGAACATACCTGACGGGCCTATCGTTAAGAGAAACCGTCATTACAATGGAGGATTGACAACTGGAACAAAGAACTTGCTGTGGTAGACAAGATGCTCAATGCAGATCCACGAAACTGTTAGCTTCGATCCATTCCCTCTGTCGACTTCACTGACCGCTATGTGCTTTCCACAAGTTATGGCGTGGAACTATCGTAGATATGTTCTAGCGAGTATGCCGATTCAGCGGCCTGAAACGGCGGAACTGGCGTACACTACCCGTAAAATCAGCTCTAGTTTCTCGAACTTTAGTGCCTGGCATCAGCGCTCTAAGATTTATACATCTCTGTGGCGCTCAGGTCAGCTGGACCCTGTCAAGTCGCGAGACGAAGGTACTTTTTTCTTCTTCTATATCTTTCTTATCTGGACGATTCGTTGATCTCGTAAAGAGCTCGAACTGATACACAACGCGATATACACGGATCCGGACGACCAGAGTGCATGGATATACCACAGGTGGCTAATGGGGTCAGGTACAGCGAATTCATCTGCCCGATTTAATGCGGACAACTTAGCGCAGCCCATAGGAGAGAACGAAAAACAACTTCTACGAGAGATAATGGTCATCGAAGAACTGCTGGACGAACAGCCTGACAGTAAATGTAAGATCATCTTGTCATACAACCAGCCGAAACTAATGGACATCAGGGTGCATGGATTCCCTAGTGTATTACAACAGATTGCTTTTGCAAAAGCATCGTCCCCACAGCACGGAACTCAGGGGAAAATGCCTCGTATTGCTTCAACAACTGGAAGACATCGATCCCCCTCGACGGTACAGATACTGGGAGACAGGTGATTTTGTTGTCTCTCATTCAGTCGTTCTGTGGCTCAAACCAGGGATACAGCCGAAGAGATTCGAAGGATCCAGCCTCATGAGGTCACCGAATGTGTATGAACACCTCCTTATCTGCCTTCTCTAACCACAACTGCCTTTGAGCAATACCATCATCTCTCTGAATACAACGCGTCTGATAATTCTTACCGTGACCAGTGGTTTACCGGCAAACATCGCATAGCTTACCTACGCTTAGGTTGACCTGCCACCAAGCGAACTAGGAGCATTTGCATCTGCGAGGTTTGTATTGTTCGCATATTTGGAGCATCAGGACTGAACCCACAAACTCAATCGCTTGATTCATGATGTGCCACCATCCACACTTATTTTTTGCTGACAACGGATCCTAAACGCACAGAACCGGCCCAGCAACCTCTACAACGCTGTCATGCATCGGCGTTGTTCTAATTGAGGGCCTACCCGTCCAACCCCCCCCTCACAGTTGCCTTTTCTGACCCGGCGAGAAAACTGTGGTCTACATGCTACGGAACTTGTGACAGTGTATCCGCAGAGCCTGACTGCGGGCGGAAAGCGATTCGGAATGGAAGGCCATCAGGGTGATTGATACCAAGATCGGCTTTTGGCTAACTACATAGGGAAACGACTTCAAATCAGCCACTAAGAGGCTTAACAGAGAGTGCTTAGCCAGCATTCCGCAAAGCGAAAGTTAGGATACTCTATATAGTGTAGATGGTCCTGATGTTATGATATCCGTTACAGCCGTACTCAACCCCTTTCTTCCTCACTTGTCTCCCGCTTTCTGGATCACGAGGGCTAGAGATTACACAACTTCAATACATTTACTAGGTCGTGAGTCCTGGTTGCCACCTAGCTCATTCCTCATTTTTTCCCGGGTCCAGCATATTCCCAAACTTTCTATCATTGCGTCTTGCTCAATGTCGCTGTGAGAAGGCTTGCTTAAGTGCTTCCGAATCCGGCGCAACTCGTTCGGCCGACTGTCTTCGCTCGTCTTCAACCCACATGCAACCAGCACGTTCGAGGTAGAAGGATGTAGCAATGGCGCGTCCCAAGGTAATCCTAGATGTATTGCTGCGTGCGACATAAAACAGCGTGCTTGTGTCTGTGCCCATGTCATCTTCGAGCACGTCTGCGAGTTTGGATGTCACTTGTTGGCATTCCCGCCAGCGCATCAGCAGTGCTGCATGACCAGCACAGGTACGGTAAAGCGCCATCTGAATGCTTGCCCTGATGACTCGCGTGGTTGTCCACTAGTGTTGCGAAATTTAACGCAGGAATTCCCATACATCCGTGGAGTTACGGCGCAGGTAAGAATGGGGCAAAAGTTTTTGAAACCAAGATTTGAGCGTGCGGCTTCACTCCCGTGTTCCGACCGTGGAGCGCGTAATCACAAAGATACGTTTCACTTTCAGTATCTAATACACTAAACGGAAAGAGCATACCCTGATAACGAGAGGGTTGATGTGGAAGATGACACCGTGAATGGCCTTGTTTCACCCTTGTGATATGACTAATTGTTTGTATACAGAGATCATTTCCTCTGCTATGCGAGAGAACCTATGCAAACGTGATAGTGGAGTTACTGTAAAGAACACAAGATGCAACACTAACATTGCCTGGTTGGAGGGAACGGTGGCTCTCACGCTGATTGGCATCGTTTCCAGTCCCCGCCATTTTGAGAGGCTATCCTGTGCGCCCATAAACTGCAATTCACCACATTAAGGGGGTTTATGTGATCGGAGAGAAGACCCGGCAGCTGTTATGAAGCCAGGTTTAATTATCTGGTTTGTGACTTTGGTTCCGAGGCACTGCATGATCACCTTGACTGAGCTGAAGTGGTAGAACGGTGTGCCAATCACTGTGGGCGCAGAGGAGAGTACATACTTGTAGACTGCTGTGAAAAAGGGATCAGTTACGTAGGAAGAAAGAGGAATCACGGGCGTTGGCCTGTCTTACGAAAAAATCCAGACCCAGAGAACATCACAATTGAACAGCCTGTCGGGATAAACTTTTCTCGAGGTACAGTTTTTACGGGGGCCGGCGGTGCAAGTTGGCAGTGTTCAAACGTGAGGGTGGGCATTGAAGGGCGTTGCTATCATGCAATCGTGACACAAATGATGGCCGAACTAACGCTGACCCATCTGAGATGTGCTATAAGTTTCATCGATTGATCCCCTGATCAGCCGCACTTCCAGTTCATCATGTCGGCTACGGAGGAAGAGGAGCTTCAAGCTTTGTACGACAGCCTCCGCCAGATCCGTCTAGTCAACTATGTTACGAGCAAGTAAACGTCACTGCTAATTGTCTGATCCCGCACTCACCTCGAACTCCGTGATAGTATCTTGTGTGGCGCTGCTCGTCCATGACATCCTAACCAACCTTGACAGAGAGGTCTGCGACATTGTGACTCACTATTTGACAGCCCTTGTGTTCTGACATAGCACTGGCATTTTTTGCAGATTCCCCTTATCTGGAGATATTACCACAACACCAATTATGAAGAGCACACTTCTTGGCGTGGCAGAGCTCGCCGCACCCTAGTTCAAGCTCTTTTTATTTTTGGCCGTTACTACGCTCTTTTTTACCTTGTGTAAGTTTCATTTCTATGCTAGCCAGTGCTGTCCCGCTACAACAACTCACGCAGGGGATATTTTGCTGGTACGGTGTCTTCCGCTCGCTGTATCCTAATACTCAATGGAACTCCAGTGAACAACCACCAGGGCTTCTCTGTACCTGTATGCGAATCAGCCAGTTCGAATTTCTTCGTTGACTGACACTACTATTAGTTGTGCGCATTTACATGGACAGGTTTGCAGATACTTACTAACCATTTCACGCCGCAAGCTGCAAGGTTTACTACTATTATCTCACTTTGTGAGTTCAATCCCACCACGTACAACTTTACACTCGCCGACTTACTTTGTTACTAGTGGAGGGGAAATATTATACTCGGCGCTCGTCAACGTTATCCTAGTGATCCGCCTCAATGCCATGTACCAAATCTTCCATGGTAAGGAAGGATTACGAAAACATCAAATCTTCCTCGCGTCTGTGGTCATCAGTGAGATATGATTTGTCCTACTCGTACGAATGTTGATTACCCACCATCTCTAAACCAGTTGAATCTTTGGTTCGTAAATCCTGCGCCAGAAATCTTCGCGCGTGGGCCTCACAGTGTAGTCTGCAATATGCTTAGGCTGAGATTATTGTATGTATTATATCAGTCTCATGGATCCAGAAAAGGGTGGTCGAGCCTCCGGCCGGAATTCCTTGGCCTGGTTGCATGCTTAGCGAAGATCCAAACGTTGCACTGACACTCCCGGCTTGGTAGGAACTCTTCACGATTATACTATTATACCCAACTGACAAACCGAAAGGATCATATCAATCATTGTTGCCAGTTGGTCCTCCTATTTCAAAGTCATCTGGGATCTCATGTTTTTCTGTAGCGATTTTCCTTGGACTCACCCTCCATCTGCTCTACTCGAGTATGAAATGGAGGTTTAAGCATTTCAAGGATTTCACGATCTCGAATATCAAGGAAGAAATTCAGAACATCCAGCCAATGACCCGAACGCTGGTCAGAGATAGTGTGCTATTCTACTTCCCGTAAGTAAAGCTCTCCACATTCCCTCGATGCACAGGAATGTGAACGTGGTTGTGTCTGGACTTGTAGCATGTTTGGTAAGCCCACGAACATGACATGCACCTTAAAACAAAGAACTGACCGCAATGTCCCCCCTGAATCTAGGGATATTAGTTGCCTCCGTTCCCGTCACCGCTATCTATCGCACGGCTCTTGCCACCGTCACCGCTCCGTACGTCTCCAGTTTTTCCTTAAATCGTATATTTGACTTTACCACGTTGCTGCAGGATAATTTTAGCTCTATACTCTTTCTGCGTAAGTTCTATCATGAGTTTTCTCATCTCATGAGTCAATGCTGGACGATGACCAGGCCTCGCGACTAATAATTCACACCCGAGAATGTTTCGCCCAATCATCCCATGACGCGCTGAGTCGAGAGGTTGAAGCAATCAACTTCGCGTCCCGATCGTTGATGACGTCGCATGCGAAGACGGATGTGTAACAGGCGGTTCGACCTTCAGCGTTGGGCATGGTCAGACATATTCGAGTATGTTGAAGCTAGGTGTTACTGAAGCACAGGAGTTATAGAGATTCGTTCAGGACCGGTAGAGGCTTGTATCTCCCAAATACCCGCATTGTCGTTATATCTTGCATCCCGATACCAGATGTCGCCGTAGATCATTTTTTGTCGTAACATAAAACAAAGATGTAAAAGATATGAGAACGGGCAGATGCAATGTAACAGATCTTCAGAACTGGTGCAATGCATGACATGCGTGGCTCAGCGTCAAGCTGTGGAACGCATCATGGGCCGTCAGCGCTTCAGCTTCCGCATGATCGCGTGCCTCCCGGTGTGTACGTAACTCGAAAACCCTGTATAGTCTGAAAAATGCCTCATTAATTGCTTCCGCTCATCGGGAGCGAATGCCCCCTGAATACACCAGTCATTGTCCACACTCGCACCCTCACTCAAAGCGCTAGACGGCCGAAACTACATATAATCTCCACATTTTCTAACCTCCAAACAAGACACATCGCCTACAACATCATACAACTACTCATATAGGGTGGACTCGAGAAACAACAACTTGGTCACATCGCCAGCAATCGATCACATTCGACGACGATGGGATGGACGAGGGCAATCACTTCCCACACTTGCACGAGCCGGCCGCGCAACCGCAGCTGTATCGAGTGAAATATCTTCAGAAAACCTACATCTATGAGCTTTAAGCACCAATATGCCTTACCTGGAGCCGCATGCGCATGACGCGTTTCCACAGCCGTCGTGGTTGTTGACAAGAACAGCGTTGACCTGCAAGACGGAGCCCAGTGAGTAAAAGTCCACGCACGAAGCTCGTCGATGATGGGGCTACATACAGATTGCATGATGATGATAATATTGGTCGAGTGGGTGATGAACCAATGACCAATGTCGATGTCGTGCTGATGACCGACCTTTATATTATACTCCTGTGTTTACTGGTATTTGCGGGGTACTCGATCTCTCCCGAATTTACCGAATCGGCCGTGAGGCATTTTTTGGAGGCGGGCAGCTTAGGGCAGCCCCCACCAGCCTCTACCTCTGACAAATCCGGATTTGGCGGTGTAGGCACAATGATTTGACGTGGGAACACAATGGGAACAGCTCTTAGTTCTCGTTTATAAACGTCATTAGTCACTGGCAGCCTGGGAATGGAGTACGGTCTGCATTAACTATATACGACGACACATGACGGGATTTGTAGAACATTTCGGAATAACAAGGCGTAATGTGAACGTGAAAAGTCATTTCATGAAGTAAAAACCACAGCCTGCGGGTCGATCGTGGATGCATGCATGAGCATCGGAGAGAAGAGAAACAAAAAACACAACTAGTAAGATATACACGGAAACAAGGACGAATATTTTCGGCACTTTCACAACAACATTCTTCATTTCCTCCCTTATGTTTGCTTGCGAGTAAGAGTATCTTGAATATCAGAAATCGTTCTAACAGAGTCCATCAGCTGTGGAGGACCGGGGAGAATCGATAGACGCTGTTCGATGGTGTTCAGCATGGCCTTGACATTCGGCACAACACGAGTCACGTAGGGTGAAATAAGAGACTCCTGGGTAAGAACGAACGACCCTGATGAGCGAAGGTACGTCCACATGATCGCAGAAAAACCCACGTTGATATTTAATACAGTAGCTGCACGCTGGAGCCACTACAGGGCCGATTTGAGTGATTCACCGACTGGCGGAGTCTCTCCCACAGTGGCGGCGAGCTGTTGAATTAACCTAAGGACGCTAAAATGAAATTGGAAAAATGGATCCCACTCACGCGACGCAGCAAGGTTAAGATTACAGCCTGCGACAAGGGTCCCGGGCCATTCAACGGCATGACGATTTCTGGATTTGACCGTGCCAGTAATTCCCGCAGCTGTTTAGGATCCTGGGTGCTCAACACGGACAGGTAAGTGTCATCCCATTCCTCACGTTGAGGTTGGGTTGGTGGAGAGCGTTGAGAAGCCGGAGCAGGCGGGGGCGGGGGCGGTGCAATTGGGTGGGACGCCTGAGGTGCTGCAATGGTAGGGGAAGAGTACCACGATCCGTGGATAGAAGCTGGCTGCGTCGGCTGTGAATAACTCGTAGTAGTGGCTTGAGTGGTGTAAGCTGCTGGCCGGGTCGTCGGAAGCTGCGATCGAACTCATACTGGCCACCGATGGAACTGGGGAACCACCACCAGCCACCCTGTGGTGTGCGACGGACAAGTTCGACGCATTCATCGTCAGGAACTTGACTTGATCAGACAAGTATCCTAACCGAATGTTCAAGTTCTCGAATCAAAGCTTAGTCCAGATGCGTTAGCCCCAATAAGCCCAGGAAAAATCAAGGATCGACGGGAACGAACGTCCTGGCTTCGAGCGGCTTCGGTCTGCCATGTGATAGAATCCTTCTTCACGTTCAAAATATCGGTCCTGCCAAGGATGTCCTGGTGCATTGCTGATGTCTGCTGTGAATACGCAGGCAAGAAAGACATCGACACCGAGTCCTTGACATGTAGAGATGTCAGGACGGAGCAATAACTTCTCCATCTCTATGGGGAGATTCTGTTTATTCAACTCAGTTGGTAGGTCCACGAACGTGGTATGCACTTTTAAACAAAGAACTAACTGCAATGTCCCCCTCCCTGAATCTAGGAATATCGGTGCCTCCGTTCCCGTCACCGCTATCTATCGCACGGCTCTTGCCACCGTCACCGCTCCGTACTTCTCCATTTTCCTTAAATCGTATATTTGACTTTACCACGTTGCTGCAGGATAATTTTAGCTCTATACTCTTTCTGCGTAAGTTCTATCATGAGTTTTCTCATCTCATGAGTCAATGCTGGACGATGACCAGGCCTCGCGATTGATAATTCACACCCGAGAATGTTTCACCCAATCATCCCATGATGCGCCGAGTCGAGAGGTTGAAGCAATCAACTTTGCGTCCCTGGTCGTTGATGACGTCGCATACGAAGACGGACGTGTAACAGGCGGTTCGACCTTCAGCGTTGGGCACGGTCAGACATATTCGAGCATGTTGGAGCTAGGTGTTACTGAAGCCCAGGAGCTATAGAGATTCGTTCAGGACCGGTAGAGGCTTGTGTCTCCCAAATACCCGCATTGTCGTTATATCTTGCATCCCGATACCAGATGTCGCCGTAGATCATTTTTTGTCGTAACATAGAAAAAAGATGTAAAAGATACAAAAACGGGCAGATGAAATGCAACAGATCTTCAGAGCTGATGCAATGCGCGAGGTGCGATCTGCCCGTCAGCGCTTCAGCTTCCGCGTGATCACGTGTTCCCCCAAAGTATACGTAACTCGTAAACCCTGTATAGTCTATAAAATGCCTCATTGCTTCCGTTCATTAGGGGCAGAATGCCCCTTGAACCCGCCAGTCGTTGTCCGCACTCTCACTCAAAACACTAGACGGCTGAAACTACATATAATCTCCACATTTTCATTTTCCGACATCCAAAAAATGACACATCTCCTACATCATCATACAACTACGCTTATGGGGTGGATTCGAGAAACAACCTGGTCACATCGCCAGCAATCAGTCACATTCGACGATGGAACGGACGACGGCATCTAGCACTTGCACGTTTCGGGCCTGCACTTGCAGCTGTGTTGAGTGAAATATCCTCAGCAAGCCTATTTCTATGAGATGTAAGCCTCAGTGTGCTTTACCTCTCGCCGCACGCGCAATCACCCTTTCCACAGTGGTTGTTGACAAGAATAACGTTGACCTGCAAGACGGAGGCCAGTGAGTAAAAGTCCACGCACAAAGCTGGTTGATGATGGGGTTACATACAGATTGCATGGTGCTGATAATATCGGTTGAGTGGGTTGAGTGGGTAATGAACAAATGTCCAATGAAGCTGTTGTGCTGACGACCGACTTTTATATCATACCCTTGTATTTACTGGTATTTGCAGGGTGCTCGATCTTTCTGAATCGGCCGTGAGGCATTTTTTGGAGGCGGGCAGCTTAGGGCAGCCTTCACCACTGACAAATTCAGATTTGGCGGTGTAGGCACAATCACTTCGGAAACGAGATTCTGTCAGTACAGCAACTAGACCATGGAAGGTAGTCTGCCTGTAACACAAACACGGCTAACTGTATTCCTCGACCAACTCTGACTGTCAGAAATATTTGGGAGATTTTCTGTACCAAATCCAGACTTCATGATTTCCACTCAAGCCTTCACAAAAATATCGACATATGGTTTGGAGACAGATCATGTCTGTACTGAATCTGTCATCCAACAAATCAACACATCGTCTGTCTACACCGTAAGGACTCCTCATCTACCTTGATGCTGACTGATCTCCAGATAAGGGGATGGCTGATTTTCTCGACATCCGGATGTGCTTCTGCTCACCTGCCTTTTTCCATGACACTTTCCAGACAGGTCATTGATGCTTTGCAAAATATCCTCAAAGGCGCTCCTCTCCACCAACCCCCACCACTAACCGGCTCAGCTTCCGCATGATCGCATGCCCCCCAGAGTGTACATAACTCGTAATCCCTGTATAATCTATAAAATGCCTCATTGCTTCCGTTCATTAGGGGCAGAGCATTGTGCCTGCACCGCCAAATTGCCTCACGGCCGATTCGGAAAGATCAAGTACCCCGCAAATACCGGTAAATACAGGGGTATGATACGTATAAAAGTCGGTCGTTAGCACAACAACTTCATTGGACATTTGTTCATTACCCACTCAACCGATATTATCAGCACCATGCAATCTGTATGTAGCCCCGTCATCAACCAGCTTTGTGCGTGGACTTTTACTCACTGGCCTCCGTCTTGCAGGTCAATGTTGTTCTTGTCAACAACCACTGTGGGATGAGTGGTTGCGAGTGCGGCGAGAGGTAAAGCACACTGAGGCTTACATCTCATAGAAATAGGCTTGCTGAGGATATTTCACTCGATACAGCTGCAAGTGCACGCCCGAAACGTGCAAGTGCTAAATGCCGTCGTCCGTTCCATCGTCGAACGTGACTGATTGCTGGAGATGTGACCGAGTTGTTTCTCGAATCCACCCCATACGCGTAGTTGTATGATGATGTAGGAGATGTGTCATTGTTTGGATGTCGGAAAATGTGGAGATTATATGCAGTTTCAGCCGTCTAGTGTTTTGAGTGAGAGTGCGGACAACGACCGGCGTGTTCAGGGGCATTAATATCATATCGTCGACACTTGGTTCAACAAAGTCTACTGAGAGGGGAACTCGCTTCGGCGGGGGGAGCCCTCCCTCAGCGCTCTGAAATGGAACTCGGATGATGGGAATGTAGTAGGAGGACCCACAGCCGTACAAGGATGCTGTTCGGCGCTTTGAAGAGCTTGAAGGGGTTGGCCAAGTATCTCAGGCACGCTGGCAGGCAATGATGAACAAAATCTAGCATTCCGGCATGAGGAGAATTTCATTGACTGTGCAGCAAAGCAACTCGCAGCGAAATTTAATATTACACCAGTGTGACCCCCATAGTACTCATCATACGCCCGGGACTCTATCTTACAGACAGTTTCTTAAATGCACACATGACGTGTCTAAATGCACGCACAAGATCTCCAAATTGCATACGCGCATTCAGCGGTCCAAATCGCGCATTTCCGCAATAAACATTTCGCAGAAATATTTTGGGTTTACCGTTCCATACTGTGGCACCCAGCTGGACATAGAGTCATGGTCTGCACTAACTGCATACGACGACACATGACGGGATTTGTAGATGGCATTACGTATCACCAGGAACGATAGAACATTTCGGAATAACAAAGCGTAATGTGAACGTGAAAAGTCATTTCATGAAGTAAAAACCACAGCCTGCGGGTCGATCGTGGATGCATGCATGAGCATCGGAGAGAAGAGAAACAAAAAACAACTAGTAAGATATACACGGAAACAAGGACGAATATTTTCGGCACTTTCACAACAACATTCTTCATTTCCTCCCTTATGTTTGCTTGCGAGTAAGAGTATCATTGAATATCAGAAATCGTTCTAACAGAGTCCATCAGCTGTGGAGGACCGGGGAGAATCGATAGACGCTGTTTGATGGTGTTCAGCATGGCCTTGACATTCGGCACAACACGAGCCACGTAGGGTGAAATAAGAGGCTCCTAGATAAGAACGAACGACCCTGGTGAGTGAAGGTACGTCCGCATGATCGCAGAAAAACCCACGTTGATATTTAATACAGTAGCTGCACGCTGGAGCCACCACAGGGCCGATTTGAACGATTCATCGACTGGCGGAGTCTCTCCCACAGTGGCGGCGAGCTGTTGAATTAACCTGAGTACGCTAGAATGAAAATGGAAAAAATGAATCCCACTCACGCGATGCAGCAAAGTTAAGATTACAGCCTGCGACAAGGGTCCCGGGCCATTCAACGGCATGACGATTTCTGGATTTGACCGTGCCAGTAATTCCCGCAGCTGTTTAGGATCCTGGGTGCTCAACACGGACAGGTAAGTGTCATCCCATTCCTCACGTTGAGGTTGGGTTGGTGGAGAGCGTTGAGAAGCCGGAGCAGGTGGGGGCGGGGGAGGCGCAATTGGGTGGGACGCCTGAGGTGCTGCAATGGTAGGGGAAGAGTACCACGATCCGTGGATAGAAGCTGGCTGCGTCGGCTGTGAATAACTCGTAGTAGTGGCTTGAGTGGTGTAGGTCGCTGGTTGGGTCGTCGGAAGCTGCTGGCGGTGCAGCGGCTGAGCTGCGATCGAACTCATACTGGCCACCGATGGAACTGGGGAACCACCACCTGCCACCCTGTGGTGTGCGACGGACAAGGTCGACGCATTCATCGTCAGGAACTTGACTTGATCAGACAATATCCTAACCGAATGTTCAAGTTCTCGAATCAACGCCTAGTCCAGATGCGTTAGCCCCAATAAGCCTAGGAAAAATCAAGGATCGACGGGAACGAACCTCCTGGCTTCGAGCGGCTTCGGTTTGCCATGTCATAGAATCCTTCTTCACGTTCAAAATCTCGGTCCTCATTTCGCGGAGGATGTCCTGGTGCATTGCTGATGTCTGCTGTGAATACGCAGGCAGGAAAGATTTCGACACCGAGTCCTTGACATATCGCTCGATCAGCGGGTTAAGATTGTTAGATAGAATGCTAGCGAAATGGGTAGAGATGTCAGGACGGAGCAACAACTTCTCCATCTCAATGGTGAGATTCTATTTGTTCAACTCAGTATGCTATAAGACCTCGTTGATAGCAGGAGCAACTCACATTCTGAATATACTCCGTCAAGCCACGTCCCACAGTGTTCATTAAGCGCAGCGCGAACTTCGGTCCTTGTAATGTGCTCCAAAGCTGGGAGGACAGAGTTCTGAACTTCTGCCTTCACAGCCATCTCCACCACGCGGGTTGTGTTCCTCGTAAGTTCGGTAGAGATCAACTTGAGGATCTTCTCCTGGCGGTTGAAGTCCTCAGCTTGCTCGTGAGCACGTGCTTCCTCGAAACGCGAATCTGAGAAACACACATATTAGGTTCAAGTACGACGATGCATGGAAATATACCCGGCTTACTTTGCTTGTCCATCTCTTTTCCAATCAGGCGTCCCAATACGGTTGTGGAGACTCTCCTCGCTCTTTTTAATTTCCTTGGCAACTAACTGGACAACACCAGAATCGCTCAATGAATCCAGCATCGATCTTGTTCTTCTCCCGCTCATCTCTATCTCTGAAGGCAACGTTCTTGCCCTTGGCATTCTTTCCTTTGGCTTCCGCCGCCCGAACTTCTTCGCGTGCCATCTCCGAATCCAGCTCCTCGGAAGGCGGCGTGCGCGCTCTGGCATGTGATAACATAGGTGCAGGCTGCTGCTGTGGGAGGGGTGCAACACTAGGAGGGCCTTGTCCCACGTGTCTGGTAGGCTTGATCTCCACGGGAGCAGGAGCAGGGAGCTGGGGATGAACGTACGGCGGGAACTTGGAAACCGCATTGTTAAGCGCGTTATCGTACCATTCCTTACGCACGAGAACCTGATCAACACCGGTCGAATGGACAGAGAAAGCGACGAGAGCAAGCTCGCCAGGAGGAACTTTGGCAGCGATACATGCCGCATGTGCCTCTTCTCCAGTTGGATCCGCGTCAGCCGAAAGGATGACGAAGTGAATCGTCGGCTTCGGTCCAGAAAATTCGACAACTTGTTCGAAGAAGCCACCTCGAACAAGGTCGCCAGAAGGAGAAGCGGAAACATCAAAGCCAATCTTCACGGCGATCAAGCTATCCCTGCGACTGTTGGCCACCCACAAAGTCTGAATGCGAGAATCATAATTAACGTGACCGAACATGTCAGGGTCTTCCTTGGTACCGTTGACGAACTTGAGAGTCGATAGGACGTTCTTGGAAATGACGGACAACAGTTGGAAGATAGTACCGTTCTTCCGACCGATGACGATACCGTCCTCGATGAAGGTCAAGGATGAAGGAACTATCCTCCCCGCGAACTCGGTGAGTCCAGAAAGGCAGCTTATCGTGCACATTCCACAATGTGAGCGTAGAGTCCTCAGAAACAGTGGCCAATGCAAAGTGAGGGACATCAAAATCAAAGGCAACCAGGCGCTAAGAAAAAAAAAGTATTCAGAAGATAAGAAACAATGCAATAGACAGTTTGGGCTTACCGAGGGGACGGTGAAGACCTGAGCAATACGGTTGAGCTCAACCTGTGGCAGGGGTTCGCCTCGGAAGGTACGCGCGGCGTCCGCAAGATCCAACAAATACATCTTGGTCTCGGAAGCAACAGCCAACGTGTCGGGTTGGTTGGGGTGCCACTTGACAGAGTGCAACGGGTCGGCATCCGCGCTAGGCACCACACAGAGTAACAAACGGCCACTAACGTATGCGCGACATCAGATCAGTTTCGTTCGACGATGATGGGCGCGAACACACGTACGGAACATCATCTGTTATGACTTCGGGCAACTCCCAAACGACGAAGCCACCGTCAGACGTCACACCTGCAAGCCTGTTTCCGTACACGGCCATGTCAACTACCTGCGTTGACGGTGCGAACACGGTGGGCAGCTGCAGCAAAGTGCGATCGCCACTGGAGCGTGAGATCACGCGCACGCGACCCCTAGTCATGGCATACGCAATCCAGTGAGTCGCACCGATTGTCGTACCTGGGAGGAAGACAAAGTCTTGCTTGACCAACGCGATCGCAGTGGACTTGACAGTATCACGGGGGGCCTGGACCTCGTCCAGAAGCTGCGAGACATCAAAAATGATGGTTTGAGGTTGCGCACTGTCATGAGATAATCAGCAAGGGAGGAAACATAATTAGAAACAGCTGAGCGTACGGGGGACTTGTCTGGACTTTGCCCTTGACCCCGCCTTTAGCACGGCCATCATTCTTCCAGGTCGGACGCGGGCCTGGAGAACCATCCTTGTCCTTCCGAGAGGGAGGCGCTGGCTGACCAACGGGAGATTCAGTCGATCGTCCCTGTGGACGGTGTTGTTGCTGTGGCTGCTGTTGTTGTGAAAGCTTGGGTGGCGACGCCCTGGGAGATGATTCACGACCAGGCTTCGGCGGAAGCGGGGGAGGAGGGGGAATTGCTCGTTGCTGCTGAGGAGTGGGCTGGTTGGCCTCCACCTGGGAGTACTCGTCGGCAGTATTGTAAGGATCATAAGTCGGTGACGGAGGTTGACCAGGACCGTAGGGCACCTGGCCCCTTGTGAGCTGATCGATGAGGTTTTCGACGGATTTGCGTTTCGGGTCTGCACCGAGGGAACCAAGAGAGGCTGAGGTCCAGGAATCCTCGTTTCCGCTGGATGCGCTCGGTGGGCCAGCAGGAACGGGTTTCTTTTTGACGGCAGGGGGTGAACTAGCGGTGAAAGCGTCGAAGGGAGAAACGAAATCAAACATAGGCTTGGGCGGTGAAGGAGGAGCGGGCTGCTGGGCCTGCGGCAGCGGCATTGGGTGGGGAAGGTCACGTGGAGTCTCCCGAGGAACGTATGGACCCTCTGTAGGCAGGTAGGACTCAGGGGCCGGAGGGTGCATAGGAGCGGAAGACGCCGGAGGCAGCGTCGAAGCAGGAGGGGCAGGCTCCGAGTAGTTTGAACGGGGGGCAGCACTATCGAATACGTCAGCCAAATACGTATCGAGGTAATCCCAGTGTGCCATGGGAGGCAGGAAAGGGGGGGACAGAGAGACAAGATAAACATATCGGTTGAAAAGGAGGTAGTGGGCAGACCTCGTGGCTATGGTGAGGCAGACAATATTCCCATCAACATGCTTCAAAGACACGTATTGGTCAGAAGCGGGGCCGCGGCACGCGCAAGCCATAGATAAATGAAGAGGGCACTTGCTTGGAACGAGGGGCCCACCTGGTGGTGGATAAGATGTAGAGAAGGAAGACTCACCCTGACATGAGCTGTTCGAGCAGGATTTTTCCCTGTGCCTCGCTGGAGTTGGAGGGAGACTGGCCAGTCCGCCCAGATGATGCGGGGGGGGTGGGCACCTGTTGGGGTGCAGGGGGAGCGGGCATCAGAGGAGGCTGAGACGACTGGTGGACTGGGTTTGAGCCAGCAGCAGGGTAGAGCAGAGAGAGAAGGGCGCTCTGTCTGTCAGCAGTAGATACGGTTGAGGTGGGGCCCGGTGGGGCGTTGTCTTCCGATGTTGTTGTGGCCATGGCTGGGGTTGCTGGAGCAGAGTTTGAGGTAAAAGTAGACGACGGCTCGGACATCTGCTGGCTAGCGATGGACTGGAAGAGCGATTCGAGGTTGTTTGGGGAGGACGAGGAGGACTTGGGCTGGTTTGCAGGATTCATGGTGAACAGTTGAGACTGAGGTGGGGGCGTGGCGCTTCCCATCGCAAACAACTGTTCGTGCAGGTTGTTGTGTCTCTCCATGGCACACTACAAGCTCGACCCAGTGCACGTAGAGAAGGAAGAAAAAAAAAAGATACAGTAGATGAGCTGTAAACTATGGCAACAACGTGCTGGCCTCGTTGAGGACACGAGGCAACTAGACTATCTATTACACCTTGGCAAGTCAGTCGGTAGTAGTGTTAGTCGTCATCCTCAGCACCGCCACAGGATCCAGTCTCGCCGCCACCCACTCGTCGCGTCCTCGCCGATACACACGTCTGACATGTCTTCCAAAGGATGGTTCAATCTCGAGGCTGCAGGGGGCATGATCCCAGAGACCCAGTTCTTCGAAGGGGACTCTGCATTCAAGTTCCTCGGTCTCACTCGCACTCAGCGCCTCTACGGCTTCGTTGGCTGGTCAGTCATCCTCCACTCGCTTATGTCGGTGCTCAACCCCCCACAATCTACAGCCTTGTCATCGGATTCGTACTGAGCATACTAGGCAGCATACTTCTGTTCTTGGGTCAACTCGGCAGCTTCGCGGGTGAGCTTCGCCAAGTCAAGTTCACTCGCTGTCACCATACTCATCTCCGTTTTCTCAGTCCTGTATACTATCGGTGTCCTCGTGTCCCTCGCAGGTACAGGGTTTCTGATCGGGGTATGCTCCTTCGCTTCTTATACTAGTACAGCTAAGCTATCCTCCGATCCAGTTCGCTACTCAGATCAAGCTGGTAAAGTTTCATTCAACCGTGAACGTCTACCTAAAAGACTGACCATGCCCACTAAAGATGTTTAAACCTGTACGTTTGGTGGCCACCGTCGTCTTCCTGGGTTCTATCGCCCTGGTCTTCGTCGGCGCATTCGTGCTTCGAAACGAGGTAAGGCTGTTCCAGCGGTTCTTTTCCCTAGCTGTACTCATAGTAGTGTGCCCCTCGATAGGTTCTCTGCATCAGTAAGCCCCTAATCCAATCACCGTTCATCGACCTTCACGTTAATACTCTGTTGCAGTATTCGTGATCATCGAGTACCTAGCGTATACGTGGTATTCATTGTCATACATCCCATACGCTCGTTCGGCCGTACTCAAAGTGGTTGGGTTGAATTGACGTTAACGAATCACGACAATTTTATGGTTGCCATCGCTGTCGCTTACATTCTAGGTCTAGTTTTGTTATTGTAATCAGATGTAGCAGTCACTCGTCGCAAAATCAAGACAAAACGTGAATAATATTTATCAAGAATTGTAGGTTTCTGATGCAACGCAAGAGTGTCATCTCTGGTGGCCAGCCTAATATGTGTTTACCCCTTGAAACTACTCTTCATCTGTCGCAGCTTGGTGACAATAGCAGATTCGTTCCCTGCCAACCCAGTAGCTTTCCTAAAGACACCGTCAGAACGCGAGTCATGGTTCCAGGCCACGCGTGACTCACTTTACTTCCTCGCTCTGAGGGCGCATGAATACGTTCCACAGCTTCTCGTCGCCGATGGTGGACTTGCCAGTAGTGATGGCGTTTTCTCGGGTCATTCGATAGAGACGAGAAATGTCGGCATTAGTAGGCTCGACGGTTATCGCGAAATCGGCATTCTTAGCCGTGTATTCGTGGCCGACGTATGTGACAGTCTCGTCGGGTAAGGTGCCCAAGTAAGAGAGCGCGGCATGCATCTCCTCACCGGTGCCTTCGAAGAAGTTACCGCATCCACCTGCAGCCGCGATCGGGGCTCAGTTTTCGCACAAGGATGATAGACGTGAGACCCGCCTATAAAAAGAGTGTCACCAGTGAAGACACTGCCTGGCTGAGACGCGTTCGCAGTGTCAGTGACATAGTAACAGATAGAGTCCTGCGTATGACAAGGGGTGGCCAAGCACCTATACAATGTACCTGGGGTGGTCAAGAGTGGCTTGATGCCCTGTGGCACAAGTACTGACCTGACCCGAATGTGCTCGCCGACGACAAACTCGTCCTTGTCCTTGATGAGGTTCGTCAGCTTTGGGATCTTGTCGCTACCCCCGTACACGGGTGCGCCAGGATACTTTGATGCCTGCCGAAGGCAATGAGCATGCGATCACCGGATGACTAGCGTGCACTTACGAACACCTACGGATTTTGTCGCGATGAGATGATCTCCTAACACATATATCATGTCAATCGATGTGGGCTCACCTCGTTTCCCCCGCTGTGATCAAAGTGGTGATGTGTTGTGATGGCGGCAACTATAGAGACCCCTAGCTGGTTTGCGATGGCCTGTACCTTTGGGACGTCATAGGGGTCGACCGCGGCAGCCTTGTTAGTGGGCTCGTCGACGAGGAGATACGCGTAGTTATCCTCGCGAACTGGCACGGGTACGATCTTCATTCTGATTGACGCTGTGGATGAAAATGTGCGTTGGAGCTGAGAAACTCGGAGACGGCCAGGTGCGGGGCGCATTGTTCAAGGCACTGCAGGCGTAAGCGCTCAACCTGTCCCCAGTTACACCGCAAAGCTGATGGAAGCCTTGCGTCAATCTGGCTGATGTGTTCTCGGCGTACGCAAGCGTCCGTCAGCTTGTTGCAAGTAGCAGAAGAGGTGCCAGGGTGGATGGCATCTTGATAGAACACCACTTAGACCCATCACCAGGCTGATGCCCGAGTATAGTCGCCCGAGGCAATGCTGTCAATCCTGCCACCCTTATTCAGTCTCCCTTTCTTCCCTTCTAACCCGACTGTCGTGTCGTCCGTCCCCCGCTCGGTCAGTGAGTTGTCTAATAGCATTCCTCAACACATCCATGTGCTCATTCATCCCTATCCCGCCTGCGTCACAGCACAACCGTGTGCTCTGGCGTACGACCTAGTCTTCTAGCGCTCCATCATGTCCAGTACTTGTCGTCCGTTCGACTGCACCTCATCATCGGCGTCAGACTCGTCAACCGCCGGTTCCTTCACGCCCTCCTCTACCTACTCTGTCCCAACTACAACTGCAACTACAACTGCATCCAGCACCACAGCCAGTGCCAGCACCACAAGCAGTATCAGCCCCACAAGCAGTACCAGCCCTACAAGCAGCATCAGCACCAGCACCAGCCCCACAACCGGCATCAGCACCAGCACCAGCACTAGCACTACAGCAATACCATCAGCCGCGGTTCAAGCTCCAGAGTCATCGTCAAGCAGCTCCTCATCAACTCACACAGGCGCGATAGTTGGAGGCGTGGTTGGAGGTGTCGTATTTCTCTCATGCCTCGCAGTAGGCCTGTTCCTATACATGCGCCGTCGTCGGCGCAAGCGCATCGCACCATCATCCGAGTTCATCAATTCTCTCAGGCCCGGCGTTACGCCCATTCTCATGCTCGAGTCTGGTCCTGCCCAGGTCCCCGAGAAGTCCCAACTCTCCCATTATCTCTCGTCACCACCCTACCAACAAGACAACTACTATGCCAGTCCATCACCGAGCAGTGTGGGCTGTCCCGACTCAACAATGTCCACAGAACGTTCCCCTGGGCCTCAAAAAATGGAAAAACCCTTGGTGCCAAATCGTTACTCAGCACAACAGGCAGCGGGAAATTCGCGCAATGGCCGTGTCGATTCCGAGGACCGTCGGAGTAGTGATAGTAGGGAGTGGGATGGGGACCCTGTCATCGAAACGCCGCGCCGCACGCGGAGTCGCAGGCCGGAGAGTGCACCAGCGTTTCCCCCGCGGTCTAGTTCTTCCCACCACCGTGAACGGTCACATCAGCAACAGTTGTTGCCAACCCAAAACTCATACCCTGGCGTTTCGCCGTTGGCTGTGTCTCAGCCACAGGCATCCGGGCTCGACCGTTTCACAAATCCAGATGATTTTGCATCAAGATCACCTCCCGTTTTACATCGTGGGATGTCTTTACGTCCTCAACGCCGTGAGGATTATGAACGTGTCTGGGAGGAACGTTGACCGTGAGGACGATGAGATACTCCTGATCTCGAACCGGAACCGAACGACCGTTTGTGATCCTCATATGTGTATACTTTGTACGGTATTTATTTTGCCAAAAGACTCGCTTTGTTGTTGTACAAGTAGTATGTACTCGGTGTTATTACCACGTCGTCAGTGCGTATTGGCATAGCATGGTGCTTATGTAATACAGCGTGATGTCTTTCGTGCGCACGGCAAAGGCAGTACTACCCGTTGCATTGTTGGTATGTTAGACCATTGCTCGATATCGCACAGAGGTATGGTCCAGAGTAGCTGAAGAGTGCACAGAGCTCTTAACCGCTTCTAGGTGGTGTTGTCCTCTGGTCGCGCTCCTTCACGCCGGAGGCGTCCCACGTTGCCTCGTCCGCTTCTTCGCCAGTTAATTCACTCATACGCGAAGCGCTGATAGAAGGGCGAACTGCAGAGCAGAAATTTGAAAAGGATGGATACGCTGTCAAGTGGACATTTTTCAATGATCTCGAGTTGATCTTCGTGGTACGTTTTCCGACGCTCTATCCCAGCAATAACTGACTAACCTGCCCGCAGGTCGCCTACCAGCGAATTCTGCAGCTCACGTATGTCGACGATCTCTTGACAGCAATCAAAGCCCTTTTCATCAAGCTCTTCGAACCATTTCTGGCCACTTTCGTTGCCTCTTTGCATGCCATAAATACTGGGAAGTCTGCACCCCCCTCGAAAAACGGCAATACATCGTGGAATTTTCCAAAGGCGTTTGACGGGTGGGATGGCGTATTCGACAAATTGCTCAAGGGCTTCGAAGATAAGGCTGCTCAGGTAGGTGTGCTGCACATATTGCACCTTCGAGGGCGGCCAACTCGTGCTTAATCGGTTCATCAGGAGCGCAAGTCGAGATTCAGGCCGCAGGCTCGTTCAGATCAGGTTGAGTCTGGGTCTCCTTCTGACGACGATAGTACTGGTATGTATATCTTGCAAGGCCAAACTAAAAAGAAAATAAGAAAATAAATCAATGATACCCAGTGCCAACGGAGTCCCCAGACATTACTCGGGACGAGCAACAGATAGCGAGAAACGTTCAGGCACTGAAGACCAGATTGCGCGGACGAGGGGGAAGACAAGGAGGTCGTGCCGCGTCGCGTGTGGATTCGGGAACCTGTGAACCAGTTTCTGAGTCAGTCTCTCCTATGAGTGTCCCGGACATGTCTTACTTATCTTCTCTCAGAAATGAATCGAGCAAACGCAAAAATAAAACCAAAACTCGGCGAAAATGGGGTGACGAGGTTCCCACCGAGTCGGATATGGCGAGTCTTGACTTCAGTCTCGACAAGTCTGACGCCAGCGTGAATGGTCGGTTGACGAATGATTTGAAGAGTCTCGTCGACTCAGCGTCTTTGGGCACTCGGAACAAAGATGGTCTTTACGAAGTGCAGGACTGGGACTTCGGCAACAAGGGTGATGCATCGGTCATTGCGAAAGCTTTGAACCAGGAAGCTACACAACAGTCCACCAGCTCTCTGGGAGTTCTTGGTTCCCTATTCGCACGTTTGACGGGGTCCAAGGTATTGACCGAACAGGATCTGAAACCGGTTCTTGAGGGGATGAAGCAAGCATCTCATGAAGAAAAACGTCGCCAAGGAAATTGCCGACAAAGTATGTGAGGGTGTTGGTGAAGGCCTCGTCGGGAGGAAAGTTGGCGGGTTCCAAAGTAAGGTCCCCCTCTTCAGATTGCCCTACATTTTCTCTCACTCCGACCATCAGCTACCAGCAACACCGTCCGCTCTGCGCTATCGGCTTCGCTAACTAGGATCCTCACACCGAAGACATCTACTGATTTATTGTTGTCCATTCGGACGAAATTATCTTCTCCCTCGCAGAAGAGGGTACCATACACCGTCACTTTCGTTGGCGTGAACGGTGTGGGTAAGAGTACTAATCTGTCCAAAGTCTGTTTCTGGTTAATCCAGAACAATCTCCGGGTCCTCATTGCTGCGTGTGACACCTTCAGGTGCGTACATGTTCATTTCGGCGTTATCTGTCTGTTCCTGTAGTGCTAAGGCTGTGAACCAGGAGTGGTGCCGTTGAGCAGTTGCGCGTCCATGTACGCAACTTAGGTATGCTTGGCGTTGACGGCGCGACCAATAGCAAAGGTCGCGTTGAGTTGTTCGAGAGGGGGTATGGAAAGGACGCTGCGGCTATTGCCAAGGAAGCCATTGGATATGGTGGGTTGAGGACTGGTGACTTCAATACTTATTAGCTTACTAACGCAATGGTGCTCAGCAAACGAGAATGGCTTCGACGTGGTTCTGATCGATACAGCAGGTCGCATGCAAGACAACGAGGTTCGTAACACGACTTGTACCGCGCATGCCAACTGACACGCAGCCCCACAGCCGTTAATGAGGGCTTTGGCCAAGGTTGGGCTTCTTCAGCATGATATTTGACTTCTCCCCTCCATATTCATCGCCGAGGACAGCTTGTCACAGTGAACAACCCCGATAAGGTCATCTTCGTGGGCGAGGCGTTGGTCGGCAACGAGGCAGTAGACCAGCTCACGAAATTCGACCGCGCCTTGCGCGATTTCTCGTCTGCTTCGTCAGGGAAAAGTCGTGGGATCGACGGCATGCTTGTGACGAAATGGGATACTGTAGATGACAAGGTCCGTCCGACTTATATCACACTTCCATTCTTTTTTTTTGTGCTCCGTGCAACGAGATCTCGAACGCATCTTTACCAGGTTGGTGCCGCTCTTTCCATGACGTACGTGACGGGTCAGCCGATCATCTTCGTTGGATGCGGACAGGTTCGTTTTTTTTACTTCACATTTCCCGGATGGGCTTTTAACCTACCGTGCTTACCCACACGAAGACATACACGGACTTGAGGCAGCTGAGAGTGGACAACGTGGTCCAGGCGATACTGAGTGATTAGATTTTTGCTTGCTATCAAGTCCTGTTACGATCTCAAAATACATACTTATATGCCACTTGGGCACGCTCCTTCCGAGGTTCCCGCTATTTGTAACATACTAGATGCTATGATTCGGCCCAAACGCTTGTCTGAGTCTCCGTAGGAAGTGTCATGTACATCTATAACCATGGAACGCACATCAGACTTCATTAACTTTGGTCCGGGATATGCATTATTCGCCTTTCCGACTGCAGGCCTGTGTCAGTTAGATCCGCAGAGATACGAAATGCAACACCGTTTCAACATTTCAAGCACTGCCAATCTCCCGTTCACAGGCCATCGCGGAGCACCGTGCCCGAATTATACATAGCCATTGATAATCGCTGCATCATAGTTGACTTTTAGTCCCGACGTGACTGAAGGGTTCTGATAGTGGGATCGGGTGTGGCTACCGCCAACAGATTAATGCGTCCGCTCTCATGCCGTAGTGATTTTATCGGATGTTCGACCACTCCTTCTGTGAAGGACTCGCCGGAATGACTGGCTTGGATCAACGGCGGCCGGTTGGGAATCCTTGACAGAAGTCACTGTGAATGGCGTGTATTTCACGATCCAGCACGAGCAATACGGTGCTGGTAGATCCGTCTGATAAGGGGACGGGGCCAGAGTGGATGGAACCAAATCGACTCTGGCTATCGTGAACCTGCGATCTTGGATTCTTGATATGGACTTAATCGAGAAGGAACGATCTTCTATCGAGTCAATTTGGTCTGCCTACGGGGACCTCGAGGAAGTACTTCGGTAGGCCGCCCAGTGGGCCAATTGGTGGGAATACGTATTCCCCGCTACCTTCATGCTGGTAGGACTGAAGAGCACCAGAGCCTTGAAGGTGCGGAGCCTGGTGGGGGAGGAAGGACATATTAATTCCTTCCATAGTCAGGTGTTAGCAAGTGCATAGATCAAACGGGACCTGGTAAGTGCACTGCGTTCCCTGAGTTCCCAATCCACCCCTAGTTCCATGGTATGTCGCCTGGTTTCGGTGAACTTGACGACTTGTTGCTCATTTATGCTTGAAACTAATTGCTTACATCTTCGCCATCCATCTATCCAATTTGTCAAACTCCTTGGGCAGCATGAGTACCACCTCATACTTCGGGAAATGATGAGGGTAAATTGCATCGACGGGGATGACGATGTACTCGGAATGCAAACCTCACCTCCAGTTTGGCCTCACTTTGACTAGTCTTTCGATATGTGAGGTGTGATCAACAGCTTTGCCAAACCTACAGGCCGATTGTTGCACCTGAGTATCATGTATAATAGCATCGGTTAGGCTCAAGGCACCACATAACCCATTGGCTACCCTCCCGAGTGTAGTGCCCGTAGATAATACTTCACAGAAGCAACACACCACCCCATCTCGGAATGAAGAGATAAAAAAGAATGGTAGACACAGCATGCCTCTCCCTCCAGAACGCTGTAGTCTCCTTTAACAAGTACTCATAAGGAAGAGTCACTCAACAGTGGAGACGCTTTCCTCAATCCTTTGAACTCTCTCCGTCACCTCTGCTATCCGGGACCTTCGGCAGGTTCACGAAGCAGATGGTACCAATGTGTGAATCGGAGATAACTGAATCCTTGTTTCGAAGGTACTTCCGGGAATTCAGTGATGCTAGAAGTGAGTTGGTATATACTATTCCACAATGAGATAAGGTGTTATACACGCAAAGGCACGGATGACTGACACTTTGCAAAGATGAAGTCCAATCCCATTGTCCAGCTATCTTGTGGAAGGCAAACACACTGGAAGAAGAGTGAGAACGACATGGTCATAGTGCAATACATCATACGTACCGTGACGAGCTCCGCGATGGCCACCAGTCTGCGACAAAAAAACCTGAATCAAGTCACGGTGGGAAATGAAAGAGGGATCATGCTTACAGAGTCAGTAAACACCGGTTAACAGCATAGATCATAAGTGTGTTCACAAGACGTTTTGTTCTAAAGCAGGACTCGTTAGGAATGGAAATTAACACATACTACAGTCACCTTGGGGTTACGGAGCGAGAGCCATCATACAAAAGTATACAGAGTGATACCGTAATCAGACCCTCAGACAGTATGAAGAGAGTCCCAAAGGGTATCACGACGGGAAGACTAGAAATAACGACTCGTCAGCCGGTACACCAATGTTTCTGTTAACATACCGTAAGCGACGAAACCGTGTTGAGGTCATTAGAGAGGAACCTATAGGCAGATATCAGTATTTCGGTGGAGAATATGGTCAGACGGATTGGGATACATCAAGATAACCACTCCTGCTTGTTGATTAGCATAGCTCTCGTGTTATGCAAAAACAGCACAAACCAATTTCAAACCCTGTTGGAATATGGTTAGAAATGTCCCGTGGATGGCTCCATAGAAAAGAAACCCACCAAAGCGAACCAGTACTAATAGTATCTGTCGCAACCATGTCACCTATGATATCTTGGCCACCACAAGCAAATATACTCACGATTGGGGCGGTCACCAGCCACTTCATGTTGGGGCGACAAACTAGACATTCGTCAACCAAGTCCCCGGACATAGCCTGAGTGTGACGTACGGTGGTATATTTTATGTGTGAAGAAACTAGTAACATCCGGTCCGTGACTGATGAACATCGACCCATAAGAGTTACTCACAGCTGAACTACAAAAACTAAAAATGCCTGCGATGCAGCTGAGTGTTGTCGCAAACGGTTCTGGGAAGAAGGGAACGCACATTTGCAAGAATCGACGCCTATGTTGGGAAAACTTTTATAAAGTGTCTAGTCGAAAGTTGGGTATGCGTACTGGTAACGACCTGGCTTATCTCATTGGTGGGAACTTGCCTTCGAAGTGGATGATGGCATACGAACCAAACAGAATAATCCAAACTCGTCGGAACACCGTAGTTCGTCACCTGCAGTGCATTGAGCATAATAACTAGAAGAAGTAGAGCAGCAGTTTCACCAGGTAATAATACAACACATCACACACTAATCAATCGTTAGCCATCCATTCACCCGCAAGCACCAAGCCCTTACCGAACAAGGAGTGTAAGGTATCAAGAGTCCTGACTTCGTATGGGCAGATCTGATGGGTGTTCCAAGGTAGCGCAACGTACCATACGGCAGTAGCAATAAGCTTCATAATGGCGGCATCCTCAGGGTAGTGCATGAAGTACGAGTAAGTCTGTGTAATCAGTAAGCAATGTACTAGCCGCCCGAACATTCCGTGTAAAACGCCCCTGGAGAATCGTTATGCCATATAACCTTGATATAGAAAAATGACATCAGGGGGTGAACGTTACGAGGTCAAGAAAAGTCATAGGTACATGATGGAGACCAGACCCCCGATGAAGGTCGTACCTGCCGCGAACAAATGAGCAAGTAAATCGCATTTGGTTATGTAACTAGGTCTTCACCGAACCCGCCCGGGATGCCCATGTTGCTTGGGTAAATTGTGTCGGGTGAACTCGTCGATGAACTCGCTGCAGGATATAGATGGAAAAGCAATCGAGCGGGCGACGGGGGTATCGGCCTGAAGGTGGAGCAACTCTGTCCTGGACGAATGCTGCATTAAGTATAGTTTGGAGGACTAGCCTCGCCCGAAGAGCATGTCTTATTATGTGGGTTGACTAAACCACCGTGCTTGACCCATTGGAGATGACTATTACCACTCAGTATGCAGTGTCCAGACTTGAGTGACTCGAAGCTTTCCTTTTCATGGGCAACCATCAGCCCATCATCTTACATGCCAACTGGCCCAAATACAAAAATAGATCAACACAGACCTTGTCTGATATGAAATACATACGTTCCTCTGAGTACCTCTTGCAGCATTTTGCAAACACGTACCTAGTGGTTGACATCTGCAAGGCCTGCTCGTTACAGGGACACAAAAACGGAATATGTAGCAACATTTGCCAGGTAATCCATGTCTCTGGTAGTATATCGGTTAGTACACCCGCCTGTCATGGCTTAGTCAGTCACGGTGCGCGGGAAAGCGGGGTTCGACTCCCCGCCAGAGAGCGTTTTTTTTCTTTATCATTGCAGCCACAATGTTTGCAAGGGTATTTGGAGCACATACTCATATTGCAACGAATTTCGGGGTGCAGTGACCTTGTAAACAAGGTGATATTGCATCATCAACTAGACCTGCATGGAAGACAAGACGTCTGGGTTGCAAGGTAATTGCTGTAAAACGCCAATCCTGCAATGCTCTCGCGAGTGTCGAATGAAGTCGCATTACAAAGAGTTATTTTCTTCCAACCACTTCCTGACCTCCTTCTTGTTCACCATACGCATCACCTCGAGTCGCTCCTCCAAAGTACGATCCCGATACAGTCGCATGATGTGCCCACACACGATCCACACGTCTTCCCAGGAGGCGTCAAACAAGTCCCACCACGAGTTTGGTGGCGTCGAAGGCAGGGAAATCCCTAGGTGCCGAGTAGCGAGGAGAATAGGCGGCACTCACGATAGTCGGAACAGCGTATATAGCGTATACGGGTGTCTGTAATCTGCCAAGGTCACCGCACCCATGATAAATCCAATCAACATCAACCTTCGGCATCTAATGGTAACAGAACAAAAAACTAACGCATCATTGAGGTACCCCCACGCCTTGCCGCATGCCTCCTTGTGGTTAGTGAGCCCAAGCAGGCGGAGGTAATTGATGAGTGTGCCGTATGGGAGGACAACAAGCATGTTGAACCCCAGGCGTTTGAGAATCTGCATTTCAGCGACGACGAGTGCGTCCTTGAGGTTGTAGAACGCATCGCTGAAGTAAGCCATTGGCGTATATTTAAACTTGGTTTTGCCATTCGACGGAGACGGTGCGGCTGCAGCGGGCGAGGCCATAACTAAACTATGGCCTGGGACATGTGTAGGCTGAGGTCTACGTGACGGGGACGACGGCGGAGGAGACGAGTGCAAAGAGAGTTCGTGCGAGTTCCGCTGGAGAAGCAGGTCATACACGTTTATGAGGTCTCTCATCCGAATTGGGCACTCCTCCAGCTTGGAAGCAAGGTATAGTGCGCCCATGCTGATGTCCTGCATATAAATTGGTGCAATCCAACAAGTACCATACGAAGAAAGAAAGAAAAGGAGACGGGATCCAGAGTGATTCAGACGGTCGATGAAGAACAAAAAGTGTCGCTGACCCCAATACTAAACTGCTTCAAGGATGTCACGAACCAGAAACGCTGGAAAAGTATCTGTGCAGTCGCTACTGCAACCTGCTTTCTAAAAAACAATCGGATTGTGGTCATTCCGACTGGCCGAATAAAAAAGTTATTGGTGGCGTACTGGTTGAGCAAGATACCAGCTTGGTGTATGAGTTTGCAGCCAAAAGCTCGGAGGTCTTCTTCAAGTTCCTGTGGAAGTCCATCTTCTCCCGAGGGCGTCCTCGCAATCTGGGAATGCGTTGCGAGAGGGACGAGTATCGGGGTCATCCTCGACTTGTTGGAGGAGGGAGCGCTGCAAGTTGGACTATTTGCCCGAAATGGTAACAACAGCATTTTCCTTGCAGACCACTCAGACCAGCACACTCGTAATGGCGGGTCTGCCTCCCAAGCCAGACTTTCCACCCCGGCCACAGAGCACCTGGCCTGACAAGAACGATGCTCGTTCTTCACCCGATCGTCACTACCACCCCCGTGATGACAGGCGAGACAGAGACCGCGACCACAGAGACAGAGACAGGGACCGGGACCGACGCTCATACCGCTCGCGTTCCCCTTCACGTCCCATGATGGACAGTTACATCGCAGGCTCTCACCCCGCATCTCCCTCGAAGGGTACATCCCCGCACGCAAGAGACATTAGTCGAATGCCAGGGTCTCCCGGCCGACCCCATGGACCAGACTACCGAAGCTATGATGATTCACGCATGAGGGACGACCGGGATTGGAGAGGTGGTAGCACATGGGACAGACGGCCATCTCGCTATTCTGACCGCGATCGCGAGAGGGAGAGAGATTTTGACTATAGGAGAGGAACGAGAACCTGTCTCAACGAGACGAAGACCATTCGACCAATATGATAGGGAAAGGGATGATAGGAGACGGTACTCTTCACCTGACTATCGTTGGAACTCGCGGTCGCCACCCCCGCGTCGCGGTGGTACGTTTTTTCTTCCTACGTTCTCCGATATATTCCTCTCACTAATAATGTATGTCATAATCCTTGATTCTACAAACCCATATGCAGATCACTACGCTTGGACGCGCACGCTCCCCGGCGCGCCGTCATCCGCCTCGTCCTCCCTCACCCTCACGTGTCATCCGCTCACCTTCACCACAATCACGTAGCATAAAACCAGATCCAGACGAGCTACACCAGCCACGACATGACCGTGATCGCATTCGGGAAAGGGGAAGTATCTCTCCCCTCCATCCACGCCGATGCAGCCGGAGTCCCACTCCTGCATACCGACGGCGTCCTCCACGGCGCTCTCGCTCACCTTCACGGACGAGGGTGGAGAGTTACCGCCCAAGGTCACGCTCACCACCTTAGGCTGAGGTCGCCAAGCCCAATACGACACGTAAAACAGGAGCCGGTGGATGACACACGCTCAGGGGGAGCAGGTCACCTAGAAAGAGAACATCCAAGATCGTCTCCTCTCCCCTATGTCAAAAAGGAGGAGTTGGAAGAGAGGATGGACTGGAGACGTACATTGCCTTCTCCTAGACACGAGGTAACGAATGAGCTGTCTGGCGAGCTGGCACATGTGAAGAAGCGGGCCCGATCCCCTTCTCCACTTTCCGTCCATCCACGTGTACGTGCACGGTCACTCTCACCTTCTCTGTCGGAAAAAGAAAGGGAACGCGAAAAGGACAGGGATAGAGAACATGAGCAAGGAAGGGAGCGGGAAAAGGACAAGAAACCAACCCAGCCATTCCTCCCGCCCATACCCCGGTACGAGCCTCGTCCCAAGTTCAGCACGACGCTGGCACAGGAAGCCGAGGTGAGTTTCAGTGTGACTTTTCTCAAAACAAGTATTCAATGACCCCTGGAACTCGAAATACGACAAACAAAATCAGTATGCCCGTCTAGGACGCTCACCGGGCCAATGTCGCCTGCGGAGCATCGCAAAACCGGAAAAGCATGGCGTCGCGCACTGCACGAACTTGATATGGCTACGCTCGAGTTGAAGGGCCGCTCAGCACCGCCGCGAGCTCGCGGAGAATCTTAGGAAAGCGAGCGCATGCTGGTGCATTGGGAATAGACGCGAATATGGGAACAGGGACGACTCAGGGAGGTTCAACATTTACAATGGCATGAAGGCTAACAGGATGGTTAGCGTGTGAGAATTACAGCATCGGTTTGGGCGAAAGAATTCTTGAGCGTTACGGACTACTGGCCGCCCCGCTTTGTTCAAATGTATGTGCTCATTGCATAAAGGAAGTCCTTGTTTGGATGCCCCAGCGTATGCATTGGCTGGCTGTGGTGGAAAAGCTAGCTATACCACCATGGTTACATCTTTGGTAACTTTCTACAGACCATGTGTGTCCGCGAAGGATCCGAAGGGAGGGCACAGTAAAACCCATAATTCTGCAGAACGTGTGGTGAGAACCGTGCTGCCAAAAGAAAAACGAAGTGATGCAACAACAAATCCGGGCTGTGATTGGACCCATATTATCATCCAAACGTACTGCCCAAATAAACTTGGCTTGGTCTTACCTGTATATCAATCTGGTGGCGCATGCCAGACGAATAAATGTCTACCTGTGTGCTGTGTGCGGTGATGATAGACTGAGACCCCCTGGAGACTTGATGACATCGTCTAAATTCGGCCCCTGAGAACACACGCACACAGACGACGGTCCCAAGCCAAAGAACAGTGATAAAAAAGGGAGGGAAAGGCACAATACGAATGACTAGGAGACCCGAGTAAGAAAATCGGATTCAGAGTGGCTCACCTGCATTGCTGCGAACAGCTGTGTGGAGTACATGTCGAGCTGCGGAGATCAATGGTGGTTATTTTCACGCACACAGCGACACGCGATATAAATCGGTAGGAAGCCGGAACAAGGAAGAAACAATTTTAAACGGTTGCGATGGAGATTTAGGAGAAGGAAAGACAAACGTGAAACCTCGAATCCAAAACGCAACCTCATGGTTGACGACACGAATGATTTAAAGGACTCACGTCGATACAATCCTTTTGCCGGCCTCTTCCCTGTTCACCCGTACTAATATCACCAGTATGTTGACGGGTCTTCGGCTGATTCGAATGTTCCCGGCAGATCACCGTCCGCGCTGTGCCGCGCTCGCCGTCAAACGTGTACCCGGCAGATGGATCCTCCCATGCTTGGGTTCGCTATCAATTCGGGCATCACAGGAGTGTGTTGGCACGGATATCTAGAGTACGTACTGAGAGAAACAAGCGCAATGATTCGTCTGCGCCACTCGGTTTCTTGCTGCTTTGGTCTGCTGCTGCCATCGCCAAGCTTGAGTGCGACTGTCCGGGCTCCGCCACTATAGTAGTTGGTTTCAGATCGCAAGTCTTAGTCCAAGTCACGGTGTCATCTAGCGTAGAATGACGTCTGACTCCACTTGCCGTGTCAACTGTACACCGTTGTCACAGGGGTAAACATTAAGGTGCTCCTGAGTTGCAGTCCTTGGACACATCCGCTGTCAGGGCCAGGGCATCTTATCATGCATGCGCATGATGCACCGAACCAGATTCGCAGGTTATGAGATACCAGAATGATATATGATGCCCATTATTAGCACAAACGTATTTAATGCGGAACGGAGTACTTATCATGCGATTTGTATAGTACAAACGGCCCTTGAGATGAATTATGGAGGGAACGGTGCAATGCAACTTTTCATGCAAACTCGTAACGAATGTGGACAGAGGGAAGGCAGCATGCAAAAAGCTGATACATACAACTGCGCCATGAATGAAAGAAGAACAGGAACGGCGTAGTAGCTCAGGAGAGTCCAACCGAAATGTGAAAATTCATGATAAACAATATACCCGGATTACTTTTCTGATCATGGTTTGCCATTCAGTGCTAGCCAAGGGGGGTTTGCGCTTAACTCCTAGGCACTCGGAAGGCATGAAACGTTTGACCGTCACAGCGTGGCAGCGCCAAAGCCAGGGCCATAATACCGGCAGCCATATGTACGTACGTGTAAGGCAAGGAGACCGCTTGAAACGGGCTGCGCTGCAGCAACCCGATTGACATGCGCACGGATGATTGTGCCGGGCAGTATGCATACAGGATCCAAGATCCTGGCTTCTAAGAAGGGTAGGACACAGATGCCAACAACGTGGTAAATCGGAGAACGGGAGAAGAATGGGCGGGCGCCTAGAAGTCGCTGATTTTGTTAAGACCGATAGTGTGGAACGGACTAGAACAGCAAGTCAGAACTCACCCGTTCCGCGCTCCAAGGGCGCGACGTCAGCAGATCAGGATCGGATGAGAAGTTCTGCCTGGGACGGTGACGATGGGACTCCACATATCGACGCCATTCCAGCCCGTCCCTATCGATGGATAGCCAAGGTCCCCTGCTACCCTAATTTGGTTGTCAGATAGGATATCAAGGGTGGTGGCACCACCCGAAGGGCTGATCAGCGGAAAGGGAAGGGCCACATGATCGATTAGGAGGGGCCAGCGGCGGTAGTAATGAAACGTGATGGGACCATGTGTGATGCTGCTGTGGCTGCTGAGACGGTAATTGTTGGAGGGGCATCGGCTGTTCTCGATGGACACGGGAGCGCCATGCGTGGATGCGAGCGCGGCGTTTCGTGGGTGGAGGTGGCGGGAGATCGTCGTGGATGTCACCATCAGCGGCGCAAAGCTTAGGGTCGTCGCAGTCGCACCGTTTCCGCTTCGGTGGCCTGTGGGTATAGGGGGGGTGAGAGAGGTCTTCGTCCGAGTCTGGGAGGTCGAAGTGGAGAAATGTGGGGGAGTGGTAGGGGAGCGGACGGGGCGCAAGGAGTGGGACGTCACAGACTGAGATGCGCATTGCGTTCGACCCGTATGTGGGTTCCGGAGAGGACAGCATTCCTGTGGACACAGAAGAGGATGTGTCTGAGGCAGAGGGAGAGGATGGGACTGGAGGCGGCCATCAGATATGACAGAAACCAGGATGTAGGATTTACAAACATACAGATCAAGTCAGGTGGAGGAGGAAGAGCGAGACAGCCGTCTGCGCCTCGCAGGTAGGGGGGCCAGTCGACGAAGAGGTCATCGAGAGGGGAGAGGGGAAGGAAGAGATCCATGGCGATGGGGTGGGCTTCGAGACGCTACTTTATAAATGTATGGAGCTAGTGTCACATCAGACACACGGGACTATGATGACTGGACTGACCTGGCCGAGCGATTCCCAAGACAAGGAGACTCACCCTTTTATACACCGACAAGACAAGGGGGGGGCCATGATGCATTCGATATATTATTTTATATTTTAGTGGCCCTGTGTTTTCATTTCAAGCTGTTGTGGCGGTTTTTCTGACCGCGTCGGCACCTTACTTCATTTCCTTTTTCGTTTTTCAAATTCCCGATCTGCTTGCCTTATTTGGATCTGTCAAGGGAGGTTCCTCTTGTCCACCTCGCCCAGCCTCCATACTGCTAATACCCCAAGCCAGCCATGCCCATGCTCGGCCAATCGTGGGCTCGTTTCATTGCCCAGCCCGCAGTCTCGCGCCGCCCACTGTCCCAAGCGACGGCCACCCCACCGTCGCACGTTCAGCACCACCTCCCTTATTTTGTCCGTCGCAACACCCGTGGCTCCCTCCCCGTTTATACGGACATTCGCAACGGAGGAACGCGCTATCTCGTACAGATACGTAACGTCGAAGGCCAGGCGCAGGTACGTAGGCAAAGCTCCATCGCTTTCCTGTGGAGCCAAACCTCAGCCTCGCTGGCACAGGTACTCGCAAACCAGCTCAAGGCATCCCTCTTCGAACCAAATTCACCGGCAGCAGCCAGACTTGGTGTTCGCGTCCATGATCAGAGACACATCGTAATCACTGGCGGCCGCTGGAAGGTGGACGTGATGGCGTGGCTTCTCAATAAGGGCTTTTAATCATCATTAATCCGACGGGCCATCCGACCAACCGTACCCTATTGTTCCTTCCGTGCACACCGCATTACATCCACTCATAGGAAGGAAGGCATGTGAACTACTCCACGTTTCCATGCTGTCTCACCTCGCAGAACGCGCGCACTGCAACATGATACTATTACTTATCATCATGTAAACAAAAGCCAACATCTATGGGCTAATAATACTCGTTCTGTCCATGGGCCGTCAAAGAAACGATGTCCGTGGTTTAACCCTGTCGTCCCTTCCTTAGTCCTTACTAAGCTGTGCTGACGTGCTGTATTGTCCACCGTCTCCGGACTCCCCCACTAGTTGCCACGTTCGGGTAGCCTGTTAACCACGATAAAACCTGTCATCTGATTCAGTCATCCACTGTCTGTCTTCAGGACCAGGTACAGGGACGTATTAGTCAAAATGGGGCCTCCATGACCTTTCATGACCTACCCAGCCCTATCATCGCACCATTCGTTGGCGGCTCGAGTGAAATTTTAGGACAAGCAGTGCTTCGTGTCGCCGCACCCACGTATGTATCTGGCTATCCCTGCGAATTCGGTCGCACGTTTTGCCGCCGCGCTGCGGGTTGGCTGCGGGTATTCTTGGAAGGTATGGATCACAGCCAGCTGGTCGTAGTAGTATGGTCTGCAACGGCCGTGTAAAGAACCACATTAATGCATAATGCGCGTGGCGTGCTGACTGATTGATGATACTGCGGGGCGCCATGGTTCCTATCTCGACACAATCTTACCCACACAGGAAGACCGACATGGCATGCGACATCTCTTAATTTTTCTGCTACATATATAAATCAAACCGGAGTATATGATCAAGTTCCGATCGGAGACCCGTAGCTGGACGTGCCCCAGGCTGCAGTCGTCCGAGTTCAAGTGACCCCCAACGTGTCAAGCATAATCACATGGCTTCCTGTCTTTGAATCGTCATGACATGGAACGAAGTGATCCGATTGAGGAGGAGTTAGTAGGGGCATGAGATGATAAATGGCATGGCTGAACGTTCCACCTTCGTGTGCGTAGTGCTGGCAATAGAAGACTTTCCTTGCTCCCGTGCCTCGGTTCTTGAAATGTCACAATACGGGAAGGTAAGACGATTAGGCAAAACTCACGCAATCGCCCGGGAACGACCTTCCATCACACATCATGCATGCAGGGTACCGGGTGGGTTCGTGGCAACTCCAACCCAAGCAAAGCACAAAACCCTTGTGCACATGTAGGCTATTTTGTTCCGCGTCGGGCGTCTGGTCCGATTCCGATTATCTTTACTGGAAACGGCAATGCAAAAAATATTAATCTTATCCGCCAGTGACTCATCGAAACAGTCCTATAAGTCGTCTCAACGTCGATCTATTACCAGACAGCGTCTGAATTCCGGAAGACACCTGCGTTATCCAACTTAGAGGAGTAAAACAGGTCATTACTACTGGGACATTTCTAGCACCTAGGGAGCAAAATCACCCCCCCCCCCCAAAAAAAAAAAGAATGTCTACTACTACAGCGTCGACTGCGACTTCACAAGCAGTGAGCGGTGCGCCGAGTACCGTAGCCTGTGGAACAGGCTCGGGTGCTACTCATGCACCCAAAAGAGACGGCGGGAATACGAGCCTCGGCACGTTTGGGGTGGGCACCATGCGTTCAAATGTCTTTTCCACCTAGGGCTAACCGTCACGGTTTGATCGTAGGTCAAGTCAGGCCTCGCCCAGATGTTGAAAGTGAGTTTGATTTGGTGGCTTTGCCATTCCAAGCCAATATGTGGTTTGGTTGGCGTATCCCTCAGTGTGCTGAACGGTGGCCAATCGTTGCGGTCGTGTAGGGTGGCGTGATTATGGACGTCGTTAACCCAGAACAGGTGTGTTTAATTATTTCTCGCCGTTTGCCACCGCCTGCTTGCAAGAGCGTGTGCGTGGAGGACGAGTGAAGAGGTTGTTGGCTGACCGGGAAACTCCTTGCATGTTCTTACCCCGTTCTCGTTCATATATTTGTTTTCCGACGCGCCCCACACACGCCTGTGCACGCACTTGTTTTGATACGACCACAATGAAACTTATCAACAGGCGCGCATAGCGGAGGAAGCAGGCGCATGCGCCGTGATGGCTCTCGAGCGCGTGCCTGCAGACATCAGAGTTGAGGGAGGCGTTGCAAGAATGGTGAGCGTTTTGTACACATCCTCTCTTTCGCCTGATATTGTGCGATGTCTTTCCAACAACCCATTCTCTTCTACAAACGTGGACTCAGTGTCCGCTGCGATTCTTCACGCCTTTGTCACTCGTTCTCGTCGTTCTTATCCGGAATCCCTTGTACTGTTTTATCAACTATGATGGTTATGCGACCTACGAGGACGCATCTGGAGACATATTTTCCCCATACTTGTCTTTCATCCCGTCCCCTTGCTTGTTATGGTTCTATCCCTGTCGGAATCGAGATCGTATTTTTTTATATTTAACTGACTTCCGCAACCTCTACATATTTGTAGAGTGACCCTGCGGTGATCAAATCTATCGTCGACGCCGTCACTATTCCCGTCATGGCCAAAGTCAGGATCGGACACTTCGTCGAAGCACAAGTACGGAACATTTCCCTACCCTTTTCATTCGTTCCACCTTTCGCTGACATTCATTCGAACGCCATGAATGACAACATGGTGATGATGTTTATAGATCCTCCAAGTCATTGGTGTGGACTACATTGACGAATCCGAAGTGCTTACCCCTGCCGACGAAGAACACCACATCAACAAGCACAACTTCAAAGTCCCGTTCGTTTGTGGTGCCCGCAACCTTGGCGAGGCCCTCAGACGCATCTCGGAAGGCGCCGCGTTCATCCGCACGAAGGGCGAAGCTGGCACGGGAAACGTTGTCGAGGCGGTCCGACACCAGCGTGCGGTCATGGCAGAGGTCAGGAAGGCGAGTGTCATGAGCGAGGAAGAGCTCTACGCGTACGCAAAAGAGATCCAGGCTCCGTTCCACTTACTTAAAGAAACCGCGCGGTTGAAGAGGCTCCCCGTCGTCAATTTTGCTGCAGGGGGCATTGCTTCTCCAGGTGCGTCCATTCTTCACCACACGCACGCAACGTAACATCTGGTATATGAACATACTACAGCGGACGCTGCCTTGATGATGCAGCTTGGCTGCGACGGAGGTGAGTGGAGTTGCTCCTGTCGCCATGATATTCTTCGTTGATTAACTCTGTCGAAACAGTCTTCGTAGGCTCGGGAATCTTCCATGTATGTACCCAGCATATTTCATTTGCTACAAAGGTTAATCACACAGCGGTTAATAAGTCCGGCAACCCAGCCAAACGAGCCCGTGCCATCGTTCAAGCAGTACGCACCTTCTGTCTCCTATATATCCCTACCTTTCGTTAAACTACGCATAGGTTACTCACTACAACAATCCCAAGGTTCTTGCAGAGGTAGTATCATCATCTACTACAACCCAGGGTTACTCAATGTCCGCTTAACATCATTTGTTCTGTTCTGTAGATATCAGAAGACCTTGGTGCACCCATGGTTGGTCTCACCATGTATGTCGTATCCTTCGTGTTTACTCCATCCGACTGACAAAACCTCGTGACTCCCAGTGACACGAACATGAAGGGTGGTCGTCTTGCAGAGCGAGGATGGTAATCTCTACTGTATCAATCCCTTTGTTGATAAAAACTAAGTTAGAGTGTACTGCAAATGCACATAACACACAATGTATATTCTCAACTTCAGATATGCTTGTGACATACATCCCCAACATGGATCCTACATAAAGTGCATCTTCCAAGCAAGGCTGGCATGTTTTCCTTTATACCCATTGTGCCACTTCTGGAGATCAAAACTGGCACCACCTGAAATGGATGACATAGCACTGTCATCATAGTGAAGGTTTGGATTGAAATGGAAGTTTGCTCGAGCACAGACAATCTGCAAGAAAGAGTAAGGCACATCTTACCATCACCATGAACAGCATAATGACTTACATCAGCATCTAGAAAGAAGTGTAGTTGTGAATACATGCACAGTATGTCAGGAACTCTAGTACTCACAATAAACTGGAGCAGGGATGGATACAGAACGAGTAGCACGAGCATATGCATGGCAAAGACAGAAAGATAGATTCTGCAAGCTGTGAATGTATCATCAGAAATTGTCATCAAACACTGATCTGTCTCAAACAACTTACATATCAAGCCTCCTTCCAAAGTTTTCATCTTCTAGGATTATGTAGTGGCTGGGTCTGCTAGCTGTTAGAATGATTATGAGTTGATGGACCAACATTCATATTGATGACAAGTGACCTACTTCCAAGGAGACCCCCATGAGACTGAAGATAGAAATCTTGGGCCATTGGGTTACCAACACCCTTGTCAGCCACAAAGCCTGCAGGGCAGTTCCCTGACTTATCTCCCTCATTCCTAAAAATGTACACCTTCATCAGAGATTTTCAACATGCCTAAAGCCAGACACCTACTGAGACTTTGGGAAGAATCTGACATGGTGCCTGCTCAAAAGTTGAGGATCAATGTAGCACAAAGGCACATTCTCTTACTTTTTTCCTACTACAATATATGTCAGCAATGGCTTTGGCCTGTTCACCTTCCTTTCAGTCCAAAGGGCATCCATGGCATCTGAGGGACATCAGTTAAATTCCAAATTCCAAAAATGAACTTACCTTTGATAGCCTGGATCTCCCTTTCTGCTGCTTGAGCATACTCACCCTCAGATAACCCATCTCTGAACAGGATGAGACGTTGAGGAGGTGCCTTGTTTCTGCTGCCAAACAAGTTGACAGCAGTCTGCAATTGAAAGCTAAGGTTACTCAATAGCACACAATGCATTGGACAACTTACCTTCACCATGCTTCCCAAGTCTTCAATGATCTCTAGTCTGGGCCTCTGGATACAAGTCAAAGCCTCATAACGTGAGGCATCCATGTCAAAAGAGAATACTAAAGATGCCACAGAGGGCTGATCCATTACTCCAGGTGAGGGGTGCCCCACATCAACACCTAAGTGCAGTAATGGTCAGAGCTGTAGAACAACACACATGTAATTGCATCACCCATAATCATGAATGGTGCCTCCTTTAATTTGTCTAGTGCAGGTGCTTTGGGTATTGCATTCACACCTCCTAGTTTGGCATTAATCCTAGCTAGCCATCAGTATGCATGAAAAGCCAAAGTGAATGTCTTTAACATACTTCATTGCAACATTGTTGCAGTATTGATTATTGGCACGAGCAATCTTATCTTCCCTCTGGAATAAGAGTGAGATGAAAACACCATTCAAAATTCATGAGACTTACAACACACTGTGTAGAGATCTGAAGTAGGGAATAAGGTTCAGTTTGCTATTGTGGTGGTAGAACTGAGTACTTACACCAGTATGAACATCCCCAAATTGTTTTACAGCTAACCTTATCTCTGCTGCAGATGATGGCAATACCACCAATATGAGGTCAGGTGGTGTTTGGAAACTGGCCTCCTTGCCAGCATTCATCAAGTCCTATGTCATTGCAGTCTATTAATGTTCTTCATGCAAACATAACCTGTTTACCTGGCTAACATTCTGACTCCCGACTTTGTACACCTGCGTTAAAGAAACAGCTTGCCACATGTTTGAGTATGATTCAGGACGACCAAAAGATACCTACACATTCCTGCAACGCATGAGCCCTACCATTCACGAAACAGACAGAACGATTGTTGTTACCTAGTTGCCCGCAACATTCCACCAGCATCTTGACAAATCTCTCTGTATTGGAACGGGCTCTCGCCTTATTCAGGCTGTAATCCACCACAGCCCACGCCTTAATATCGCGAGGCTGGTGGAACCTCTGATTAAGCACATTCCAACCCCCATTCCTCGGAAACTGAAGCGAAATCTAGCTGACGTCAACTCAGAAGGCACGGAGACGTACAACTAAATTGTTGGTTTGGCCATAGGCCATGCCTGGTGTCTTGAGAACCTGGCCGTCGATTGCTGAAGGAGATGCGGAGATCTGCAAACCCGCTTCTTGTACATAAGGGGAATTTCTGTAATCTAAAGCCTTCATCGCAGTCAGCAGACGATCATGTCGTGCGCTATGCTGTCGCTCACTGTGTTAGGGCCCGAGCTACTTAAGCCTCTCATGATAGCCTCCATCCGAGCTTGAGGCTTCTCTGAACTAAACTCCACCATCTTCTTGGTGCACTCTTGAGGCAACTTGCGGGTGTAACGCTGGTTGGGTAAAACGACACACAGTTCCAAGGGGATTACGGTAACCTCATTTTTCCTGACAAAACCAACTCCAATAATCTCCGGGTACTGGAGATGGATGTTATAAGTTTCCCGGTAGTATTGCTATCAAATATATAGCCGTTAGAAATGGCGCACTCGCTAAAAACAATGCCCACCTGAACGGTAATCTCCGGTCCATCGGATCCCTTCTGGAATTTATAGTACCCAGCCTCAGGAATGAACTGCGAAATCTTTTTCTTCTTGCCCTTCAAATGCGTAAAGCCAACGAATACCCCTTTGAAGAAGCTCTTGAGTTTTCGAAAGTCGGGGGAAGCCTCCTGAAGCTTCAGTGTGCGTACATGAGATTGCCCCAATAAAGCAAGGGCGACGTCAATAAGGCGACCCTCCTGGTAGCTGCCAAATGCTTGAGTCGCGAGCTATGATCGCCAATATACGACCTACAGGACACCGCATGTAACATCTACGTTGACAAGTAATTGATTATGCGTTGGTCGGACGCTCCTGGAGCGGAATCAGAAAACATTATTAATGAGAGTGAATCCCTTACTGGTAAAAGCCTTTCCATGCTTCTAATCCGCCCCCCAGGGTTACCCTTCCAGCGTCCTTAGTGAAGAATGACTTAATATTGTTAGGATATTTCCTGTTTAAAACGTATCAGTATTCCGCAGAGATCGTGGTGGAGCGACTTGCAAGTTGGGTCCTTGACGGACAATGAGTTGCAAGAGATTGATGGCTACGATGACTTTTGGGGTCTGTTGCTTCAAACGACCATCGAGGAATTGACGTAGATCACTGGAATAGAACAAGCTCAAGGCGCGATAAACAGCGTAGGACGCGCGAGAACGAACTTGAAGTCGATGACTGAAGCATCGACGCGCTTCAAGGTGACCGCAAATCGGCGCTTGCTCGTACCACGGTCTGACATGTCTACCTCAAACTGTGGATATGATTATCGACGCGGATGAGCATATGAGGCTGGGAGGCGCGCAATCAAAAACTACACTAACCGTGTGGGACTGCCCAAAAGCGAGTATCCTCCCCGAGTAAGCGATCGCGTCTCCATCATAGATCACCTTGGGGGTGAAAAGCGTCGGTTCGGTATGGTTTTGCAGCCGTTCGAAAATTTCGATACGTCTTCCGGCCTGTCTAATCTCGGGTTCAAACGCTCAAGAAAGTTACGGTTAGCAAATTCACCAGCATCTGGGCCGAATCAAACTTACACACTGTAGTAAGACGCGAGCATGGGTGCCATTCAACAGGTATACTGAGTGCATGTATAACGAGGTGAAATCAAAGTACACAGTACCATCGTATTGATGATATTTCTTATTTTCTGTGATGCGCTCGACTTTGAACGAGTTAGTGTAAACAACGAGCCTGGACATATTGTCAGTGGCGATGTAGATATGTGTATGATCGAGTTGAACAATAACAAAGATAAAGCGTGAGTGGTTGAAAGAAGAGTAGATCAGTATTTCAACAGATTCGCATCAGCTTATCGATTGATGGCATCTCAGCTTCCTCACATCCAAACGCTAGCGATGACAATAAAATTCGAAAGACGCGACCTAAAAGGAGAGACCAGTTTCGAAACGTAACAAATAAGTCCGCTAATGTCGAGAAGGGGGAGTATGTAACGGATATCGCCCACGACGTGCTACATGATATTCCCTGATGGCGACGTGACGCTGCCAAGAAGAAGCCGCGCTACCAGTGCGCAGGCAACCGCATTCAGCAGCAGGTGCCAGACTGCTGTTGTTGCACTGACTGCCCCGGAGTCACCGTTAATGACTTCGCACCTCCCGCAGGAGTTGACGTAGCTCCCATTCTGTTAGGTGATGTTAGCAGCAAGAAGGTGGATGGAAAGGAAAATTGGCTGACCTATCCTTGATCTGTTTCGCCATGGTCAAGAACGCCTGCTCGACATTCGTTGCATTCTTGGCCGAGGTCTCCAGGAAAGGAATGCCGAGTTGGTCAGCAAATTCCTGTGTGAAAGTGTCAAATATATAAACCTTGGAGCGTGAACCACAGCGGATAGTACCTTGGCCACACTGTACTCGACCACCTTCTTGTTAGTCAGGTCTGACTTGTTGCCTACCAACAACTTGTTAACACCCTCCGACGCATATCGGTCAATCTCCTGAAGCCATTGCTTAACGTTCGTGAAAGTATCTATGAATGGCAGTCAGCGGGGCGGCAACGAAAGGGTTAGTTCCGAACCATTGTCAGTGACGTCGTAAACGACGATGATACCATGAGCACCTCGGTAGTAGGAGGATGTGATCGTGCGGAATCGCTCTTGACCTGTGTTTGAAACGGTGAGCTGGTGAGCCAAGTCGGCAAGGAAGAAAAACGCACCCGCTGTGTCCCACTGCAATGGCAGAAATAGCCAAGTTAGGACAGTTCCAAAAACACGAGAAGAGCATTGAAAAGGAGGCACCAACGAATTGGGAAAAGATGAAAGAAGGACAGGCGTAATTTAAGGCCGGTGACGGTGGAGAGAGAGTCAAAAGGTGAAGGCCAGTGGAGGGGTACGCACAATCTGTAGCTTCACGGTCTTTCCCTCGAGTTCGATAGTGCGGATCTTGAAGTCGACACCAATAGTGCTTATATAGCTCTCCGTGTATGTGTCGTCCGCGAACCGAAGGAGGAGACAGGACTATACAGACGAGGTCAGCAACGGAGCTTACGCTGTGACAGCAACGAAAACGAACCTTCCCAACACCAGAGTCACCGATGAGAAGGAGCTTGAATAGATAGTCGTACTCGCTGGTATGCATTGTGAACTCGAAAACGTGAGCAGTAGCTGAGAGACGGTGGACGCTCGCTGAGGGACAAGACAAAGGGCGGTGGTGCAGTGCCGTGTGACGCGTGGCCAGGGCGTGACTTGGCCGCCACAACATAAAATAAAACAAAACGAGACTTCAGGGAATCAAGCCTCCTCTTCCCCAACGTCGGCGGCCCCCTAACGAGCACTGTGTCCCGATCATGCCCCTCTCCATGGCCAAACCCCCTCAGTCTGCAACCTTGCTATGTCGAATGGACGGGATACGTCGATTACTCAGGGGACACGGATCCCATTGCGAAACGTCGATGTGTAAGTCTTGCCGATCTCGTTGACAACTCATTTAATCACAGGGCATACCTCCTAAGGCTTGAGTACACATGTTCTTGCTCTGAAGCTCTAGCTTCTTGTCCGAACTGCCTGGTAGCATTGGCGACCACGACTTCTGGGTCGTTTTCGACACAGGTTCCTCAGACCTGGTACGTGTCCTATACGATTTCCTGGATGTCCCTAACGCATCTATCTCGTTGCTCAGTGGGTTGCATCGACGGATTGTAACACTGATGATTGTCACGGTGTCCCAAAGTATTCGCAAGCAGAATCGCATACGCTAAGCTTGTCGGGGGAACCGTTCAAACTTAATTACCTTGCAGGTTCAGTCGCTGGCACCGTCGGCTCTGAGATAATAGAACTCGGCTCGTATCAGGTAGCGTCGCAGACGTTCGGTGGGTGAGATTACTCACGTTCGATGCGCGTCTCACATGTATGTATCCATCAGCACTTGCCAATCAAACGAGTGGACTTGATCTAGGGGGAATAGGGAACTCGGGCATTGTCGGTTTCGCCTTCCCTTCAATTGCTGCGATTCAACCGACGTTGGGAACCACTTTACTGGAGAACACCTTCAATCATCTCAGTGATGAGCACAGATTCTTTGCCTACGCACTGGGTCGCAATAACGTGGAAACAGGCACTAGTAGCGACTCTTCCGTCACAATCGGAGAGCTCGACTCATCGATAGTAAATGACTCGAACCAGCTGTCATTTTTCTCCGTTTTTCAAACATCCCATAGTCCATATGATTTTTGGAAACTTCCCATTCAATCCATAACAATACATTCTCTCTCCCTTCCTCTCTCTCGCTCCCTTGTCCCTGGGGCGTTCTCTCCGATCGGAGTCCTGGATACCGGGACGACGTTTATCCTCGGTCCTACAGCTGACGTTGAGACTTTCTGGAACACCGTTAATGTTGGGAATTCTGTGCGGTATAATAAAGGCTCTCAAAGATGGGAAGTCCGATGCAACAGATTCATGGATGTCCGGATCAAGCTTGGCGAGCAAGATAGCGCTCTGGAGATTCCCCTTCACCCCGAAGACATAAATATCATTTGGAAATGGGCTGACGGTAATTCTTGGTGTATTGGTGGTCTTCAGGCTAGCGACGGGGTACGAGAATATGATGTCTGTTTCTTAAGGCACTGAATGGTCTTCTTAGGTGAATTCTGGTGATTGGATTTTAGGAGATAGCTTTCTTAAGGCGAGTCTCTACCAATATATGCGAATATTTTTATAACTGACCTTGTGCGTCAGAATGCCTACGTAGTGCACCAAGCTCCAAATTCTTCGCGCCCGGCGTTGATCGGCCTGTTGAATTTGACCGACCCCAAGACTGCACTATCAGATTTCCAGAAGGCACGTGGCCAGGACCCACTGCCAACATCATCTGTTCTTGGGTACTTCACCCCGCCACAATCTCGCGTTCTTGTGATTGCCACTTCTGTCTGCGCGATTTGTGGACTCATCATCGGGGTTATTGTGACTGTTGTATATGGGCTCCGTCGTAAACTGCAGAGGACGCTTGAACTGAACAGGGCAGCATAAGTACATTGGGACAGAACATCCGATGAAAGGAAAACATGGGACTAATAGAATACAGTAGCAGTATGGAGATGTTCACATGGCAACGTGTCGACTATCCCGACTGAGTGTATGTTGGCCGGTAATAACCATCCCCATGTTGTGCTGGCTGGTAACCATATCCTGGTTGTGCTACTGCAGGGGCCCAACTAAATAACAGACAACTGATTAGCACCTTATCCACACGACGAACAAATGCAACTCACTCAGGTTGCATGACTGTTTGCAGTTGGCATATACCACACATCCAAACGTCCTTAGACCGCAATGGAATAAGAGGTACAAAGCAAAACTCGAACCAGACACGAGATTTGGCCGCAAACATCGACGCTGCTCGAGATTCAGCGCTCAACCACGGGACGACAGCCGAACTATAATAAACTCACCGTTATGACATCTTGGACAGACTCTCGGGGACTGGTCTCCTCCCATGGGGTTTATCTTGTTGGGACAACCGACTGTCGAGATGGGCGGCTCTGTCAGTCAAATACTCATACGACGAGTGGTGGTATCTGTATCACTGACCTACGAGGGGGATACAAACTGGGATCATAGTTAGAACGGACGTTGCTGACGCACAGAAATGTTTTGACGCCTACAGAAGAAGTCCATCGTTATCCTGCTGTGGTTCTCAAACGTATAACGACGAATACGATACAAGGCGATACCGGCGTGGAACTGGATGCAAAGTGAGGTCCGTCCAAGCGACCACTTGCCTTAGTAGGTACGCGTTCCGCAGTCGCCCATTGCCTCCACGATTCAGGGATACTAATCAATCAGTTGTTGACGTCGACGTAGTCCAAGTTCGCGTCCGTCGGGTCGGTTTCCTTCAAACGCCAACATGGTTCATCTTATCTTCGGCCAACCGGTGATAAGATCCCTTGCCTTCCCCGCACCAGGAAAGAACTGTTTCGCGCTGGTAATCGAATCGAATAACCACCTCACTCTCACAGGTCATCATTCCGGGTTGTTGATTTAAACAAAACATGAATACATGGTAAGTGTAGCCCTATGATATACATGTAAGGCAGTGCTGATATGTTTGCTGGACGTCCTGGCACGACTGGCGGGGGAAACAAAGGCAAGGCTGAAGCCCTGTGTGCTCCAAGCTCCCATTACACACGGATTTTGGTCAGAGAGCCGTATGACATGCACAAGGAAGGGGCCCCGTGTTAGTGGTTAGTGGAATACAAGGTATGCCCATGCTGGAACCTCTGACGTCAGAGCTATAATCGATTGTCTTTTTTTTTGTTACACTCCACCTGCCACTTACACCACAGACTTTCCTTCGCCACGGAGATGCTCATATCCACCTTTTGGGACTTCGTCGATCTTTCAGGGACAAGGAGGGAGTGAAATCTTTCTCCCATGAGCTCTCATTATCGAACTCTGGAGGCAATGATCTGCTCACGCGAGTGTACCATTGTGGCGATCATACTGCTAAGCGAAACTAGGAACTTGCGCTGAATGTGCTGCGACGCGATACATGCAGAGTCACGGTTCCATCTGACCAAATCTGACCTGATTTGATAGCGAGATAAGTGTCGTCTGAGGTGTTGTTATTGGAAGCGCGCAGAGCCACGTATGCGGCCTTTTCAAACGGCGGTTGCACCCCACAGTGAATCAAATCTTGCTTCGCTTTTTCTTCCGCTTTGCGACGTTCGAGTGGGCATAGTGTCATACGTCACTCACGCGGTTCATGACACCTTTTGGAAAAAGGCGTCAGCAACACGGAAGGGCTTGTAAAGCTCTGCACAGGACTCTCCTTTTTGCTGATCCGGGCATCCCCGGGTATCACTTGCTGCGGTAGGGAACTGTCACCGTCGGTTTGAATCTGTTTCTTTCCGTGGTGGTCTCGAGGATTGATAGCTTCCGGTATGTGGAGCAACTGTGTATATGTTGACATACCGCTAATAACGGACAGCAGTGTAAGGGGAGAAAAACCTGGCCTTTAATCACCTACTGTGGAGTTGCCAGAACGTTCCACAAATGTTTTAAGAAGCCATACTACTTGGGATAAGTGTCACAAGGACTTCGGGTAGTGACGGAAACGTGTTGGCCAAGTGGTGCCTGGGGTTGGGATATGGATAGTAGTCTTGCGCCCTCTCTCACATTCAAGATGTGTTGTTGGTGAGTGCTTTCCCGTTCTTTAATCGCTGTGATTTCCTGGAACAGTATACAGCCCAATTTTCTGTCGCATCTTCTATCAGCTTGCACTTTTGTTCGCATCTATCAGTGAATTCCTTACGGACTTTTCGTTGCGTTACATGCATTGATCTTCATGTAGCTGTAATCCACACTTTATTTTATCGACATCTCCAAAATTTCACTGCCTGACTTGTTGTTCTTACCCGTGAGTTGCTTCACATTGTTTAACTGGCCTCGCTGATTGGGTGGCATTCTGACATTCAGTGTTCTCGGGCCTCTATTTCTTTGCCGCGTTTGAGGATAATGTACGGCTCTACTGTTCCTCTTGCAACCGATTATCTAACCTGCCCTGAAAGCCAAATCGTTTTCACTTGTGTCTCCTCCCGGCAGAACAACGTTGGATGTATTCAACAAACAACATTTCCTGAACGCAGACAAAGCGTGAAATCTGAAACCTTCTTTCTTCAATCCTTCGCGGCTTTGCCCTCTGTGCCCCGATGAGGTACTCCAAGGTGAGGGGAGTTGCCGGCTCGGAGAAACCATCGTGCTCGGACGTAAGGTACTAAAGCTCTGTTCACCAGGGGATTCGTTTTATAGCATTGCTCTCTGCAATCTTGCCAGCGACCTCTTGCAGTAGTTCGAGGAACAAGGTACAATGCGCGATTTGGAGGCGATTGAGCTGTTCCGTACAGCGTCGCAAATACATCCTTCTGAACGTCTTCGCTCGCTTTTATCGATCAGCGCACTTGGCCTTGGTCTATGTCTTTCAAATAAGTACGACAATCAGGAGGTAGTTGCAGACCTGGAAAAAGCCGTCATGCTCAAACGTCCTGCACTAGAGTACTGTCCGCCTGGGCGTTTCGATCATTGTATAGCTCTTGGTGATCTTGCCCATAATCTCAGAAAGCGGTTCCGGAGACAAGCTGCGATTCACAACTTAGAAGAGGCGATTGAGCTGCTCCACACAGCATTGGAACTATGTTCTTCTGGACGTCGGTTTCCGACGTTAGTTGCTCAATGGCCTTGCGGCCCGTCTTACCGACAGGTTTAGCAGGCAGGGGACCACTGCTGACTGAAGAAATTATGAAGCTTAGACATACGTTACTCGATCTTTATCTAATAGGTCATCGTAGCCGTCGCAAGTGTCTTGCACGATCTTGCTGTTGCTCTTTGAGCGATCTTTCTGGGTCACTTCGCAATGCTCACTACAGCCGAGGCGCAGGTATTTTGCGAAACTATATCTAGAGTCGTTTCAACGGATTATGCTGTAAGTTTTCCTCAATCCACGAGCTTTCATTACGCCTTCGGGAGTCGGTTCAGTAACGGGCCCTTCTGCGACCATCATACGATCGCCAACTTGAACACGGCCATCACATTGCATCAGCATGTACTTAAACTCTGTCCAGCTGGACTCCCCGATCACTCCACGACATGGGCTGATTTAGACCAGGCCGTTCAGCTCCATCAAGCAGCCATGGGCCTATTAACGCCGGAAGATCCAGGCTTATGACACATACCTGGAGAGTCTGCGGCTGCCTTGAAAATGAAGATCAGTCCGCCAATTGAGGTGGTCACTACCTGTACTCTAGGCGCTGAGCAAGTTGACATTCAACAAGTGGTTCGGAGTGTCGTAATTGACATGCTGGATAACTCGCTGACTAGACTGCTAGACACGCGTACCGGCAAGTTGTACGACCCAGACGCTCTGATACCTCACTTGGTGAACAGCAAACAATGTCGTCGTCTACTATCGTTACTTACGTGTGACCCCGATATCGATCGCGGGTGCATTCGTCTTGCCGCCGCAAAATACTTTCGGTTTACCACTCCTTCTCATTGCTGGGGTGATGGCGAGCCATCGTTGCGCGACATCGAGGGTTCCTCCATATATGATTTGCAACATATGCCATTGAAGGCGAGTCTCAGAAAGCCCAGGACTTCTGTATTGTTGCTTGTAGGTGTGACTACCTGTGGGCTCGGAGTGATACGTGCTGCGGTGCGATAAGATTGATGTTCACATGGTATCGAGGGTCCGCTCTAACGATCATGTATCTCGCCGACGTTTCGGAGAACGGCTTACTTGTCAGAAGTAAGTGGTTCCAACACTGGTGGACCCTCCAAGAGTTGCTAGCTCCTCGCACCATTCTGTTCTACACACAGAACTGGTCGCTCTACAAGAACCTCAAGTCTTCAAATCACAAAACGGATGCGTTATATCAAAAGAGTTGGGAAGTTCAGCAGGAGTAGCATCTCGATTCCTGACTGACTTTTCTCCAGGCATGGGTGACGCACGTTCGAGCTTCCATTGGGCATCGTCACGACGTACCTCCTGTTCCGAGGACATCGCCTATTCGCTTTTTGGGCTCTTCAATATCCACTTACCCGTTCTCTACGGTGAACCTGCAGAAACATCCCGGGCCGTCCTCAGTCAGAAATCATATCACGGTCTGGTGAAGTCTTGGTTCTGGATCGGGTAGGAGAAGCATCAAGTTTTCTGAGCTGTCCCCCGGCTCATATCACCTCGTACCGAACGTTGCCATTACCATCGTTCCCCTGACTTAGTGTAGAAAAGCATGCATCAATTATGATTCAGGGGACTACGTCGATTACAACACTGCAAAAGCTGTGCGACTCGCTCTTCAAGTCCCACCTCCCGCGATTTATCAATTGCCGCCTTGAACTGCCATCCTCTGCCCATCCTGTTGCAGCGATTCAACTAAAAAGGTCAGCTTTGCACGTTGTGTACAACATCCAGGCATCCGGCCTGGTGCCGCACGAACTAGAAAATATGGACATGTCGCCAGAAGCTCTACAACTTGTATGCCCTTGGAATTCAAAGTTAATTGGTCCATCCGCCAGGCTAGACCCCATCACTGCGCAACAGCTGCTCTTAATACTGGGGCAGCCCTTTAGTGCTCTTTTGTTGGCCGAGCTGCCTCACAGCGAGTATGAAAGGACCGCATCTTCCACCACTATCGCACAGCCCATACGCTCCAGAAACTCGTCGCACCGAAAAAAGTCGAGTTCTTCAACAAAAACTGGATTCCCATTGGAACCAAGCGGCGCCTCACTCCCACGTTGACGAACATCACGAGATTCCACGCGAAGTTTCGGATAGGGGTCATTGCAAAATAGGCACCAACAAGCCGGGTTTTGTAACCAACCTGCAACTCGTTTCTCATATCCTCCTATAGGCTTTGCATATGACGCCACTGTTAGCTACTTGTAGCATCACCCCGCAAGTGTCTCTAGCACAGTCTGTGGCTCAGAAGAGAGGCCTATTATTCCTCGGCTGACTAAGTTATACATGACCGAGCCATGCCACCCAAGTTTGTCCCGAGATAACTCAGTGCTTTCGATGAGAAAAGTATAATTACCGTACCATGACTGTAAAGGTAAAGTGCTTGAGAATAGTAATATTCATAGGCTTCTCCTCATTGGCTTGCAAATACGTACCTAGCCTGGGAGGCATGATCAATTGCAAGATCTGGCCAGCAAGAACTTTATTCCTAGTATATGGTGTGATATGGTTTGCCGCGATCAGGTCGGCAAACAGAAGAGCTAACAAGAAGTTAGATATCTGATCAGGGGAAAGCTGAATGAGGTTCATGATTGTGTATAGACGTGTCTGTGAAGAAATTGGACTCTCGGGGGTAACAAGCCGAGACGAGATTTGACGCTGACGTATGAGTGCGATTGATAGTGACCGTACGTACATGCGTCGAGTGCATGTACTCTCCTGCGAAGTGACCCATCTTGGCAAACACAGTACGCTGGGATCAACCAGACGTCGGCGTGCTTACTTCTTTTTTTCGACGCCGAGCACCCTGTGTACTGGCTGGTCTATTCACGTGTTGCAGAGCGCGCTGACATCACCATCAGGCATGCCACAGGACAAACCATCTTTGGCTCGTTTTCCTTCCGCTTCTTTGGGGCTCCTATTGCGCTAGACTGGGTTGCACGCGCGTGAATGTCACGCAACACATCGAAGGACGTTTAAATGGAAACTTGACAGATAATTTGTTAGCATCCAACTCTGGCGACTGGCAGCAGCAGCAGCATCGCAGTGCGCGAGCCCAAGCAAAGAGACTGGATTGCTTTCCTCCAAACGATAGCGAAGGCCCGCGGGTCGCTTGGACATGCCGAAGTCGAGTGTAGCAACAGAGCCCCGAGTGTGAGAGAACGGCTACTTTGCAAGTACTGTCTTGCCAACCATTAGGCTCTAGACGGTGACCAGAGATAGGCTCCACGACGTCGCCGAGCACGTGTGGTGGACATGTCAGAATAAATCCCGAATCCCGACGGAATCGACGGATATATGCGCAGCGAATCAAACAATGGATGGTTCATTCTCATTTTGCGACGGCAGCGTATAGGCTGCATACACACCTCCTGCAGCCATCCTGTTGAGACAAGAGTACCCCACTGCTCCTCCCCAATCCGCTCTACGTGACCCCCAAACGCAGTTCCACTTGGGATTCGGGGAGTGACCAACGTCCTGATTTCCATACTTCCCTCTGTCCAAGGATAGACAATCATATGGTGCCGCAAGGAGCCCGACTGGACCGGGGGGCAATGCGATATTCAAGGCAATGTCAAATACGACCCGTATACCAACTGAGAATCCTGTTGGCAGCCAGATCCGAGGACAAACAGCATCAACAGGTTGGCAGGACACGTTCTTGCTGCGTCATACTGGTGCAGACGATTGCACACTAAGACAAGCTGGGCTGTCTTGCTTGTCATACGGAAACGCAGATACGCCCAGACAGACCCGCATACCCGGGTTTCGATATAGAACCTTGTCGTTGCGGCCATCATTAATGTTTCAACCTGGTCCAAATCCCTACCTGTCCTCCGAGCGCTACTGATATGGAATGCCCGCCTATATCATAGCTCTGGAGAATAGATCACCAAAACGGGTATAGTGGCCCACCCAATCATCCCCCTTTTCTTAGGGTATGGAACCAATTAAATTCATGATGGGCGAATGGAAGCCTAGGAAAGCCCACGGAGCGCTCTCGTGATGGGTTTGGTATGTATCTTAATGTCGTTTAATACATACCGACGGACTGGCTGACGGACTAGAGAATGAACATGTCTCATAACGCGGCATACGGAACTTCCTGTGTACGTTTTAGTGTCGACATATGATACGATAGTACGAGCTCTAACGTTCTCCCCTGCCCAGTCGGGAAGGAGCTGGCTCGAGCACGAGACTACAGGAAACTACCGACGATGACCATATCCTGATCACCGTCTGACACCTAAAGGGCTACCCGCGATTCTGCCGCTGCCTTGGTCTAACAAAAAGCAGCATAAAGGGACCGCACGACTCCGATCTTGTATCAATATTGTTGAAGCAGACTAGCCAACTTGGTATGTTTAGTACAACTCTCGGCGTTATAGCCACTACTCACAACCCTTCCGGTGATGCCACACGCCGAAGTCCGTGATGAGTTCTCCCCCTTCCTTCCGTCCGGGAGTGACCTTCGCCGGTGGAGTGTCGTATATTATATGTATAATATGCCAAGTACGTATACAGGGTATACTTTACGCGGACTATGTCATCATGATGGACGCTCACAGGCTTCCCATTCTGATTCTGCCATCATCTCAATTTTACCATTTCCGTAAGATAATCACAAAGCGCTTCGGAGTAGCATCTGCAAAACGGTCGAATTACAGCATACACTTTGGACAGTTTTTGAATTGTTCGAGAGCTCGGCAAGTACTGTTACTCAACTCGGCAAATGCTGAGCGCTCGTCGAGTGCTCGTCGAGCACTAAGCGTTTTGTAGATGTATTGTCTATAGTCTTATGCGATTGGCTCCCTTGTCTGAGGCACGCATACGAAGCATGCGGCATCCGCGTTGCCCTTGAGATCCCTTAGGGACTTTTTTTTTCCACACTTATTATGTCCGTGCCGCAACTTGTATACTAGCTCAAGACGTCTACTTATCCCGAGATCTGCTAATTCTAAAGGAGCAAGAAAAGAAAAGCAACGGGGCATAAATGAAGAAGAACAGGTAGGCCATCAGATAATAAACTGTCAGTAGTACCTTCCACAACCCCGTTTATTTCATTTGATCGGTGGCGGCTCGAAGCACCATGTGTTATTACATGCCCACTGAGTTCAAAAACAACGAGATCGGACAAGTAGACAAGGTTAAATACCTTATTATTGGCGTATACATAAGACGGCTGTCTTGTTGATATCGGTGATGACCCTAAGTTCGTTTGACGCGTATACGTACAATGGGCGCATTCGTCGGGCATCACCGTACTAATCATCACGCCATGATAAGTTACCAATCAAACAGGATAAATATATTTTTATTCTTCGCGCTTCTTCATCATCGAAGATAGGCCCCCACAATAAGGATACGTTTAACGTAGTCGGGATGAGTAAAAGAAAACATACACGATTCTAACAGAACGTAACTTGAAGGGTATGAGTTGCACAATTATTCAAGACCGATACATAACCAAGAAAAAGAGAGTCTAATCAAACAAATAAAGCAGATACGATATGTACTTGGCGAATAAAGTGTCAATGATTGTTGATCAGTGGACGCTGAATGTAAGCATGGAATAAAAATGGCTTGGGATAGTTGGGATGTCGCGTAAAATAAGCAGTGGTTGAAATGCATGCGCAAAAAGAAGGGTCTGTGAGGAAGAAAAAAATCCTGGTGGGACCGTCCGATGCGAGATGATAAGAGAAACGTTTCTACTGATGATAGAAGGCCTGGCAGTCTGATCCAAAATGTGGGCAGCCGTCCTCACCAATGCGACCCAAGACAGCATCAGTTCCTGAGTATATCATAGTGGGGTCCAGGTGCTGATGGTGAGGATAAGCCCAAGCATGTGGTGAGCCCAGACCAGGCCCAATCAAATTAGGTCCAGTTGCAGCGCCGTCAACAGTGAAGGAAAACTGCTCCATGTCAGGTATGCTGTAACCGGCGTCCTCGGTCTTGAGAGGGGGAATCGGAATGTTTCACCGAGGTAAGGGAAGGAGGAGGCGATGTGGGTGAAGTACTACGTTGAGTAGCAATCGTGCTTGTCGCAGAACCTGAGGTTGTCGGTGGCGTATATGCGGACCAGCTACCCGCGCCATCGTCCGTCAAGGCGGTGTCTGGGCCGCTTTCAACGCGCGGAAAGGACATTGAAAGGGGAGGTAGGAGGGGCCGTACCTGGCCACCTGCAGAGACAAGGGAAAGGGAGCGAAACCCATCATGTTGGTTGGGACGGGACAAGGGCGCCTTGTCGAGCATATACGGGGAGTGATCCTGCGATGAAGAGTAGGATTGTGAACTCTGGCTACCCACCAAGTCACGGGAGCTTTTTTGGCCGCGATCGTCATCGCGATGGAGGCGAGCTTCCCAGTGAGCCCTCAGCGACTTTTCCTGTCTATGGCTGTCGGCGCAAACCCAGCGAATCTCCCCAAGGGCACGAAGACAGACATCAACGCCCTCTTCCACATCGGTATCCCATCGTGTACCATCATCGCACTTTATATCCATATCCATATCGCCATCGAGATCGCTTTGGGCAAGCAACAACCCCGCAAAGAAGCACCCGCCTCGGATCAATCCGGCATCGTGAATGAAGAATCCGCTCGACGGGACGGCTAGATGGCGTTTCAGGATATCGATGACGCGCGGAATGAACATCCTGCATCGTCGCACAGCGTATGCGTGAAGGTTGGCCGCGACCGCGCGGTCATTGTTAGATGAGGAAGAAACCTGCAAGTCAACGCGATGCTTCAAGGCATCACGGATGACGTTGAGGCACTCAAATATGAAGACTTGCCAACCGCTGACGATGCGTTCGACGTCTTCGCCGCGGATGAGGCCACCACCGACGGTGCTGCCAGCGTCGCGACGAAACGCTTCGAAATCTTCCCAACAATGCGTCAAGTTGTCCCATATGTTCATCATTGCCTCGTGAGCAACGGAGATGCCGGCCTCCGCACACTGGAGGGCGCGAGGTCCGGTCAGATGAGTATGTATCGCCCGGCAGACTCCTGAAACAGAAAGAGCAAGGGAGAAGAACTGCTTCACGAGCATGAAGGCGAATGGCATCCGGGCATGACTACGAGGATCATGGAAGGACGGGAATTCCGCAGTTACCGGAGAGCTAGAAGCAGGGGAAGGCAACGAGGACCCTGGCGCAGAGGAAGGGCTACTGGCGGACGAAGACGCAGAATACTGAGGGGGGAGAGTGTTCTGAAAAACGTGGATATCATCTTCATTACTAGAAGGCAGCGTTAATGCCCATCTTGTCAAATTGCCACATTGACCTACAAGATAAGGCGTCCACCCCGCAGACCTGTCGTGACACTTTCATGGGTGTATGCATACCAAAATATCCGTGCACGAACAAGTGCGTCACCAAACGGACCGCTCCCGCTATTGACTGATGAGGGGCTGGTGAGGTAGCAAAGAGCATATACTTGGGATAGCGTAGCCTCGTAGGTGGTCTGTCGGAGTAGCAAGTTAGTTTTTTTTTTTTAAAAAAAAAAAAAAAAAAAAGGTCTGGATAAACTCCTTTAGTACTTACGCGACGCTCCATTGAACTTTGTATACCTGGAGTGACGTGAGTATCACGCTAAACCATAACGGTGAAACAAAATACCTTTCGTCAGAGGGAGAAGAAGCAGCATGACCCTGACACCATCCCATGACGGGCGGCGTAGTATGCCATGCGTGTCAACGAGTGCAAGTATTTCTCGGGTCATGGCCTCCGTGCGGAGTGCCCAGACACGCTTGGGATCGGAAAGTTCGCCATCACTGTCAGGTGTAAATTTTGGGCTTGTTGGGCTAGTAGGGGTGAGGTCCGATATTTCCATTTCGGCACCATATTCGTTTATTCCGAAAGAAGTGGCCCAGGTGACGAGAAGCATGGCAAGCATCTGACCTTCAATGCTGAGCGGAGTTGAGCCTTTGAGGTGCTCAAAGTACCGAGTGGTGAACTCAGTGGGCTCTATAACTGGGCCTAGAAACACGAGAAGTTGAGAGACTAATCTGTCATGTGTAAGGACACGCGTACGTTGGGCGCAGAATCTCCGAAAGAAGGTGGAACTCAGAAACTCAATCTTGAGCTGAGGGATGACGGACTGCTGTAGATTTGATGGGGCGGAGGTTGGAGTGGACGCGTGTTGTGTAGGGGATGGAGCATCTGTGACTTTTCCATATACTGCCCTGTAGTCACGGAACGATGAGGAGGGACGCGATCGACAGAGGCGTGATAAACACGCACTCTACTTGCTGCAGTCGGCGACCGCGTCTGAGCAATTTGACAGCCTTGACTTCAGCAAATTCGTCCCTACAAAGGTGGTATGAGATGTGAAGGACATGGAAGAGGGAAAGGGTAATACGTACACGCATTTGATGTTACGTTCTTTGCAGTTCGAGCAGGAGGCTTGTTGTGCGCCGTCCGGAGTTGTGGTGGGGGCAAGGTCCTTCAGATCGCAGCGCACTCTGTTGGAATCGGATGGGATCAGGGACTTGGGGACGGCGGGCATTTGAGAAGACAGACAGACCTTCGCATGCGGCATGCCCCACACGCAGAGAATTGTTGTCTGGTTGATTTTGGTTGACCGGAGGCGCGTCTAGGGTAGGGTGCAGCGGCAGAAGCCGTACTCCGGTGAGCTGCAGAACTGGCGCGGGGAGACATGAGAGGAATGGGCTGGAACGAGGAGAGAGGGGACGGGGACGTGAGAGAACAACGAGACTAGGACAGAAGGGATTATAAGCGCGGACATCGAACTGGGAGGATATCCGGTAATTGGACAGTTCTGAGCCAAACACGCACGCCCACCCAGACACGAGAAACCCGAGTGTCGTAAACCGAAGGCGATCTTGAATTCGAGAATTCCCTGTTATGGGAGGGGAAGACCATATCGCAGATTCCGTGATTTGGTGACTTGAACAGGAAAAAAAAAAAAAAGTTGGATCTCATTCAAAACGGCACGCCTATCAGAAAGGCACCTCTGGGAACAAGCGATGGGAAATGCGTCCTGTGCCGACTCATCCGCACCTGCGGCATTGCGCCCCAGCTGCAGTCACCCCTGCATAATACACGCGACTGGTGATATCGAGGGCACGGCACGGTGTGTTAGGCGCGCTCTCACTCATAGCTCCGGCAGAGCTGACATGTGGCTGCCGTGGAACCACTTTGACCAATGGGGGAAAGGTAGCCGTTACCCGGTGGGGCACGAAACTTCCACGGCTGAAGAGATGAGATCAATCATTGGGATCACACGAAGACCAAAAAAACAAAGACAGATGACTTGTCCAGTTGACGATATGGCGGTTTGACATTTCATTTTAAGGTAAAGTATGTATAGTCATTCGGCGTCCGTCCTCTCGTCATCGCTCGAGAATATTGTTTGATGAGGATACACATATATCCCAGTTGGCAGTAGCCGGTTCATACAGGTGGCTCCACCCGTATCAGATACAATATCTCAGTTAGCTCTGAATCATCTAGCCTCGTGTCGTATCAAGAAAGTGTATATGTTAGCGGACGGCAAGCAGCGCGCGCGCCATGCTGTAGCGAATAGATCGACAAGAACGTTATGCCAGAATTGCTTCCGATGCCACCGCACCCTCGCACAGCCATGGATCCTGCATATCTCCGGATGGTGACACCTGTGACATGTCACGCAATTTACCTCCATCCAGGCCACGGACCGGCCCGCCGACATATCCGTCGCAGGCGTCATACCTCGTCACACACACACCCGGCTGCAGTCATTCCCTGCAAAGCTCTGCGATGCCACCGGCCTTCCCGACTGCTCTCTTCAACTGCCCGACTGTCCTCTGCTCCGGATTCAATCGCCGATCTCGAGCCATCTTCTCGTAGTCATCGCCATACTTCTTTGCCAACCGTGCCATATACATCCGCTCGCCTTGTGACGTATGCCGCACCCTGACTTCCGTATGCTCCGAAAGCCTTTCGAGCCCTGTTAACACATTCAACGATATCGATCAGCGCCCGAATCGACGACGAAACATGGTCCAAACCAGTCATGACACATCTTCGTGATCAAGTAAGCCCACTTACTTCTGATAACACTACTCTCCGCGGGGCTCGTCATATTGTCGTCCGCAGTGCCCCCTTGTGCCCACACCTGCCGGTCGGCGTCTGCTGCACATGGTTCTAGCGTCTCCATATCTGGCACCGGCCCCCGCTCTTCGTCTTCAGCAAGCTCGACCCCGATTACCACACCGGTCTCGTCTCGCACGATCCTTCCAAACCCACTGGGCACAACTTTCTTCACGACAGAAAGTCCATCCGGATCCTTCTCGCCTTCGTGACAGCTATGAATTTCGGTCTTAACTCTATCGGGACAACCTTGTCGAAGGTCTACTTCGGTGCCACCGGATGGGATGGGATTAAGGGTATGCTGCAGACCAAATGCTAGATAACTACAAAGAATAGATCACACGAAAACACGGTCAGATCGTGACAGACACTCAACAATGTGGAACAAGGACAGAAAAGAGAGGCAGGGATCACACTTACTTTTGGCGGACTGTCTTTGCCTTGTCCCAGGCATCCTGTAGCGCTTTTGGACCACGTATAGCTAGAAAAAAAGCACAAACGTGTAGTTCAATAACACTTACAAGCCGCATAGTATGGCTGACAGAGAGGAAAAACCAACAACAAAAAGGTGTTGGGTAAGCACTCACTGGGCATTTTCTTCAGCATTTTCTTCGCCCGCCTTGAGTGCGATATGGGCGCATGGCCTGACTTTCTCTTGCGGCGTTGACGAGGGTTGGCCATGCACGTATCGTAGTGGAGGAAGAGTTTCAGCGACACGCGCTGCTGTCCAAATCGGGCTGTCTGTCCGATCACGGAGACGCGGTGGCGGCAAGACCCCTCTCATATTCGGAATACGAGGCTAGACATACTACCAAACTACTACCAAGTAAGTGCAGAGGTCACTGATATCGCGTTTTTGATAGATCCATCCCCCGTTTGCGAGCTTGGTTGTGGTCAGATTGGTATCAGGGCTCCTGGCGGCTCCACCGAGCCAACTCAGCAAGTTGCCAATCTGCTGATTCCGTGTGATCTCGCCCTCCTTGTGAATGGAGGCACCACGGAAAGCTGAGCTCACATGTCAAGCTGACCCTCCACAATCTTTGTCCCCTCTCACCTACCGCCGGCCGCACCACTAAAACGATTATCATTAGAACAATATTTTGGCGTGCGTGGGCAATCGTTATGCTTTTACCTCACATCAAGGCCATCATGTTTGACGTAAGTTCCAAGTCCCAGCACCTTAGATCATCCTTGACAGCCCTCGTTACATGCACCGGCGGGACATGCGGCATCGGCACGTTTCGGTGTTGGCGTTGAATTGTCGACGACATGCCACACTTGTCAAATCAAACAAATGACCCAGATCGGTGGCGTCGTTCTCAAGAGTCCCTTCGTCGCAATTGCGGAGTATGAGCGAGAGAAGAATCTGCCTCCAAACTATCTCAACGTCTCCATGTTCGTCTATCTTCCATTGTTCGCGTGTCGGAGAGAGAATGACAGACCTGAATGTCCAGAGCCTCCCGGGGACCAAGTGGCGCGTGGCAGCGATTTGAACGAGGCGAGATACCCCTCCACGAGTTCTACGCCGCGTTCAGTAAGGACCTGTCAGACGTGGAGAACGGCAATGAATGGTATAGTCGCTATTGTTTGCGCAAAGGTTTAAACGGTGAGTTCGTACATACGTCCCGGAACTCATGATAATACACAAAAGCTTGACGCCACATAACGTCGATTGTCACCCGACTTCATGGCATCATATCATATTTTACTATTGTGGTGGGTGACACGGTACTTATCAATAATCAGACGAAGCGGAACTTCCGGCATACCTTGACATCGATGGTCGTGATGTGAGCTAAAAGCGGCTTCTTCTTCTCGTCATCGGCACTAAACTGTTTTCACTTGCTGTTAACTTTCAAAATTCCGTTTTGGGGGTGCATGCAACATTGCACATGCACAACCGTTGATGCATGTACATAGTTATTTGGTCGAATGATGCGCACAGGAGCGTCATATGATGTGCATATCGTGACAGCAATCCAAAAGCTTCGAGGTACAGTGTTTTCCACTGCCCCTTTTTTATGCCCCTCGCCTGTCACATATTTCCGTATCAACTGGTTTTGCGGCGATAATATTCATTGACATCCACTGATACACTTCCACAGAAGCAGGCAAGTGGCGCATCATTGCGCTCACCAACAACTTCGGGGCACATATTATTGGGACCGCCCCTGTGGTAAATGAACATCACGGCACTGGGGACCAACACCAAGCACAGGCGTTGTCAGCTGCCGGAATATCAGAATCTGAACTGAGATATTTGGGCTGGCAGGACGGACCTGTCCCAAGCCATCTTCGAGCCCTTTTCCATCACTTCTTTGATTCGAGTGAGGTTGGCCTCCGGTACGTCGGAGACTTGTCTGCCACCGCCTCTTTCCAGACTTCCTATTACACTGCTCCCATGGACACTTCTCTACAACTTCCCTTCGGCCGTCTTCTTCCTTCACATTTTGAGTAACTAAACTGACGAATTACCGCATCCCCCGGACCGTTGGAATGGGTATAGCAAACCGGATCCCGAATTCTATCTCCACGCATGTCAGGAGAGTGGTGTTCGTCCTCACGAGGTTATCTTCCTCGATGACATAGGCAGGTGAGTTTCCTCAAATTCAAAGACCACGTTGGAGGGCGCATGCTGAAGGTCTAATCGCCTCGGAAGCAACCTCAAGACAGCCAAGGACCTTGGGATGGTCACTATACGTGAGTGGTCTTTTCGTTCATTATTGCGTGCGGCGGCAGGGCGTGTCCTGCCCCTGGCTTGCGCATCTGCTCAGTGGCACCAACCTGTCGCTCCGTCCGCTGTCCCAAGAAGAATGCTTGATACTGACGTTAGCCCTCAAACAATGCACGACGGAAATATGATGTGATGATTTATACAGACGTGCCCATCGGTGGAACACGAGAAGCGGTCAGGCAGTTAGAGGAGATGCTCGGCGTTGAATTGGCGGTCTCAAACCAGGGATATGGGCATAAAGGTGATGGCGGAGAGGATGGATCAGATCCGGCCAAATTCAAGCTATGAGGGCCGTTCGGAACGGAAGGGGCGGGGACCCAGGATACAGGATCACCCCCACCCCAACTCCACAAAGATTGGAAACACGTTCAAGGCGGCAATTTTGCACATAGCATGTACTTCGCAATGCCGATTAGTCATATCGGCTGTCCTCAGAGGGATCCGAGCTGGCAGTTCATACGACAATTCATGAAACAGTCATCACTCCACAATGCCACCGCAAGGAGACAGCCCAATGCGGACTAGAACGATAGTAGATATCTGATCAAAAGGATTGGAGTCTAAGGTTGCGTGCTGATAGCTTAGTGCAATCTATGTGGGTAACATCGAAGACACGCATGAGAGTACTTAGAACGGCTTGTCTGATGGAGGTGTCTTGTCCTCGAAGTAGGCTTCCGACCTGGCATAGCGAGCAGGGAAAATAAACACGGGCCGATTCTCAAAGGACAGCTTAACTATAGACACTCACCACCGGGACTTGGATAAGGAGCCCATTCCGCACGACCGGTGTCACAGACAGCACCTTCATAACAAACACAGGCCGTCAGTCAGGGTCACGGGAGCAAGAAGTCTAAGTAGAATAGTACGCACGAATAATGCAGTAGCTCCAATGCCGACACCCCATGTACCAAGAGAGGTTCCCCAATTCCTGATAAACTAAACGGTAAAAAGGGTATCCACGACGCGCACATACGCCGAGCAGTCAGAACCCGGTAAAGTACTAGTAGCTGCTGCTCACCCTTTTGGCATAGGTTGTTGGGGAAGCCGATTGTAAGACCATGCGAGCCATCGTAATAATCAGCTTCGTCTCCCTCCTTTTCACGTGTTTGGGAACGATGGAAAAGTGATAGCAGTCCTCGTAAGTCAAGTTGTTGTGCAGGCCTGTTCGGTCGGGGAGACGCGGAAGTTTTCTCACGTGGTTTGCCGCGGACATTGAAACAAACTGCGGCATGTCCACATCAGGAAATCAAGAAGGAAGACCACCGTGCGAGGTTCTCGGGGCCCGCGCTCTGACGTTTAGGCCACCTGCCACGGTGTTTCGAAAAGAAAAAAACGCCCGCAAAGTTAAAAAATTATCATACAAAGAATCCGATGTCAGACTGCATCTCTGAGGTGTCGGGTGGTGCGCTAGTACATATGTATGGCCTTCACCAGAATCAGATAGGTTGAAATATTATGAATTCTGTATCCGCAAGCTTCTTATATTTCTGATTATTGACTCCAATCGGTGGGCTAAGAAAACTATATATGTTTTGGGTCAAACTTACTTACATTGCAAGGCGGCACGAGTAGTACACACCCACGCCAACACACGTAAGGCTGTGTGCAATGATGCGGGAGTGTATAATATATAGGGCCATGGAGGCCCGCTGACTTCCGTAGAGTATAAGGAATCTGACGTCCCTGAAATTGGTACTCGGCAAACACTGCGATACATACACCGCCCGATATCTGGCTTATCTGATAAGCATGATATTTGTGTTGACGACCTGGGCTCTGCCATCCTTTGTGAGCCACATTTCAGGTCCGGCGTCACTTGCTGGAACAAGACTCGATGAACAGCGTTACATATAAGTCATATAGATCATTAGCCCCGATATAGTCTAGTCTAAGGAGAAGCGCACCCACGCTTGTGATTACACCTTACCACAGCAAAGTAAAGCTTGGACTAGGTTCACCAGCCAGGGAAAAAAAAAAAGGAACTCCGGGTAAATATTGTTCTCCTTCGTCATCGAGAACTCTTGTCATACATAGTTCTGATGGTAGGTGTGGACAATGGCTAGACCCGAGGGTTTGTTGCTGTGGATCAAAACACACGGCACGGCGAGCCACTCATATGCAACAATAAAGTTACAAGTAAAGTTTCACCGCGTAGCACACGAATTGAGTACCCTCATACGCAATGAGGCGACAACATGGGCCACCGATCTCCGCGACAGAACCCACTGAAATTCCCAGTGCCTGGACGAGGGCAATAGCGCACGCTGCGAGGGTGTAGCGAGATTACTCAGTCACCTAAGGCACACGGATGAGGACGGGCGCACCAGCAAGGAGGTGCCTTTGAACGCGTGTGCAATCACAGAGCATGATAGGCTCTGGCGACACGGATATATGCCGTATTTACCGCCCAAGGTTTGATCTCTGACTTTGATGTGGTATCATCCGGTTTCAGCGTGCCAGTCCCGCCACCATTTACGTAGAGCCAATGTTCGTGGAATGATATGTGAGAGGATAGAAATGAAACAGTGTATTCAAATTTTGTCGAAGCTATACCCATCGACGTGCGCTTGGCAACCGAATCTACCGACAACGGCGCCAATATCGAGTAACTCAGTCCACGCTCCGCAGCTAGGCGAAGGGCTGATCGGCGGTCTACCCCTCGCCATGTGTTGATCACAATGGAAGTGAGTTGAGGTCGCGTATTACACGCTTGGCAGGAGCGAAACAAGCTACCCAGTCGCGAGAAAACTAAGAAGCCTCGTTGCTGCTGCGAGAAGAAGCCCTGGGAGCATCGTAAATTGGATTTCTCCTTGACGACATTATGTAGTCACAAACAAAATTCAGAACACCCGCACCACTGGTCTCAAACCATGATCCGGTGTGGAAAAAAAGTTTCATTGTTCGAAGCCACCCCAGAACGGTCGGCAAATGTGGGCCCTCTACCCTCCATCTTCATATCCATGACACGCCAGAAATCGCAGCCTTTCCCATCGTTCTGCGCGCCAGCGTAGCAAGTCCACCAGTACCTGTCAGTCTTGCCATCGTGTCGATTCTTCATATCGGCTCGCAGAATTGTAGGAACACCACATTTGCACCTCGGAATGCTCTGTGGATTGAAATCTGGACGGTAAAACCTGAAGGTGATGTTAATCCTGCAATTGGATGGCTCCAGCGGCGACGTCGGCCTCGATGGATGAGGATAGAGTGGTCGATATAGATCCAAGACTGACTGGGGCGGGATCGAATGTTTATACGACTCCTGCGTCGCTGCATGCATGATAATCAACTGTCATATCACAGATAAGGATCAGAGTATAAGGAGGGTTGGAAGAGCCTGCTGACAGAATTATGTGGTAAGGGAACGTTGAACGTTCTGGCCTGTCGTTTGCCTGACTTCGTCTGATGGTACCACCTCGCGTAGGCGAAACGTACGTGTCGTACCTAGAGAGTTTGCTAAGAGCCGTCTTGATTAAAGAAGTTGAACCCACCGAGACTCAGCGATGCTATGGTAGGATAGGGCCCAAGGTAAGTTAGCTGGTCAGAGTGGGGACCGACGCTTTCTTTCGCGCCTTCGTAACAGTTTCGCGGCGGCAACGTTCGCGTGCCACAGTTTTTCCCCTGGCTGGTGACCAGCCCACTCGAGAGGCAACCTACCGCGTTTGAGCATGTCTTCATTCACAATGTTTTCGATGTAATGGCAGGCTTCCTCCATAAGATCCGGGAATGCATCAGGAGGATCAGTAGGGCGGCCGTTGTACCTTCAGCACCACTTCAGCAACTGGTAAGAAAGACCTCAGGAGAAACGTCACACACCAGTACTGAGCGGCTTCGTGCCACGAGTGGCCTTCACTCTGTTTCCTCACAAAAAACGATGTCCGATGAGGGCTCTCCACTACCCGGTCAAATAGCCACCACCGGTTGCGCTTCCAAGACTGAGACAAGTCTACCATGAAGTAAAATAGTTTGCAAGCAAGTTCCGGTGGTAGAATGGAGGTATGAAGAGTACAAGGCGTGTGTTCCGCGACCATAGATGGGTTCGAGAGCGTAAGGGGTGGTAATCGCGATACTGAAGATTTGGACGTGGGAGGGCTCCGCAAGACTTGCATAAGATTCACGACGGGTTTCGCTGTGGTACTCGCAGAACTTGCCGGGACAGTGAGTTTCTGTAACTTAATGGGGGATTGCACGTCCTTCCGTTTCTTAGCGCTCGGCGGCTTTTCAGAAGTTGCAGTTCCAGGATTAATCCAACCATTCAGGTCAGATGAGGCGAGCTTTCTCTTCGTTGAGTTGGTGGGCGTCGCGTCGCGTGTCTTGTATGACCGTGCATTGATGACATCGGCAGTGGCGCGCGCGTCCCCGCCGCATTCGACCAATGCCTCAAGTATAACATCATTACCAGGGTGGGTGACCACGAGCATACTAAGCACCATAGCAATTAGTGTGTCTGTGTCTGTGCCATCCAACATCATGGGTGATTGTGTCTCAGGGGATCAACGTGACAGAGTAATGTGATCGAGTAAGTGGCTTAGTCACTTAAGAAAAGCTCGATCCAACCAAAATTCTCTATGGAAGCTGTACCACAACATGGGGAGACTAGACAACGTCCATAGTCCTCATACGACTCCTCTAGCGAGACCACCTTCGAGATTGAATGGAGTGCGTCATTTTGACCGTACAGGCACCCTGCCACTTCAAATGACTTCCATTGGCAGAAAGTTGTGGCTCTGTTTGCCGTCGGAGCTCTGCTATGGTTCACAGGAATCAATATCTCTCGCTGGGGTTTCAGCAAGACTGGAGACCCATGGGTAGGCCTAGTGGAGCACTGCAAACACGCCAAGCCAATAGCGGAGTCCGAGTTCGCTGAACGTCAGCACAAGCTGGCATATGCACTCCATACTTTGAAGGCCTCTGCATATGTCGCTGAACCTGGGGCTAGTGCTCAATATTTCGGCAATATATCTGGCTCCTCATGGAGCTTGTCTGAGCGACCTCTCCTGCTTCTGGTTTCTCCGATTATTCAGGCTGGCGAGGTAGTACCAAAAGTGATTGTCCTTACACCTTCCTTTGAGGAGACCCGTGCGAAGCTGTTGACCATCCCGGGTGCCAACGTCACTTATGTCTCCTGGCAAGAAGATGAAGACCCGTATGCCGTGGGACTGCATGCGCTGTCTAGCTCGGCTGCGGCCCGAATCTACGTTGATGGGATGGTCAGGCATTTCATCGTTGATGGTTTCCAGAAGGCCGCTCCCGGAGTCAATGTGACCTCGGCGCCTCCGGAGATAACATCGCTGCGAGAACGCAAATCACGGGCAGAACTCGCCTTGCTCCGGTGCGTTAACGAGGTATTTTCAATCTCCTGCGGCTCTCAAGTCCCAATCTTACAACGCGAATTAAGGTCACCCTCCTTGCTATCCGGGCTGTTCAGAAACAGATGTATATTGGAATCCGCAAGTCGCAGGTGAAGGACTTGATCGACCAAGCTCTTACAGTCGCTGGCGTCATGGATAGATGGGCGCTCGTCCTTTTTGGAGGTAAGTGGGTCCTCACAACTTTGATCTTTGGTGTTCTATTGGACAATTCCAGAGAATGCTGCCTTGCCCCACGGGTCTGGTACCGATCGTGTGCTTGGGCAATCAGATCTCATCCTAATCGATACCGGGGGATCACTATATGAATACCATAGCGATGTGACTCGGGTCAGTCATTCCATATTCCAAGATCTAATGGAGTGGTGTTAAACACGCATGTAGACGTTCGTCCTACCGAACACTCAAGTACCGGACGAGTATCTTGGCCACTGGTTTGCCGTGCATGCGGCGCAGACTGCAGCATTCAACGCTGCTAAGGAGGGTGTCGTCACCTCGAGGGTGGATGAAGTGGCACGCAAAGTTCTTGTTGAGCACGGTCTAGGCCAGTACTTTACCCACAGACTGGGTCATGGTCAGCCTTACATTGCATCATTGTGACACTTCAACTTTGATTGACAGACCAGTCAACAGGGATTGGTCTAGAAGATCACGAAGCACCTTATCTTCGAGGGGGCTCAGACGACATCATTAAGGCTGGGCATGCTTTTCTCAAATGAACCAGGTATATATATCCAGGGCAAAGTGAGTATTCATGGGACGTTGTGTGACCGTTCGTCCTGACTAATCTGGGTTTGTAAGGTGGGGATCCGTCTGGAGGATTGCTTCTACAGTTAACCAAGACGGAGATGCTGTGTACCTCACGGTTGGTGTGGGCGGTCAAGCATTGGATCCTCTGCGTCCATAATATTTCTTGACGCCGTAAGATGAGCGGAGATGAGTTGGAATGACAGGTTCACATGGATACATCTATACACTTCACTGTGGCGATTTCCAATAGGGGTTAGATTGCAGGATGGTTCAACCCGACGGCTGCAAACCCGGAAACATTGTCAAACGATATCATCGCGTGTTTTATATATATAGCTGGTTCCGTCAGAGCCATTATCATGGCGTTAATGTGTTCACCCTTTCTAGAAAACTCTTCTCAGCCTTCTGCGATGGTCACATCAGAAGGAAAAGCGTATCAAAAACAGATTACTGCGCTGGCATACATGATCTTTACAGAATCCACGAAGATAATACTACAATTTCGTTAAAATAGCTGGAAAAGTCGCAAAATAAACAGTGACAACCATTTCTGAGGATGTACAATTGTGGCCAAAATGGGGGAAATCCAATCGAGGAATTAAAGGAACGATATCCAGAAAGGAAGGAGAATTCCCCAGATCTACCCGGGGAAGAGACGAGACATGATAACTGCTAGTGTTAGTATATAGACATGTAATATCATACCCAATAACATGCATAGAAGGGGTTAAGATAGACGGGCGGGTGGCATTCTACTATGAAGAGACGAAGGGCAGTCGCCGGCCTCAGAAAACCTCCCGCAACTCGTCCGGAGAAGGGACAGGTAACGGGACATGCTGCAGGGGAAACCGGAGTTGACGGGATGCTGGGTGAAGGACGGACCTCTTGCGATGCATACCTCGGGAAAGGATTACGGGTGTGCATCCGGGAAATGGGCGAAGCTACACGATTAACACATTGTCAGTGAAAGTTATGGAGCAAATCATCCGGTACCAACCTAGCACTTGAGCGTGCCATCTGGAAGTTACCTCGGAAGCGTAACTGTCCCAGTTGGTAGTGAAGTTCTCCCCAAAAGACTCTGGGGAGCAAGTTACAGTATCGTTCTCAACATCACTACCATCTGTCGGGTTTGCATACTGATATTCTGCCTTTGACGGGGTAAGGTCAAGTTTCGTCCTGGACCTATACTGCAGGCCAATGGGGAGTGACATCGCAGCGTTACGGCGGGAACGCAAGATGGGGGACGTGGAGGAGAACATTGCTGGGCGTAAGATGGAAAGGAACTCTTCTAGAGCCTCCGATGGAAGGCTGGAGCTAGAAAATGGTAGGGTCAGGTTAGAGATATAATCGCACAACCGGATGTCGGAATCGCATCGGACACAAGCGTACGTAGTGATAGTACGCAAATGTACGACTGGATCTGAACATTAAAAAATGAAAACACGTACAGAGGGGATGCTCGAGGGGAGCATGACTCCTTATCAACGGAGGCAGAGGAGTGAACACGGGAGGGCAGCTTGCGTTCCTCGCCGTTTGCGTCATCTTCTGGGATGACTAGACGTTCTGAGTCATTCGCAGCGCTGGAGAGCCTAAAGTGGGCAGAACGAGGGAAATGGGGATACACGGAGGCAACACGGACGGGACGAGGGGCAACAAGGACAGGATTATCGTTGACGCTAATACTCATGGCGTGACTGTAGATATCGGAATATTCGTAGTTACGAAGCTTTAAGCTTTAAGTGTGGTGATGATAAAGTGTAGGCGATTGACAATAAACGAAGTAGCAATGGGATGTGAACAACGACGACGGCGAATAACAAATCAAAAATCGGATGTAGTGGTCCAAGGGTCGCGGTTTGTTCGTGTTTGTCCTGGCTTCCAGGTTATCCGCTCGAAGTAGCAGCTGGCAGCAGTGACGAAGGAAGATGTCAATCCGGTGCGTTGTCACCGCTGCGCAGGATAAAGATAGCGTCGCCTTGAACGAAAGACTGGATCGTGTCCACCGGACCGATTCAATTTTTATTGCTGAGCGTCGTTCTCGCCAGAAGCACTATATAACCCCCCTTTTCTCAGACGTAAACTGCTTTGTCAGTTGACAATTTCCCGCATGCATGCCGTTCGGAAGGTCGGCTGTTGTGCCCAAAGGTTGCGCTTACAGATGCATAAATTCCATGGGTTTGCAACTGCGCACTCTTGCCATCTCTCATAACGATGACCCCCTGAAAATGAGACTGTTCACGACGAGGCATGCCCTCTCCTTCCTCACTCTCATGCCGAATCGCAGACAGCCTCTCAGGCGTCGCCAACCCCCCTCCCAGTAGGCCAGCTGGCAGCCTTGTGCACTGTCAGGCTAGTAGATCCCATCGCATTCACACAATTGTTCCCATACGTGAATGATTTCATGAGCGACTTGACACCTTACGGACGATCCTTCCCGCATCGGTTTCTACAGTGGCTTGGTGGTACGTTCATTGGTTACACGCTCAGACCGGAGTATGCATCATCCTTGTAGGAAAGTACCTTCGCACTATCACAACTTTGCTCGATATATCTCTGGGCAAAGCTGTCCTGGTATGTCAGATCTACCTCATCGCAATTGCTGCGTACCTACACGCTGTGTTAGATATCATCGGTCGTAAACCCGTCATTCTTGCGGGTACACTGGGGACGGCAACGACGACCTTGGCTTTTGGCTTGTCAAAGTCGTTGACGGGGATTTTGTTTGCGCGATGCGTAGGTAAGACACTCTTATCTCCCTCGGCGGCCGGTGAACAGGTTCTGAGTCATTACTATTCAGGGGGGCTGATCTCTGGGAACATTGCTGTCATTCATTCGGTGGTCGGTGAAATCACAGACTTCCACGAATCAGGCTATGGCAATCCCCATATATGCACTCATGTGGCCGATTGGGTCCGTAGTTGGGTCAGTGATCTATTCCCTAGTGAACTATATCCATCTCACTATGCAGATGATCTATCGTAGCCCGCTTATTGGTGGAACCTTCTCCCACGCCGCCTCCAAATATCCAAATCTACTTGGTTATGCCATCTTCGAGAAATACCCCTATTTTTTCCCATGCCTCGTGTCTGCTATTATTGCGTTTGTCGGTGTTCTTCTTGGGCTTGTATTCTTGGAAGAGGTAATTTGTTATAACTTTGTGATAGTGATAGCACCATTCATCAGCAGTGACAGACTCTGCCTAGCAAGCGCAGGCGGAACAATGAAAAATGTACATCCTTACGGCCCAACGTGCTAAGTCTCGACGCGGGGCCGCCAATTCTGGAACCCAAGTCCATGAGCTTGAAGGAAATATTGACATATCCTGCCATTTCCGCTCTCGTGGCATCTGGCTTTTCGCTGAGTTTCGTAGCCACGTCTTTTGAGGTTGTATTTGCTCTTTTCTGCTATTCTGCAATCCAGTCGGGCGGTCTGGCATTTTCAGTAAGAAAAGAGTTGCGGGTCCCTCCTAATTGCCTCTGACGTACTTTGACAGGCCTCGAAGATAGGATGGTCACTTTCTATCTCGGGTGGCATCTCTTCTGCTCTCCAAATATTCTTTATGCCTTACCTTCTACGCACGTTCGATTGTGCGAAGATGTACCTCTTCTCCATGAGCGTGTGGCCATTTGCGTACCTTTGCTTTCCCTTTCTCAACCTCATTGCACGTTGGGGTCTTACCGAGGATGGGCAACTGGATGCTAATACAGCGGCCATTCTCTGGGTTGGGATTGCAATCGCTCTCGGGCTGTCTAGGATCGGAGTATTGGCCTTTTCGTGAGTCGGGAAGGTCTGTAAAAAAACAAATACAGGATAACTGACTCTATCGGCAGGACAAGCATGATCTTGGTCAGGGAGCATGCACCGAATCCGGGTGCTCTAAGTCAGTCGAACGGTATCGTACAGTTTGCAATGTGCTTTGCACGGTCCTTTGCACCATTCCTAGTCAGGTAGATGTCAGGCCACGACCGAACCAGGAGTGATACTCATAGTCTTTCAGTTCGCTGTTTGCTTTATCCATCGACAACGACCTACTATGGGGATATCTCTGGGTTGCCGTCATGGTATGCCTATCTACTTTGATCAGCATTGACTGTCGCAGGATCTTGTTGCATAGCAAAAAGACTATCTCATGAGGCATAGCCGATAGCAAGCTAACACCTAAAACATACACGTAGAATTTGAGTACCTGTCATGAACATCCACAAGGTTTCGCACTTCTTTTTGTTTTCGTGTTGTACTTACTATTATGTAGAATAGATTTGATGATCCAACTTGATCAGCAGATTCAGCTAGGGGGCCTCGTTATACCTGCACTTGAATCGTCTTCTGCTTCTGTTGATGTTGCTTGTTAACTGTAAAGTTGGGTAGTCATCTTCGCATCGGGGTTTCCTCCGCTGTACTCGGTGAGTTGTTACTGCTGCCTTCTTGTGACCACCCGGGAATGCGTTCGGGATTTGAAGCCCCCTTCCAGAGAGAATCGATACATTACGTCAGAGCGATGGAGACTGAATGTTCATCCGCGACTTCTAGCTCGGCATGCCTTCTGAACGTCTCCATTCATCGGAATGCTCACCGGTGAATATGAATTCGCTGGCCGGCAGAATGCTGATGCCATTGGGAAGATCAGTTTTCGAGTCAAAGGGTCGCGCTTGCAGTCGCATAGGTTTAAAGAGATTCTAACTGCCCACTTTTTTTTATCACTCATTGCAATGGCACCCGACGACGAGCCTGTTCACGATGAGGTAGACCCTTTCCTTTCCGACTCTTGCAGCGAGTCTCAAGCACCTTCTAAATCGTTGTCAACCCCACTCCCAATAGGCCAGCTCACGGCCTTGTGCACGGTGAGGCTAGTAGACCCCATCGTGTTCACACAATTGTTCCCATACGTGAACGACTTCATAAGCGATTTGCACCTTACCGATGATTCTTCTCGCATCGGTTTCTATAGTGGCCTGGTGGTAAGTTCACGCGGACACACGTTCGGAAGGAAGTACGCATCATCTTTGCAGGAAAGTAGCTTCGCAATATCACAACTGTGCTCGATATACCTATGGGCAAAGCTATCTGGTATATCGTGCTCCATCTTGATTACTGTGTACTCACCTTCTGTGCGTCAGATATCATTGGTCGGAAACCCGTCATTCTTACGGGTACGCTGGGGACAGCATTAGCAACCTTGGGTTTTGGCTTATCAAAGTCATTGGCTGGCATTTTGTTTGCGCGAGGCTTAGGTGCGACACCCTTGTCTTCGCCTACCACCAGTGGACAGGCTCTTATTACTGTACAGGGGGTCTGTTCTCCGGAGACCTTGCTGTTATCCATTCAATACTTGGGGAAATCACGGACTCCACGAATCAGGCCAGAGCGATCCCTTTCTATACACTCATGTGGCCAGTGGGGTCCGTAGTTGGGTTAGTAACTTGTGCTCTGGTGGCATATGACCGTCTCACCATGCGGATCATCTATCATAGCCCTCTTATTGGTGGAACCTTTGCTCACGCAGCCTCTAAATACCCAGATCTATTTGGTTATGCCATCTTTGAGAAGTACCCCTATTTTTGTCCGTGCCTTCTTTCCGCCACTATTGCGTTTGTTGGTGTTCTTCTTGGGTTCGTATTCTTGGAAGAGGTAATGTGTCGTAGTGCTGTGGGTGTGACAGCTCCATTCACCAGAGTCTATCAGACTCTGCCTAGCAAGCGCCGACGGAACAATGCAAAATGCACTGCGAGTGTGCCAAGTCTCGACACGGGTTTACCAATTCAGGATCACAAATCCATGAGCTTGAAGGAAGTGTTGTCATCCCCTGCCATATCCGCTCTTGTTTCATCCGGTTTTTCGCTGAGCTTTGTATACACGTCTTTTGACGTTGTATTCGTACTTTTCTGCTATTCTCCAGTCCACTCAGGTGGCCTGGCGTTCTCCGTAAGCAATACACTGCGAGTCCTTCCCAAGCGCATCTGATGTACTCTCCAGGTTTCAAAAATAGGGTGGTCACTCGCTATCGCGGGGTGCATTTCTTCCACCCTCCAACTGTTCTTCATGCCTTACCTTCTACGTACATTCGATTGTGCGAAGATGTACGTCTTCTCCATGGGCATGTGGCCTTTTGTCTATTTCTTCATTCCTTTCCTCAACCTCATTGCCCGTTGGGGCTTTGCCGAGGATGGGAAAGTGGGTGACAAGGTGGTGGTTATTCTCTGGATCGGGATCGCAATTACTCTTGGACTATCAAAGATTGGGTCCCTGGCATATTCGTGGGTGCAGAAGTTTCACATAGAAAACATATCCTAAAAGTACGAACAGGACAAGCATAATCCTGGTCAAGGAGCATTCGCCGAATCCAGGTGCACTAAGTCAGTCGAACGGTATCGTGCAGTTTGCAATGTGCTTTGCACGGTCCTTTGCACCATTTCTAGTCAGGTGAATATCGAGCTACGGCCCAGTTACGGATGATATTCATGTCCTTTTAGTTCTCTCTTTGCTCTATCTATTGACAACAAACTACTATGGGGATACCTCTGGGCTGTCGTCATGATATGTATATCTACTGTCAGCGGCATTGATGCTCGCAGGATCTTATCACATCGCAAAAGACAGCCGCATGAAGAATGGCAGATGACAAGCAGACACCTTTAGAAGATTCAGGTAGAAACTGATGGTATTTCATGATCACCTGCAAGACCTCCCATGTCATTAGGTATTTATGTTGCATTTCCCATGGTATACAGAATAGACTTGATAAACGAATATGTGAACAAAAGGGTAAGAGTCCAATTCATGTTTTCGCGTGAGTGACCTAGGTGTCCTGCACTCGAGCTGTGTTCGTCACAGCTTGAACGATGCATTGTTGGCTGGCTCCCCAAGGGCATAAAGGGCATCCAGTTCCCTCTTAAACTTGGCGTAAGCGTCTCTGCGCCGTAACTTCAGAGTGGGCGTCAACGTATTTTCTTCGATGGTGAAGGGGTCCATGGTAATATGGATGCGTTTAATAAATCCGAATCTGGCCGAGCACAAGCGCTTCAGGGACAGAAAAGAACAGCGGTGAAAGACTATACCCAGCGAGTCCACTCCTCCTTGCTTCTTCGTTTAGCGTGTTCAGCACTTCCTGTACAACCCGGGGATTCTTCACCGCCTCAGAGAGCGCAGGGATATCGTTAGGTTCCTACCTTCTTGCTGAGAACGGCAGATGCCAATGGCGCCAAAACCGAGGGATCAGGGACGACGACAGCGATCAAGTACGGCTGTAAAGAATCCCCATGGACGTAGATTTGTTGGACAACGGGACCAGCGGCATACGTGTTCTCTACTTTCTGGAGTGCTACGTACTCGCCTTGCGCCAATTTCATGATGTTCTGGTGTATATGAATTACGTGTGAGTACCGGGAGTGGGTCCAAGAAGGCACCGCACCTTCACTCGATCGATGATCTTGAAGCGTCCGGAACTATCAACTTCTGCGACATCCCCGGTGTGTATCCAACCGTCCCTCAGCGTCTCCTGGGTATTCTTTTCATCTGATGGACATCATTCCTTTGCACCGGCCCAAGCGGATGGCGAAGGGTCGCAGACGGACCTTTGTAATATCCGACGAAGCAGTTCGGGCCGCGGACACATAACTCTCCACGCGGGTTCGGCTTATCGCTAGATAAGTAGTTCATGGCTGGAATGTCAACGAGCTTGATCTCGAGAACTGGCTGAGGTGGTCCGATCGTCCCGCTACTGGTTGGGTCTCCAGACCTGGTAATTGTACAGATTCCACAACTCTCCGTCGCACCATAACTGTCCGGATTTGTTAACGGGGCACATCCAAGCAATCTTACGGCCTTGCTTACCCTGAACGAAAGTCAGTGAACGAAGGAAAAGAATACTCGTCGTACCTTCTGCAACGTCACAACCGAAAGCAACCTTGAAGAAATCAATCACTTCCCCGCTGATGGGAGCCGAGCCTGTGACAACCTGCAGAACATTACCTCCAAGTACAGCGCGAATCTGGAAGCCAAGCAGAATGAACCATTCCAGCATTGAATCGAGAAACCTACCACGAACCTTGCTAAACACCAATGCATCCCATATCAAATGGGTATTTACTCCAGTCTTGTGAAGTTGATCTAGTTTCGTTTGCAATGCTGTTCGAAAAATAGCACCCTTCACACCCGGCACATTACCAGCGGACATGGCAGCTTGGTATACTCTATTCAGCACTCGTGGTACCGATGGGAAAAAGTGAGGTTTCAGGGCTTGGGCGTCGTCCATCAGGCGCAAGGGATCGCCAGTGAAGTACCCAATACATCCACCCACAACAATTACGTTTAATTCGCAAATCCGCTGCACATTCGAACCATGAAGCAGCCTTACTAGACGTAAGGAGAACTCCTACGGACCTCATAAATGTGCGCCAATGGCAAGTATGACATGTGACAGCAGCCCTCGTGGAAAGCTGACACCGAATGTGTTAGTATACGCCGCACTCGCGAGATTCATGTGGGTGAGGATTGCTCCTGTGGAATCATCGATTTAAAAGCCATTGACGTCGGGAACGACATCCCACCTTTCGGCAAGTTTGTTGTTCCCTATCACAGAGAATAAACCAAGAAGTCGATCAAGGGTGCGATTCTAAACGTACTGAAGTGTAGCACAGAGAAGCGACCTTGTCAGGCGATACCGGAAGGGGTTCAATGAGATTTTCCTCGCCATACTTCTCGACTGTAAACCAAACAATCATTGTGTAGGCCTTTACAATCTAAAAAAAAAAAACACCGACTTTCACTCAATTCTATTATCCGAATGCCAACGGATTCCCCCCAGGAGGAGAGTAAACGTTTAACGTCATCTCCTAGCGGGTCAAACGAAATGATGACCTTCATACTTGGGATGCTTGTGGCTAGCTTGAGCAAAGTTGCTATGTGATCCGGGGTGGTGAATATGATAGAAAGTTGCGCGTGATTAATGCTATCCGATACGGTAAGCTGGTCGGCAGTAAATGCATCAGAGGCGACCTACATGTATTCTACGGAAATCAATCAGGAATATAACCCTCCCGATGCTAGAATGCCTTACCTACTGATTCCTTTCCAAAGGTATCATACAAACTGACGACCACTTTTCCATAAGCATGCAATGCAAGCTCGACCATTTGCCACTCTAAAATAAACCATCGGTATGAAACGCACAGATCAGATCCGCAGTATCGTGGAAATACTTTACCTGGCCGGTTTTGTGACCATATACCGACTGTCTCCATGTCTGCTTGCCTTGAGTTCGCCTGTGGCGAACAAGCGATGCAGTGCACTGCCAATCCGACGTCTTCTGACGTCGACTTCACGATAGGTCTGCCATACGTAGGGACCGAACTTGAGCGGAGACCTAGAAATGACAGGTCTATGACCAAGAAGTTTGGCATCTGGATTGAAGGAGTAGCCATTGTTGAAGATGTCTTGGAGCGTCTTCGGATAGCTCGGAGCGTCGGGATCAAGCAAACCGTAGAAAGCTGCGAAAGCTGTAGGGCTGAACACTCGCAAATCAAGAGTGAGGATGGCTCACCGTTTCTGTAGTGATCTGTATGAACGTCCTTCGTTAATGAAAGCGGGTAGATCAGAGCTCGACGACGCACGGGTTTGTCCTGGCTGCTTGGTGCCAGGAACGGTCACTGACTGCTTGCCATAGTCGACATTGTCTGGTAGGGGTGTGCACCTGATTGGCATGGTTCGTTGACGGCCGACAACTGTTGAAAGTAAATTTAATACGATGGCTCACAGTCAGAGGGATGTGAGACCCCGCGCCCCTTCCCAGCGGTTATTTCGAGGGAGGAGGCCCATCCCTTCGTCCTAGATCATTAGAAATAAGCCTAACTTTAAATATATTAGGGTTCTAACCGGTGTCTTAATAGACCAGAGTCCTCCCGTCGGCCCGCTTTTGTCGGCCTACCGGGCCGTCAAGGGAGAGCGTTGCAACGGATGAAGACAAGGACTTCTTTGGATTTCTTGGCATTTCATGAGCCCTCGCAACACTTCATATTTGTTTGGTTCCATGTCATACTTCCCATTTAATATAGAGAATTCATTCAATGACCAACTAAACAAAGGGGTAGGAATCCAGGGCCTAGGTGTACCCGCACTCCAACTGCGCTCATTACAGTTTGGACGACGCATTATTGGCTGGCTCCCCAAGAGCATAAAGAACATCCAATTCCTTCTTAAACTTAGCGTAAGCATCTCTGCGCCTTAACTTTAGAGTGGGCGTCAACGTATTTTCTTCGATGGTGAAGGGGTCCATGGTGACATGGATGCGCTTAATAAACTCAAATCTGAACGGCGATAAGCACATTAAGGACAGAAAAGGCGGTCAAAGACCATACCCAGCAAGCCCACTCCTCCTTGCTTCTGTGTTTAGCAAGCTCAGCACTTCCTGCACAACTCGGGGATTCTTCACCGCTTCAGTAAGCGCAGGAATATCACTAGGTTCCACCTTCTTGCTGAGAACGGCGGATGCCAATGGTGCCAAAACCGAGGGATCAGGGACGACGACAGCGATCAAGTACGGCTGTAAAGAATCCCCATGGACGTAGATTTGTTGGACAATAGGACAAGCAGCATACGCATTCTCAACCTTCTCGAGCGCTACGTACTCGCCTTGCGCCAATTTCATGATGTTCTGGTGTGTATGGATTACTTACCCGCACCAGGAAGTGGGCCAAAAAAGACAACGCACCTTCACTCGATCGATGATCTTGAAGCGTCCGGAACTATCAACTTCTGCGACATCCCCGGTGTGTATCCAGCCGTCCCTCAGTGTCTCCTGGGTAGTCTTCTCATCTGATGGACGCCATTTCTTTTCACAGGCCTTAGTAAATGGCGAAGAGGAGACGTACCTTTATAATATCCCATGAAGCAGTTCGGGCCGCGGACACATAACTCTCCACGCGGGTTCGGCTTATCGCTAGATAAGTAGTTCATTGCTGGAATGTCAACGAGCTTGATCTCGAGAACTGGCTGAGGTGGTCCGATCATCCCTCCACCAGTTGGGTCTCCCCGCAACGTGCGCGTACAGACTCCACAATTCTCTGTCATGCCATAACTGTCCAGAGTCATTAAAGGAACATATTCCAGTAATCTTAAGGCCCCGCTTACCCTGAACGAAAGTCAGTGAACGAAAAAAAAAAGAAAAAAAAAAAATACTCGTCGTACCTTCTGCAACGTCACAACCGAAAGCGATCTTGAGAAAATCAACCACTTCGCCACTGATGGGAGCCGAGCCTGTGACCATCAGCAGAATATTGCCTCCAAGTACAGCTCGAATCTAGCCGCTACGCTGAGCGAACCATTCTAACACTACATCGAGCAACCTGCTACGAACCTTGCGAAACACCAATGCATCCCATATCAAATGGGTGTTTACTCCAGTCTTGTGAAGTTGATCTAGTTTCGTCTGTAACGCTGTTCGAAAAATATCGCCCCTCACACCCGGTACATTACCAACGGATACGGCAGCTTGGTATACTCTATTCAGGACTCGTGGTACTGATGGGAAAAAGTGAGGTTTCAAGGCTCGGGTGTCATCCATTAAGCGCAAGGGGTCGCCGGTGAAGTATCCAATACATCCGCCCGCGAGGATCCCCGTCAGTTCGCAAATTCGCTGCATACTTGAACCTTGGAGATATGTTACTAGACTTAAATGGAATTCCACGGACTTCATAAATATGCGCCAATGGCATGTATGAGATGCGACAGCAACCCTGAGGAAAGCCGGCACCAAAGGTGTTAGCATACGCCGCGCTCGCGAGATTCATGTGGGTGATGATTGCTCCTGTGAGAAGAAGAGTTAAGAACCACTGGCGTCATGGACGGTATTCCACCTTTTGGCAAGTTTGTTGTTCCCTATCGTCCAAAATGAATGAAGCAGCCGATCAAGAGTGCAATTAGGAACGTACCGAGGTGTAGCACAAAGAAGCGACCTGATCAGGAGACACCGGAAGGGGTTCAATGAGATTTTCCTCGCCATACGTCTCGACTGTAAAACCGAAGGTCAGTGGGCGGGCCTTCCTGTCGAAAAAAAAACAATCACAAACTTTCCCTTAGTTCTGTTATCCGAATGTCAAAGGTTTCCCCCCAGGAGGAGAGCAAGCGTTTGACGTCATCCCCTAGTGGGTCAAAGGACACGATGACCTTGACACTTGGGATGGTTGCGGCTAGTTTGAGTAAAGTTGCTATGTGGTCCGGGGTAGTGAATATGATAGAAAGTTGCGCATGATTGATGCTATCCGATACGGTAAGCTGGTCGGCGGTAATTGCGTCAAAGGCGACCTACATGTATTCTACAGAAATCGATGAAGAAATGACCCCTCGAATGCTAGAACGTCTTACCTACTGATCCCCGTCCCAAAGTATCATACAAACCGACGCCTACTTTTCCATAAGCATGTAGTGCAAGCTCGACTAACTGCCACTCTACAGAGCACCGTTAGCAAATGCACAGATCAGCATCGTGGAAATACTTTACCCGGTCGATTTTGTGACCATATACCAACTGTCTCCATGTCTGTTGCCTTGAGTTCGCCTGTAGGCGAACAAGCGATGCAGTGCACTGCCAATCCGACGTCTTCTGACATCGACTTCACGATAGGTCTGCCATACGTAGGGACCGAACTTGAGCGGAGACTTGGAAATGACCGGTCGATGACCAAGGAGGTTTGCATCTGGATTGAAGGAATAGCCATTGTTGAAGATGTCTTGGAGCGTCTTCGGATAGTTCGGAGCGTCGGGATCAAGCAAACCGTAGACAGCTGCAGAAACTGTAAGGCTCAAGACCAGCAACTCGAGAGTAAGATGGCTCACCATTTCTGTAGTGAGCTGTATGGTCGTGATTCGTTAATGAAAGCGGGTAGATTGGGGCTCGACGACGCACGGGTTTGTCCTGGCTGCTTGGTGCCAGGAACGGCCACTGACTGTTTGCCATAGTCGACGTTGTCTGGTAATGGTGTGTATGTGATTGGCATAGCTCCCTGAAACGTTGAAAGTAAACTTGCAACATCGATGGTACACGATCAGAGAGCACCCATGCGGGGCCTTACGCACCTTCCCAGCGGTTGTTGTTTCGAGGGCAGAACTATCCCTCTGCCCTAGTTGATTGTAAATAAAGCTAAATATGTTGACGTACCTTCTAATGGATGACTTGCCATGAAAAAGGTTCATATCAATAAGCAGGAACCAGTCCATCAATACGAACCTTACTGTAATCGGTGTAGATCACATTTTACTCTAAGTACTTACTATCAGTCTCCGCCCCAGGATGCCAGCCAACGGAGTGCCGGTCGTACGCGTCCCCAACCGACTAGTTACGAGACCACTGAAAAGTCGAATCCTGGCCTCGGGTCCCGGCTATTGTTCCTAAATGAGCGAGCGCCGTCGAGTTTCACTGCAATACGACCTCTGAAGATCTGAAGGTCCGAACGTTGTTTCCAGCCATTCCTTCGCATCAGGTTACCCTGATACAAGATACATTTTAGCTTGTTGCCAACAGATCGATCGGCTACGACGAGAAGTCAGCGCTTAGCACGTGATGCATAGGTAAAATGTACTCGTTCATAATATTGGATATGGTCGTGATGTATTAGTGTATTGAGTTTACAGCAGGCTTGGAATATGCTATGTGCAAGAGAGAAGCTTGCATTCTCGTGTAGAGACTGTCTTATCTTGGATCTTCTCACTGGCCCACTGGCTTGTCATGGAGATCATTACAACAGACAATAACCAGCACTTGCTCCCATGTCCCGGATTTTGATGGCATTTCATGATCACTGGCGAGACGTGATATTTCTTTTGGTTTTCATGCCGTATTAATATCCAGAGTAGATTCAATAGACAATTATCTGAACAAAAGGGTAGGAATCCACTTCATAATGGATCTCCGTATACTTGCACTTCAACCATGCTCATTACAGCCTGGACGACACATTGTTGGCTGGTTCCCCAAGAGCGTACAAGGCATCAAGTTCCCTCTTAAACTTGGCGTAAGCGTCTCTGCGCCTTAACTTTAGAGTGGGCGTCAACGTATTTTCTTCGATGGTGAAGGGGTCCATGGTGACATGGATGCGCTTAATAAACTCAAACCTGAATGGCGATAAGCACATTAAGGACAGAAAAAAACGGTCGACCATACCCAGCAAGCCCGCTCTTCCTTGCTCCTGCGTTTAACGAGCTCAGCACTTCCTGTATAACCTGAGGATTCTTCACCGCTTCAGTGAGCGCAGGAGTATCGCCAGGTTCCACCTTCTTGCCGAGAGCAGCAGATGCCAGTGGTGCTAAAACCAAGGGATCAGGGACGACGACAGCGATCAAGTACGGCTGTAAAGAATCCCCGTGGACGTAGATTTGTTGGACAATAGGACAAGCAGCATACGTATTCTCGACCTTCTCGAGCGCCACGTACTCGCCTTGTGCCAATTTCATAATGTTCTGGTGTACATGCGTTACGTATCCGTACCGGGAGTGGGCCAAAAGAGACAACGCACCTTCACTCGATCAATGATCTTGAAGCGTCCGGAACTATCAACTTCTGCGACATCCCCGGTGTGTATCCAGCCGTCCCTCAGCGTCTCCTGAGTTTTCTTCTCATCTGATGGACACCATTCCCTTTCACGGACCTGAGCAAATGGCGAAGAGGAGACGCACCTTTATAATATCCCATGAAGCAGTTCGGGCCGCGGACACATAACTCTCCACGTGGGTTCGGCTTATCGTTAGATAGGTAATTCATCGCTGGAAGGTCGACGAGTTTGACTTCGAGAATTGGTTGAGGCGGGCCGATCGTCCCGCCACCAGTTGGGTCTCCCTGCGAAGTGCGCGTGCAAACTCCACAATTCTCTGTCATGCCATAACTGTCCAGAGTCATTAATGGAACATAATCAAGCAATCCCGCGACCTCGCTCACCCTGGACGAAAATTAGTGAGGAAAGGAAAAGAAGTAGGCTCGTCGCACCTTCTGTAACACCACAACCAAAAGCGATCTTGAGGAAATCAACCACTTCGCCGCTAATGGGAGCGGAACCGGTGACCATCAGCAAAACGTTCCCTCCAAGTACAGCGCGAATCTGGAAGCCAAGCGGAGTGAGCCAATCGAGTACTGCATCAGGAAGCCTGCCACGAACCTTGCGGAACACCAATGCGTCCCATATGACGTGGGCAGTTACCCCGGTCTTGTAAAGTTGATCTAGTTTCGTCTGCACTGCTGTTCGGAAAATAGCACCCTTCACACCCGGCACATTACCAGCGGACATGGCAGCTTGGTATACTCTATTCAGCACTCGTGGTACCGATGGGAAAAAGTGAGGTTTCAGGGCTTGGGCGTCATCCATCAAGCGCAAGGGGTCGCCAGTGGAGTACCCAATACATCCACCCACGGTGATTACCGTCAATTCGCAAATCCGCTGCACACTCAAATCATGGAGATATGTTATTAGGCTTAAATAGAATCCCACGAACCTCATAAATGTGCGCCAGTGGCAAGTATGACATGAGACAGCAGCCCAGGGGAAAGCTGGTACCAAAGGTGTTCGCATACGCCCCGCTCGCGAGATTCATGTGGGTGAGGATTGCTCCTATGAAAAGATAAGTTCAAAGCCACTGGCATCGGGAACGGTATTCCACCTTTTGGCAAGTTCGTTGTTCCCTATCACCGAGAATGAATCAAGCATAGCATCAAAAGTGCAATCATAAACGTACCGAGGTGTAGCACAGAGAAACGACCTGATCAGGCGATACCGGAAGGGGTTCAGTGAGATTTTCCTCGCCATACTTCTCGACTGCAAACGAACAATCAATGTGTAGGACTACCAACGGAAGAAAAACAGCAGACTTTCGCTCAATTCAGTTATCCGAATGCCGACAGTTTCCCCCCAGGAGGAAAGCAATCGTCCTGACGTCGTCCCCCAGTGGGTCAAAGGACACGATGACCTTTACACTTGAGATGCTTGCGGCTAGCTTGAGTAAAGGTGCTATGTGATCCGGGGTGGTGAATATGATAGGGAGTTGCGCATGATTGATGCTATCCAATACGGTAAGCTAGTCAGTGGTAAATGCATCAGTCAGGTGACCTACATGTATTCTACAGAAATAAATCAGGAATATAACCCTCCAGATGCTAGAATGTCTTACCTACTGATTCCTTTCCCAAGGTATCATACAAACTGACGCCCACTTTTCCGTAAGCATGCAATGCAAACTCGACTAACTGCCACTCTACAGAGCACCGTTAGCAAATGCACAGATCAGCATCGTGGAAATACTTTACCTGGTCGATTTCGTGACCATATACCGACTGTCTCCATGTCTGCTGCCTTGAGTTCGCCTGTGGCGAACAAGCGATGCAGTGCACTGCCAATCCGACGTCTTCTGACAGTCGACTTCACGATAGGTCTGCCATACGTAGGGACCGAACTTGAGCGGAGACCTAGAAATGACAGGTCTATGACCAAGAAGTTTGGCATCTGGATTGAAGGAGTAGCCATTGTTGAAGATGTCTTGGAGCGTCTTCGGATAGTTAGGAGAGTCGGGATCAAGCAAACCGTAGAAAGCTGCGAAAGCTGTAGGGCCGAACACTCACAAATCAAGAGTGAGGATGGCTCACCGTTTCTGTAGTGACCTGTATGAACGTCCTTCGTTAATGAAAGCGGGTAGATCAGAGCTCGACAACGCACGGGTTTGTCCTGGCTGCTTGGTGCCAGGAACGGTCACTGACTGCTTGCTATGGTCGACATTGTCTGGTAAAGGTGTATATGTGATTGGCATAGTTTCTTGATGGTCGAAAACGTTGAATGTAAGTCCACAGCGTCAGCGTTTGGGGTAACGACTGACGTTGCGAGGGATGTCGCTTCTCTTGTCTCAAATAGCCAGCATGCTCCGGCTGTGCGAAATCAACAGATTGACGCCCCCGCAGCTCAACCAACAGCGTCCTCAATTCAGTACTTAAGAATGTACTCAACAGTGGATATCAGCATCCAATGAGCATCACCAGCAGTTACTTCTAGCAGGATACTGGTAAATCATCACGCTGTACTGACCACCGAAATCTTACAGCAGGGTGAATCATCCCTTCCGACTGAGGCGCATGTGATTCCACCTCCGGCGAATGTCATGACAGATCCTGGCTTTTCTTTCCGGTAAAAAGCACTGTTCACCATGGAAACCGGCAGCGGAAACTTCCTATTGGTGCGCTATTTACTCTGTACAGCGGATTGCACTCTGTTGCACTTGATGATCAAGTGGTGGCTGGCTCAGAACCTTTTAGAGTCCCCGGCGAGTAAAGTCAAAGATGATGGATATCTTCGAATCGGTGTCTTGGCCTCCCGCGGACATAACATACGTTTGTCATGTGAAAACGCTTTGAAGGGTTTTCTATCGGGTTGTGACACGCCATCGGCAGTCATGCGTCTGTGAAGAATACCTCGAGACCGTCTACCAAGAGCTCGGTCACTAGCTTGAGCCATTTGAAGGGGACTCCTGGTTGTCACCAACGGTGCACCTGTGAAGACTAGGGGTCGCTTCCCCGTTTTTCTGTCGAACATTTTATTTGCTCTGCACCATTCGAGTGACTGAGGGAGGCCGGTTCGACTATCGACGTTATCCTAGGCTATTGCGATGCTATTCGGTACGTGTTTACTCGGTTTTGGCGCCTGCTTCTTTGTCCAGTATCGTTAAGACGAGCTATCTCCTGCAAGGTGCCGAAATTACCTGAGTTGGGCATGTAGTATCTTGTCATTGGTGTCCGCATCGTCTACCGCTCCGCGTCGTCAAGGTGAAGGGGCGCTGGGTTAGCAGTGCTTTTCTCACATACTTCTGTTGGCATGCCCAAACCCTCGCCCCATACACGCAGGCTCACTCTAGCTTGCATAACTCTTTCTTTTGCTACGCTCTGCTACCCGTCCAGGGATGGCATCCAGTGAGTAGCGCTCTTCCTGATTCATAGGGTCTGACATTCGCTGCTTGTGTCGTTGGTTCACTCCTACCACGGGGGCTGGCAAGCACTTCACACTTCCCCCAATTGCTCCCTCCATCATTCTCATCTGCCCTCGAGTTCCATATAGTCATCCTTTACATGCATTATTTTATTTGCATCTATCAATGCATGTATATTTCCTCCCACACACAGCAGCATCCCAAAAAAAAAAAGTAATTATCCTACGCATCTGTGGGTCTTATTTCTGCACGGATGTCTCAGGTTTACTGTCTCGTCTTCGCAGACCCACACACATATATGTACGTCTCCCCGGCCTCCTTTAATCTGCACGTATGTCAATGTCCCGCACAGGAGCCGAAGATCATCACCTTTAATGATCTTCAGATTGGTGGTCTCGTCTAGTTGTCAGGTCAAAGTCAAGTGGACCTCCTGGATAAAGTACCTCCCCCTCTTTCCCACCCTAGTCAGAGCCAGTTAGCATTACCTTATTTCCATCACAGATGATGTTCGGATACCGCAAGTCCCCATGAACAAGATCCTTAGCACGGAAGGCTTCAACAAGCTCCCGCCACTTGTTCACATATTCACGGTGTTTTTCGGCATGCAGAGATTGTGGAATCGCGACAGCAGATTCCATAAACTCCATTATGATGCCGAAAAACCTCCAGGGAGCCTCTCAAAACCCAAGAACACCCGTGCATGACCGCGATCTGCACAAAACATGTGCAGCTCGCATGAATAACGGCAAGTAAATTTAACTATGATTCGCTGGTGGTAAGTCGTCTCAGCATTGTAGAGGTGCCGGTTGCAGTTGGCCCTTACATCTTCAAGTCATCACATCTCACCAGGAAAATGCAGACTAGCAGTGGGAGGCAAATCGCAGCCACCATCTTCAATCCCGGGAGGAGGGGCTGCTAACCACCTGCATGGCCTCTTCTCTGATGTCAGCGAGGAGGACAGAGGTTACTGCGAAGGCATTGTAGAGTGCAATCCGGTCATTATCATCACCCAAAGTCTGAATGCACTACAGTCCAGGCATGAGGTTGACTACTCGTCGTTGATGGCAAGAGATCATAGCATAAATTGTGACATGGGACCTAGTGTGGTGCATGACCGGGCGAAATGCAAACATATTATACAACATACCAATAATAGTTATCCCAACTATGCATGACAAGTCCCAAGCCATTCATCACCGAAAGAGAAAGACCTTTCTTCGTCACTGTCATGACTGTCTGAGCAAAGTACTGTAGCCACTCATGGGATGGTCGAGGCACTGGCCCTCGTTTTTGAACTCGGTGAAACAGTACGCTGCTCAGCGTGGTACGAGGATATGGGCATCTGGCAATCGATGACATACAACATTTACATTCATTTATTACCTTGATTTTTTGAGTAAAAAATACATCTATGATCAGATGTTGGAGTCTGGACGCTTGTGTTCTGCCAGTCAGTGAAAGCAGGTAATACTTCGAGGACGGGAGGGATGCTGCACGTGATCCCGAAACACGATCACATGATCAAGTTACTACGTCGCGTACCTTTAATTTGATGATTCGCTGACGGGCGCTCTCGAGTCTCCATGCATGAATGGCAGAACCCGGTCAACCCACAAACACACCGAACCTCGTAGAGCAAGTTCAGAAGCTTCAAGAAGAACTCGACTCTCTACGCAGTCGTTATGACGACCTTCGCAAGACAAGCGACCGGGCTGCTGAGCGGTACAAATCCGACTACCGGAAGTGGAAGAACTTCAAGCAATGGTTATTCGAAGATTTCGCAAGAGACGACGAGGTCTATAAAGCTCTCAGGTCAGGAGAATTTCAGGCGTACCCGAGGGCCTCGATACTTGGTAAACGCAAGCAATTCGAGGGAATTGGACCGGATTTGGGTGGGGTTAGTGATGAAGAGGAGAACCAGAAGAAGAAATCAGGCATTGCATCTGGTATTATCATTCGCGCCATTTATATGGTCTTGTTGAAACCAATCTATACGATCAGACCGGCGGACCGGACAACCGCCTGACCATCCGAATACAGCGATGGGAGGTGTCTCCAGAAACGATGACCCACCAGTCCCAGAGGTGGAGAAGACTAAGGTTTCACAGACTGTCAGGAGCAAGAGTGGTGCGTGCTAGAAAACTCAAAGGCACACCCAATCTCGGTGAACTTGCTACAGATTCGCCGTTCAAAGTTGAATCCTCCAGAAAATCCCCCACTGTAGGCGGCAGCGGCCGTAAGCCCCGTGGGCGGTATGCGCAGATACCTGCAGGGATGCCTACCATCAACTCGAGGTTCTCCATCAGAAAGGACCTTAATCAAGGCTTCGACCATCCATATGATACCGTTGTCCGCAGTCGGGAAGAACGACGACACATGGAGGGCGACGACTGCGAATGCTGTCACGACGTGAGTGCAACACTTTGTCTGGAAGAGGACCATGACACCAATGGGTCATTCGTAAGTACTATAAAGCTATAGGTCCCGTCCCTGCTCCCCAGCGTCCTCTCTGGCGATCACCCAAGCGCAAATCGAATGCAAGTTACCATTCCGACAATGACATAGACAAGGAGAACGACGATGACATCGAGCAACACAAGTATCGTGTATCACGGCATCGTCATCATTGGCATAGACCAAAGACACCACCGGCTTATTGGGAGATTGGTTTCCCGGACACGCAGGAAGCTTCCGAAATCAATCGGCGGGCTGCTGAAATGCACAAGAAGAAACTAGTAGACATCGAGTTAGAAACGAGGTGAGTTAAATATCGCGAGTTCGTACTCGCAACGACGGAACCTTACCGGTGACATAGGAATCACAATGGCAAATACCTGGAACGAGCAGCGAAATTATCATGAATGTTTATAATCTGCCCAGACTATTGCGATGGTATGTATACAGATGCATGTGTAAATGTTGCGAGGACTCGTCCTTGCAGTATCCATCTGCCAAGGCGAAATGGATGATAGTACTGTAGTAGCTGACGCCAGAGTTGTGCTGCAACCAACCATCTCAGTGCGGAGAAACACAATAACGTTTGCGAGAATGGCTTACTATACTGCGCAAAGATAACAGAAAGTGGAAGTGGATAACTCTGCATGATGGTGAGTATTACTGTATCTTGGGAACAGGCAACGGATAGTACCATCAAGGTAACAGAACAACGATCGGACGTCGGTCGTGCCAACAGGTATATATCACCTGGAAGCCTATTTGTCAGGTCCTCCTTGGCGTGTTCCAAAGTTGCGACTACCTACCAGGCAGTCGCTGGGGGTCTTTAATCCGCAACATGAGCGCGAACAAGGGGAAGTGATTCATGAAAGCCAGCAATGTCTCGCCGGTTGCGTAGAGTGCGATGAGCGACAACCGAACCTATTGCAACGGTCACTTGTATTCGTTGCGTATCAACCCAGGTAACGACTTACCAGCGCAAAAACTACATAATACACCCAAATCGTGGGGAAAAGGTAAGCCGCAAGGGTGAAAAGGATTGTCCCAAGGAGGAGCTGATCGGTTTCGTAATCCCATGGGTCCGTGCGGTTGCGGAGTACGTTGTACCTCTTCCCTGGTGTCGATCAGTACAAGCTTAAGACATCCCTGTAGTCATACACACCTCGAAAGAGGTTCCACAGGGAACCTAGGAGAATTAAGATGTGCCGGTATATCGTCGACGCAATCAAATAACACGCATAGAAGTGACCAGTAAGTAGACCAAGAAGATCCAAGAACAAGGATGTGGCCATTGTCATCCCCATGAGACTGGCTGTCTCTATGGTCAGGTTGAGCACCGGTAAGAAACAAAGACAGCTACGCAGAAACGCTTTGTTTTTTTTTTCCCTTCAATAACATGGATGCACTTGTTAAGCCGTACTTACTAGCCCACTGCGTTATCAGGCCAATGAAGCCTTGTGAATAAAATCTGCTGAGTTCCGTGTTCAACTTCAAACCTGCTGGCCAACTATCCAGCCACAGCAACATGCCTTCCATGCGATGTGCCAATATGCCCTAAGCCAGATGCAGTTAACCTGCACACGCAGGGCAGCAAAAACATACCTCTAATCCGTCTATAACCAACTGGTTGATGATCGCCCGATTTTGGTACAGGAAAAAGCGGAACGCGACACCGATGATGATGTCATTCAAAATCACCCAAAGGGTATTATGATACCTGGATGATGGGATAGATATCAAGAGAGGTCTTCCATAGCTTCCGTACGTACTCGATGTATTCTTGACAAGCCGAATTTATATCCCCACCCTGGTGAACAAACTTCCGATTGGACAAGAAGTGCAGTACGTGGACCCTGTTTTCGACCTGGCGAGCTAATTTTTTTGGCTTAGCCCACCTCCTCATAAGAGACGACGTGCAAATGACCTGTAAAGCTGAACTCTTTCAGCATCGACACGCTTCTTGTTGGCAGGAAGCGGTGGCCGAACAGATCCCACGACCGGGAGGCTGACTTCAATGTATTTGAAACGAAGTTCATACCACGCGCTTTTCCATCCGGCGGTCTTGGACATGTAGTCTGACAGTGTCGTACGGCGTATTCAGCCAATCTCGCGGAATTTAACTGTGCAGGAGGCTCAGGAGGCAACTAAATATAGTCTGATCGCGGACGCACTTGATTGACGACGTCCTCGAGTCTGGAACTTCGTGGGCGATGGCGAGTGAAATCATGGACTAAATATGCTTCCGTGGGCATTGTTCTATTGCCGCGTGAAATGAGACTGGCACCCTCTTCGCGCACAGCATAGAAACGCCGAGAATTCCCGGTATGGCGATAGTAATAGTAAAAGTGGAAGGGACGTGTCCTACAAATTGACGTCAGGCTAGTCCGTTTTACAGTAAACGTATCATATCTCACCAAGAAATGATAGAGCCTTTGATCTCAGGGGTGGCATAAGGAGCTAGAGAACGGAACGCACAATGCCCAAGAATGACTGGTATTTCGCAAAGTGTCATCAACGCTCGTAATCTCTCCGAGCCGAGGGCCTTCGCAAGGATAGCTTCTGCATCCGCTAGCTGATAGTTTGGTGAGGACTGGCCGATACAACTATGTTAACACGTACTGTGTCTGCGTGCAAAATTCCTGCGACGCAAACCGTGTGCTCCTGGATCCAGCCGTACATAAAGCCATCGTCTGTGACATCCAATGGCCAGAACACTGTCGTCATGGGGCTGACGCGCTGACGTCTGATGTATTCAAGCTTGCTGGTGTCTGTTGGCTGCACGTGACCAGGGACGCTTGGCAAACGCGTTCCAAGTGCGTTGGAGGTCTTCTCTGCTTCGTTCGTTCAGATATACCAAGTTGTGGAGGAAAGCGTGTTTTTGACCCCCAAATGGACATTTCGTCGGCTCGCAGACCGGACGTGAAGAAGAAACTGGTGGTGGTAGGTGATGGTGCGCGGGATACTTTGTTCGTCCTCCTTGCCCATCATTCAATAACATTACACTAAGGCGGCTGCGGGAAGACGTGTCTACTCATAGTTTACGCAGAGAACCGCTTTCCGGAGGTACGTTCCTCGTATACCTTGCACCCTTCAGTCGACGAGGCTCAATTGATAGTCGGCATAGTCTTACATTCCAACCGTGTTTGAAAACTACGTTACGCAAGTTCAGTTTGAGGGAAGGTGGTGGAGCTTGCGCTTTGGGATACCGCTGGACAGGAGGAGTACGACCGATTGCGACCGCTGAGCTACCCAGAAAGCGATGTTATCCTTATCGTTTTCTCCGTTGATTTCCCGGTCAGTCTAGGTAATGTTCAAGACAAGGTTCGGCGCATTATCTTTCCTGGTGGTGGATTGTTGGTTAATTATATTCCTGTAGTGGTACCCAGAGGTGGCCCACTTCTGCGAAGGGACACCACTGATACTGGTTGGCACAAAGATCGATCTGCGGAGAGAGGATCAAACACGACGGATGCTGGCTGCACAGGGACAGGCTCCGGTGACAGCAGAGCAGGGGTCAGTCCGTCGCCAAGGAAATTGGTGCCAAATACATAGAATGCTCGGCCAAGACGGGCGTTGGTGTCCAGGACGTCTTCAACCTTGCACTCAGGGAAAGTATGAGAGGTCGGTGGGGGAAGATGGTGAAGCAACGGCGTTGTGTAGTGGTCTGATGTTCGTCCCATAATAGAACGGACTGCAATGCTCCTAGTATTTGTACGGTACTGATATACATCACAATTTTACAGCACACTCGCTATTACAAGCAATGGCATCTGTACAATACGTGGATTCAGTCCTGCTTGACATGGTGACTCTGTATTTTACTACTGCTCATCCAGGAACGATAGACGAGCCACAAGAATGCGGCCAGGACCACGGCAACTGTACCTGCTTCGACAGGGAGTAGATCGTCTAGTGAGCCGACAGGTACATCGAGTTGTGCAGCGGGTAGCGCGTATGGAGTTTGTGACACGAGAAACTTGCTGTACGGTCGTAGCACTGCGGATTGGTTAACCGGTGGGTCTGAAGTCGAATAGATCGACATATCCGCTGTCATTGCCGCATTGAATCAGCCGGTACACAAGAAAGAACATATGAGATCATACTCGACATATTAGACTCAGGGCATGCGAGAAAACATGTTGGAGGGTGAACCTCGATGAGCTGTCGTGGCATGCTGCCTCGGAGTGGAACGCCGTAGCGCGCGTGAATGGGCACGTCTACAAGTACTTCATTGCCGTGCGGTTCGGCGTGTCTCACGTTCACCAGAAGGGAGGTATTCGCCTGGCTGACGGCGAAAACAGGCAGTTCCAGGTTTGATTCACTCCACAGCTCGAACTCAATACCGCGGTCGATGAGCTCGTGCCGGTCCACGATGACACTGGGCGGGAGTGTATATAGCACGAATTCCGAGCATGCATGGTTCTCGTCGTGCAGTGCTATTCGTGCCAACAGTGTTGAATGGAACCCGCGCGTCGGGGACAGAGCAAAGGAGAGCAGCATGGCGGGTGTTCCAAATTAGGCAGCACTGCAGATCCGCCCGACTCATACATACTAACTTGATACTAACAGGGCTTCTAACAGGAATCCTAGCACTCGGGTGTAATCACAATATCATGGAGGACCACAATCGCGTGCATTTCCCTCCGCCAAAAATCGATCTCACGGGTGCTCTCGGTGTCATCGAGGACATGATGGAAGGCCAAGTCGTCCCAGATTCCACTGGGCGCACAGATCGTGAAAATCCGCCCATTATTTTCGGTGCTGGCGGTCCAATGTACTGTTCATTCAGCCTAGCCGTTTCGCTCGCCTCATACGTCGTCCAGGCTCAAGCAGTTCGATCAGTCCGCAGCGTCAAGCCGCAAGGGCTCCCAGGCACCCACTCCTCCGCGTTCCGTCGTGGGCATCGGCAACAAAGGTAATCGAAACTCACTTCCGGCTCTTGTGCACGGTTCATATCAGCCTTATCCAGTTGCAAAGCCTGACTATTCGGAGGCAAAGATCGTCCTTGCCATGGTGCGTATGATCCGAACATACGCCGTGGCAATTCTCATCGTCAGTCCTCCACAGGTCGGGTTACCTGCTCGCGGAAAGTCATACCTAAGTAACAAGCTTACGCGATATTTGAAGGTACGTCGTGCAATGCACACCAGCAGTTGCTTTGATCAGCCATTTGCAGTGGCTCGAATACGATGTCCAGGTATGTCAGCACAGTCGGTCTCATATCTTCAGGCTGATCCCGTCCCGAGGTATTTAATGTTGGTCAACTTAGGCGCTCGCGTGCCAGACAGAAGGCACTTCAGTGCGTATCGACACGTTTTTCGAACGTTTGCCATCGTAATGCGGAATCAGGAGTGGAATCCGGGAAGACCACAACTCGGATTACTTCAGCCACAACAACGTAGAGGCGACCAGAGCTCGCGAAAGCCTTGCAGAGGAAAGTTTGGAAATGCTCATTAACTGGTTGAAGAAGGGAGGGAATGTCGGTATACACGGTGAATAATCTCTCAACTGCAACCCAGTGAACTGCTGCTTACATTGACATAGATGCAACGAACAGCACTCGTCGGCGACGGTATGTACAATAAAACTAGTCAAATCCACGGGAAAGTGACTGTAACCCCGAATCCCCCACCCAGAGAAAATATTGAAGCGCGCGTCAAGCAGGAAAAGGGCATCCAAGTTATATTCCTGGAATCCGTCTGCAATGATCCGGCTGTCATCGCTGCAAACATCGCGCTCAAGGTGTCTTCCGGTGATCCAGACTACAAGCACCTCCCTAAAGAAGTGGCCGAGCGTGACTTCATAAGACGCATTAAGGAGTATGAGGCTGTTTATGAGACAATCACTGAACCACACCTTTCATACCTTCGAATAACGGACGTTGGCAACGAAGTTACATTGTCCCGCATCAATGGGTACCTACAAAGCCGCATCGCATTCTACCTCATGAATCTTCATGTCAAGCCTCGCAATATCTTCATGTCGCGGGTGAGTGCTATCCATCGAATATTTGCAGAAGTGGCGAGCTAGATCCCCGTCAGCACGGCGAGAGTCAATTCAACGTTGAGGGGAAAATTGGTGGAGATGCTCCGCTTTCCCCGCGCGGAATGGAGTATGCTCGCGCCCTTCCTGACCTTATCCGGAAACACGTTGGAGATGCATCTTTGACCGTAAGCAGAAGGTCCTTGTCACCTGTTTTCAAGGTGACTTACGCCCCCATCAGGTCTGGACCTCCACCCTCCAGCGCACCATACAAACGGCTCAAGACTTACCCTATACCAAACTGACATGGAAATCACTGGACGAATTGGATGCCGGCGTATGCGATGGGATGACCTACGAAGAGATCGAGGTCGGTGCTTGAATCGAACCCCACCTGCCACGTTTCCGCAACCAATGCCTTTCTTAGTTAGCGTACCCCGAAGATTTTGCAAATCGTGACGAAGACAAATTCAATTATCGTTACCGAGGAGGCGAATCATACCGTGATGTTGTCGTACGATTGGAGCCTGTCATAATGGAACTCGAGCGGCAGGAGAACATCTTGATTGTCGGCCATCAGGTAGGTATCAAAGGTTGTTTCGTTGTGGTCTTGCAGCACCTGACCCACCTCTCGTAGGCTATCTTACGCTGCTTGTGAGTTGTCTTATTCCGTTGATAGCGCGAGCGCTCAATTCAATGTCGTAGATATGCGTACTTCCATGATCTGCCGCAGGTTGATCTTCCCTATATTAAAATACCGTTACACACCGTTATCAAGCTGACTCCAAAAGCGTACGGTTGCGACGAAGAGAGGTCAGTCCACGGCTCACCGCGATGACTGTTCGCTCGCTCGCGGTGGCTAACCAAATACGACAGGTATACCCTGCCCATAGGCGCGGTTGATACTCATAGACCGAAACCGAAGGCCCCTCAGGTGCAACTCCCCCAAGCCCAGAGTGCAAGGGAATATTACGCCAAGGATGTTTAATTTCCGATTACTTATGACTACATACCATAGAAGATGCAAGCCGGAAGGGTCATTTATGCTGTTTCTCCAAATGAAAGATTATATATAGAGTAACTACGCGTTCTGTAGGTATTTCATCGAACGAACATGGGGTACATGTGAATGTGTTACTTGATTTACCCCTGTTTGTTCGGCGAACGCGCCGTAGTACTCAGGCTATTGTGCGACTATCCTTGTCAACGCCTCCCAGCATATCCATGGCGTCGGCGAACCCAGCAACAGACAGTACTGCGCGTAAGGAACCCTTCGTCGGGACAGTGTCTGGCGACAACTGACCTAGGCACCGCGCCTCAGCTTCAGGCCCTTCTAAGAAGCGTGGCGCGTCGGACCTGCAAACCAATGAAACAGAGTCGTCAGTAGACGGGTCCATGAACTCACGGAAGATCGCGAAAAGTGAGTCTTTCTCATTCGCGTGCGTCTCGCGGCACCACGTAGTCGCGTGTTACTCAGTCCTGCCGGCTTCTTAGTTCATCCCTTCTTCTCTAAGCAAAGCCAGGCAACATCCTTGTCCGAGTCGTCGCCGTTTCAATGGCTGAAACCGTCTCTCGGCCCTAAGCGTACATGCTTACATGGGATTAATCTTTCTCCACCCTGCTTGTCGAAGATCGCTGCACTTGATCTGGATGGAACGGTGATCAAGTCAAACCATAATAACCGAGGTAAAGGCTCAGCATCGCAGTGGGAATGGTGGAGAAACGTGGTACCTTCAAAGATGCGAACCTTGCACGAGGAGGGGTGAGTCTCTCGGTGTTCACGGTTTCGCGATTGCACTCATGCGGCACCCTTGGACTCCTCCTTAGGTATTCTATCGTATTTATATCTAACCAAGCACTAAAATCGAACCAGTTGACGGAATGGAAGAAAAAGATACCCCTGATAGCTGCCGCTGCAAGTCCTTTTCCAACTACCGTCGACTGCGTGACTTATTCCAAATGTATATAGTTGCCTGATGTCCCATTTCGCATCTTTGCAGCATGTGCGAAGGATGGCTATCGGAAACCGATGCCTGGGATGTGGTACGAACTTGAACGGATCTTCAAAGATCAGGGTGTGGAAATCGGTAAGGTTTCGAAGGATTTTTCATACTTCTGTCTTGCTACACACTGTACACTGCGCAGACAAAGCGAGTTCGTTCTACGTCGGAGACGCTGCGGGTCGTCCGGATGACTTCGCGTCAACTGACAGGAAGTGGGCCCTCAATATTGGCATTCCTTTCTACACACCAGAGGTACTGAACTCTTGTACCTCGAGAATTTACGCCCTCGCTGACATGGGTAAAGGAATACTTCCTCAAACTTCCAGCTGCATCATACAATTTACCCGGATTTCACGTAGCTAGCTTACCTGAAGGTCGATCGTCTCTTTATGCCACCTCGGCCTACACTGAACCTTTACAGTGGAACCGGTAACGCCTGCTAATGTGGCGATCATACCAGACCCTCCTAGACAGGAGCTTGTCATCTTCACTGGTTACCCTTGTCTGGGTAAATCTTCTTTCTACCGCAGATATTTCTCCCCGATTGGGTATAGCCATATTAATCAAGACGTGTTGGGCTCCAGGCCTAAATGCATCAAGGCTGCAGAAGAGGCACTAAAGGACATGAAGAGCATCGTTGTAGGCATGTGCCCTCTCACACGCATGCCGTCCATTTTGGATAGAGTTCAAACAGATAATACCAATCGCGATGTTGCGACGCGCAAGCATTACCTTGACCTGGCCAAGAGGCACGGGGTCCTGGCGAGGTTAGTTGGTAATTCTCGCTTCCCAGAGACTTTGTTCATGTTCTAGAATAGGTGTTTCGATTTCACTGGACCGATGGAACTCGCGTGGCACAATAACCTGTATCGTGCTTATATCGAGCCCGTTTTCGATGTCGACAAGGTAGTGGTCCCTCCGGCAAACATTTTGACGATTTGCGCTTATATGACCTGCTTAGCCCCCGAGGGACATTCTACCTTACGTCGCTTTCATAGGATTTCGGGACAATTACGAAGAGCCCCACACAAGTGAAGGGTTCTCGGAAGTGGTGAAGATTGCTTGGAAGTTTGAAGGTGATGAAGAGGCTCGGAGACGATGGAGTATGTGGTTACAGATTGACGGAAAGTAATCATCACATGAATCGTGAATCTAAGACTTGCATGGCTAGTATATATCACATTAGATTGCAGACCTTTCAATGCTCTTCTTGCCTCAGTCCACTCAAGTCTTTCGTTGCTCTGGTTCTAGAATGAAAGAGCATTCTAAAATACGAAAATCGAACTCACTCTACTGGGATGCCGATGACGTCGATAGCATCTATGCGAGTTTGATCACTCCCGCCTTGATTCGACTCGACGAATATCTATTAAGATTAAAAGGCCATTTACCCCGGCTCGAGAACGAGGTTATCTGTCCGAGACGTACGTGGAGACTGCTCACAGCGTTGAAAGCGTACAAATCGTAAAGGGATGGGCCTTCCTTCAGTGACGTCTTCTCGGCTCAGCTCGACCACTTGAGCGAACGTCTTATCTGCCGCATCCTCCACATCGGAGAAACTGATCGACGAATTGTTAATGCGCAACTTGATAGTCTTCGGCCCCTCCATTTCTACCTTGGTCTTGATGACAAGCGTACGGATTTTAACGGCTTGATTGAACTGATGATACATAACATGCCAAAGTATAAAGATGTCTGATATTATCTGTGTGGCGCAGGCGAAGGCGACACCTACACATATGTTAACCAAGAGTTGTCTGTCTGCATCGCTTGCGAGATAAGCTGACGACTCCGGAGGGTTGATTTTCCTCGAAGCGACGATAGATTTCAGATCGTGCTGATGTTGTTCGTTGAGACAGTTGACTTGAGAGATATCCAAGTATTCCAAGAGGGAGATCTATCGAAGAATTAGCGTTCTCCTCGCCCGTGTAGGAGAATAGCACGAACGTCTTCTCTGTTCATCTGTACTTACTGTGAATTGCTGTTGGGTTGTAATGAGCGGCGGGGCGTCAAGCACTCGGACAGGGGCAGTCACTACTTGGACGTGACTTGGACCCAACTTGGACCCAACTTGGACCGCCACTTGACACTCGTAGCCTCGGCCGACCAACACCGGCGCTTATCTCAATCACGCACCGCTCGAAGGCTCGCTGAGCGTTGGCAAAACATCGACAGCAGACGAGAGAGCCAAGAACATGATATCAGGAATATTACGATGATGACGACGTGGAAGTAGCAATGTTTCGCTTCCATCATTATTCGAAAAAGGTCTACGGTTAGCAAATTACACACTCGTCCTTGGCCTGTTGGCGAGTCGGGCGTCCAACATTGGATCGCTTGTTCCCCATGCGTTTCATCTCCGTCAATCTGTTCATCGCACGCTTGTTGCCCTGTGCTGGAGGGGATTTCAGCACCAAATGCATAAAACCAGGGTAGGAACGCACCCACCTGCTGCGCGCATGTACCATCGTTTAGCAAACTCAATGTCCTGTTTGATCCCAATACCAACTTCCGCATAGTATCCTACAGCATATTCCGCCTTGCTCAATCCCTTATTTGCAGCCTTCCGTCCCCAAAGATACGCCTCGGAGTCGCTTTGTTTTAAGACTCCTTCACTTCCCGTAAGATACCACCCACTCAGGGCAAGTTCGGCTTCTGCGTAACCTTTTTCCGCAGCCTTGGTGTACCAAGCTATCGAACGCCTCGGATCAACCGGGCAAGTGAGGGCGCCGTATTCGTAGCACTGCCCAAGCTTATACTGGGATTGGACGTAACCAAGATGAGCTGCCTGTGTCAAGAGTGCCTTAGCATATGCTGGATCGTGGGGCACAAGTCCCGAGTTTGGCATTTCGTGCAACATGGCCAGTTCGTGCAGCGCATGAGGGTTTTCTTCGTCAGCTTGCTCGGCTGCTCGCCTAAGCCAATTAATGGCTTCGCGAGGATTCTTCTGTTCTCCCAGTGATCCGAGAAGCAGAATCATGCCCAACTTGTACATGGCCGCAGTGTCGCCCAAAGAAGCAGCTTTCCTGTAGAAAACAGCGGCGCGTGGGGGTTCTCTTCTAGTCCCTGCCCCGAGCTCGTTGCAAACGGCAACACGGTATGATGCTGCCGCATGGTTCTGCTTAGCAGCCTGCAAGTACAAATGGTATGCTCGCTCGTGGTCGACCTGGAGGCCGAGCATGCCCGTGCCATAGCAGTTCGCCATGAAGAACTGTGCCTCGTCGTATGGTTCGTTCTGAGTGGCCAACCGACGGATAGTTTTGAGGGCTTCCTGTATGAGATAGTCACGATACTTCTTTACTGCGCGCTGGTCCCTTGCATCTATGCCAATCTTCTTCGCGGCTTCTATCAAGTACTTGGCATACCTGAAATGAGCCTCCGGATCCGGGTCTCCCTTTATACGTTGGCGATACTCGTCGATGTACTCCTTCGTAAATGGTGGGGAATTCAAGTCCACAGCCTTGGTCTTTTTCATCTGTTGGAGTGATGTAGCTGGTGATCTAAGTTCGAACTCAGCCTCATCAACTCCTGAAACCTGAGGAAGCGTTGGCGCGTACGGCACCACACCAGCACCGCCAGGTGGAGGAGGTGCTGGGTGATAGGGACCCGGGCCTGCGGGGTGGAGGTAAGGCGTGGATTGACTGGCAGGGAGGGCTGTTTGACCAGAGTACCCAGAGTACGGCATGTACGTGCTGGGACCCGCGAGTGGCTGCGGTGGAGGAGGTCCCATGCCCAATACATCTGAAGCTGCAGCGTACAGATGATCGTACTCCGCTGGTCGAGGTTGACCTTGGTGGCCATAGTCTGGAGTCAGATTGGGCTGTGAGCCATGCCAGGCCATCTGATACTGGCTTGAGGAGCGTTGAGGGAGAGAATGCGAATACGCGGACGAGGAATCTGACGGGGCATACCCACTGGAAGGACCAGTTCCTTGTTCGTCAGAGAGATACCCGGCCCGAAAATCTGTATTGACAGCGAGTTGGTGTGCAGGATTACCATAACCACCACTGTGTCGCCTCATCAGTGGTTGCTCACCAACTTGGTAAGCTACACTCATGTCGTCGGCAGGATAACGTGTGTGAAGATCGACGCCAGGTCTTCGGTTCCTCAACGGAAGGGCTGCATTGGGTGCCGGTGGCAATGTGTTCGGGTAGCGTGAAGGGTGAGGCGCCCGATAGCCAGAGTTATACGTTGACATCGATGTACTTGGCCGCGGAACAGGATCAGAGGGAAACGGATGAGCGCCCGTTCCACGAGAACCAGGGTTGTCATTTATGCGTAAAGAATTCAAGCTGTCGACCAGGGAAGCAGCGTTGCTGGATGGCATCGGTGGGATGTTATCGAGACTATCATATTCTGGTGGGGGGAACGAAGGGACAGAGCGATTCGAGTGGTTGGTAAAGGCATCCGCTGGGTGCGCCCGGGATGTTCAATGAAAACGAGTTAACTAGAACAGACGGTGACTTACACGACCCGCCGTAGAAATCATCGTCAAGGTGTCCTGAATCCCTGGCAGCAGGCTGGTTTGGACCGCCATTGGGCTGGAGTCGGTTCGTACTTCCGAAGGCGATCGAGCCCTCTGAAGTAGACTCTGGCTGGTCATAGGCTAGGGCAGACATGGTGATGGACTGACGTCAAGGCTTGTCAAGGTGTCGCTACGAACGAAAAAATCGGTGGCGGTCAAGTTGGTGCTGGTCCAACGGTGCTGGGTGTATCCGGGCTTATAGCCTTTTGGGCACTGAGAGCAACTTCGCCGTCCTCGTCGTCTGTGGAGAACAATGTGGGCTGCTCGTGTCCTTGTACACTAGCAATTTTGAATGCGCATGGCAATTCCCACACGTAGTTTGTAGGTGAAAAGAACCAATAGCATTACAGGAAATAAACAAATCCGTAGAACCGAGGTAGTAATAGTAGTCTGTGCTCATGCAGCAACTGTTACTGCACTACCGTCGACCTTGACAACCTCTTCCGGTTCTTCCTCTTCCTGTTTCAAGGCAGGAGTATCCTCTGGTGTGTCCACATCCATCCCACCCACCGACTCCGTTGTAGCCACGGCCATAGTCACATCCCCATCAACTGGCTTCATATCGACAGGACCATCCTCCCACACCCATCGTTCAAAGACCCGTTCGATCCGTTGTCTTTCCAGCCCACCATCTATACGTCTCGTCTTGGCGATGACGTTGCGTTTCCGCTCAACGGAGGCTGCTTGATGGGTATTGCTGTCCAAGGACTCATCGCCCCAGTGAGACCATTGCTGTTGCCATCCGTCGTCGGAGGGATACGGAGCTGCAACCCTTCGCGAATCCTCTTCATTTAGCAAGTCTAGCACCACGTCCCATTCCTTCGGCTGGAAATTCTTGAACAGTACGGGTCCTCCCGGAAGTTCCACTGGTGACCGTTTCCGCTTGATGCCATGACCATTTACCAAAGTTTTCTTAGCCGGTCGTCCGAGTTCTTCATCATCGCTCGTAGTTCCCGCATTTATCCGGATTCTCCAGCGCAACTCTCTAGCAAGGGCCGAAGGATCCTTGACACGATCGGTAGGGACCTGGTCCCTGGCATCACGCTTTGCAGCCTCAGTTCCTCTCTCCATGACGCGGGCTTCAGAGACCAAGTATCCAGACAATACTTCCAGAGACTCCATTACCCGCGGGCAAAATTCTTCCTTTGCCTTTAGGTCGCGCAGATACTTTTCTCCAACATACCAACACAGCCTATCTTCATGTCAGAATAAACGATTGGTCCAGCGTGAGACCACTCACTTGGTAAACATGGGAAACCGGAACTTTTTCGGCACATGTGTCGCCTTTTCGATTTCCAGCACCTTTAACTCTGAAGGCAATATGAGGGTATGCGAGGAGGGCAAGTAAAGAAGCGCCTACGGGTCGCGACGTTATACGAGTGTAAGAAGTTGCCCCCAATTACTAGAGAGTCCACAGGAGTGTGCTGCATTTGCCATGAGTATGGGGTTTCGAAAAGTCGAAACCAATACACTCACTACTGCGTGAATCCACCCAGTGGGAATAATCATCGTGTTCCCCGCAGTCAACGTGACCTTAACCACCTCGTCGACCATATCACCCAACCACACGTTCGATTGTAGTTCCGTCCCAGACCACCGTTCGTACGCGGCGAGATTGGCTGGTGTCGGTCTGATAAAGTAAAAGACCTAGCGCGCGGGCGGTCAACAGAAAGAAGTAGAACAGTTCTTAGATCGAACCTTGGATCCCCGGAGTATGTGATAATAAACGGAAGAGCCTGCAAAATCTATGTGCCAGTCCTCCAAGACCTTAATTCCTGACATCATTCCGCGACACGAAAGAATGGCTCACCGTCCACGCAGATGCGACCCCCATCAAACAATATAGCTGGACCTTTGGATATGCATGTCCCTTCCCCTTCCGTGAACTCGGCCAAAACTTCTCCACCCAATCCAGCTCTCGTACCAGCCGCGGAGGTGTGATCTGGTCTGCGAGTGGGGTTGACGAGATTTCGAGAGAAATGACGTTTCTGATCTTGTCCCTCGCAGATGATTCGAGATTGTAGTAGTCTGCCCATTTGCCCAGTGTCCACCCTGGAGAAGTTGACTGTGAGGCGACATCTAGTACTTGGGCATGAGTATTTGGGGCTGTTACGGTGGCATGGACCCGCTGTACCTATGACTTCCACGGGGGTTTCACGACCAACCATGTTGGCAACGTCGGTGACCGTGCAATCTTGGCTCGGCATCTTCATTCCGAGTCCTTCGGGGCTCTCGATCACTATGGGTTCACGCATCGCATTGCTGTCGTTCTCAAGCCATTCTATGCCGACGTCTGCACCGTTCATCCGCTTGAACTGGTCGTCTTGTATTGATTTTGATTGAATGACGCGCAACCATCTAGTCGGGTCAGAATCCACGCCCGAGTTCAAGTTGGCGTAGTTGAGCTGTGTTCGTTTGCGTGTTGACTTACGCGCAGGGGGTTTGAGCGTGATCGTCCTGGATGGTTTCTCGAGCACGCATGGCTTGCAGTACCTGCACCAAATCAACGAAAAAAAGACCCATATCGATTATTGGACTGTTCACGCATGGATAGCTATGCTAGCAAAACTTGCCATTTGTCTATTGCATCGGGGTCTCCTCCGTTCCCTGCACATACCCAATGATACCATGTCTTACACGCGTCACATCTTATCCAGCTATCCTTGGTGGTTGGATCAACCTCTGAGGCCTGATGGTCCTTGCAGTCTGGACAAGTCTCTTCTTGCGATCTTCCGAGGGGTTCAATGGGCTCTGACGTGGGAGTAGGCACAACTGGTTCATCGTCCTGCATGGGTGTCAGAGACGACCTGCTCGACACAGGCGACGGCGACGGCGGCGCAGGCTCTTTCTGCTGCTTCTTCTGCGCAGCCGAGCGAGTCGTTCTACGTTTGCTGCGAGCCATTTGAGTCGACACTGAACTGAAGGGAACCTGTGTGAAGCACTAAGTATGTGCTTACGTAACACTGCCGCTTTCGTCTATGCGCGGTCAATTCCCCTCTGCAGTAAACTGGATATGACAGAATAATTCTACGACGACAAAACTGAATGCAAGGATAAATGTTACAGTAATTCCGCATCTAACAAGTTCTATTCCATGCGTCTGCTCACTGCTTCTGCTTCTCGCTGAGCGCGTCCACACCAGGGAGAACCTGCGCGAACCCTTAGCATACATAGGGGGGGGGGCAGCGGAAGACCAGCCTACCTTGCCCTCGAGGAGCTCCAAGCTTGCGCCTCCACCAGTACTGACGTGGCTTAGTTTCTCTTCTGCTCCGTATTGTGCCGCAAGGGTGGCGGTGTCTCCCCCACCAACAATCACGGTTGCTCCGTTTTGAGCTGCCAGGATGGTAGCGTCGAGTAGGGCCTTGGAGCCTTCAGCAAAGGCCGGGAACTCGAACACGCCAGGGGGGCTGTGAATTATCAACCACTGTGCATATCGAGTACGCCCAAGACACACCCATTCCACAAGATGGTTTTCGCTTCAAGGACGGCATCGCGGAACAGTCCGCGGCTCTTTGTGCCAGCGTCGAGACCCATGCGACCATCAGGAATACCTTCTTCCAAAGTGGCATACCCGACCTACTTGCAGGTCAGTAGATCCACGATTACGCTGCCAACATTCATACATCGGCATTTTTGTCGAACTTGTCAGCAGTGACAAAGTCCACCGGAAAGACGAGCTTGACGTTTTTCTGTTTTGCTTTCTCGACGAGGGAATGTACTTTTTCGGAACCAGCTTGGTCAAACAAGGAGTTTCCGATCTCGATTCCATGAGGGGTAAGAACTCAGCAGGCGTGGAAAGCGCGGATTACTCACCGACGCGTTTTCAAGTACCTTGGCGAACGTGAACGCCATACCGCCACCGATGATGAGGGAGTTAACCTTGTACGGTAAGCACTGACAGCCTGGGAGATGACGCGATTGTTGGTAATCCTACCTTGTCGAGCATGTTCTCGATGAGTTGGATCTTATCGGACACCTTAGCCCCACCGAGGATAGCCAGGAACGGACGGTCTGGGCTTTCGAGTACCTTTGCAAAGTACTCGAGCTCCTTCTCGACGAGGAAGCCAGCAGCTCTCTCGGGGAGCTGAATGCCGACCATACTGGAGTGGGCACGGTGTGCAGTACCGAAGGCGTCGTTGACGTAGACGTCACCCAGTCTGGTAAGGCTTGCTCTGAATTCCGTCACCTTCGCTGGGTCAGCCTTGGTCTTGGTTCCATCCTTGTGCTTGACGGAGCCTTCTTCCTCGATATGGAAGCGCAAGTTTTCGAGTAGGATGACAGAACCGTGAGGGGCTGACTTTACAGACTGCTCGACCTCGGAGCCAACGCAGTCGGAGAGGAAGGTGACCGGTTTTCCGAGTTGTTTCTCTACCTCGTCTGCGACAGGCTTGAGGGAGTATTTTTCAACCACTTTACCATCGGGACGACCGAGGTGAGACATGAGCACAACGACGGCGGCATCTACAGGAGTTGTCAATGTGTGGTAGGTGCACTATAATCTGTGTTTCGAACCCTTTTTTAGGGCGTATTCGATGGTCGGAAGAGCTGCAACGATGCGCTACGTCTGCTTGTCAGGACGTTATACTTCGGCTCCAAGGGAAGATACATACTGCGGGGTTGGTGATTTTTCCATCCTGCATGGGGACATTGAAGTCGACCCGGATGAGGACACGCTTGTCCTTGAGGTCGAGGTCTTTGATGGCTAGTTTGTTGGAGAGCGACATTGAGGGAGAGGCGAAGAGAGTCGACGAGGAGGGGGGGAGATGTGTGGAGATCTTATCGGACTTGATAAGACGGCTGTTCCCACGCTCCGGATTAACACGGTCAGCACAGCCACCAACTTCGCGGACAGTGCGCGTCTGTGAGTTGGATAGCGTCCGCCGCGTCTGCTCTGTGTTGCCATGGCAGACAAGGCTCCCTCCAACTCTCTCGGCCTCAATTTCGACGCCCTCTCCATCAAGGACCCCAAGACGGAGCCAGAGGACCCTCAGCCAGCACCAGCAGAGACGCAACCTCAGGAACAGCCCACGCCGACAAAAGAGCCAAGGCAGGAGAAGAAGAAGCCTTATGTCAACCCAGAACGCGTCAAGACGGGTGGCGCAGAACGGGTGTGTGGTGTGCTTCTTCGTTTCGCCCTCCCCGGTACTGATATACTTGCAGGAGAAGCTGTCTGAAGAGGCCCTTGCGGAGCGAATGCAGCGAATGAAGGAGCAGAACGAAAAAATCAAGCAGAGGAGGCTTGTAAGCGAGCTCATTCCTCGATTCTTCTTGCGCTCGAGGCTCACGATCTCCAGGATGTCAAAGCAGACGAAGAGGCATTCAAAAAGACTCAGGAGGAAGAACGCGTGAGGCAAGCTCACGCACGAAAGATGCAAGAGAACGTTGATCGTACACGCGAACAGAATGCTCGGAGAAAGATGGAGAAGATGGAGAGTCGCGAATGGGACTCGGGCAAACCCTACTGCCGAACGGAAGTCAGGGAGGGTCAACCATGGAGAGGACGGTGACACCACGCCGTTGTCAGACGTCAGGCCGGGGATAAGAGGCGGTCGAGGTGGTCCTAGAGGTCGTGGTCGAGGCCGAGGGCGCGGTCGCGGAGGTGCTGACGGCGGACCAAGACAAGGTGGTCGAACAACATCTATCAATGCTCAATCTACTGATCCAGCGGAGGCTGAACGTGAACCTGCGGTACAATCTGTCGAAAACCCAGTGCCTGCTCCTCCGGAGGGCTTCCTCATGATACTTTATATCTCTCCCGATTTGGATTGTCTCAACTGTTGTTGATTGTCTCCCAGAGTATTGGTGATGTACTTGTAGGTTATTACTAAGCAATCTCGTCAAGGATACCACTTCGTCTTTCTAAACGGTACTCCGAGCAGGAAATGCCGCCTTGCTCCGCCGCCCACCACTATGACAGTTCGGTTGACATACTGATTAGGGTCGCGGTACCATACAGAGTGCAGAACTTGCTTGTAAATGTGCGATAGTCCAACCATTGAAAGTGAGCATACAATATTGCAGTTAAGGGCATAGTATTGGAAAATGGACCGTATAGTAGCGTAGTAAGTCAGTGTACAAGTTCTTGTTTAAGTGAACGGTCCGGGGACGGACCGCCAGGACTTGACTGTGTCCAAGTACAGGGGTGGCTCCCCCGTTCAATTCATCACAACAAATAGAACCAGATCTCCTTTTATTATTACTATAATGATATACAGTTAAAATGCGCGTCTGTCACCCTAGATGACGATCAGGTTCAATCTGCACATCGTTTGAACTGTGTCTTATCCTTATTTTCTGGTCGCCTGTCAATGTCACTCACCACGTCAATTACACCAAGTGATATCAAAATTGAGAAGGTTGACTTAGTCTCTGATACCGGTCCGCAAAAGCTGAAGCTCTCGCACGTAGCTTCACGAGCCTCGGCAATGCGCTCAGTGTTTGCCCAATATTCGTCTCGATGGTATCGCTGAGATGGGAATGAACTGGACAATATAATTCTCTTGATGACGACCTGGTCAAATTAGCCTTAAAAGGGCTTCCCTGTACCCGAAGGTAAGCCTCGCTCTGTCCCTGCTAACGCCCTTTTCCCGGCCGATGTGACTTGGAAGTGGCAAAGCGAACTGGTGAAGAAGGCTGAAGATAACATAGTGGAGATAGGCAGATAGTTGGCCACACACCCGAACTGTCGTGCATTCGGGCTTCGGATGGCGACCAGGTTGCGCTCCACCCCGCCTTCACAGCAGCCTCTGTTCTCCTCGTTCGCATCAGAGAGGAGGCCACACAGGTGATTGACAACCCCCCTCTCGCGATTGAAGGATGCCGCCCCATTTTGCTTCTCATTGCTAGCCTACGCTGCCCTGATTCTGATACCTGCACCAGTTCGAACTGCCGATTTTTTTCGACGACAGAGCTGCCGAAACGACAGACCGCCAGCGAATCATGGTCGAATTTACTCGCCGTTACTCGTACGAGCTGCACATGTGTTGTACAGATAGTGGCCATGTGCCCTGCGCTCCCTGGATGCTGTCCTGATATCGCAGTCTCGACATGTTGAAAAACACCGTGAGTGAGCGAAGGAATTGTGGGAACCTGTTGGATCTTTCCATGTTAAGGGTCTGGTTCACGGGGGCTTGTGGTACCCGAGCATCATATGCGATGGTAATGCTAGTTAACTTTGACTTCGGTGGGAAAGAAAAGGATCCAAAAGGTCCGCTTAACTTTGACCTGACGATTGGACGAGACGGTACCGACCTGAGGATCGCCAAAGGTGACGATCTTCGCGTCTTATGCAGGACATTGACATATGTGCAAATGAAATGAAGTTGAAAACCTCGCTTGTTGATACGAGGGCACGAAGACGAGACAGTAAATGTACTACGTCTCGGACGCGTGTACACGTAGAAACGAGACCCAGATAAGACGAGGATAGTCTAAGTGTCCAAACCGTAGATCTTCGTATTATGCGAGGTGTGACGGCAACGGCCGGAGGAATACTTTTCATGGCAAACCTTGCTTGAAGAGCCTGAGCAAGGTAGTCATGACTGGTCGCGGAATCCTGCTCACAGCCAACCTACCTCAGCTGCAAAACCTCATAAAACGCGATCCCGATGCTTACAGGGAGGAATTTCTCCAGCAGTGGGAATCACTACAACAGTATACGCGAAATATTCCAGATAAATCCAGACGATCAGGCGCAGCATTTCCGTGAACTTGTTGCGTTTATATCTCAGGTAAGTCATCGTCGTCCCAGCTGGAAGGGTCCTCTGAAGAGGTTGCTAAAGGTCGCACAATGCTACCCGCAAGAGACAGTAGAATTTCCGTCCCAACTATCAACCTTACTGCTTGAGAGCCATGGGTCACTCACACCCGACACGCGCAAGGCTCTAGTCCAGAACTTGGTTATGTTGCGCAACAAGGATGTGATCACCTCCATTCAGTGAGACGTCTGGTGCTGGGTCCTGGCAATTGCTTGACACACTTTAGACTCCTCAAGTCTCTTTTCCCCCTCCTCCCTCGGACGACATCGCCAAGTTTGCGCCAAGTCATACGCAAGACTATCCTATCAGATATCCGAACAGCCAATCTCCGTACTAAAAACCACAAGCTCAACCGCGCTGTACAAGCCATGCTGTTTGGAATGGTGGAGCGAGGCATGGATGCAGAAGTGCTTGGCGACAAGGGTAAGCTCCGTGCAGCAGCAGGCCCGTCAGGCGAGCGCACCACCAACGGAGACGATGCAATGTGGGCTGTCATCATGACCAAAGAGTTGTGGAAGAAAGGTATATGGTACGTCTGACATGTTGGTTGAGGAGTGTGGAGGTAGATGTTTGCTTAGGACAGACTCCAAGTCCGTGGCAATTGTTGCTCTTGGTTGTTTCCATCCCGCGATGAAAGTACAGACAGCCTCTATTCATTTCTTCCTTGGAAGCGATGACGACCAGGAGGATAGCGACGACGAGGGGGAGGCCGTAAGTTATTTCTCCATGTGAATGCGCCCTGTCTGTACTCTTTTTGACGACAGGATGTCGACATCAAATCCCTTCACCATCGTCGCGAGATTAACAAAAAGACGCGCAGTGGCGACAAAAAGCTTCGGAAACAGCTGAAGAGTGCCAAAAAGGTTTTTACGCTCGCCTGCTCCACTGGTTCATCATGTGCTGACCTTCGTGCAGAGAAAGTCAAAAGATGATATCGTTACACCCAATTTTCCTGCTTTACAGCTTCTGAACGACCCGCAAACATTTGGCGAAAAACTGTTTGACAATCTCAGTCGCTACGACAAGCGCTTTTCCCTCGACCATAAGATCCTGATGATGCAGTTGCTATCGAGAGTGATAGGAGCACATAAACTATGTGTTCTCGGATTATACAGTTACATCGTGAAATACCTGACGTACCACCAACTCCGAATACCAGCTATCCTGGTAGCTCTCGCTCAGGCCGTGCATGATCTGACACCGCCAGATGCTTTGACACCGATTGTGCGTAAGCTTGCGCAGGAATTTGTGCACCCCGGAGTCGGCAGCGAGATCATCGCCGCTGGGATCAACGCCATACGTGAGGTGTGCCGACGGCAGCCCTGGGCGATGGAAGAAGACCTACTTGGAGATCTCGTGGAGTACAGGAAGAGCAGGGACAAAGCCGTGACAGCAGCTGCGCGAGGAATCTTGCAATTATATCGAGAAGTAAACCCTAGCATGCTTAAGCGCCGTGAAAGAGTGCGTGTTTCATGTGTCTCATCGTGTGGATTCTTATCTGATATTGCTTTAGGGGAAGGAGGCTAGCATGGGGCTTAGCGAAGGTCGTCAGCCGTTGCCCTATGGTCACTCAGAAGTTGCAGCCGTGGACATCGCGGGGCTTGCAGTACGTGCCATAATAATAAGTGTGATATATGTGGTATTCATGCCTTGTGATAGCTTCTGGAAGATCATTTGAAAAAGTTACGTGAGGAGGATACAGGACAGGCAGACGCTTCTGAAGGAGAGGACGATGAAGCTGCTTGGGAGGGTTGGGATATAGAGACAGACTCAGAATCTGATTCCGAATCTGAGGACTGGATCAACGTCGAATCCGATAGGGATGACCTGGAGTTGTCGGATAGCGAAGACGAGACCCCTGCTAAGAAGTCTGAGCCAACGGAAGGAGAATGCCAACAAAATCAGACTAGAGTATCGACGCTGGCGACCTCCAAGGCAAGTGACATATCATGACGTGGCTTAACTTTACTCATCGTCGTTCAGATTCTAACACCTGCGGACTTCGCATTGCTCAATGATTTGCGCATACAAGCAGCTGCGAAGGCTGTTGATGCCGGCGGAGGCTCTCGGGCGAAGCGGAAGCTGGTTGCTCTTGAAGCGAACAAAAAAGCGGCCGAAACAGACTCCTCCACTAATGCCTTTATAACTGAAAGTGATATCCTGGGACCGCGGAAAAAAGCCAAGGCAGACTATGCAGAACGGTTAGCATCGATAGAGAAGGGCCGTGAAGGACGAGAGAAATACGCCTCATTTAAAGGCAAGAAGAAGAAAGCTACTCCGAGCAGTTCCACGAACAGGGAGAAAGCCCGTAACAAACCAGTCATGATGATTTTAAGCAGTAAGGCTGTACGGGGCAAGAAAAAGGCATCTCTGCGGGACAAGCAGCAAAAGTTGAGGGCACACATCGAACGAGCGAAGAAGGCATATCATTAATCCTAGTTACGTCTGAACTTCTGCTTTCAGTCAACATCAGGAGTGACTGAGCTATGACTATTGGAATTCTGTGTAGTACATGGGCCCGTTCTCCCACATGTTCATAGCCAGTACATTCCAAATTCCCGTACTTCCCTTGAGACCACATACTCTGTCATACAACCTGATGCAAACGTCCCTCCAAGATTTGGCTTTATTATCATAATGATATACGTCCCAAACGACGAAACAGGTCCAATCCGCCCGCCGTTTGGAGGACCTCTTCTTCTCATTTTCCGCTCGCTTGTCGATGTTACTTGCCACATCAATCGCACCAAGTACCATCACCATCTATAGGATTAACTTAGTCTCGGATACTCATCTGCGGAGGCTCAAGCATTCACGTGTAGCTTCACGAGCCTCGATAACGCGCCCAGTCTTTGCCCCCCAGTGTTCGCCTCGAGGGTATCGCCAAGGAGAGAATAGACATTAGCGAAGCAGCTGACCAACATATTTCTCTTGACGAGAACCTGGTCAAGTTAGCCGTAGGACAGGCTGCCCCTGTGCCCAAAGGCAAGCGTCCCTCTCGCCCTGCTAACGCCCTCTTCCCTGACTGTTGTACTTGAAAGGGGAAATGCGTAGTCGTGAAGAGGCTGAAGATAACATAGTGGAGATGGTGAAGCATGCCAAAATCGCGAAGGTGTCACCATCAAGGCTGGCGGACCTTGCATGCGTATCCGGAGGAATGCCTCATCGACCACCGCAAATACCCTACATTGTGGTCTGAACAACCGCATCGAATTCAGAATTGTCGATTTTTTCAATGACCGGGTTGCCGACCGCCAGCGAATCATAGTCAAAAGTACTCATGCGAGTTACGCATGTTTTGTGCAGATTTTGGCCATGTGCCCGCGCTCTTGATCTCCGGGAGCCTCCCTGGAGACTTTTTCGGCATCGTAATGGAGTTTGTGGAATCTTCTGTCCCGATATCACATCTCGACATGTTTAAGAAGACCGTAAGTGGGTAAAGGAGCTGTGCGAGTTTGTTGAATCTTTGCATGCCAAGGATCAGGTTAACGGGGACTTGGGGTCCCCGAATATCATCTGCGATGGCAGCAAGGTTTTGGTACTTGACTTGACGTTAGTAGGAAAGAAGGGGAGGTATTTTACCCGGGAGGTCCGCTTAACATTGACCTGACCGCTGATCGGGACAGCAGCAATTTGAAGATCAACGAAGACGACGATCGTCAAATCTTAGCCAGGACATTCAAGTATGTGCACAGGAAATAAGATTGGAGACTTGATGATACGAAGAGATGTACGTGTTTAAAGGACAGAGCGTACCTGATACATTGCATGTTGTGGATAGCCATGGCTAGCGAGCAATCGGTTTTGAGCAGTCCGGCTTAACCGTAGAACTTCGTAATGTGATAGGACTTTCCTTGGAGGTTGGGAGTATTCCAAACGATGGTGAATTATTACATGGTTGTGGGGTGTGCAGCCTCGGTGATAATTGCTTAGGACAGACGCCAAGCCCGTTGGCAAGTTTGGGAAAGATGGAGACTGACTCAAGGATTCTGAGGGACGAAAGAAGTACGGTCTGTTACATAGAGGCCAAGAAGAAGAAAGCTACTCCAAGCAGTTGGAAGGACCCCGCAACAAACCAGTCATGATGATTCTGAGGAGTAAAGAAGTACGGTGAAAGAAAAAGGCACCTCTACGAGACAAACGGCGGAAGTTGAGGTCGCACATCGAACGAGCGAAGAATGCACATAGTACCGGGTTTATTACTGTGAACTTCTCTTAGCCTGGCTAGTTCGCAGACTCCAGAGCAGAGTTGTGACTGTCCCATTTCGTATTATGTCGGGAGTCCTAGTAACTTGAGCAGGTCCCAATTGCACGGCAGCGAGCTTTCGAATTTAGAGAACCAACAAGTTTGGTTCGTGAGGTCCGCCTGCGGTCCAGCGTGGCGTCAGACTGCCAGTTTCCATCATCGCTCCGGTCATTCATCACTACGCCTTGATATGGAGACAGACGAAGCCTCTCCAAAGCGACGTCGCATTCAACGCTCGCCATCCCCAACGTACAAACTCGATGATGAAGGACGACTCGTATGAACCTTACGTCCCCGTTGCCCAAAGGCGCGCAGCAAAGCTTGCGAAGCTTTCCTCGTTGACCAGTAGTTCTGCACGGGAGAAGGCGAAGAGGCAGTTGGAGGAGCTATTGGCAAAGGAAGATGCTGAGCAGGAGGAAGAGAGTCGGAGGGAAAGAGCTCGGAAAGAGAGGACACTTCTCCTGGAGGCACAAGAAGTGCACTCTCGCAAGGCTGCCGAGGATGCCAAGAAGACAGAGATTGAGAAAGCGGAGGAGGTTGATGCAGAGATTCTTGCTGCTATCGCCAGCAGACGGAAATTAGCATCAGATCTCGAACTCGCAAAGGGTATCTCTTATTCCGAGTCACTGAAGACTTCGTAAGTTCTCAGTTACACAGTGTTTCTACAGGCTAATTTCGGCCAACAAGCACAGTTGGCAACCTCCAAAGTATATACGTGACCGGACAGAGGAGCAGCACAGACGACTTCGGGAGAAGTATCATATCATTGTAGACTGGAGAAGACATTCCCCCCCCAATCGAGCACTTCGAAGTATGCTCTAGTCTTTATTTTTGGGAGAAACCTTTGCATGCTCACGCCAGTCCAGGATATGAAAATACCGCAGCAAACGCTACATTTTCTAAGGTCCAAAAAGATAATTACTCCTACTCCAATCCAGCTGCAGGGCATACCCACAGCGTTAGCCCTGCCAGTCCTTTTCCATCGTGACTCCATACTGACACCCGCTCAAGGTTTTCAGGACGTGACATGATAGGAATCGCATTCACGGGTTCTGGGAAAACGCTTGCATTTTGTTTGCCACTTATTATGATGACCTTGGAAGAGGAAGTCAGGCTTCCATTCATCCGCGGCGAGGGTCCTGTAGGTGTTGTTCTATGTCCCTCTCGGGAACTCGCAACGCAGACGTATGAAAACGTGCTTGCCTGGACAGCCGCGCTTTCAAAGGATGGCAAGTATCCCCGACTGAATACGTTGCTTTGTATCGGCGGTATATCCATGGGCGATCAAAGTCATGTCCTCAATAAGGGTCTACATATCGTCGTTGCTACGCCAGGTCGGTTGATTGACATGTTGGAAAAGAAACGGTTTACATTCAATAACTGCAAATTCCTGTGCATGGACGAGGCTGACCGTATGATTGATCTGGGATTCGAAGACGACGTGCGGAATATCATGAGCTTCTTCAAGGTGAGAACGTTCGACTCCTTGTCGAGTAAGTGCATCACCAGAACCCTTTTTTTCCACAGCGTCAACGGCAGACCTTACTGTTCTCGGCGACGATGCCACGGAAAATCCAGGATTTTGCGCAGCAGTCGCTTGTTAGGCCTGTCCTAGTCAACGTGGGACGCGCTGGAGCTGCCAACTTGGATGTGCTGCAAGTGGTCGAATATGTCAAACAGGAAGCCAAGATGGTCTATCTGCTCGAATGTCTTCAAAAAACTGCCCCTCCGGTAATCATCTTCAGCGACAACAAGAACGAGGTCGATGGTGCGTAGTTCTATGACGCCTATTAAGCTCTCATGCTTATATCCATTTAGACATCCAAGAATATCTCCTGCTGAAAGGCGTAGAGGCGGTTGCGATACACGGGTCTAAAAGTAAGTCCGTCGTCGAACATGAGCACCGATGGTGACCATCAACGCTATCCTCCTCGCTATCAGCCCAAGAGGAGCGCCAGTACGCCATCAAGGCATTCAAGTCTGGCGCCAAAGATGTTATGGTTGCGTCAGGTGTCGCTTCCAAGGGTCTGGACTTCAACGACATTCAACATGTGATCATATTCTCTATGCCGAAGGAGATCGAAGACTATGTCCACCAGATAGGTCGAACGGGTCGAAGCGGGAAGACCGGTATCGCTACGACGTTTGTGAACATGAACACTCCCGAGCAGACGCTCCTGGATCTGAAGTACTTGTTGATAGAAGCTGGTCAGAAGTAAGTTTTTCGCTCTTGGTACATTTTTTGTTTTTAGGTTAACCTGACCTTTTCGCGCGCGTGCGTTGGCACACAGAGTTCCGCCGTTCCTGCAAACCATCGAAGATCCACGTATCTCTCAGAATGGTTCGTTTAGAGGCTGCCCGGTATGCGGAGGTGAGCTTCGGTGGCATGACTATCCCGTTTTCGATCATGACTCAATTTGCAAAAGGCCTTGGTCACGGTGTCTCGAATTGTCCAAAGCTGGAGGACGTGCAACGTCGCCAGATGGCGTCTCAAAGAGCTGTGCACGACGGAGGTGGGGGTTACTGATATTAGTACAATGTGCACCATTCGAATGTACGTATATGTATGTACACGAATTCGGCAGAGCATGCCATGTTCCAACTTGCATCGTGAAAACGAGAAATTCCAACAGAAGAACACATTATATTGAAGTGATGTGAGTAATTGTGATGGGATGTGCAAATTTCAGATGGTGACTGCATGCGACGAACACTGACGAGGGGGTAAAATACAGCAGACCTGGAGGGGTATGATAAGAGGAGGGTCGGTTAAGGCCAGCTTATGTCGTGAAGAAATGTCTAGCAACGCGCGCATAAGATTCCCCAGAGGTTTTTATTAACGTAAAAAGAAAAAGAGGAGCAAAGGGAAAAAAAATATCCATCCATCCATTCCAAAACTCATTTAGTAGCTGTCACCTGCATCCAAGTCATAAGCTCCTGTTCGAACGACCGATCCGACGATGATGGACAACTCACGGCGAACCCACCTAGCGTCCGGCTAGAAGAATGTTGTGAGGAACGGTAGGTCCGTGACGACGGACCCATAGAGGTTGCATGGACGGGGGTGGCATTGACACCGTTTGTGATGACAGTGCGACTGGAGCGAGCAGTCAAAGGTGTTGGTGCGCTGATCTGCGATTTCTTCGGAGTCTCCGTGACCTTGGACGTCCGTGGTCCAGAGAGGCTAGGACGATGACAGTAGCGCCCTGGTGGTCGAGGGCGAGGGACTGGTGACCTTGGACCGTCGTCCAGTTTTCAAGAAACTATGCTGAAGTGCTGCTTGTGGCTTCATGCGCCGTTCTGGGTCCCAAACAAGACACCGTGCCACGAAGTCGACAAAATCATCATCTTGGCATCGAAGAACTTGAGCAAGGCTTTTCGTGCCAGGTCTCCTTCTCCGACCCTTGGAGTTGACCACGGGTCGTGGTGCCCCACTGTTATCTACACACACAAACAACGGTTTGAACTGCGATGACAACGTAAATTCCGTCCTTCAAACTTACCGAAAAAGAGCCGCTTCCGGGAGCTGCGGTTAATGAACTCTTTATCTGGAGGACCAAGAACCTCCATAATACAAGATAATTGTTCCTGCTCGTTCTCGCCAGGGAAGATTGGGAATCCCGTGTAGAGTTCAGCGAGGATGCACCCTAGACTCCACATGTCGATGGCCATATGGTAGTTCATGCCGAGGATGACCTCCGGTGAACGGTAGAACCGACTTTGGATGTAGGTATAAACTAGGCAAAGAAATCGTGAGATAACAGTGAACTTCCTGAGTCGATGAACCCAAGCTCACTCTTCTCATGCTCGAGGCAACTGCTGCCAAAGTCGATCACCTTGATCGCGCTCTTCGTCGGGTGTTTGAGCAGAACATTCTTTGAGGGGGGTGGTCTGAATTAATGGAAAAAGGCACTAAAGTCTGGATACGTTACCTCTGGCTTAAGGTCGCAGTGAACGATTCTATGGTGCCGCATCAAGCACAATGACAGGATCATCTGGCTCGTGAAACGGCGTATCAGGGTGGTCGTGAAGCCGACAAATCCGTTCGCCTTGATCAACTCGTACAAGTTAATGCTCAGCAACTCCATGGCAATGCACAAGTGGTTGCGGAAGTAGAAATGCTCTGTCATCTTGATGACGTGGTGTTTCTCCTCTTGGTCCTATTCCAAAAAAAAAAAAAACCGTCTCAGCGAGGAAAGAAAAAAGGGAAAGTAGAAAAACGGTGGTTGAAACACACGTACCCATTTGCGCAGATTGTCCAAAATCTTGATTTCGACCAAGGCCTGGTGATGGAAGCGTTTCTTATTCCGAATTATCTTGATCGCGACAGATTCACCAGTTTGGTGATCTCGACAGTTCAACACCTGACCGAAAGATCCTTTACCTAGGGTATCCACGACTTCATATCGATACGCCAGGTGGTCACCGTGCACTACTAGATAGTCGCCACGATCATCGTCGTATCCGAAATTGTTTGTCGGGATGTCCGGATCAGCTTGCTTCTTCTGACTTCCAGCACCAATGAAATAAATTAAAGAATGGTTGAGCATCTCTTCACGTTCGTAGGGACACAGATGCCGAGCCTGTGGGCTCTGCAGCAGTTCTGCAACAAGTCAAGTTAAGGGGGACGAGGACCGGGTAAAGACCATACAGTGTGACTCACCTTGTGGCGTCATTCCGGGGCTGGGAGGAATCGGCTCTGGGAATTTTAGCATCTCATCCAACTCTTCTTGAGTCGCCCCATTCGCCATCTTCTTTGCCTGCTGACGTCTGATGTATTGCATCATCTCTTCATCACCTAGGAACTCCTCCTCATCGACCGTCTCAGGAACTGGGGACGGCGTCGATAATGACTGACGGCTTGACGATGGAGTGCCAGCGTGAATACGATGGACTCCGCTAGACGATGCTGACGAAGTATTATTATGAGAGGAGCGGCCACCCGGTAAAGAAATCTTAGGGCTCAAGAGTTTCAGGCTCTTGGAAGGAGAGAGTGCTGAGAACCTATGGTGAACGTGCGATGGTTCGTTGGGTGGAGGCGCCGCCGATGTCGTAGAAGCAACAGATCCAGTCGAAGCCTTGCGCAACGAGGTGAAAGAGACGGAATCTCGGTTAGATTTGCGAGGTATACCTCCAGCTGTCGGTGGACCAGAGTTTTGGCGAGTCGCTCTAGAATTTAACGAAGGCGAAGCGCGTGCAGACTGGCGCCTGGAGAGTGGCTGGCTTATCCGTTGCCGCAACCTTGGTGCCACTTTGAGCATCTCCGTTTTCCAAGACGCCAAATTCGTTCGTCGCTGCGTCTGCAGGTATCGGTGACGGGTCTGCAGAGGGGGCAGTCACGTTCAGGCTGATGCGTCTGTTGACTAGTGTGTTTTGCCCGGAACCCAGTCCTGGTGAACCAGCTGCGGATGTACGACTCGAGATACGAGGTATCTTGGTTGGGGTTTCTTTGGGCAATCCCCCGACAGTATTGAGGAGCGCAGAGGGTGGATGATCTTTCGGCTCTTTCGACGCGCTATAGCCAGTCGTACCAACTGAAGGCGAGCCGGCAATCGTGGGCAGCTGATTCCTGGTTCGCAGCGATGCGTCTGACTGTTTCTGCATCGAACTCACGGTTTGAGACGTGACACGAGAGGACGACGGAGTCCTCGTGATGGCAGCGGCAGGTGTAGATACTGAGTTGTTCTTTAGACTGGCGACACGCTGCGCGGTAGTAGCGGGAAGCGCGGACATCTGCATCGGTGGCAGGGCCACAGCGGGAGCCTTCTTCGGGTCCGTGGAAGAAAGCGTCTGCAAATGATAGTTTGTTACACATAGAAACGCAAAGGAGGATCAATCAAATACGCTGTTACTTGCCTTGCCCCTCTTCCTGCCCATCAGCACCGATATCCTACTCTCGCTCCGATCCTTGAGATCTTGCTTCGCCTTTGCCTTCTCTCCTTCCCTCGTCTTGTGACTACCACCACTATCTCTCGCCTCTTTGCCCGTCCCAGTGTCACTCCTATCGCCGTGCAAACTCCTTCTCGAACTTGAACCCTTGAGCAACGAAGGTAACCCTAAACTCAGAACTGATGACTTCTTCTGCGATGTGCTTGACGTGGTCGGAGGGGGCCTGGAGGATGATTCTTTGGTAGGCGAGCTATTTGCTTCTTTGGTACGGCTTTGTCCGGACGGGATGACCGGAGCCGTCGGTATCGTTGGTGATACTGAAGCCGGGGCAGCGTTCGACATCGATATTTGCACGCTGTGCGAAGATGAGCGGCGGAAGAATGGGATGGAGGAGGGTGTGAGGCGTTTCGACTGGTGACGTCTGATAGAAGGGACCGGGCTGAGCGACGCGTTCATATTGGCGTTGGACGTGGTGGTATTGCTAATACTGGAGCCAGTCCCTGGACGACTTGCAACCCCTCCTCTCTCGCAGTCGGGTGTCTTTCTAGACTGCAGGGCAGGCGACCTAGGCGTTCGAGTGGATCCGACAGAAGAGAGCGACGCAAGGGAGGCGGCAGAGCCCATGGCTTCCGGTTGGATCGGTGACCAAACAGTCTTGTTCGACGCAGGAGGGGACAAGGCGTGCTCCCGGGATGCGTGTTTTCGCAACTGCTGACTGAAACTTTGCATGGAGCGCGGGCTCAGCGGGAAGCTCGATGTCTTGCTATTATGTGATGACGAATCCTTGTCTCCCCCTCTCATGGACGCAACCGAGGGCGAACTCGTCAACTTGATATTTAGCGCGTTAGAGAAACTCCACTTCTTTGAGGGTGTCTTGTGAGCGGAAGGTGCAGTCTCAGGTGCAGAGTGAAACCCATGACTTGTTGATTCGTGGGAATGAACATCGTGGGACTTGGACGATGGTGGAACCTCCAAAGATGCTGTACGTTCGATACTGCCCTCATCGCCAGCAGCGTGAGGAAATATGACGCCGTGCGAAGACTGAGGAGGCGACCGGTAATTCGATAAATCCTTGGGTAGAGGTGGAACAGGGGGCACACGGTCCTCCTCCAACGCCTCAGCTCCACTTGCCAGCGAGCCCGTGCGATCCTTCACAGTACCGTCGCCGCCCGAGTAGACACTCGAGATATCGCTCCCCGCGCTGTTCCGTCGACCCTTGCCTACACCGGTGGAGTGTCTACCTGAGGGAGCAGAGACGGATGTCGCACTTGTTGCAGTTGATAACGATGCTGAGTCACGCGAACTCGTGGGGGTACCTGTGTATGTCGTGGAGGATGCAGACCCGCGTTTAGGCGTGAAACTAAGACGAGCACTGATAGACTTTTTAGGGGTCTTGTCGGGACCCGACGACGCTTGATGCTCGTCGCCACTCGTGACTGCAGGGGTGCGCGCATCGCCAGCGTCGTTTCCAGCATCTACTGAACCAGAGGTGCCATGCTCCTTTCTCTCTTTTTCCTTTGAGCTTCCCCTGCGACTGACTTTTCCACCGCTCTCATTAACACCACTCTCCCAATGGACGCGACCTGCAGCGCTTCCAGGCGTGCCGGGGCGGCTCATGCGGTTGAGACTGCCGATGCTTGCACGGGCTCGGGCGGTCTTGGTAGATAAGCCGTCGAGCTTTCGCAAAGCCTCCGCGTGGGCATCGTCGTCCATGCTTGACCAACCCTCCTGCGTTCCGCGAAGGAGGGAATGAACGACGCTTGATGAGTGAGGATGCGATGGGTGAGCGAGATCCTTGTGTGATGACGATGGACGGGTAGGGGGAGTCGTAGTCGTAGTCGTAGGGGCACCGCCAGCGTGCCTCAAAAGGTGATGCATAGAGGTCGTCGATGGAGAGGGAGGGAGAGGAGGTGCATGTACGCGGCTAGAATGTGACGCGAGCGCTGGGTCGGGACCGGACGAGGAACTCGCTGAGGGTTGGCGAGTGTGATGGTCCCTTTCCGCACGGTTAGCAGCAGATGTCGGAGTCGCTTCAATGGACGCAGGGGACTTGGACGAGGTGTTCGGTGCCAAACTTTCTCTGCGACGTGTTTTGTCACGAATAGCGCTAGACATGGACGTCGAACCAGAAGGACGGTGTCTGCGAACGGACGAGGATTTGTCGTCCTTGGTGGCTGGCTTGACAGGGACAGCGCCCTTTGAGGTCAGAGACCCCGACTGATCTATCTCGAACTCGTCCGAGGTGCGCTTTCGTGCCTTGCGGAGTGGAGTGAATGCACTTGGAGGGGATGATGAGGTGGACGCATCGCTGACCAGGGCATGCTCGCTCGGGAGGGGGGGCACGAGCGGCGATGGAGGTTCCTCGGGAGAAGGCGAGGAAGGCTTGACTGCGTCCGACGGATGTAAAAAGATGGACCCGTGTGGTTTGCGGGGGTACAGGATTTCTTCTCCGCCGCTCTCGTCTGCAATAGAGCGACGGGTGCGGATGGTACGTGTAGCTGGTTGTTTGAGATGATGCTGCAGCATAAGAAATGAGTGGGGGAAAAAAAGTTGCGACGCGGGTAAACTCGCTTCACCTCGTCTTTGTCGTCGGACTCGCCATCGACTGCCTCAATTGTCCACGGGCTGTCAGGAGCGTCGTTTTCGAGGTTTTCGGCTACCATGACTGCGGCGGCGTCCTCTTCCTCGAGAAGACAATCCTCGTCCTGTGATTGGTTGGATTGTCTCGAATGGACGATGTATTTTGTCCCAGCGATGGAGTTGTCAGTTCGCCTACGCCAACGAGGCCCATGCGGTCGATGTTGGCCGGGTCTCTTGCGGGGGTCAGCGGGTGGTTTAGTGTGTGAACTCCTGGGCTGACGCTGGGCAGAGCTGGGGGGTGGAGTTGGGGGAGAGGGGGGCGGGGGGGAGTCGGAGGGCGTCTGAGCACCGAAGTAGTACGGATCAAGCGAGGAGGTGGCCGAGACGGGGCGCGAGAGGCCTGTGGGTTCGTCGACAGCGGGGGGTGCCTCGGAGACGTACACACGTGGCTAGTTGGAAGACGACTGAGACGACAGACACTATTACGATGAGACTGATTCAATACCTGGCCACCGTCCTCGTCTCCCGTCAGAGGGCAGACCTCGCTGTGTCCAGCCTGCATTCGACTGCCGAGCTAATAAGTACTACCAGAGAAAGACAGAAAAAAGGGTTCCACTGTGCCTTGGCTCTCGTCGTCGTCGCCGGCGGGTGCAGGTCTGGCGGGGGGAGAGTTGTTTGTGTGTGTTTGGCCATTCACACGATCGTTCCTCCTAAGCGTCGAACCCTCCCCCTCATAGGAGATCTGGAGCTGTGGACGTCGTTGGGAAGAAAAGAGTCGGAATATACAAGCGTAGACACGTCGGACCAGTCGCCCTAAATCACTCTGATAGATCGCGTGCGATAAACTGCTCGAGTCTCTGGTGGCCCCGTCTCAACCGTCGACGCCGACAGTCTCCGCTGGCAGCTCAGCGAATAGATCTCAGAACAGAAAGGAAAGTAGATTTTCGACGGGTCTGTGTGTAGCAACTTTCATTTCGTTGTCTGTTCGTTGTCGTTTTGACGTGATCTTCCACCCATATGCTTGCATCGGCGCGGATGACGACCCCTCAACTCCAACTACTAATATCCTTCGACCAGCTTGCCTTCGGCTCCCAACACGTGAACCACCTCGCCCTTCTTCCTCCAAGCACAAGTACAAGTACAGTTACTACCTTATAACATTGCCTTCTCTCGTTCTCCTCGATCTCACTTTCAGCATCCCCATCTCTGAGCTCGCTCCTCGCAGCTCGACATGTCTCAGTCCGCCGACGGAAATCAAACGCCTGACGGCGGCGATGACCCCCACTCACCAGACATTCAACCTCAGATGTCCGTCCACCCCGTCGGTGGATACTCGAGCCAAATGCACGTATATCCTTTCACCCCCGGCCTCGCCCCACCTCAGCCGTCCCGCCCGAAACGCAGGCAAGTGAAGAACGCTTGTACAAACTGCCAGAAGGCCTGCAAGAAGTGCGACGACGCCCGTCCCTGCCTCCGCTGCGTCAAGTATGGAATCGCCGAGGAATGCATCGATTCCCAACGCAAGGAGAGGAAAAAGGGCGTGAAACGGGGCCCCTACAAGAAGCGCGATGGAAAAGGTGTGTCTTCCCCTTCCTTGTCTCCCTCTCCTCTCGTCTTCTCACCTCCGGCCTTCTCTCTCTCTCTCTCCCTCCCTCCTTTCTGACTCTCATTGAGATCGCGCAGGCAGCAACGTCGACCAAGTCGACGCGCCCGAAGAACCTGGCATGTCCATCCCACCTGGCGTGCCTGCCTCCTCGGCGTCCCCACCCATGCCACCCTACATGGCTGGCCCTATGGGATACGCTACGAGTTTCTACGGGCAATTCCCGGCCCCACCTACTCCGAAACCGGGCGAGGCACCTGCTGCCTACTACCCCCAGTTCTACATCACCCCCATTCCTCCGCCACACAACGGCCACCCTGGGCAAGATGTCGAACAGCAGGGATATGCACAGCTGGCTCAGTTCTACCCAGCTTTTCTGCCATATGCCCCTCAAGCATATGGCCCTTACATGATGCATCCCCATCGTCCGGATGGGCAGATGCCTCTCCCAGCCCCACAATATGCTCCATTCCCTCAGCCCTATGGCAAGCCCTCTTCCACCCCGGGCTCAGTTGACTCCGGGAACGTCAACGGTAGGAGTGAGCACGGTCAGGGGGATCAGAACTAGAGAACATGTCCGGTGTTGCCCATGATGTATTCTCTCGTTCTTCAGTTGCATATGTCTTTTAATTCTCTCTTTTCTCTCATGTAAACTTGTTTCTTTTTTCTCAATTCATGCAGCCAAGCATCGTGTAGTAGTATCGTTCGTAGTGGATACCTCCCATGTCGACGAAACATCGCATCAACTAGGCCCTATTAGTATGCCCTAACACACGATTAAGTCACTGCATGACAGCCACCTCTACGTTCCGCTCCACCCACCGCCTTCGGAAATGAAGTCCGCATGGGAAAAGCATGCTCACCAGCTCTCAAACGGTTGCCGGGCCATACCACATAACAGGCGACACGTGAAATGATGACACTCCATGATCCCCGACAGGGTTGTGTGGCCCTCTCCCACCCAAAGTTTCCATATCGTTGGATCTCCAGATGCGAATCTCGCTATTCGCTGACACCAATCGCTGACCTTGACCCGCAATTCAATACTCAGCGGCGTTCAAGTCGCCCTGGAAAGCTGCCTTGGCAACCACGTAGACGCGCACATTCGCAGAGCGGGCGACCCGGTGGGCGCGGAGAGACCGCGGTTCGTTATGTGAACAAGAGGGCATCGGCGGTGGGAGGCAATTGAGTGGCGTTAATGACCTGTCGTTTCGGCGCTCTGCGCAAGTCCAGGCTTGGACGGAACCCCAAGGAGCAGCATGAACCACTCGCCCGCTTTTTTTCTATTCTTTCGGCCGTTCATTGTGACTCGTAACACGGCAGCTGTGGCAGTATATGGTCGTATTACACACGAGGAGCCAGGATAGTGGCTCCTAGTCTCGATGTTGGTATTCTTGCAGGGGTAGGCATCGAAACTACGGACGGATGGCCCACCAATCGGCCGGACACCATGCGCATCAATGCCTCCTACGGTCTTCTTCGGATTGGCTGGATCGTCGCTCTCGCTTTTGGGTAGTAGACTTGCTCCTTGAGAAAGCTCGACTCGACGGGCTGGGCTTCTGGACCCACTACCAGGGTTTCCATGATCTGAGGGTTGATGGCATAGTGAATTGGTCGGCGAGTAGATCGATTATCGGTGAGCGTGATCCTTATCCTCGTTGCCCGTTATCGGATTGGTGATCAAAACGCAGAGTGATTCCGTACTCGTCGGTTGAGGCATTGAGGGTCCATCCTCATGTGATGGAAGCGATATGCGTCGACAACAACATCGGCAACTGAAGGGGGGATGCATTCCACGTTGTTGGGTTAGTGCGCCAATCAGTCTTTTGATGCGTAGCTGGCTGGTGATCGAGAACAAGGTACGAGACCAGTTGAGAGCGTCCAGCCAGCCAGCAGTAGCAAAGGGCTGTTGCGATCACAAAATCAAGGGTCTTCACCATGCCCGTAACATAATTGTATTGCGAAGCTGGTTGCTGTACGTGGCTGACGGCAGGGATCGATAACGCTTTTGGCCTATCGGCGTATTCATGGATTGATTATCGCCATCTGTATATTCTGTGCTCACAGAGACCTCCTGTACGCTGTCCTTGACCAAGTCATAGTCTCTGGATCGTAGAGTGCAAACGATCCTTTTTCTTGCGCCGCGTGGCGTCCCTCAGTGAGTCGGTTTTAATTGACTTGCGTCCGTGCTCGCCTGCTCTTCGTGTAAGTAACATTTCAGCATCGCCTATCCGGAGATTGGTTATCGCACCTGCATATTTTCGTCTCGATCTTGGGGAAGGTCACCGGAGGGTCTCGTTGCGTGCTATCCTCGGCCAGGCCATGGCCTCGGGATCATAGACAGCGAACGGAAATTCCCTTCTCTTGTGCCGCGCGGCGTCCCTCGCTCAGTGAGTTGGTTTGAATTGACTTGCGTTCGTTCTTGCCTGTTCTTTATGTAAGTATATAACATTTCAGCATCGCTTATCCGGGGATTGGTTATCGCACCTTCATATTCTCGTCTCGTTCTCAGGGGGAGGTCACCGGGGGGTGCCTCACGCCGTTTCCCCCAACAAGTGCTGCCGTTGGCCAGATCATAGACCCTCCTAGATTGCGAACACACGAAGGTTCCCGTCCTTTCTCCCGCACCGCGTGGCAGCCCTACAGTTTGAATTGGAGTCGTAACGGTGACCGGCGTCCGTGCATGCCTGTTCTTTGTGTAAGTAACCTGGTGTTCAAACGCATTCTTCCTCAGCCACCGACCTTCTATGGCATGGTTGGCGTCAGGCTGACGACCGTTCGCTGTTATTCGACGTGTCCAGCCTCGAGATAATCATTGTCGTTGAATGCCACCTTACATAACTCCGCCAGCACGGTCGACTGGCATCGAAACAAAATAAAATAAAATAAAATAAACTAGGGCCGACAAGATATCTTCTTGGGTCTCGGGCCTATTCCCTCCTCAGCGGCACCTTTATGTTTGAGAAAAATGGTATGTACTACGGGCGCACACTAAAAACGGAGGTAAGAAGTTTAGTCCCTCCTTATTTCCCCTGCAAGGGTTGCAGCGCATGCGTAGTTCGCGCTCGGTATGTCAATCGAATATTTATGACCGGCCCCAGTACGTGGAGGTGCAAATGCAAATCCTTGGCCGATGACGACGGCTTGTCGTATTCTATCTAGGGCTGTGCCACGGGGGACACAAGTTACACGACAATTGGCTGCAGAAGTGTGTGATGTCAGTCAGTATCAGTAGATTTCTGGCCAAAATGACTGCACGGGTCGCATCGACAACACGTATTTATCAAACGGACATGTTTCTGTAGTAGGAAAACTCTGGAAATGGATGTCAGAAATTGCGCGCTGGCCACTGCGCATATGTGTGTGTGTGTGTGCAGTACTGCAGCCTCTGAGCGAGTCACGGGATGCGGATTATATAGGGGTTACTGTGTGACCTCGTGACGACTCGCGTCCGCGTCTTCGGACTCCACACCTCCTGACTCGCAGTATTGACTCGACGTCCAACACATTTCAACCAACCCATCCACTCAACTTTGGAACCATGCCATTCGACGATTGGAACGTCACAGAGGAGGAAGGAGAGGAAGAATTGCAGGATACCTCCGTATGCATAATGCCACAGAACTTCCTGGACGGTGTTAGTAACTGACTGACTTTCCACGCGCTGTAATGTTTTGTAGTTTTTTGAAGGGCGACGCGACGTCATCTTGTTCTGCATAGACTGCTCACAATCTATGCAAGAACTCCGAGACGATGCTGTCTACGAAGACGTGAAAACGTCTCACCTCCTGACGGCACTCGACGCTGCGATGCAAGTGCAGAAGAAGAAGACCGTTTCGGGTCCGAACGATTGGGTTGGAGTACTGCTATATAACACAGTAAGAAACGTCTTTGCGACAGACAGGACTCAGCCTGAGTTGATGACCTACCCTGTTCCCTTCCGCCTAGTCGCGCCGGAATGAGTCGAATGATCACACTTCTGAGATTAAGAAGGGTACATTTTTGTACCAGAACTTGGCACCCATCAGTGTGGAGTCGATACAAGAGCTAATACGTGTGATTGATGGTAAGTATAGTCGCTTTCAGTGACTTCCACGTCATATTTCCGCTAAATCCTTCATGCACAGACGCTCGGGAAGACCCTGAGCACTTGCGGAAGACGTTCCCTCCTCTCCCAGGAACCAAAATGCCGATGGGAGACGTGTTCACGAGTTGTAACTGGGTGTTGCGCGACAAGTAAATTATAACACTTGTTGTCTCCGCGAAGCACTGTACTTATTCCGCTCAACTAGCGCACCAAAGACAGCGTCTAAACGCGTTTTCCTCATTACTGACGATGACAACCCAAGTCCTGCCAGTACCAAAATGTTGACGTCGGCGAGGACAACGCTCATCGTGAGTAATGGAACGCTTGAGAACGGGACACATGACTAACAATGCCGACAGGATCTCATGCAGTCAGGATGTCAGATAGAACCGTTTTTCATATCGACTAGGTGAGAAACCTTTTGACGTTACCAAGTTCTACTCGGTATGTCATGACGTTCATCCACTCCTGATTATTTGACCAACCGAGGGGTATATGCACGTCCCAGTCGGTCCTGCCGTCCAATGTGCTTGGGGACGAAGAACTTGAGGTTTCTGGCATACTGCCTGATTCAATATCAATCACTAGGATAGACGACCTTCTGGATCAGATGCGTTTCCATGAGCAACCTAAACGTGCCATTTTCAGCGTTCCTTTCGAGCTTGGGAAGGGCTTCACCATTGGTGTGAAGGGGTTCGTATTGCACGCGTTAAACATTGATTCAACTGTCACTGACTTGGCTTGCCAGGTATGGATTGGTGACAGAACAGAGAAAGGGATCGTACTTGTACTTCCTTGATTTAGGTGACAAGATGGAAGTAGCGAGTAGTCGGACAGCCTACGTCGATGAGGTACGGTTGAACCCCATATTCTAATGTGTGCTTGACATCTGATTATCGCAACTCGACAGGAGAAAGAAACGGAAGTTAGTCGGAACAAAATTCTGTTTGGCATGCAACTTGGTCCAGAAGAAGATGACGAAATGGGACTTGGACCGTCACGAGTAGTCAAACGTGGTCAAAGGGTGATCCTTCTCTCTTTTTGTTGGTTTACCTTTACTTACCCTCATCAGCCGTTCTACACTGCAGAAGAGGTTCAATCATTCCGCACACTCGGACTTGAGCCTGGTAGGTGCAGCTTCTCAAATTCTTGCTTGTGCTGTAGCACGTGTTCTCTGCAGGGATCAAGCTCCTAGGGTTCAAGGATAAGCGAGAACTAGCTTTCGAAGATAACGTCAAGCATTCAGTCTTCATTTATCCAGATGAGCTGGTGAGGCTTATACCATGAACCTGATTTCTGAGCCTTTATTTCTCCCACAGAAATACTCTGGGAGCAAGCGGACGTTCAGTGCTCTCCTTCAGAAGATGCTTGATAAAAGGAAAATAGGGCTGGTCCGTGCCCTGGTTCGGCGTAACTCAAGCCCGGTCTTTTGTGCTTTGCTACCACAGGTAATAGCCTCACAGCGTAGCTTTTGTTGCGACCTAATCCGAAATGCGTGACACCAGGCGGAGAAGGTAGAAGAAGGTGGATGGTGTGAACCTGGTGGTTTCCATCTCATCGTCTTGCCATTCGTGGATGATATTCGAGCAGCCCCCATCGAGGAACAACTGAGAGGTGTGATCATCTACTACTTTGATAGCTTCCAGAATTTCATCTTTTCCATGGCAGTCTCGGAAATGGCCAAAGAGGCGGCAAAACCTTGGATAGATAAATTGTCCCTCAAGAACGGAACATATCCTCCCGATTCTTATCCGAACCCTTGTAAGTTTGTCGTTGCTGTGGTACCTGCATCGTAATTAACAATCCGGCTTTGAAGCACTGGCATATCACAATGCCCAACTTCAGGCAGTCGCCTTCCGAGAGGAGTTCGATAATGAGGCATTTGAAGATTTGACTCGACCAAAGTATGACATTATTCATAGAGTGCGTGTTCTTGTAAGTGAAATGCGCTCCAAGCACTGACCCGTGGCTCAGCGAGCGGGATCGTTGATGAAGGAGTGGAAAAAGGCGCTGGTAAAGGATGAAAATTTCAACAATGTTTTTGCAACACCTGGAGTCAAACGGAAGGCGGTAAGAGTGAACTCCTGCTTGCTCTCTTATAGACGTTACTGAGGGAACTCATAGGATATCACTGTTGACGAAGCTGAGCTCCGGAGCAAACACGAGTTGGGCCAGTTAGACAGGGTAAGTTGAAGCTAGTGATATTGTTACCACGTGCCTTGATGCCAGCCGATGTAGCTCCGAGCGGACCAACTCAAGGTTTGTGATCACTACCTTGGGTCTTTAGTTCTATTGATTTCTTACCATCAAATTCTCAGGACTTCCTTAGGAAAAAAGGTCAGTCTTCATCAGGGAGGAAGGCGGAATTGGTGGCGCGTGTCGAAGAGTACCTCGCGAAGCGTTCATAACTTCACAGGTTTTCCATTTCCACGCTCACCGTTATATGGACAGAGTTTCTTCACCGTTTGTAAATTCGATGACTGATGACTGTAGTTATCCTGTCGTACTCAGAGGAATATTTAATTATCGTGCAAGCGCGATAATCGTTGCGTCTGTTTGACCTGGCAGTTCTGAAAGTTCTCAGTAGAGCCCCTAAACAGAAGGCCTATATACTGTTGTTTGTCAAGCCCCTATAAAGGGCTGTCGGAGTCCGCTTCCCCCCTCTACGAGCATCCTACTCGCCATCAGATTCTTCGAACGATAACTTATACGCTTTCGCAAACTTGCCTTCTCGCAGGCATTAGACACGCAGTTTCTACGCAACTTGGGTTAGGAATTGGGGATATTCAAGTGCACGAACCATGCAGGTGGGGAGCAGTACAATTATGATGTAAAGCTTTCTCTGAGTGCTTGTAGGTTCCGGACTTGCTCCACCCTTCAACAGGTGCCTCCCCAGCTACTGGTGGTGGAACTCAGGACATGTCCTCGTTGTCTCCCATTTGCTGCATGTCAGCTGATGTCATGGCAAATGTTTTTGAACACTGCGTTCACGAATTGGGTTATTATCCTCTCGTTGGCAAGAATCGGCAAGCCCCGTTGTCTCTATCCCAGGTCTGTCGCTCGTGGCGGAAGCTTTCCTTTGCATTGCCTTGCCTTTGGACGAGATTCCAGGTTATCATTGGCTACCCGGTCCGTCCATTGAACTGGGATAGAACGATACAGTCCATGATCATGTCTGTACGGCTATGGCTCTCGCGCTCACAGTCTCTTCCAGTATACTTATATCTTTGCTCTGCGATCCGGGATATGCCAGTCCCCTTATCGGCCCTTGAACTTTTCGATCGGGAGATCCTCAAGGCAAGCTCCCGCATCAAAAAGCTGTCACTGCACTTTCCTGCCCAATTTATCTGCCACTTGCTATCATTCACTCAAGGTTCCTTAGAGTCCCTTGAATATCTCAGCCTTTGTGGTTCCTCCAACTTCAGTGCAAATGAGCACAATGTTATGTCGCCGCTTGTCTTGCGATCTGCACCAGGTCTACGGAGTCTGTGCCTAACATGGTACGATCTGGATATGCGCAACTTCCAAGTACCATGGGCGCAGTTGACCAAGCTTAATCTCCTATGTGATTTTTTCGAAGACTTCGAGCACGTCCATAGCGATTACCTGCCCGTTCTTGCTCAGTGCCCGAATCTGAGGACGTGTTCCCTCGCCTTAGGATGGCCCTTGGATGATGATTTCTCTGTTACTAGTGTCACACTCCCCCATTTGAATACACTCGAAGTAACAATCTATGTATGGGAACCTTATGTTAAGCGGTTCTTCGGCGCCCTTCACCTTCCCAAGTTGCAATCCTTTGATATCAGCAACACCAGCCTCAAAAGGGGCTCCTTTGGAACTCGCTACCTCCAGATGCTCAGCCGAGCGGCAGAGACGGTTGAGAGTGTGACTTTCTCCTTCATAGACATCCCAGGCGTTAAGCTGTCTGCTTGTCTCTCACAACTCCCAAATCTGAAATCCCTGCGGTACACTCCCACCTCACGGGGACTGAATCACAATCTTGTGATGACGCTCACCATTGTGGATGCCCAGTCTTCCGGGGGAGATCTGGGTGACAAGGTACACCACCAGCCTATATGTCCATCCCTCGAAGCACTGCATCTCTGTTGTTCTGATGTTGTGCACATCGATGCAGTTGTGGCTCTCGTGGCCTCGCGATGTCAGTCTGAGCCTCGGCTGAGACACTTCACACTGCAGCTGGAGCGGCCTGGAGAATTTGCAGATGACGAAGGTGAAGGTGATAGGCGGGAAGAAATGATCAGCATGCTGGAGGCACGATTGAGCAGTTATGTAGATGAAGGACTGCAACTGACCCTCACCAACTGTGGCCGCTATTGAGGAGATTCTGGTTGATGCACTTCATGTTTATTTCCAAGTAATATATTTATAACCTTTCTCCGTGGTTTCATATGCTGGGGAACGACATGTGGAGCTTTTGGGAAGCATGCTAATGTTAGTCAGTGTATGGCTGGTCGGGTATCTCGCAAAGCACATGTCTCTGCATGAATTCCTCTTGTTCCGTTGATCTGACATCACTCAAGGCTACGAAAAAGCTTTGTCTGGGCTGATGTCTGGTTTGGTAGCAATGCTGAAAGATAGATTTGGAATGTGAATGGACAGTCAAGGCATGATGTTATCATGGGGGATCTCATCATGTTCCAGAAGGACTCCACCCTCAAACTCAGCAACATCAGGTGTACCAAGGGGCCAGAAGTCAACACTGATGAAGGAAAAATTGTGATTTGCCCAGAGGGGGTGGTAGGGTGCTGTTGACAGTTTTGCTCTTGCTAACCATTCTTGTACAACTCTCCACAGATTCCATCAGTAGAGCTGGATTTTAGCTGATGGCCACACTGACTTGGACATACTAATTTCTGCCATATCCTTGTTGACATGGATAAACTGTGGGTGAACATGATAATGGTCATGAGGGCAAGTAGCCCAGTGTCATAATGCTTTTGTACACTTCCCAATCTTGCAGTTGAAAGAAGACAGTATGACATGGGAGGCCAGCATTATCATATTCTGCAAGCACACTATATAGCCCTAGGTGCTTTGCATTTGTATTATCTAGTGGGTTGTGTTAACTGAGGAGGCATTAAGTGTGATGTTGCTCACATGTTGCATCCAGGGCAATTTCAACAGCCTTTCCTTCCAGCATGCCAGATATTTTCTTCATTCCCTAGCATATTTAGTAAACTCCACCCTGTCTGGGATCTCCATGTCAAAAATGTCTACTTCATGGCCATACTCATCCAATAATGTTCTTGCTGATGTAAGCTGATTGGTATCCCTTGTCCAGAGAATTTTGCTGATCTTTGTCCAAGCAGAGTGTACTTGTGCTGGTGTAACATGTGGGTATAGTTCCTGGATCTTCAGGACAAGCAAGCTAGGTGTACTCTACTCCAATTGGTCTTGGATGATCTGGGTAGCCTCTGGGGGCATGGTGACACATCAGGAAAGTAACACTTTACTATTTTTGACTTTTTGTGACTAATGTGACTTTTTGGGAAGGAATCTACTATCATTACCCATGTCCTGCAGGCATGGCTGCACTGTTCTTGCTTATTTTGGTCTTGTTCAAACCACCTAATTCATAGCTTTCAGTAGATAACACATACATTCAAATTGATGGAGGTTCCAAAGAGATATTGTGATTTTTCTCTCAGACAGTGTGCATCACACCAATGGCTCAATATCTCTGAATTTTCAGACATTTTTATTGGCAGAGGAATGAGGATGAAGGGGAAAAGGGCGAGAGCTAAAGATGAGCACTTGCCTTTAAGTTTGAATGGAGCATTGAGAGTAAACGGTTTTGAGTAGAGCTATTGAGGCTTGTAGACAGTAAAAGAACAGTTGATTGTGAACTGAACTAAGGGGATACGGCAGAAACCCCTTGGTTTATATACATGCAGGTATGTGCACAGACCAGGTGACACATATGGTAAGTAAAACTACTACCTACTATGTATAGTAATGAATGTCATGGAACATTGTAGAATAAGTGGAGTAAATTGACATCATAGTGGAGTCACTTAGAAAGCATGACATCATATGAGTAAAACTCATCTTATAAGCAAGTCTAGAACTGGTAATGAGAAACACCGTTAACCGGTATTTCCAACACTCCCCCTCGCTCTAGAACGGTAAGGTAACAAGACTGAGTGACGAGCGATTAGTTTCGAACTTCTGCCATGTGAGAGACTTGGTAAGTCCATTGGCTTTTTGCCTATCCATCTGGATATATTCAATGGCAAAAAGATTATCCTGTACACATTCACGAATGAAGTGCCACTGGACATCTATATGCTTTGAATGACCATCTGAGACTGGATTCTCAGCTATAAAGTGAGCACCCATATTATTGCAGTAGAGAATAGTTTTCTCTAGTTTGAGGTCCAGTTCATCAAAAAGCATATTGAGCCACTTGATTTGACGGGCAGAATCGCATAAAGCCATATATTCGGCTTCAGTTGATGAAAGCACAATTGTCTTTTGTTTGCGCGATCGCCAAGAAATTAGGGAGGTTCCAAGAAACATGGCATATCCAGTAGTAGAATGATGAGTATCCACATTGGCAGCCCAATCAGAGTCAGTGAATCTGAAGATGCAAGATTCGGTCCCAGAATAGTAAAGCGCAAGTTTTGGAGTAGATGCAACATATTTGACAATGTGCAGCGCCTTTTGTTTATGATCTTCAGTTGGATTGGCCATGTATTGCGACATGCAAATAACTGTGAAAGCAATATCTGGGCATGTTCCCAGAGCCATATAAAGTAAAGATCCAATGATAGATTGATATTGGGAGCAAAGTGAAGAAGAAGCTTGATAAGGAGCTTCGGGTTTCTTCAGTTGGTAGCCAGAGGGAAGTGGAGTGCAGACATTATGTGCATTCTCCATTTGGAATCATTTGATCACCTTTTTGACATAAGGGATCTGATCCAGGTAGATCTTGTGCTTAGCATGGTTTCTGTGGATCTGAAGACCTAGACATTCTTTACATTCTCCTAGATCTCTTGATTCCCATTTCTTCATAAATTCATCTTTCTTTGCTTTTAAGAGTTTAGGATGAGATCCTAAGAATAAACCATCATCAACATAGATGAGAAAGATGACCATGCCTGCATTGGATTTAAATATATAAATCCCTGCATCCACTTTTGATTGAGTGAAGCCCATGCGAAGTAGGGAAGCATGTAAGGCTTTGTTCCATGCTAATGCTGCTTGCTTTAAGCCATAAGGAGCACGCAGCAACCAATAGACCTTGTGCTCTTGACCTTTAACTTTGAAGCCTTCAGGTTGTTCCATATATATTTCTTCATCCAGATTGCCATATAAAAAGGCAGCCTTGACATCCAGGGCACTCATTTCCCAGTTTTGTTGAGCAGCGAATGATAATAGAATTCACACTGTCTCAAAATGAGTGACCAGTGAGAAGGTATCTTCAAAGTCTGTTCCGAATTCTTGTGTGAAACCTTTGGCCACAAGATGAGCTTTGTATCAACCATCGCTTTTAATAGCAAAAACCCATCTGCATTTGACTGGTTTGCGATCTGGTTTTGGATCCACAAGAGTCCAAACATTTCTTTCCTTGATTGATTTTATCTCGTCCTTCATAGCGTCGAACCATTTCTTTTGTAGTTCTGGATTGAGTTTTAGGATGTCTTTGTAATGTTCTGGAGACTCTTTAATGTGTGCAGCAAGAAGGAATTCAAAGGTATTGGCAAAATGCCTCTTTTGGTCTTCTTCTTCTTCTTCTTCGACATGTGCAGTTTGGGAAGGACCTGCTTCAGGTTCAGGTGGAGTAGTTGACTCGGGTAAAGGAGTCAATGGAGATGTAGGAGGATGAGAAATCCATTCCCTAGGAACAGAAGGAGCCTGTGGTCTAACAGGTGATGGTGGTCTCCTTTCTTCCTGTGTGACTCTCTGATATTCCCTAGAATTGCGAGCATGTTGCTCAGCATTTCTAATCCACTCCTGAGCAGTGTCTTGATTATTGTGAATATCCTTCTCGATTTGAACAGGAGGTTTAGTTCCATAAAGATTATTGGGTCGAGATGTAGGGATAATTCTGTGTTTAGGACAAGGTTCCCTATTTTCAGCTTGTTCCAGGTTTGCCCTTCTAAGATTTCTATTGTCACCAGGAACAGGATATGGTTGGTGAGGGTGCTGAATAAGATTGGGAGGAACAGCAGGTGCTCTGTGTGGTCTTTGTGGTTGTTGAACTGGTCTGTTTTGTTGACCACCCTGCTGTGGGTTTGGATTACGAGGAGGTTGTTGTGGATTCTGTGGTTGGACTGGATGAGGTCCAAAGTCGGGAGGATCAATCCCAAAGTCTGGTAGGTTTCCACCAGTATCGCTAGAACCAGAAGATTGGTCATCTTTGGAATCAGGGTCACTTGAGGTATTGGATTTTCTTCAAATACTATCCGAACAAAATGGAAAGGAGTCTTCTACGAACTTGGCAGTATGAGATAAAATGACCTTGTGGCCATAAAGAAATCAATAGCCTTTGGTTTTGGGTTTGTATCCTAAAAAGATCATTTTGATTGCATGTGGGTCCAATTTGTCTTTTCTTTGTTCTTTTGGTACCCAAACATAGGCTTTGCAACCGAATGTGCAGAAATAAGAAATATCTGGAATCTTGCCAGTGAATAATTCAGCTGGAGTCTTGAATTGAATCCTTTTGAGTGGAGTTCTGTTGTACACATGTAGTGCACAGTCAAATGCGAAGTTCCAATATTTCTTTGGAACACATGCATAGTGATGAATAGCTCCAGATTTCTCCAGAATAGTTCTATTGAATCGTTCTGTGCAGCCATTTTGTTGTGGTTGATCAGCTATAGAAAGCTGATGGGATATTCCTCTAGAAGTGAGGAGTGCCTTGAGAGTATTTCCCATGAATTCTCCCCCTTGATCCGAACGGAGAGTACCCAATTCAAGATTGAGTTGGCATTGCATAGCAAGAAGCCATTCGGTAAAATGTTTGTAGGTATCTGATTTATTCCGCATATAAATGCAGAAACCGAAGGAGGAATAGTCATCAAGCAGTGTAAGAACATACTTGGATTGGAAATAAGATTCGATGGGAAGTTCCAAAAGGTCAGCATGAACGAGTTCCAATGGGCAAGTAGCACGTTTCCAAGAAGGTTTAAATGACTTGGAAGCCATTTTGCCTTGTGCACAGCCCTTGCAGGACTGAATTCCATGTATAGGAATGTCAGGAAGACCTAATCAGCATAAATGATGCATTATATTGTTGGCAGGATGTGCCAGCCAATTGTGCCAAAGAGATTCAGCATCCATTTTAACCATCAGGCAAAGGACTGAAAAAGCATTGGTAGGTGGAAGTGGAACACCCACAAACCAGTGTAGT